AAAGATTTAAATTAAAAAATGAATTAAGTTAAAAAAAATAGAATAAAATACAAGGAGAAAAGAAAAATAAATTAAATAAAATATAAATTAAGAGTTATTTATATTATTTTAAATTAATTTTTATGTTAAAAAAATATCAAAATCCAAAACAAATAAATTATTTTACTAAAGATTAAGCATCAAATTTGTGAGTTTAGTGCACTTTGCTAAATCGGAACCTAAGCATGATGTACCTTTTGCACCAATAAAATTATACCTTTTTAAATATTGATGAAAATATATATATATAATTAATTTTTTAGTTAAAAGGAGAAAATGAAGAAAAAATATGTAATTATAATAAAAGAATTAATTTATTAATAATAATATCAAAAGCTTAAATTAAATTAACATAGAAAGGGAAAAAAAACACAATTAAAATAAAAAAGAAAAATATAAAATAAAAAGCTTTTAAATAAATAAATTAAAAGATTTAGTTATATTGTTTTAAATACAATTTTTTTATTAAAAAATATAATAATCCAAAACAAATGAACTGTTTTTACTGAAGATTAAGTGTTAAATATGAGAGATTAGAGCAATTTGCTAAGCTAGAACCTAAGATTGATGCACCTTCTTCGCCAATTTAATTGTTACTTTTAAATATTTATGTAAAATATATAATTTATTAGTAGGTTTGAAAGAAAAATAAAGAAAAAAAATTGAAATATAAGAAATGAATTAATTAATAAAAGTAAAATCTGAAAATTAAAAAATAAATGAGTTAAATTACCAAAGAAAAAAAAAATACAAGCTGAATAAAAAAAAAGAAGAATAAATGAAATAAAAAACTAATAAATTAATATATTTAAAAAGTTATTTAATTATTTTAAATTAATTTTAAATATCACAATCCAAAATAAATAAACTGTTTTTACTAAAGATAAAGTGTCAAATTTGAGAGATTACTGCACTTTGCTAAACCAGAACCTAAGTTTGATGCACCTACTGCACCAATTTATTTGTTACTTTTAAATATTTAAGTAAAAATAAAAAGTATTAATAATTAATAAAATCTAAAGATTAAAATTAAAAATGAATTAACTTAACAAAAAAAGAAAGAAAAAAACATAAGCAGTATTAAAAAACAAAAATAAATCAAATAAAAAGCAAAAAAGTAAATAAAAAAAAATAAGGAGTTAGATGTTTTAAATTCATTTTATGTTAAAAAATATCTCAATCCAAGACAAATAAACTGTTTTTACTAAAGATTAAGTGTCAAATTTGAGAGATTAGTGCACTTTGCTAAACCAGAGCCTAATTCTGATGTATATTCTGCAACAATTTAATTGTTTCTTTTAAATATTAGAGAAAAAATGTTGTTAATTAGCTTATTAGAAGGAAAAATTGATGAGAAAAAAATATCAAATATATAAAAATGGATAATTAATTAATAATCAAAATAAAAATTGAGTTAAATTTAAGTTTAAATAATTAAAAAATATTTGAATAAATAAAAAACATATGAATATTAATGAAAATTTCTTTCTATTAATAAATAAAATTATAAATAACTTGAAAATTAAATAATAATATTAATAAATTAAATATACCCCATAGTAATATCTAGAATCTAATGCAATTAAAGCGAAGAGTTTAAAAACTTTTTTTTGTTAATAAAAATAAATTTAAAGAATATTAATAAAAAAATGTATTATTACTTCTTCTAAAATGTTAAAATGCTATTTCTATTATATCATTTATTTATTTTTACAGAAATATTGATAAATTATAAGTTTAATTAATTTTAAATTTTTTAACAAGCTAATTCTTTTTTTTCAGAAATATTGATAAGCAATCTTTAAGTTGCTTTTAGGAAGAGAAAAAACAAAAAACTTAGTGCAATATAGATTAATAAATCTTAATATTTCTATTCAAAATATTTACTTCAAAATATAGCAAGAATCAAAGATGGGGTAGTCATATATATGTTAATAAAATTCTAGGAATTTAAGTATTTAAATTTTAATAAAATAATTTTAATTTAGTATATTTTTCTGTTTTAGTCCAGTAATTAAAGGAATATATTTAAGTTATTATAATAAATAAATACAATATCTCAAATTAATTTAAAATCCATTTAGTTTTATTTTATTTTATCAAATAAACATACTAATTTTAATATATGAATATTTTTTTTTTTTCCAAAAATTTTGGTGAATCATTCACATGAGTGAATGAAAATTTTAGGTGAATTACTTATTGGTGAATGAAGGGTGATTCCCATTCACCTAAAAAATGAATTTAAAAAAAACTTCCTTATATTCACTTATTCACCTAAAACCTTCAATAATCATGTTTCCATTCTTATATTTCAAATTAATTCAAATTTTAAAGAAAGTTATTTTATTTATAAACTAATAATTCCTTTAAGAATTTTTAACCTAAAATGCATTTATTATAGTTTGCTTTTTACTGAGATAGATTAATAAATTTTGCTTGATATATCTTTTATCAAAAAGTTTAATTCTTTCAAAATATCTGCATATACCACTAAAAAATAATAAAACTATATATATCTATATTAGTTATGATCAAAGTTATTTGCTTGTTTCTTAGTCTATCAAATTTAAAGACTTAATCCTACCTACATATTAATACAATATTCTTTAGATTGAAGGAAAATAAGAAAGCCAGGAGTGGTTATAAAGTTATTTTGACTTATATTAATATTTGAATTTATTTAAAGATAATTTTTAAGCTCAAATTTCTCCTCTTCATTAGTAATCACTAATATTCTTATAGCATTAAATCTTTTTTAATTAAAAAATGGATATATTTTAAACACATTCTAATTAATTAATACTTATTATTGTATCATAAAATTTCAAGTAATCATTTAATCCCAAATTAGTTAGCACAGTGAACATTACAGTTTATGAGCTACAACCCTTTTATTTGAAGAAATAACTTCATCATCATTTTGGGAAATACATATGAATTAAGAAAAAAATCAGTAATTTTTTAAGTAAATTAGTAAATTTCTTATGCAGTTTTATTTTAATATTCTCCAATATAAAGAAATTAATTATTTTTTAATTTCATAGCATCATTTAAATATTTTACAGCAATTCTTAATAGAATGTTATTCTTTCTATTAGTTTTATATATTTAGAGATTTTAATTGGTTTTCCATTTCTCCTTACGATTTCTAAAAAATATCCTTTTCTACTTCAATAATACAGATCTGAATTTCTCTTTCAATAATAGTATTAATATAATGTTTAATGTATCCAACATTTTAGTAAGAGAATACAGAAACAATAGGTCAACATTTTCAAAAGGTATTTTTATTTTACATTTAAGATATTGATTGTGCCACAAATAAAGGTTTGTTTGATAAGTAGATTGGGAGTATTGTTAAATATTTTTGTATGGTATATATAAAATTGACAGATTGTTTATGTGTGATGGTTTGAGTGTGTTCTTAAATTGCTTTGACCTTAAATCTTAAACTTCCTTTTTGAAATGAGTTAGATATGATATTTAAAATTCCTATTTTTTTTCATAGTATAATTACTATTAATGTTTTTGATATTATAAGCAGTATGAACAAAATATTTTTTTACCATTTCCATCTTACTATACAAAAATAATGAGAATTACTGCTAAAAATCTTTTTATAATTCATAAACACTACTCTATTTCTATTAGAAAAATAATCAATAAGACATTTAATAAATGAATTTTATTTTTTTATAATTAGAGGAATCTAATTTCTATTCATTATCACTGTTAAATTCACTCGAATCTTCAGTCTCCTTTTTAAAATTAATTATGTATTTTTTATAATTTCATAATAACTTACTACTACTTATTTTTCCTTAGTTTTTGTTTCCTTTTTAATTAAAGGAAGAAATTTAATTATGGATTTTTACATAGACAATCAAAATTTCTTTTAGCAAAAATAAATAATTTACATGATTTTTAAGATTAAAATAAAAAATATTTATTTCTTTAAATTGTTTGATGCTATTAAATTGTTCGTTCTACATTTATTTATTATACAACTCTACTTAAAAAAATCAATTAACCTCAATATATTCTCCTCGCATATCAATTATTTTATCTGAAAGATAAAACTATGATATACTTTTACAAAGAGGACAGATCTTATTGCTACTCTAGGTAAACGATGTATGCATGCATTAAGACTAGACTTTATTTTATCTTTTTATCAATGTAATTAAAATTTATATAATGATTTCTAATTTCAACTTTTTTTTTTTTTCATTTATTAAACAATACTATTTTAAAGAAAGATTCATAAAACAAAGATTAGACATCATATAAGCTGAATTCTTTTTAGATTAAATTTTTTTTCAACGTTTTCGATAGCAAATATCTTGACTAAAATCCTGCTGGCATCAAATCATTCCAATATTCTCTAGCTAAGTCCCTCTTTATGTACATCTGTTTACTCTACTCATTTTTATGTTGTAAATAATCCTAATATTCTGTTTATCCAATATGGAGTTTAATCTTTTCATCATAAATCACAATTTTAAATTTTAATTTTTTTTATCCTTCTCTGTAAATCCTTTAGTCAAAAAATATATTTTATAGCAAGACTCTTTATTTTGAATTTAAAAATGGAATCTTAAGTTAATAAGACTGCCTAGAAAAAATAAGACCTCAAAATTAAATAAGGTTTTTCTATTATGATTGCTAGATAACGTAGATCGATCTGATAAGACTTTTCTCTGTATTAATTTATTATTGTACTTCACAGAAAAATATTCATACTATTACTGGTAAAAAAAAGTATACCTAACCAAGGAGGAGAGTCAGTAATATTTTGATTTTATATTATGAAAATAGAGGTTTAAAACCTAAAATCTAGAAAATAAAATTATTTTTATAAAATTTAAGAAAAATAATTAATTAATTACTATATTTTTTTTAAAATATGACTACCTACCTATCACTAGTTCCTTCTATATTTTTAACTATACATTTTAAATAGAAATATTAAGATTAAATAATAAATGTTAGAATAACCTTTTTTGTGTTAGCTCTTCCTAAAAGCACATTTATAAATTCATATAGTTTATTTATTATTTTATCCACTTATAATTAATTAATTAAATTTCCATTTATTGCTATTCAATATTTTTAAAGAAAAAAAAAATTAATGATATAACAGATTAAATATTACAAAAAATTACAAGACGTAATTGTAATTTATTTTATGAATATAGTTTGAACTTATTTTATTAATAAAAAAAGTTTTTAAACTCTTCACTCTATTCTCATTAAGTTGTCCATATTACTCTGGGGTATATTTGATTTATAAATATTTTTAATATTTTTTATTCTTTTAATTTTCAATTTTTTTAATATTATTTTCCTTTCTTTTTTATTATTCTTGCATTTTTTTTATATCTTTGTTAATTTAACTCATTTTTTTATTTTAAACTTTTGCATTTATAATAAATTAATCTTATTATTTCATATTATTTCTTCATTTTTTCCTTCTAGCTAACTAATTAATTGTATATTTTTTTCTTCAATATTTAAAAAGAGGAAATTAAATTGGTTCAATAGGTGATTCAGGCTTAGGCTCAGCATTAGTAAACTGCACTAATCTCTTAAATTTGACACTTAGACTTAAGTAAAAGCAGTTATTTTTTCGAATTGCGATATCTTTAGTTATAAAAATGAATTTAAAACAAAACAACGCTTTTAACTTGTTTAGTAGATTTTTATTTGATTTAATTTTCTTTTTATTTTTTATAGTATTAGTGTTTCTTCTTCCTTTCTATCTTTATTAATTTAACTCATCTCTTTATTTTGAACTTTTGTTTTTATTATTAATGAATCCATTTCATATTTTTTCTTCATTTTTTCCTTCTAACTAACTAAATTTTTTTTCTTTAATAATATAAAAGTTACAATTAAATTAACAACGAAGGTGTTTCAGGCTTAGGCTATGCATTAGCAAAATGCACTAACCTCTCAAATTTGATACTTGATCTTGGGTAAAAATAACTTATTTGTTTTGGATTATGACTTTTTTTTAAAAAAATTCATTTTGAATAAAATAACTCTTTTAATTTATCTATTAGCTTTTTATTTAATTTATTTTTCTTTTTGTTTTTTTAATTGTACCTGTGTGTTTTTTTTTCTTTCTATCTTCTAAATTTAACTCATTTTTTTATTTTCAAAATTTTACTTTTATTATTAAATATTTCTTATTATTTCATATCTTCATTATTTCCTTCTAACTAAATAGTTATTTTAATATTTTTTCTTCAATAATATATAAATAGATACAATTAAATTGGTTAAAGTGGGGCATCAAGCTTAGGCTCTGCTTTAGCAATTTGCGTTAATCTCTCAAATTTGAAACTTAGTCTATCGTAAAAACAGTTTATTTGTTTATTTTTGTTAACAGTATTTTTTAATTTAAAATGAAGATAAAAAATAAAAATTTTAATTTGTTTATTCGCTTTTTATTTATTTTTATTACACTTATTTTTTTTTATTTCCTAATTTAATTCATTTTTATTTTTAACTTTTGCTTTTATTATTACTTAATTCATTTCTTATAATTTTATATTTTTTCTTCTCCTTAAATAGTTGCAATGAAATTGATGCAGTTGGTGCATCAAGATTAGGTTCAGGTTTAGCAAATTGCACTAATCTCTCAAATTTGACACTTAATCTTGAGTAAAAATAGTTTATTTGTTTTTGATTAGGATGTTTTTTAATATAAAAATGAATTTAAAACAATATGACTAACTCTTTTTTAAATTATTTATTATCTTTCTAACTAACTAATGATCTAATATTTTTTCTTGAATGCTTAAAAAGTTACAATTATATTGGCGATGAGGGTGCATCAGGCTTAGGTTTAGCTTTAACAAAATACATTAATCTCTCAAATTTAACACTTAATCTTGAGTAAATACAAATTATTTGTTTTGAATTATGACATAAAAATTTAAAACAATAAAGCTCTTTTAATTAGTTTATTAGTTTTGTATTTGATTTCTTTTTCTTTTTTTTGGACTTGAGTTTTTAATTCTTTCATTCTCTCTTAATTTAAATCATTTTTTATTATCAATTTTTGCTTTTTTTATTAATTAATTCATATTCTTTCTTCATTTTTTCCTTCTAACTAACTAACTAATTAATGAATTATTTTTCCTTTAATATTTAAAAAGGGGCAACTAAATTGGTGTAATTGGTGTATCAGGCTTAGTCTTTGGTTTAGAAAATTATACTAATCTCTCAAATTTTACACTTATTCTTAGGTATAATTAGTTTATTTGTTTGATTGTGATAATTTTTACATAAAATTTATTTTAAAAGAATATTGTTAACTCTTTTAATTTATTTATAAACTTTTTACTTGGTATATTTTTTTTTGCTTATTAATTTATTTTAATTTCAATTTTTACTTCTATTATGGATTAATTCATTTTTAATTAACTCATATTTTTACTTTCCTTTTTACCTTTTAACTAACTAATTAATTATATAATTTTTCTTTAATATATATAAAGTGATAATTAAATTGGTGATGAAGGCACATTAAGGTTAGGTTCAGCTTTAGCAAATTGCACTAATCTCTAAAAGTTGACAATTATTATTGAGTAAAAACAGTTTATTCGTTTTGGATTAATATTTTTAGTTATAAAAATGAATTTAAAACAATATAAATTTTTTTTTATTTACATTTTATTTTATTTATTCTTTTTCATTATTTTTTTATTTATTACTTTAAAATTTAATTTTTCATTTAAAATTTTATTAATTTTTTTTAGTAATTTATTCTAATTCATAATAAAAGTTAAAACAAAATCAATTAATAATAATAACAACTGAAAGTAAAAAGCAAGTGTCTTAAATCAAAAAGATTAGTTGTTTTTGAAATAAATTTCTAGTGATAAGTAAGTGGTGAAAAAAAAAAAAAAATTGAATAAATATTAAATATTTGAATGTAAATTTCTATTATTATATAATGTTTGTTAATAAGATAATTTAACCTAAAATATCTTTAAATTTATTATTATTATATTTATGAATACGTCTAAAATTTAAAAGGTATTAAGAAAAAATCTACTGAGTTCATGGTATGGAAGTCTATTATATAAAGATATTTTAGGGTAATATCTATCTACAATAAGGATAATTATAATTAGGTAAAAGTAAAACTATTGGACAAGACATCAAAACAATTAATTACTTCTGATATCAGTGTATTAAGAATCGATACATAAAGAGTATTACTATAAATTTAAATTATTTCTTTAATTGATACTTCCTGAGTTGATTACTTAAAAACTGTAGTTATTTATGCAATTTTTATTGAAAATAAGATCAATGATATGATGAGTTACTATGATTAACGAAAAACTAAATTCAATTTATTTTTATCCGTTCTCCACCACCAAAAAGTAAAAATTTTAATTAAATCAAAGATCTTTTAATTTATTTTGTGCTTTTACGCTTAACTTTCTCATATTATTGAAATTTATGAAATAGTTGCTAAATGTTAAATAAATTAGAATGTTAACACCATCTGAAGATAAGATATATACATTTCTAACTTGTATTTTAAACAAAGGACTCAAATATTTGATGGATAAAACAATTTATTTTTGAGATTTTAGTAAAGCTTTTACTAAAAATAAAATATTCCATAAATGAAATTTTTAGTTAAAAATTCAGATTTATCTTTTTTTACCTTTTAAAAAAGATATTTGTTCTATTTATTGAAGCAAAAGATAGGGGAAAATACAATCGCAAAATCATTGAATTGTCCTGAAAATTAATATTTTAAATACTTTGTTTATTTATTTAATAGTAGTATTATATATTTTCATGAAATAATATAAATTAGAAGAAAATTAAATAAATCAATAAATAAACGAATAAACTTAAAAGAAAAGAATTACCTAAATAAACAATGGAAACCTAAAAAAGAAAATCTAAAAAGTTAGCAGTTTATTTAAAATAATTTTATGCTCAAGATATTTACAGGTTAATCCATTGCTATCCTAGAAACAACTTATGTTTCACACCATTGATACTTTTGAAATAAATTCAAATACTTTTTTTATCAGTACAAAAGCAAATGTCTTAGATAATCAATTCAGATAGCCATCTTTACTACTTTAATTAATACTAAGTCTTTGGATTTACATCAAACAACTATTTTTTAATTCAGGCCATTTATGCTTTAACTTTGGTAAATGTTATGGTACTGTTTTTTCTTTTAGGATATTTAATATACTCTTTGATGAAATCATTTTAAATAAGCCATTCAACATAGAATTTAATAAATTTAAGTAAAATTTATCAGGTAAAGGAGGATCATAATGAATAATAAAATTTCGTTAATCTTGCATTTTCGTTCTTTATCACAATTTACTAATATTTAATATTCGTTCCCTCAATCATTCTAGGCTTATATGCTGCAGAAGTAAGTTATATGGCTTATCTATTGGTACTTTTATCTATCATCCTAAGTATATTTTTGCTCTCTTTATTAATTATTTTTATAATAACCTATTAAAACATGTTTAAATGAATATTTTAATTAATATTACAAAATTAGATACTGTTATTTCAGACCTTGATTATAATTATGCAATACAATCTATAGACTATTTAGCAAGACCATATTCCAGGATTTAGTTTATATTTGCTTCAGTTATTCAGATCTCTCTTTTTATTTTAAAATCATAGATTTCAAAATGCTAGATATTGATAACATTCATTCATTTTTTGTTAAGTCTTATTATTTAGTTGATTTTTTCGCCATATCATAATCAGATAGCTTAATTTATAAATTTATTTGGCCATTTAAGTATACTTTGTTCAACTATTACATTATAGATTGCAGTCACTTTTAAGGTGCCTGATAAGTTGATTTGCTTTGTTTTAATGTGTCTCTTACCACTTAGTTTTAAAATAACTTAGTTATTGATGATAAATAGTTATGGAAAACTTTATGACGAATTATTGATGATATTATAACAGAAATCAAAACAATTTAATAATTTTGATTAAATAATTAGATTATTTCTTATAATCAATTATGATAGTCAAAAAAAGAAAGAATAATTTGAGATGATGTAACTTAATTTAATTGTTAATGCAAAAGTAAATTTAAATGATGGATTTAATTAAGGTGATTAATTTAATTAATCCTTTGAGCGAATGACACAAAATAATTTTAGACTAAATGCAGGACTTCTTTCTAATTCTGAGTAAAATTAATTTTTTACAATGTATTTTTTCAGAATTTTTATTTGCTTAAAATAGACAAAAATTAATTAAGAAAAATATTTAAGATATTCTCAGAGAACAGTTTTAAAAGGCAATAGAGCTGAAGAGATTCCAGAAAAAATATTATTTAAATGATTTAATACATTTATTTGTCTTTTTTGTGGAGATTTCTGAATCATATAGAATGTATTTGCTTTAATAATTGCAAGTTTTTAAAGAAAGTCATTTGTCATTAAAAGAAGCTTAATAATTTTATTCTGTTTACCATATTTTCTTAAAAAGAAGGGCAACAATTAGAAAAATGTTAGGTACTTAAAACCCATTTGACCATTCTTATTTAGAAATGATTACCTTTGAAGACAATATTGAGAAGACAGAAAATTTGCTTGTATAAACTTTAAACGAAAAGCTAGAAATATTAGAAATTATGAAAAAAAAAGAGGTTCACGCAAAAGAGCTAGTTATTAAAATAGGAAATATGCTTAAAAACAAAAAACAAATAAAAAAATATTTAACTTCATTATATTAAATAAATGATAAAAATGCTCACCTTTTAAATCTGATTTATCTTTATTTAGAATGCTTGGCATTTTCTTCATCAGAAATAAACCTCAAGAGGATAAATAGGGAACAATAAAATGAGCAACTGAAGAAGAAAAATCGAAATGTAAGTAGTGATACATAAAGTATTTCTATTAATTTGAATAGATTTGATAATTAAAATTGTGTTGTTTTCGCATAGTACATTGATCCTATGAATTTAGTTATTAAAAATGTGTCATCAAATTTCAAAGATATTTTTAATTTGAATAATAATCAAGAGATAATAGGCAACAATATTCAAAAATTAATACCGAAAGTATTCTAATAAAATCATTGTGAGTATATAGAGAGGTATTTACTAGAAGATCTTTCTTTTAATTAAGATTAATTAACCTTTTTGACAGAAAGATAAGAATTTAAAAGTAAAAAAATTGATTATAATTTTGTTGAAACCAAGAGAAATTTAAAATTTAAATAATGTAGGATGAATTCTTAAATCATTTTTATTTAATTAAATTAAATACTCATAAAACCAGTAAGAATTGATGTAAGAACTAATTCCTTTTAAGAGGATTAACAATTTGGACTCACAGCTAAAATTTAATGTTTTAATAATTAAAAGGAATACATTCTTTTTAATGAAAATAGCCTTGAGTGTATAGGTTTAACAAAAAATGTGCACAATATTTTTTTTCCTGATTGTTAGTTGCTTTAATAAATAAACATCAAGAAAGTATTACCGTTTTTAGTTGAAGCTACCTAAACAATAAATGAGGAATCACAAAAATAATCAATAGAAAAATAAATAATTTTTTAAAATTTAAATGAAAAAATGAGATAAGTATTAAACGAAAAATATAATAAAAAGAACAAAAAAAATAAAAATACTAAAATAAAATGTATTGTAATCTAAACAAACTAAGCTTTTTTCAATATAAGCTAATATCAAGGATCGACTAAGAACTAGAAAAGAAAAGAATTTTTTTAAAAAAGCACAACGTTTAGTTATTAAAAAAGTTAATTAAATTCTTACATGTTCTTTTAAATTGAGTTTAGCTTCCACAAAATAGCTTATAGAGATATTAAAAATATCAGTTATATCTAAATAGAAAAAATTAATTAAATTAATCCAGATGATTAAGCATGTGCATTGTTTAATAAGCTTAAAAACCCCTAAATGTAACAAATTTACGAGCTTTTTTTCACTGACGCTTCTGAATTAAAAAAAATAATTTAAAACCTTGAAATTGTTGTAACAAATTAAAAAACTTATTTGAATAAATAATTTTCTTCTTTAAAAGCAACAAATGTTTCAAGTTAGATTTATCAACCTAAAATAGTTACAGCTTAATAAATTTCTGAAAAATCTTTAAAAAATGATACATCGCTTTATGAAAAGAATGAAAACATATTACTTAATGATCGTAATAATAAACTATACTCAGAATAAAATCAAAACGAGTGCCAGAGTACAAAAGATAAAAATGAAAATATTAATAATCAATTACTAGAAAGTATTTTTTAAGACAAAACAAATTAAAATCTAACTGAAAATAGTTGCAATAAAATTTAATAAAATGAATTTATATTATCTAATTAATCACCAAGCATAGCAAATAATCTTTATCCTCAAAGTAGATTAGAAATGAAATAAAATTAAGCTTAAATCACAGCTTAAACATAAATGCCTTTAAAGAACACTTTCATAAATAATGCTACTTAATTTAATAATTCGATAAGCTCCTATTCTTAAATAAAGAATCAAAGTATTTAGAGTTTTATAGAAACCAACGAAGAAAATGTATTTAATAAAAATGTTAACTAAGATCAAAAACCTAAATTTTAAACTTAAAATTATTAACCTTAGTCTTTTAGCAGTGCTTTAAAACTTTTCCAAAATAGCATCATTAATTATAGCAAAAATTAAATTAGCATCTAAGATTAAGAACTTAACTACTATAGCTTTCCTACTAGTAGATAGGATTTTACAATAAAGAATTATGATATACCCACTTAAATTTATGAAAAAGAATCTGAAAGATTCAATGAATCTTTAACTTTTCCTCAAAAAAATGTTTCAATTTTAGAAGAACATAAAAAATATAATTAAAAATTATAACATGATTAAGAATCTACAAATTCGTAATAGTCAGCTTATTTATCTTCAAAAAAATAAATTTTAAAATAAATGAGTGATTAATCTACTCTAAAATCAATAAAAGTTATCTATTTTATAGGCATTTTGTGCTCTGTTACAATTATTTTAATGACTTGGATATAATATATAATACTTAAGTAAAAAATTTAGGATTCCCATTTAGACTACTAAGTATTTGTTTGGCCTATAACATATATCTCTAAGTTAAGTTAGCTACTTAAATATCAAAACACAATTTATCTTGTTTAGTATTGCCAAGATTTACAATTCAGCAGTAACTTGTAAAAATAGCAATTCTAATAAGAATCACAAAATAATTTGAACCAAGTTTATAAGTCTTTAATTTAAATGGCTGGGTATATGGACAGAGCTAACTCAGATAGAAAAGTCTTTTAATTGCTATAGTAAAATTAAATAAACATGAAAATTGCTCAATATTATAACACTAGTTTGTTAAGTAACACCTCTTCAATACCATCTTTACCAATGTATACCTAATATTTAACTACTCTGCAGCATGGAATGATTTTATAGTTTTAAAGCATATTTCGCATAGTGAATAATTAAGGTAACGGTAGATCCATATATTACCTAATAGCTAACTAGCTCTAAGAAATTAATTTACTTTAAAATGTTTAAAACTAAATGCTTAAATACTAATAAAATTAGCAATAATAGATCGAAGATGAATTGTCTATTTAAATGATTGTGATTATTGTAATAAATGCATTTTGCGTAGTAATAATAATTCCCCTTTATAATAGCATTTAAAAGCAAAGAGATAATATTTTAAAGCTTATTTCTACTTTTTCAGTTTAGAAAATTGATTAGCAGATAAAACAGATTGAAATTTCTTATCAAAATTACAAATGCTAAATTACTTAGACTGTCAAATAGAATATCAAAATGGTGAAAAAAATATCTTTAATATAAAAAACTTAAGTTGAAAATGAGCACATAAAAAAAAATAGACTTAGCAAAATCACTCTCTTACCCAAATATAATCTTAAAATAAATATCATTTTCATAGCTATCTATTTACTTATAATTTGTTTACCAATAATTAATAAGCAAATCATCTAAGGTTACTTAACGAATGCTACTTTAGATCTCCAAACCATGAGTAAAATTATTTTTAGTTCGCAATTAAATTTTTTGAAATAACTAAAAGTGATGTACTGAAAATTAATTGATTGCTATTTAAAATGTAAGGTTTCATTAAATTTTTAATCTTTAGAATTTTTGCAGTCATGAATGTCTCTAAATTATATTTATATTTAAATAACTCACTTTGCTATTAATATTTTAAAAAATTATAATTTTTAAATTTTCTCTTAGTATTGGATTTAAAAAACGATTAAATAAAATATTAAAGCAACATGAATGTCTCCAATTATATTTATATTTAAATAACTCACTTTGCTATTAATATTTTAAAAAATTATAATTTTTAAATTTTCTCTTAGAATTTGATTTAAAAAACGATTAAATAAAATATTAAAGCAACTAAATATAATTTCATTACATCCATCCCTAATTTTTATTTTTTAAATTTTATAAATAATATTCTTTATTACATTTTGTAAAAGTAAAAATTAAAGTTTTTTTTTTTGTAATTTATAAGTGAAAGTCTATGAATTAAGGTCTTATTTATTAGATAACCTAGCTATAAATATAAGCATATTAGTTATGATAGTCAATCCGTCTTTATTACCGATGCCTCCAAATATATACTTTGATTATGTTAATAGCTTAAATTTATAATAGCAAGAGAAGATGGAAAATATTTAATGGGTAGTTAACTCTTAATATTAGAATAAAAGGTATAAATATATATATAAATAAATAAATAAGAAAATTAATTTTAAAAAAATGAATTAATCTAAAAAGGTTCAATTAAGATTTATATGATGACTTCTTTTTTGCTGCTTTTGAATAAAATTTGTGTGAAACGTTTTAAAAATATCCTTAATTTAATAACAATTCTACTCTATTTAACAATTCAATTTGTTCAAATAGCTATCAAGGATTTCTTTCTCAAGGTATTTAAATAGCATATTAAAAAGCTTTAGCAATATTTCCTGATTTATATTACTTGTACACATTACCTAGTACTACTTAAAGATAATCTAAAATTAGATATTTCTTATCGAATTTTAATGTTTCTGATTACATAAGATATACAGAATTATTAGATAGTACTATTATAAGTTTAAATTAATTCATAATAACCTAAAATAATGAATACTTTGACTAGATATTATTAATTTAAAGTATTCTAATATATTCCTAGACATTTATAACAGTCTTTGTCTTTCTAATAAGCTGGATGATATTTGGCTATAAACTAAATAAATCCTTAGAATAAACTAAAAAGTATCTATAAATAGTAAATATAGATACTCTCTTAGAGAATAATTATGTATTAATGTATATATAAAAAAATAAAACAATATGAAGTAAATTTAATTCAATTAATTTTATTTTCATCATTTTTTATTTTTTGTGAATTAAATTTTAATTTTATATTGGCTTTTATATTCCTTATTTAAAGTATGATTTCCATACAAATATTATTAATTTCATCCGCTAATCCTCATTTCCTCACAAATGAGTTCTACTTCATATAATATTTTAAAGAAAATATTTTTGCTATGGCCAAAAGTCAGTTTTTTTGGAAAAATGTGATTAAAACTTGTAAGATAAAAAAATTAGAATAAATATTAAATAACTATTGAAATATAAAATAAATAAAAGAGATAGATGTAAGTCTTTTATTTTTTAGCGATATTTAATAAAATAATGATATGATTCAAATCAATATCTCTTCAGTAAAGAGATTATCATCAAATAATTTACTGGTTGCTAAAACAAATAAAATATGTGATAATTTTTTAAACAAATCTACTGATTTTTTTTATCTTAAATTGAAATTTTGAAAATATATTTTTGCTGTGAAAGAAATGATTTTTATTTTTATAAAATGAATAGAGTTATAATGAAAAAATATTCAAATCTAATTTATTTATATTATTTAAATCATGCTACTTTTATAATTAATTAATTAGTCTATTAGAACTAACTAATAATTATACTGTTCAAAAAATTTAAACTGAATCAAATTTAATAATTATATAGAAATTTGATAATTAATTACTGATATTATTTTTGATAAATAAGATTTTTTAAGGACCATAATTAAAACCATTAAATAATTAATTTACATCCCAAACAAGCATCTATCGTAAAGGACTATTACTAAGATTTTAAATATGTAATTATATTTAAAATTAAAAAGGATAGTATCCTTATAACTAAAGGTATGAATCAGCAAATGAAGTAATAATTTACCAAATATCAAAAGTTATTTGATAGTCAAAACGTTTATATTTTACTTCCCTAGATTTCTTAGAATCATTTATAATGAATATATCATCCATCAATTTTATAAATCTCAATAATTGAAATGATTTTTTAAAAATATCATAAACCATTCATTTATATCTTTTATAGATTTATCTGTTATTAAAAAGAAAAATATTTATTATATATTTTTACTTAAAAGGGATTTTCATTTTTTCAAAATAAAAAGAAAGAATTAGTTCATAGTTTTTAAAATTTAAATTAAAAATTCATTTATTTGTTCATAATCATTTTTTATAGAACCAATTGTTAATTATTTATTTGAGTAAATATACTTTTATGATTCTAAATCCCATATTAATCTTATTCCTAAATTTAGTAACAGATTGGTAAAATTTTATTAAAAAAATAAATTTCTGGTTTAAAATTCAATAAATATTGGTTTTAAGTAAGTTCTAAAGATAAATATCTAGTTTATGAAAATAATTAAATTACTAATTAAATAGAAAGCTTGAAAATATTAAATGTTATATTTAAATTTTGATTGGTTACATTTAATAGGTTCAGTTTTAAAGTAAACTTTTTAATGCTAGTCATTGTTATTTAAAATGTAAAATGGATATAATAAATCATTTATTCTTGAATAAAAGTAAAATTTAGAAAAATATAACTTTTTTCGTTTGTTTTTTGTGATATTTTAAAGAAAACTTTAATGAAGGTTATTAATTTCAAATTTAAGATTACAATTAATATCGAAGCTAATTTTACTGAATAAATAACTTAAGACTTAATTAATAAATTATCCTTTGATTCAAGTAAATGATATTTTTTTAGTGTCATAAATGATATATACTTGTCCAAAATGTTTAAATACTAAAAAGGTCAAACAATTATATATTATTCAAACTATTTTTTTTATAAAATAAATTTAAATTATGATAAAAAAAGTTATATATTTTATATTTAAACGAAGTGGGCAAAAATACTTTAATTTAATTAATTTTTGAGCTTTTACTAAATTTTTTTTTTATCTAAAAATCAAAATTTTAAAAATAAATATTGATTTAGTTTGAAGATGTTTAATATCTTAAATGATGTTTATCCGCAAACCTGATTTTTCAGTTAATAAATTACCTAAATAAAAAATTTTAAAGAAAATATATTTATAAATATCAATTGATGATATGTGTAAATTATAATTTATTTATATTATATTAAAGTAATAAATCAATGAATAAATAAAGTAATAAATAATTTTAATTTGCGGAGTTACTAAAACTCTATTATACTGAGGAGATATATAGATTGGTTCACTTGTTTCCTAGAAATAATCCAGCTTTTTAAACATTAATAGTTTTAAAGTACTTCCTATTATTTTAATTTTGTCTGTCAACTCAATTTTAAGAAACAACCGGTTACGATTTTAAATTAAATTTCATAATACAGACTGGACTATTTAAGTATTTAAAAAATAATGCTAATAATCTCATTTACGCCTTACTATTTGTTAATGGAATGCTATTGATATACATAATATTTGCACTTTTTAGATTCATGCACTTGAAATTTAGGATGATGAAGAAAGTGAACAAGAATTATAATTAGGAAATTTAGATGAAATTAGAAGAGTCTATATATGAATAAAGCAGCTGCTTAGACTAATTATTTTCATTGATGATTACTTTATAACAGAATATTATTCATTTTCCAAGTGTTATTTTAGGTTTTAATAACTTAAATAATAATAGTGTCTCTTATGCTCTTTTGTCTATTGCAATCTTACTGAGTAACTTAATGATTAATTAATTTTCTGTATGAGTTATATGCTTTACTACTTAATTAAATAAATTCCAATTTAAGCAAAGAAAAATAAATAAATGTTTTACTTTTACTTTCGAAATTAATTTAACAAAATTTTTATTTATTCATATAGATGTTATCACTAGTGACACAGACTATAACTATGAAATTAAACTTAAAGATTACTTAGCAAAACCTTTTAATATCTTAAATTTTTTATTTAAGATCTTAGTAGAAGTTTTTATTATAGCAGCTATAGTTTACACACCAGAAGGTTAAAACTCTATACTATCTTGCTATTTTCTTATAAATGGTTTGCTTTCTTATTTTTACTCTTACTATTATGACAATTTTTCATAACTAATAAACCTGTTTACTCATTTAGCCCTATTTTGTATGAGTACAACTCTCTAAATCTATATTTCAAATAATATTCCTAGTTAATTGTTAAGTTACCTTTTTATGATTTACATTCCTTTAAGCTATAAAATAGCTTCTATAATAGTTGAAAGAGATTATTAGAATTAATAAAATAGCTTTCAGGAAATATATTAAGAAATATAAAATAATGATAAAAACTTTGATAGAATTTTAAGATTAAATATTTTTCAAAATATTGAGAACTCAAAGCAAAATGAGAAAAAATACTTAAAATTTTTAAATTTAATTACTAATAATAATATATCAAAGCAAAAAAAGTTTATTAATTCATACAAAGAAACTTATGGACTTGATTAAAAATTCTAAAAGAATGAATAAATTTTTGAAAGTAATCATACTCAAGTATCAACTTAGCTAAAAAGTCAATAAAATAGCTTGTAATCTTCATTATTTGAAGATATTTCTGAATTAAAACTGGTAGAAAAAAATATAATGAAATTATTGAAAGATTACTTTTTGTAAATTTCAAACAACAAATTAAGAATCAAATAAAATGGAACTTAGATTCTTCAAAGTGTATTTATATTTTTGATAGAAGTAAGCGAGTCATATAGAATATATTTTCTTACTTATTTATAATTGATAAAAAGCAAGAATTTATCTCTAAAGTAGAAATAAATATTTAAATCTATACATAGTATATTTTTAAAGAAAAGAGCTTTAGTAAGAAAGAGAATGGGAAAGACAAATCCATTTGAGAGCTCTTACTTACAAGTCATAACTTTTGAAAAAAAACTGGAAAAATCCTATTCCTTATTTTGCTAGACTATTAACTTAAAATTATAAATACTAAGCATGATGAAGCAAAAGCATATTGTTGCTACAAAGTTAATTTCAAAAATTGAAACTATGCAAAGTTAAATAACTTAATTGAAGGAGAATTTAAATTATTTAATTTAATTAAATGATGATAGCTTAGATCTTTTAAATTTACAAGCCCTATTTCTGGAAAATTTGAGTTTTTCAGAAAAAGATATAAACTTACTACAAGTCAATAAATACAAAAAAAAAAACAATAACTTAAAATATTTAAACAGGCAAAATGAAAATGGCGTATTAAGTAGTATGATTAACAGTGATAAATTTGATGAAAAAACTTGTATAATTTTTGCAAGTTACAAAGATACTGAAACCTTAACAATAAATCAAGTTTCTTCTAATTTTTCTAATTTATTTTGCTTTACAAGTAGAGACCATATCTATGATAAAAATATAGAATCTATTATACCTCTTGCCTTTCATAGTGTACATAAATTTTATATAAAACAATATTTAGAAGATTCTATAACCTGTGATATTTATTCAAATGATACAAATCAGCAATAAGAATAAAATGAATAAGATAATGAAAATGACGATAATTTACTAACTCCAATTAATTAGCGATAAGGTTACTAATTTAATTAATCCAAATACTTATCAGAGAATTAAACTGGAATGAAAAATAAAAACTATTAATTATAAAACTGTAAAATGAATTAATAGATAATATTTGCATCTCTAAACTAAATGTTTATTTTACCTATTAAAATAGATATTAAAACAAATGAATACAAAGAAAATGGAACATTTGGATTGGTAGCTAAAATAAAACAAATAAATGAAGAATACTAATATATTCTATTCAATGAAACAGATCTAAGTGTTATTGGTCTCACTCAATAAATGCATGAAATATTCTTTCCTAATTGTAATAGTCTCTAAAAAATTAATATGAGATCAATTTTCCCCTTTTTAATTGGTACTTAAAATAAAACAAAAATTGAAGATTCACATATTTAAAATAACGAAATGATTTGCAATACTACTAATACAAAAAAATAGTTTCATGTGAATTTAACAGATGATATGTAGTATATCCTTAGAGGATAGTTAAAAAATAAATTAAAAATTAAAAACAAATTCTCATTTATAATTATATAGTAAGCAGATGTAACAAACAACGCTCTAAACACTACTTATAGAAGTGTAAATAGATTAAATAAATCCAAACCATAATAAGAAATTTCATCATATAGTTTTAATTATGTAGAACTATCTGTTCGAAAAATAAAGTATCATAGAGTAAATAATATAAGTTATGTTGAAATAGTAAAAATAAAATAGCTTAATCCAGCTAGTTAAGCTCAAATAATCCTTCAAGAAATAACAAACATAAAAAAATAATATATTTATTCTTAATTTTTTGAGCATCCAAGCTAGCTTTAAAATATAATCTCAGATTTAGAATTAAATCAAAATGTTAATAGCAACTTATAATTTAATAGCTTTTACTCTTAGCTTCAATATAGCTGTAGAGATTTTAATTAAGGAAACTAGTTACTTCAAATAAAAGAAAATGATACTCCTATTGATTTTTATAAATAATAATAACTACTAAAAACTTTAGGTGATGAAAGTACTAATCTTGAATAAATTAAATTAGTGTCAAATAGAATAGAAAATGATGATTTTAATTGTTAATCAGATGAAACTAGTAGGTTTACCTTGAACTAATTCAGAGAATAAAAAGCATTATAAAACTTGAATGAAAAATTACAACTTAATTAGCTGTAATAGATATAGAGTAATATTGCTTAAGAACAAACATTTATTTAGTCATTTTAGGAAAACTAAATAAGCAACAGCGATTTATAAATTAAAGAAGATTTTGCTAATAAAAATAATCATTAAAACCCTATAGAAGTTTAACTAAACAAAAGCAACACTAGTGCCTTACCTAGTCATTAAAAATCAAATAAAATAATAAACATAGAATTAACATCTCCAAATAATAGCTTCAATATGAATATTAATTCTAATCAGCAATCCTTAGCTCATCTATCAGATTAGAATTTAGATGTTTAATAAGTAAAATCTCATGAATTTATTTCAAATAAAATTAAAGAAAATATTTATTTAGATATAGAAGCCAGTAATGATGAAATTAGTAAAAAATACAATAATACAATCAATCCTTTAAAAATTAGTAAAAATCCAAACAAAATTATTAAGTCAAATAGCTTCAGAAAAAGTTAAATTACCAATACATTAAATGATGCTCTAAATGATAGAGAGAAAAAAAAATTAATGAAAAACTCTTATTAGCATAATAATATTAATTATATATAAAAAGAAAAGAAAAAGGAGCAAGTTCAAGATATCATTTACGATATTGCTTCTAGCACCTCTCAAAATTCATATTATACTCCAGTCAAGAGATAGCTAACACAAATTATGGAAGATTCATCAATCCTAAAAGTTATAAAACTAATAAAAATTATTGGAGTTATTTGTTTCGCTGTCATGGTAGGAATCACTTGGTTACAATTCAACTCGATGTATCAGTATATGTCATCAGCAAATTAAGATTACGAAGATTTTGGCTGGCCTACAACTTATTCTTCTTCTCTAAGTGATATCCTTAAAAATAAAAATATTTAATTTCTTACTAATTATACAAGAATGAATTTTACAGATATTCACTAAAAGTAACTTTTTTATGATCAAATACAATAAAATATGGAGAATACTTTCTCAGATGTATTAAGATTGTTAGCTTTATTGGAAACTGCTAGCACAAATAGAGAAGTATTTAATAGAGTAATAGGGAATAAAATGAATTTTTACTTTGGAAAATTGTATAACACATAATTGCTTAACTCAACTACATCTAATAGTATTGATTTAGTATTTTAAAATTATAGCAGTACCTTGCAATATAGCATAACTTTAAGTGTTTAAAATATCTTCCGTTATATCAATAACCTGGGTAATGGAAGGCCTGAGTTTTACTTAATATAAAATTAATTAGAGGCAATTTCTAAATTAGAATATTTACAATAGTAAATAAAAGAAGACCAATCAGAAAAATAGGAATATATTCAAGATGAACTATATATCATAATCATGATTTTAGTTTTAATTAACACATTTTGTGTTATGATAATAATTCCATTATATTTTTACATTTAAAAAGAAAGAGATTCTATAATTTACCTATTTACTACATTTCCAATTTAAAAGTTAGATAATTTGATCAAAAAAATATAAGATTCCTACTTTAGCATAAACACTAGCTCGATTTATTAGAATTAAAACAACTAAATAATTTCTGATACACTTTTATAATTAGAAGGCATTGATAATGTAAATAATACAAGAAAACATACTATTAGCTCTATCACAAGTCTCCCTAGATACAATAAAAAATTATATTTTGCTTGTTTCCTTATTTATTCATTAATAATATGCTATCCAATAATTGTTAAAATCCTAAGTTCTGATTATTTAACAAAGTCTGCTCTAGATCTTTAAACACTATGTAATTTATTTATAAGCATTCTTTAATTTTATACATTCAGTTAAACAAATAATTTAAATTTTAAATATTTAAATAAAATAAAAATCTATTATCTTTTATTATCAAAAAAATAAATAATATTTATTTATTATAATTTTAAAAGCGAAAGTCTACTAGCTAAGATCATATCTATTGTAGAATATTGCAATGCATTTTAATGTTTTATTAATGAAGGCAAGACCAAGATTCAAGCCTATGAAACCTGAAATTTATTATGATTATTTATAAACACTAATTGAATAGTAGGAAGATATAAGTAAGGATATCTAATGGATAATAAATACATAGTATTCAGATTAAAGGTATTTTATTTATTAAAATCTACAGATTAATTTCATTATAATTATTAATTAATTAAATAATGGACATAAATTTTTATTTTTATTAATTAAATTTTAATTTTTTAGTTTTATTTAAATATTTATATATATAAATATATAAATAGATTTAATTAAGACTTGTACGATAACTTCTTTTTTTCTGCTTTTAAAACAAATTTGTGTGAAGATTTTAAGAACTATCCTTAATTCAATACTAATCCTAAAAAAGTAAATGTTGATTTATGCACTTCACCACAATAAAAGTTCTTATAATAAGGTTTCTCAGTTGCTTATAAAAGTCTTTTTAGTATGTTTACTGAACTATACAACATATATATAATACCAGATGATAAAGTATCAAGATAATAAGTACTATAAGTATTAAAAAATCTTGATATTTAGGAATACACGGCTTTTACTGAGTTTTTAGATGAAACAATTATCAGTTTAAATTAATTTATTTTAACTTAAAATAATATTTTTTATCATTAGTTAGAATTATAATTGATAGGTTTGATAGCTTTTTAAATGGTATTAATGCTTTTAGTCTTCTTTTTTGGTTGGATCACTTTCAGTAATTATTTGAATTACTAGCTACACAAAACAAAAAAGTATCTATAAATTCTAGACATTAATACTTTAATTGAAAATCAATACATTTAAAATTATATTAAAAAAAATTTAGTTGCTTAATGATAAATTTATTTTTTATAAGTTTTGCAATTAATATTTATTAAAACTTTTTTTATTTAATTTTAATATAAATTCAAATTTCTTAATTGATTGAACTAATATGCAAAAAATAAAATTATGGTTTTTTAGATGTATATTTGTTGATATTTATAATCTATTTATTTTCTATACGATGGATTTTTAACTTTTTTGTTTTGTATCCTTCATTAAGTTCGGTATTTCTATAAAAATATATATTTTTATTCTTTTTTTCTTTTAATTAAAATGGTGATCCATTAATATCAATTTTATACATTATATAGAAAGGTGTAAATCGAAATACTAGACCCCCAATAGATTTTAAAAAAATCAACTCAAGCCAAAAAAATAATAAATTATTGCAAAATTAAGTAAGTGAGTAAATTTTTAGAAAAAAATTTCATTAAAGTATTTAGCATCAAAATTAGAATAATTTTTAAATGACTATTAAGATTTTAAGAAGATAAAAGAAATAGTTGTAGCTCTTTTTTTAGCTATTTTTAAATAAATCAATCATCAATATCTCTTCAGTAATTCAGTAGAGAGCATATCATCAAATTATTTACTGGTTGATTAAAATAAAGAAAATTTAGAAGGATATTGAAAATGAAGAGAGAGACAGCAAAGTTAAATGATAAAATCATTCATACATTCATACATAAAATTATTTGAGTTAAAAATATAAATTTATTATTAATTAAATAATTTTTATTTTTACAAAATGAATAGGAGTTTTAATGAAAAAATATACAAATCTAATTTATTTATATTACTTAGATTTTTCTATTTTTAATAATTAATTAAATTATACTTGCCATATAAAAATTCTAAAAGAGCTAATAGTTATACTGCTCAAAAAATCCTAACTAAATTAAATTTAAAAATAATACAGAAACTTTTAAATTAATGCTATTATTTTTATTAAAAAGGTTTTTTAAAAGAACCATAATTAAAACCATCAAATAATTAATTTACATTCCAAAAAAGCATTCATCTATCTATCTTCAAGGACTATTACTAAGATTTAAAAGTATGTAAGCACTTAAAAATAAAAAGCATCCTATTGTAATAATTAAAGGTATAAAGCAGCCAATGAAGTAATCATTTGCTAAGTATTAAATGCTACTTAATAGCAGTAATGTTTGTTTACATGTTTCTTCTCTAAACTTTTCAAAATCTTTTGTAATTAATATAGACATTCATCAACTTTACAAAGCTTAAAAATTTATGGTTGTTTATAAAATATCATAAACAATTCATTCATTTATATATTTATTCATTATTATTAAAATCGAAAAAAAATATTTATTTGTATTTAAAATAATTGATTTTCTAATTTTGAAAATAAAAATAAATATAAGTTTTTAAAATATAAATTAAAGATTCATTTATTGATTTATTTATTGATAACCATTTTCTGTAGAGCCAATTAAATATAATTTTTTGATCCAAGTAAAATATCCTAAGTATATTGTTCCTAAATTTAGAATAAGTTTTGTAAAATTTTATTAAAAAAATAAATTCATGGTTTAAAAATCAATAAAAATATTAGTGTGTGCTTTAAGTTAAGTTCTAAAAATAAATATCTAATTATAAAAATAATTAAATTATTCATAAAATAGAAAGTTTGAAAATAAATATTAAATGTTATATTTAAGTTTTAATTAGTTCTATTTAATAGGTCCTCTTTTTAAAAGTTTTTAAAGTAAGTAAACTCTTTCACGTTAATCATTATTATTTAAAATGTAAAATGATTAAAATAAATAATCTACCATTGAAAAATAGATGGAAAATAATTATTTTTTTTTATAGAACATTTTCTTTTCATTTTTGCGATTTAATAAAGAAAATTTTTATGATGCTTACTAATTAAAATTTTAAGATTACTATTAATAATGAATCTAATTTACTTTCAATTGATTGTATAATTTTACTGAATGAATAATTTAATATTTAATTTATTTTAGATTAGATACGCTTTACTTATTCAAGTAGTAAATAACTTTTATGATTTTAACTTGCCTAAAATGTCTAAATACTTAAAAATACAAGCAATTTATTATATATTATTTATACAATTTTTTTTATAAAATAAATTTAAATAATCATCAAATAAGATATTTATTTTTTATTTAAATAAAGTAAGCTATTTTAGAAAAAATTTAACTAATTAATTTTTGAGTTTTTAATAACTTTGTTTTGATAATAGTTAGTGGTTAAAAACCCAAATTTTAATAATAAGGATATATTTAGTTTGAAGAAATTTAATATTTTAAATAACCTTTATCCACCAGCCAGATTTTTCAGATAATAGATTACCTACCATAAATAAAATAGTCCCAAAGAAAATATATTTATAAATATCAAATAATGATATGTGTCAATTATAATTTATTTATATCATAATAAAATCAAAAATCAATGAATAGATAAAAAAGCTAATAATTTTAATTTACAGAGTTGCTAAAACTCTATTATACTGAGGAGATATATAGATTAGTTCATTTATTTCCTAGAAATAATCCTATCTTTTTAATATTAATAGTTTTAAACTACTTCATATTATTTCAATTTTCTCTGTCAACTCAACTTGAAGAAACAACAGGTTACGATTTTAAAATAAATTTCATAATACAAACTGGACTATTTAAGTATTTAAAAAAGAATATTAATAATATCATTTATTCCATGATATCTATTAATGGAATATTATTGATATACATGATATTTGCACTTTTTAGATTCATACACTTAAAATTTGAGATGACGAAGAAAGTGAACAAGAATTATAATTAGGAAATTTAGATGAAATTAGAAGAATTTGTATATGAATAAAGCAGCTGCTTCGACTAACTATTTTCATTAATGATTACTTTATAACAGAATATTATACATTTTCCTAGTATTATATTAGGTTTTAATAATTTAAATAACAATAGTGCTTCTTATGCTCTTTTGTCTATTGCAATCTTAATGAGTAAATTAATTATAATATGCTTTGCTTAATTAATTATTTGCTTTACTAAATTAATTAATTCCGATTCTAATTTAAATAAAGAAAAAGAAACATATTTTTATTTTTACTTTCTAATTATTAATTAATATAATACATTTTTTATTTATTAATTTATATAGACGTTATTACTTGTGACACAGACTATAACTATGAAATTAAACTTAAAGACTACTTAGCAAAACCTTTTAATATCTTAAATTTTTTATTTAAGATCTTAGTAGAAATTTTTATTATAGCAGCTATAGTTTACACACCAGAAGGTTAAAACTCTATACTATCTTGCTATTTTCTTATTAATGGTTTGCTTTCTTATTTTTACTCTTACTATTATGATAACTTTTCTTAACTAATAAACCTATTTACTCATTTAGCATTATTTTGTATGAGTGCAACTCTATAAATCTATATTTCATATGATATTCCTAGCTAATTGTTAAGTTTCCTTTTTATGATTTACATTCCTTTAAGCTATAAAATAGCTTCTATAATAGTTGAAAGTGATTATTAGAATTAATAAAATAGCTTTCAGGAAATATATTAAGAAATATAAAGTAATGATAAAAACTTTGATAGAATTTTAAGATTAAATATTTTTGACAATATTGAGAACTAAAAGCAAAATGAGAAAAAATTCTTAAAATTTTTAAATTTAATTACTAATAATTATATGTCAAAGTAAAATTAATTTATTAATTCCTACAAAGAAACTAATGGACTTGTTTAAAAATTCTAAAAAAATGAGTAAATTTTTGAAAGTAATCATACTCTAGCATCAACTTAACTAAAAAATTAATAAATTAGCTAGTAAACTCGGTTGTTTGAAGACATTTCTGAATTAAAATTGATAGAAAAAAATGTCATGATATTATTGAAAGATCAATTTTTGAAAACTTCAAACAGCAAACTAAGAAGTAAATAAAATGGAACAAAGATTCTTCAAAGCGTATTTATATTTTTGATAGAGATGAGTGAGTCATATAGAATATATTTCCTTACATATTTACAATTGATAAAAAGCAAGAATTTATCTCTAAAGTAGAAATAAATATTTAAATCTATACACAGTATATTTTTAAAGAAAAGAGCTTAAGTAAGAAAGATAATGGGAAAGACAAATCCATTTGATAGTTCTTACTTATAAGTGATTACTTTTGAAAAAAAACTGGAGAATTCCTATTCATTATTTCGCTAAACTGTTAAAATAAAATTATAAATACTAAGCATGATGAAACAAAAACATATAGTAGCTACAGATTTAATTTCTAAAATCGAAAGTATGCAAAATTAAATAGCTTAATTAAAGGAGAATTTAAATTATTTAATTTAATTAAATGATGATAACTTGGATCTTTTAAATTTACAAGCTCTGTTTCTGGAAAATTTGAGCTTTTCAGAAAAAGATATAAACTTATTACAAGTCAATAAATACAAAAAAAAAAGCTATTACTAAAAATATTATTTAAACAGACAAAATGAAGATGACATGTTAAGTTCTATGAATAACAATGATAAATTTGATGAAAAAACTTGTATAATTTTTGCAAGTTACAGAGATACTGAAACCTTAACAATAAATCAAGTTTCATCTAATTTTTATAATTTATTTGGCTTCACAAGCAGAGATAATATCTATAATCGAAATATTGAATCTATTATACCTCTTGCATTTTAGAGTGTACATAAAATGTATATAAAACAATATTTAGAAGATTCAATAACATGCAATATTTCAAATGATACAAAAGAGTAATTAGAATAAAACGAATAAGATCATGAAAATGACGAAAATGAAGTAACTCCAATTAACTAGCGATAAGGTTACTTATTTAATTAACCAAAATTCTTATCAGAGAATTAAACTGGAACAAAAAATAAAAACTATTAATTATAAAACTGTAAAATGAATTAATAGATAATATTTGCATCTCTAAACTAAATGTTTATTTTACCTATTAAAATAGATATTAAAACAAATGAATATAATGAAAATGGAACATTTGGATTGGTAGCTAAAATAAAACAAATAAATGAAGAATATTAATATATTCTATTCAATGAAACAGATCTAAGTGTTATTGGTCTCACTCAATAAATACACGAGATATTCTTTCCAAATTGTAACAATCTCTAAAAAATTAATTTGAGATAAATTTTCCCCTTTTTGATTGGAACTTAAAATAAAACAAAAATTGAAGATTCACATATTTAATTTAACGAAACGACTTGCAGCACTAATAATACAAAATAATAGTTTCATGTGAATTTAACAGATGACGTGCATTATATCTTTAGAGGTTAATTAAAAGATAAATTAACTATTAAAAAGAAATTAGCATTTATAATTATATAGCAGGCAGATGAAATAAACAACACTGTAAACACTCTAAACACTCTTTATAGAAGTACAAAGAGATTAAATAAAGCTAAATCATATAAAGAAATTTCATAATATAGTTTTAATTATGTAGAATTATTTGTTCGAAAAATAAAATATCATGGAGTAAATAATGTAAGTTATGTTGAAATAGTAAAAATAAAATAGCTTAATCCATCTAGTTAAGCTCAAATAATCCTTCAAGAAATAACTAATGTAAAAAAATAATAGATTTATTCTTAATTATTTGAACATCCAAGCTAGCTTTAAAATATAATATCAGATTTAGAATAAAATCAAAATATTAATAGCTACTTATAATTTAATAGCTTTTACACTTAGCTTCAATATAGCTCTAGAAATTTGAATTAAGGTAATTAATTACTATAAATAAAATAAAATGATACTCCTATTGACTTTACATAAGCTGATTTTTAAAAAGTATAATAATTACTTGGTGATGAAAGTACAAATATTGAATAAATTAAAATGGCCTCAAATAGAATAGAATACGATGATTTTAATTGTTTATCAGATGCAACAAGTAGATTTACCTTAAACTAATTCAGAGAATAAAAAACATTATAAAACTTCAATGAAAAACTGCAACTTAATTAGTTGTCTTAGCTGCAAAGTAATATTGCATAAGGACAGGTATTTATTTAGTCATTTTAGGAAAACTAAGTAAGCAGCAGCGATTTATAAATGAAAGTGGATTTTGCTAATAACAATTTGGATCATTAGAACCTTATAGAAGATTAACTAAACATAAGCAGCACTTGTGCCATACCTATTCCTTAAAAATCAAATAAAGTTATTAACATAGAATTAGTTTCTCCAGATAACAGCTAATTCATGAAAAATTGTTCTAATCAATTATCATTAGCTCAATTATCAGATTAAAATTTAGATGCTCTACAAATAAAATCATATGAATTTATTTCAAATAAAATTAAAGAAAATGCTTATTTAGATGTAGAAAATAGTAATGAAGAAATTAATAAAAAATGTAATAATACAATCATTCCTTTACAAATTAGCATAAACCCTAGCAAAATTTTTAAGTCAAATAGCTTCAGAAAAAATAAAATCACCAATACATTAAATGATGCTCTAAATGGCAAAGAGAAAAAAAAATTTATTAGAAACTCTTATTAGCATAATACTGTTAACTAGATATAAAAACAAAAAAAAAAGGAACAAGTTCAAGATATCATTTACGATATTGCTTCTAGCACCTCCCATAATTCATATTATACTCCAGTGAAGAGATAGCTAACACAAATTATGGAAGATTCTTCAACCCTAAAAGTTATAAAACTAATAAAAGTTATTGGAGTTATTTGTTTCGCTGTCATGGTAGGCATCACTTGGTTATAATTTAACTCAATGGATAAGTTTCTATTAGAAGCTAATTAAGACTACAAAGACTTTGGCTGGCCCACAACTTATTCTTGTTCTCTAAGCGATATCCTGAAATATAAAAATATTTAATTTCTTACTAATTATACAAGAGTAGTTTTCACTGACAGTAACTAAAGGGAACTATTTTATAATCTGACACAATAAAATATGGAGAATACATTCTCAGATGTATTAAGATTGTTAGTTTAAATGGAAAATGCTAACTCATAAAGAGAAGTATTTAATAGAGTAATGGAAGATAAAATGACTTTTTACTTTGGGTAATTATACAATCCTGCATAGCTTAACTCAACTACATCTGACAGTACTGATTTAGTATTCTTAAATTATACTAGTACCTTAGAATATGGCGTAATTTTAAATGTTCAAAATATCTTCCGTTATATCAACAACATGGGTAATGGAAGGCCTGAGTATTACTTAATATAAAATTAATTAGAAGCAATTAATTAATTAAAAGATTTATAAGAGTATATAAAAGATAGCTAATCATAAAAATAGGAATATATCCAAAATTAACTCTATATCATAATCATGATTTTAGTTTTAATTAACACATGTTGTGTTGCCATCATAATACCATTATATCTCTATATTTAAAAAGAAAGAGATTCTATAATTTACCTATTTACTACATTTCCAATTTAAAAGTTAGATAATTTGATCAAAAAAATATAAAATTCTTACTTTAGCACAAATACTAACTCAATTTATTAGAATTAAAACAACTAAGTAATTATTGATACACTTTTATAATTATAAGACATCGATAATGAAAAAAATATAAGAAAGCATAGTATTAGCTCTATCACAAGTCTCCCTAGATATAATAAAAAATTATTTTTTGTTTGCTTCCTTATTTATTCATTGATAATATGCTATCCGATAATTGTTAAAATCTTAAGTGCTGATTATTTAACAAAATCTGCTTTAGATCTTTAAACAATATGTAATTATAAACTTTTTTTAATTTTATATTTTCAATTAAAATGAATATGAAAAAAAAATTTTTACTTTTTTTATTTTTTATAAAAAAAATAATATTATTTATTTATTTATTATAATTTTAAAAGCGAAAGTCTACTAGCTAAGATCATATCTATTGTAGAATATTGCGATGCATTTTAATGTTTTATTGATGAAGGCTAGACCAAGATTCAAGCCTATGAAGCCTAATATTTATTATGATTATTTATATGCCTTACTTTAATAATAGGATGAAATAAGTTAGGATATATAATGGATAATAAATTCATAGTATTCAGATTAAAGGTATTTTATTTTATTCAAATCTACACATAAATTTCATTAAAATAAATGATCAATTTAACAAAAAACATAAATATTTATTTTTATTATTTTAATTTTTTAGCTTTATTTAAATATATATATAGATTTAATTAAGACTTGTACGATAATTTCTTTTTTTCTGCCTTTAAAACAAATTTGTGCGAAGATTTTAAGAATTATCCTTAGTTCAATACTAATCCTAAAAAATTAAATGTTGAATAATGCGATTCAACACAATAAAAGTTCTTATAATAAGGTTTCTCAGTAGCTTATAAAAGTCTTTTTAGCATGTTTACTGAACTGTACAATATATATATAATACCAGATGACAGAGTATCAAGATAATAAGTAAGATAAATATTAAGAAATCTTGATATTTAGGAATACACTGCTTTTACTGAATTTTTAGATGAAACAATTATCAGTTTAAATTAATTCATTTTAACTTAAAATAATATTTTTTATAGTTAAATAGAATTATAATTGATTGCTTTGATAGTTTTTTAAATGGTATTAATGCTTTTAGTATTCTTTTTTGGTTGGATTACTTTCAGTAATTATTTGAATTACTAGCTACACAAAACAAAAAAGTATCTATAAATTCTAGACATTAATACTTTAATTGAAAATCAATACATTTAAAATTATATTAAAAAAAATTTAGTTGTTTAATGATAAATTAATTTTTTATTACTCTATTAGTTATGTAATTTATTTATGTTTATTAAAGTAAGCTTTACATATTTAATTTTTAAAAATTAATATTAATATAAATTAAAATCCCTTAATTGTACAAACATATGCTAATTATAATATAGCTCTTTAAATGTATATTTATATTGATAATCTATTTATTTTCTAATAATGTGATTGATTTTTAACTTTTGTTTTGCGAGTTTATTTTTTAAATATAGTCCTATTTCATTAAGTTCGATAATTCAAAAAAATATTTTCTTAATGATGGGAAAATACTTCTTTCCTTGAAAAGAAATTAATTTTTCTATTAGCTATAAGTTAGTAATTAATAAAGTTAATTTTAAATGGAAGTAACTGAATACAATTTATTTTACAATTGAGAAATAAGAAGATAGATTCTATTTATTAATAAATAAATAAAGTATTATTTCACTTTAACAAATATTAATTAATTAGTATAATATTTTTTTGAATCCTTGCGATTGCTTTGGGTATGCTGCTCTTTATGTTAATAATAGAAAAATTTTTTAGCTATTTCATCACAACTCCCCAAATAAAAATGCTTAATTAATAAGAATTGGTTAAAATAAAATTTACTGTAATTTAGATTAACAAAAAAAAAAAACTTTCACTAAAAACAAAATCAAAAAAGGCGGAACAGGTAATAGTTGTCAAGTAGTGTAACAGGGTCTTCTTTGTATTGATGTATTATTATTGTTGTGGTATGTGATCAAAATATAAATTTGATTCTTCAAATATTTGTGATAAATTGTAAAACAAATCTACTAATTTTTTTTATCTTAAATATAAATGTTAAAATAAAATTATTTGGATTGAAATTAAATATATATTTACTATTAATTAAATAATTTTTATTTTTATAAAATGAATTGAGTGAGTTATAATCAAAAAAATACAAATCTAATTTATTTATATTACTTAAATCATTCTATTTATTTTTAGTAATTTACTAAATTATACGACATAAAAATATATTCTAATAGAACTAACTACTCAAAAAATGTAAACTGAATCTAATTTAAAAATTAAATAGAAATTTGATAATTAATTACTGCTATAAATTTGATAAACAAGATTTTTTAATGCAATCAAAAGAACCATAATTAAAACCATCAAATCAATAATTTACATTCCAAGCAAGCATCCATCCATTGTCAAGGACTATTACTAAGATTAAAAGTATGTAATTGTATTTAAAATTAAAAAGGATCCTATCGTTATAACTAAAGGTACAATCAGCGAATGAAGTAATCATTTACTAAAATGAAAAATTATTTGACAGCAAAAATGTTTATATTTTTCTTCCCTCAATTTCTTACAATTATTTATAATGAATATATCATCCATCAACTTTATAAAGCTTAATAATTGTAATGATTGATTTTTAAAAATATCATAAGTCATTCATTTATTTCTTTTATAGATTTTTTTGTTAATAAAATGAAAAAAAAAAAAATAATTAATTTTTGCTTAAAATGGATTTTCTTCTTTTCAAAATAAAAAGAAAGAATCAGTTCATAGTTTTTAAAATTTAAATTAAAAATACCTTTATTTATTTATAATTATTTTCTATAGAACCAATTATTAGTTATTTGTTTTGATTAAATAAAATTTTGTGATCCAACCAAATAAGATATCCTATTAATCTTGTTCCTAAATATAGTAACAGATTGTTAAAATTTTATTAAAAAAATAAAATGTTTGTTTACAACTTAATAAATATATTAATGTTTTAAGTTAAGTTCTAAAAATATCTAGTTTATGAAAATAATTAAATTAATAATAAAATAGAAAGTTTGAAAATATTAAATGTTATATTTAAATTTTGATTGGTTACATTTAATAGGTTCAGTTTTAAAGTCAACTTTTTAATGCTAATCATTATTATTTATAATGTAAAACGAATAAAATAAACCATTTATTATTGAATAAAATTAAATTTACAAAAATATAATTATTTTCATTTCTTTTTTGTGATTTTTTAAAGAAAATTTTAATGATGATGATTAATTTAAAATTTAAGATTACATTAATTAATATCGAAGCTAATTTATTTTCAATTTAATATTTTATATTACTGAATGAATAATTTAATATTTAATAAACAAATGATCCTTTTAATTCAAGTAAATGATATTTTTTTAGTGTAATAAATGATATTTACTAGCCTAAAATGTTTAAATACTTAAAAACTCAAGCAATTATATAAGATTTAGGCAATATTGTTCATAAAATAAATTTAAATAATGATTAAAAATGATCTATTTTTTTATTTAAACAAAATGAGCAAAAATAGTATAATTTAATTGATTTTTGAGCTTTTAATAACTTTTTTTTTGATAATATTTAATGGTTAAAAATCAAAATTTTAATTATAAAGATTGATTTAATTTGAAGATGTTTAATATCTTAAATGATGTTTATCCGCAAACCTAATTTATCAGATAATAGATTACCAAAATAAAAAAATTTTAAGAAAATATATTTATAAATATCAAGTAATGATATGAGTAAATTATAATTTATTTTTTTCATATTAAAATCATAAATCAATGAATAAATAAAGTAACAAGTAATTTTAATTTGCAGGGTTGCTAAAACTCTATTATACTGAGGAGATATATAGATTGGTTCACTTGTTTCCTAGAAATAAACCAGCTTTTTAAATATTAATAGTTTTAAAGTACTTACTATTATTTTAATTATCACTGTCAACTCAATTTTAAGAAACAATAGATTATGATTTTAAAATAAATTTCATAATACAGATTGGAGTATTTAAATATTTAAAAAATAATATTAATAATATCATTTACTCTTTGATATTTATTAATGGAATGCTATTGATATATATAATATTTGCACTTTTTAGATTCATGTATTTGAAATTTAGGATGATGATGAAAGTTAACAAGAATTATAATTAGGAAATTGAGATGTAATTAGAAGAGTTTATGTATGAATAAAGCAGCTGCTTAGACTAATTATTTTCATTCATGATTACTATTTAACAGAATATTTTTCACTTTCCTAGTGTTATTTTAGGTTTTAATAATTTAAATAACAATAGTGTCTCTTATGCTCTTTTGTCTACTTCAATCTTACTGAGTAAATTAATAATTATTCAATTAATTTTCTGTATGAATTATATGCTTTACTTAATTAATTTCAATTATAATTTAAGCAAAGAAAAAGAAACAAATTTTTAATTTTACTTTCGAATTATTAATTAATTTAACAAAATTTTTAAATATTTATTTATATAGATGTAATCACTTGTGACACAGACTATAACTATGAAATTAAATTTAAAGATTACTTAGCAAAACCTTTTAATATCTTAAATTTTTTATTCAAGATCTTGGTAGAAGTTTTTATTTTAGCAGCAATAGTTTACTCACCAGAAGACTAAAATTCTATACTATCTTGCTATTTTCTTATAAATGGTTTGCTTTCTTATTTTTTCTCTTACTATTATGATAATTTTTCACAATTAATAAACCTATTTACTCATTTAGCATTATTTTGTATGAGTGCAACTCTATAAATCTATATTTCATATAACATTCCTAGTTAATTGTTAAGTTACCTTTTTATGATTTATTTACCTTTAAGCTATAAAATAGCTTCTATAATAGTTGAAAGAGATTATTAGAATTAATAAAATAGCTTTCAGGAAATATATTAAGAAATATAAAATAATGATAAAAAATTTGATAGAATTTTAAGATTAAATATTTTTGACAATATTGAGAACTCAAAGTAAAATGAGAAAAAATACTTAAAATTTTTTAATTTAATTACAAATAATACTATATCAAACTAAAATAAGTTTATTAATTCATACAAAGAAACTAATGGACTTGATTAAAAATTCTAAAAGAATGAGTAAATTTTTGAAAATAATTATACTCAAGCATCAACTCAGCTAAAAAATCAATAAAATAGCTAGTAACCTCAGTTATTTGAAGATATTTCTGAATTAAAATTGGTAGAAAAAAATATAATGAAATTATTGAAAGATCAATTTTTGAAAACTTCAAACAACAAATTAAGAAGCAAATAAAATGGAATTTAGATTCTTCAAAGTGTATTTATATTTTTGATAGAAGTAAGCGAGTCATATAGAATATATTTCCTTACATATTTATAATTGATAAAAAACAAGAATTTATCTCTAAAGTAGAAATAAATATTTAAATCTATACATAGTATATTTTTAAAAAAAAGAGCTTTATTAAGAAAGAGAATGGGAAAGACAAATCCATTTGATAGTTCTTACTTACAAGTCATAAATTTCGAAAACAAGATGGAGAAATCCTATTCCTTATTTCGTTAGACTATTAATTTAAAATTACAAATACTTAGCATGATGAAGCAAAAAAATATTGCAGCTATAGAGTTAATTTCAAAAATTGAAAGTTTGTAAAGTTAAATAACTTTATTGAAGGATAATTTAAATTATTTAATTTAATTAAATGATGATAGCTTTGATCTTTTAAATTTACAAGCACTATTTCTGGAAAATTTGAGTTTTTCAGAAAAAGATATAAATTTACTTTAAATCAACAAATACAGAAAAAAAGGCACTTTCTAAAAATATTTAAACAGATAAAATGAAGATGACATATTAAGTAGTATGATTAATAGCGATAAATTTGATGAAAAAACTTGTATAATATTTGCAAGTTATAATGATACTGAAAATTTAACAATAAATTAAGTTTCTTCAAATTTTTATAATTTATTTTGCTTTACAAGTAGAGACCATATCTATGATAAAAATATTGAGTCTATTATACCTCTTGCATTTCAGAGTGTACATAAAATGTATATCAAATAATATTTAGAAGATTCAATAACCTGTGATATTTATTCAAATGATACAAATAAGCAATTAGAATAAAATGAATAAAATAATGAAATTGATGAGAATGAAGTAACTCCATTTAATTAGGGATAAATTTACTAATTTAATTAAACAAAATACTTATCAGAGAAGTAAATTAAAAATAAAAGTTTAAACTTTGAATTATAAAATTGTAAAATGAATTAGAAGATAATATTTGCATCTCTAAACTAAATGTTCATTTTACCTATTAAAATTGATATTAGAACAAACGAATACAAAGAAAATGGAAAGTTTGGATTGGTAGCTAAAATAAAACAAATAAATGAAGAATACTAATATATTTTATTCAATGAAACAGACCTAAATGTTATTGGTCTTACTCAATAAATGCATGAAATATTCTTTCCTAATTGTAACAATCTCTAAAAAATTAATTTGAGATAAATTTTCCCCTTTTTGATTGGAACTTAAAATAAAACAAAAATTGAAGATTCACTTATTTAAAATAACGAAACGATTTGCAACACTACTAAGAAAAAAAAATAGTTTCATGTGAATTTAACAGATGATACGCAGTATATCCTTAGAGGATAATTAAAAGTTAAAAACAAATTCTCATTTATAATTATATAGTAGGCAGATGAAACAAAAAATACTTTTAACACTCCTTATAGAAGTACAAAAAGATTAAATAAAGCTAAATCATATAAAGAAATTTCATCATATAGTTTTAATTATGTAGAATTATTTGTTCGAAAAATAAAATATCATGGAGTAAATAATGTAAGTTATGTTGAAGTAGTAAAAATGAGATAGCTAAATCCAGCTAGTTAAGCTCAAATAATCCTTCAAGAAATAACAAATGTAAAAAAATAATAGATTTATTCTTAACTATTTGAGTATCCAAGTTAGCTTTAAAAAATAATCTCTGAATTAGAATTAAATCAAAATATTAATAGCTACTTATAATTTAATAGCTTTTACACTTAGCTTCAATATAGCTCTAGAAATTTTAATTAAGGAAATTAATTAATTAAAATAAAAGAAAATGATACTCCTATTGATTTTACATAAGTTGATTTTAATAAATAATAATAGCTACTTAAAACTTTAGGCGATGAAAGTACAAATCTTGAGTAATTTAAAATATCGTCAAATAGAATAAGATACGATGATTTTAATTATTAATCAGAAGAAATGAGTAGGCTTACCTTAAATTAATTCAGAGAATAAAAAATATTATAAAAGTTGAATGAAAAACTGCAACTTAATTAGCTCTATTAGATGCAAAGTAATATTGCTTAAGAACAAACATTTATTTAGTTGTTTTAGGAAAACTAAATAAGCAACAGCGATTTATAAATTAAAGTAGATTTTGCTAATAAAAATTTGAATCATTAAAACCCAAGAGAAGATTACTTAAACAAAAGCAGCACTTATGACTTACCTAGTCCTTAAATAGCAAGTATGAATATTAATTCTAATCAACAATCATTAGCTCAGCTATCAGATTATAATTTAGATGCTTAATAAATAAAATCACTTGAATTTATTTCAAATAAAGAAAATATTTATTTAGATGTAGAAACTAGTAATGATGAAATTAATAAAAAATATAATAATGCAATCATGCCTTTAAAAATGACTAAAAATCCTAACAAAATCTTTAAGTCAAATAGCTTCAGAAAAAATAAAATTAACAATACATTAAATGATGCTCTAAGTGACAAAGAGAAAAAAAAATTGATGAAAAACTCTTATTAGCATAATAATGTTAATTAGATATAAAAACACAAAAAAAAGTAGCAAGTTCAAGATATCATTTATGATATTGCTTCTAACACCTCTCAAAATTCAAATTATACTCCAGTCAAGAGATAACTAACACAAATTATGGCAGATTAATCAACCTTAAAAGTAATAAATCTAATAAAAATTATTGGAGTTATTTGCTTCAATGTAATGATATGCATCACTTGGTCACAATTTAACTCGATGTATGAATATCTGTCAGAAACAAATTAAGACTACGAAGATTTTGGCTGGCCTACAACTTATTCTTCTTCTCTAAGTGATATCCTTAAATATAAAAATATTTAATTTCTTACTAATTATACAAGAATGAATTTCACAGATATTCACTAAAAGTAATTTTTTTATGATTAAATACAATAAAATATGGAGAATACTTTCTCAGATGTATTAAAATTGCTAGTTTAAATGGAAATAGCTAACTCATAAAGAGAAGTATTTAATAGAGTAATAGAAAATAAAATGACTTTTTACTTTGGATAATTGTACAACACAGCATTGCTTAACTCAACTACATCTAATAGTGCTGATTTAGTATAATACAATTATAGTAGTACCTTACAATATAGCATAATTTTAAATGTTTAAAATATCTTCCGTTATATCAGAAACCTGGGTAACGGAAAGCCTGAGTATTACTTAATATAAAATCAATTAGAAGCAATTTCTTAATTAAATAATTTATAAGTGTATATATAAGAAAATAAATCAGAAAAATAGGAATACATTCAAGATTAACTCTAAATTATAATCATAATTTTAGTTATAATTAACACATGTTGTGTTATGATCATAATACCATTATATTTTTACATTTAAAAAGAAAGAGATTCTATAATTTATCTATTTACTACATTTCCAATTTAAAAGTTAGATAATTTAATCAAAAAAATATAAAATTCCTACTTTAGTACAAACACTAGCTCAGTTTATTAGAATTAAAACAACTAAATAATTATTGATACACTTTTATAATTATAAGGTATCGATAATGAAAAAAATATAAGAAAGCATAGTATTAGCTCTATAACAAGTCTCCCTAGATACAATAAAAAATTATTTTTTGCTTGTTTCATTATTTATTCATTAATTATATGCTATCCTATAATTGTTAAAATCTTAAGTGCTGATTATTTAACAAAATCTGCTCTAGATCTTTAAACAATATGTAATTTATTATAAGCTTTCTTTAATTTTATACATTAAATTAAAACAAATAATTTAAATATTAAATATTTTAATAAAATAATTAATCTATTATCTTTTATTATCAAGAAAATAATGTTATTTATTATAATTTTTAAAAGCTAAAGTCTACTAGCTAAGATCATACCTATTATAGAATATTGCGATGCATTTTAATGTTTTATTAATGAAGGCAAAACCAAGATTCAAGCCTATGAAGCCCGAAATTTATTATGATTATTTATAAACACTAATTTAATAGTAAGAAGATATAAGTAAGGATATCTAATGGATAATAAATTCATAGTATTCAGATTAAAGGTATTTTATTTTATTAAAATCTAGATATTAATTTCATTAAAATTATTAATTTAACAAAAAGCATAAACATTTTTATTATTTTAATTTTTTAGCTTTATTTAAATATATAAATAGATTTAATTAAGAATTGTACGATAACTTCTTTTTTTCTGCTATCAAAACTAATTTGTGCTAAGATTTTAAGAATTATCCTTAATTCAATACTAATCCTAAAAAAATAAATGTTGATTTATGCGCTTCACCAGTTTAAAAGTTCTTATAAAAAGGTTTCTCAGTAGCTTATAAAAGTCTTTTTAGTACGTTTACTGAACTATACAATATATATATAATACCAGATGATAAAATATCAAGATAGAAAGTAAGATTAATATTAAAAAATCTTGATATTTAGGAATTCACTGCTTTTACTGAGTTTTTAGATGAAACAACTATCAGTTTAAATTAATTCGTTTTAACTTAAAATAATACTTTTTATAATTAGTTAGAATTATAATTGATTGGTTTGATAGTTTTTTAAATGGTATTAATGCTTTTAGTCTTCATTTTTGGTTGGATTACTTTCAGTAATTATTTGAATTACTAGCTACACAAAACAAAAAAGTATCTATAAATTCTAGACATTAATACTTTAATTGAAAATCAATACATTTAAAATTATATTTAAAAAAATTTAGTTGTTTAATGATAAAATTATTATTTAAAACTCTTTAAATTGTGTAATTTATATTTATTAAAGATTTCTATATTTAATTTTAATATAAATTAAAATCTCTTTATTATACTAATATTTGTAAATTAAATAGATGTTTTTTTAGATGTATATTTATTGATATTAATAATCTATTTATTTTCTATGTTATTGATTTTTAACTTTTATATTTTGCATTTTTCATTAAGTTCAATACTTTTATATAGATATATTATTTATGATGGGAAAATATTTGCTTCCTTGCATTTATTTATTTTATATTTATTTACAACAAGAGATTATTACTACCCTACCTGCAAGTAAAAATTTTGTTTTTAAAACTCGTTTTTTTTAAATTTGTATGGCAACTTACTCTATATTAATTTTATAAATAAAAAAATAAATTATTTTACAATTTAAATTATTTAAAAAAGCATTAAATTTTGATTTAAAAACTTAAAAGAAAAAAATTTTTTATTAATTCATAATTTTATTAATTAGCAATATATTATTTAAATTATGTTATTTTCACTAATAATTTCCTATTACGTACAATAGATTCTTATAGAACAAAAAAATAATACTGTTCAAAAAAAATAAACAGCGTCTAATTTTCAAATTTCTTAGAAATCAGATAATTAATTACTGCTTTTGTTACTGTCAAATTAAAGATATTTAAATTATTACTTTAATTAAAACCATCAAATAATTTATTTACATTCTAAATAAAAATCAAGGACTATTACTAAGATTTAAAAATAAAGTAATCACATTTGAAAATAGAAAATTCGTTAAATATCAAAAGTTATTTAATAGTAAGAACATTTATATTTTTTTTCTTATAGCTTCTATTAATCATTTTAGTGTTGTCTCAACTTTAAATCTTTAAGAAAATTAATTAATATGCTGATTTTTTAAAAAATCTCAAAAAAAACTTATTTATTTTGTTGATTTAATTCTGCTTTTAAAAAGGAAAAAAAAAAAAAAAATTTGTATCTGTATTTGTATCTGAAATGGATTTTCCTCTTTAAAATAATAAAGAATCTGATAGCATTTTTAAAAATTAAGTTATATTAATGATTTATTTTTCAATAAAATTAAGTCTCAATTATTCAATTATATTCAACATACTTTTGTTGTTCAAATAAGATATCTTATATATCTTGTTACTAAAATTAGTAACAACCAAATTGATAAATATTATTTAAAAATGAATTTCTGGTTTTAAATTATAAAAATATCAATTTTATGAAAACATTTGATTATTCATAAATTAGAAAGCTTAAAAAGTTAAATGTTATATTGAAAATGTAATATATTATATGTAATAGGTCCAGTTTTTAAAAGTAAACTTTTTCTTGTTAGATATAATTTAAAATATTTTAAAACATAAAAAATTTTTATTTAATATTATTTATTTATTTTTTTTTGAATGAAAAAATATAATCTAAAATTTTATAAATCGTTTTCATTTACTTTATACTTCTGCAAGGAATTTAAACATTTATTTTTATGATGATTATTATTTCAAATTTAAGATTAAAATTTATTGATTGATTGGTTGACGCTAGTTTACATTCTATTTACTATGATATTTAATGAATTAATAATTTATCATATAATTTATTTTGATAAATTATGTATTTTCAAGTAAATGATCATTTTTTAGTGTAACAAAAGATATTTACCTAATTAAAATAAATATTTATGTACTTATTTTGATAATAAATTTAAATTAATATAATTTTAAATAAGTTGAATTATCTCAAAATATTTTTTTTTTCTATTTTAAAAACCAATAAATTTCTTCAATTTAAATCAATCTTTACTAAAATTTAAATAAAATTGATAGTTTGAATTCATATAATTTTTTAATGGTTAATTAATTAAGTGAAATCTTGAAAATTAGAACTTCTTATTGAATTAGTATTTTTAATTAAATTTCACACATCAATTTAATTTTTCAGGCTTTTAACCGCTAACCAAAATACCTTACTTGCTCTAATTAAGGTGCATAATGAAATCAGTTTTTACCAAAAAATAATGCATCTTAATAAAAAATAAATTAAGATGTATTATGAGTGCATATTTCTATTCTATTAAAGCAGTTACGGTATTTATATCTCAAACCAAATATTTATAAATATCTAGTGAAGAATGACATAAATTATAATTTATTTAAATTAAATAAAAACATAAATAATGAATAAAAAAAGAAACAAATAATTTAAAGTTGCAGAGTTGTTAAAACTCTATTATACTGAGGAGATATATAGATTGGTTCACTTGTTTCCTAGAAATAATCCTGCTTTTTAAATATTAATAATTTTAAAATACTTTCTATTATTTTAATTTTCTCTGTCAACTCAATTTTAAGATACAATGGATTATGATTCTAAAATAAATTTCAAGGTTCACATTGGAGTATTTAAATATTTAAACAATGATAAATTCACAAATAATCTTATTTACTTCTTGCTATTTATAAATGGAATACTATTGACATATATGATATTAGGGCTTTTTAGATTCATCTACTTGAAATTAAAGATGATAAACAAGTTGAACAATAATTTTCATTATGAAATTTAGATGTAATTAGAAGAGTCTCTAAATGAAAAAAGCAGCTGCTTAGACTAATTTTTTTCATTGATGATTACTTTTTAACAGTATATAATTCACTTTCCTAGTATTATTTTAGGCTTTAATAATTTAAATAACAATAGTGTCTCTTATGCTCTTTTGTCTATTGCAATTTTACTGAGTAATTTAATAATCAATAAATTATTCTTAATTAATTATGTGCTTATTTTATTCAAATTCCAATTTTAGCATAGAAAAATAATAAAATTTTTATATTTTACTTTCAAATTATTAATTAATTTAACATATTTTTTTAATTTACTAAGATATGGTCACCTCTGATACAGATTATAATTATGAAATTAAACTTAAGGATTATTTAGCAAAACCTTTCACTCTCTTAAATTTTTTATTTAAGTTTTTAGTAGAAATTTGTATTATAGCAGCAATAGTCTATACACCAAAAGGCTAAAATTCTATACTATCTTGCTATTTTCTTATAAGTGGTTTATCTTCTTATTTTTTCTCTTACTTTTATGATAAGTTTTCGTAACTAATAAATCTGTTTACTCACTTCGCTTTATTTTGCATGAGCCTCACTCTATAAATCTATGTCTAATATAATTTTCATAGTTAATTGTTAACTTACCTTTTTATGGTTTACATACCTTTAAGTTATAAAATAGCTTCTTTAATAGTTGAAAGAGATTATTAGAATTACCAAAACAGCTTTCAATAACTGTATGAATAAATATAAAATGATGAGAAAATTTTAGAGAGAATTCTAAGATTAAATATTTTTGACAATATTGATAACTCAAAACAAAATGAAAAAAAATATTTAAAATTTTTGAATTTAATTACTAATAATTATATATCAAAGCAAAATAAGTTTATTAATTCTATGACAGATACAAACAATCTGAACTAAAAATTCTAAAATAATTCTTAAATTTATGAAAGTGATCATTCTGAAGGATAAAATTAGCAAAAGCACCAAATAAATAGCTAATAAACTAATTTATTTGAAGATGTTAATAAATTAAAATAGATTGAAAAAAATATAATGAAATTATTGAAAGATTAATTTTTGAAAATTTAAAATCGAAAATTAAGAAGCAAAGATAATGGAACAAAAATTCTTCAAAGTGTATTTATATTTTTAATAGAAATAAGTGAGTCATATAGAATATATTTCCTTGAATATTTATAATTGATAAAAAGTAACAATTTATCTTTAAAGTAGCAATAAATATTTAAATCTATACATAGTATATTTTTAAAGAAGAGAGCTGTAATACGAAAGAAAATGAGAAAAACAAATCCATTTGATAGTTCTTACTTACAAGTCATAATTTTTGAAAACAAACTGGAAAAATCCTATTCATTATTGTGCTAAACTATTAATTTAAAATTATAAATACTAAGCATGATGAAACAAAAGCATATAGTAGCTACATAGTTAATTTCAAAAATCGAAAGTATGCAAAGTTAAATAAATTTATTGAAAGAAAATTTAAATTATTTAATTTAATTAAATGATGATAGCTTGGAACTTTTGAATCTGCAAGCTCTATTTTTGGAAAACTTGAGCTTTTCTGAAAAAGATATAAATTTACTTCAAATCAACAAATACAGAAAAAAAGGCTATATCTAAAAATATTTAAACAGGCAAAATGAGGATGACATATTAAGCAGTATGGTTAACAGCGATAAATTTGATGAAAAAACTTGTATAATTTTTGCAAGCTACAATGATGCAAAAACCTTAACTATAAATCAAGTTTCTTCTAATTTTTCTAATTTATTTTGCTTTACAAGCAGAGACCATATCTATGATAAAAATATTGAATCTATTATACCTCTTGCATTTCAGAGTGTACATAAAATGTATATAAAGTAATATTTAGAAGATTCAATAACATGTGATATTTCTTCAATTAATACAGATCAGCAATTATAATAAAATGAACAAGATAATGAAAATGATTCGAATGAGGTAACACCAGATAACTAAGCTCAAAATTACTAATTTATACAATCAAAATATTTATCAGAGAAATAAACAGGAATAAAAAATTAAAACTATGAATTATAAAATTGTAAAATGAATTAGTAGATAATATTTGCATCTTTAAACTAAATGTTCATCTTACCTATTAAAATAGACATTAGGACAAATGAATACAAAGAGAATGGAACGTTTGGATTAGTAGCTAAAATAAAAAAAATAAACGAAGAATACTAATATGCTCTATTTAATTAGACAGATCTAAGTGTTATAGGCCTCACTAAATAAATGCATGAAATATTCTTTCCTAATTGTAACAATCTCTAAAAAATTAATTTGAGATAAATTTTCCCATTTTTGATTGGTACTTAAAATAAAACAAAAATTGAAGATTCACAAGTTTAAAATAACGAAACGATTTGCAACGCTACTAATATAAAAAATTAGTTTCATGCAAATCTATAACATGATATTATACTTAGAGGATAATTAAAAAATAAATTAAAAATTAAAAACAAATTATCGTTTATAGTTATATAGCACTCAGATGAAATAAACAACACATTAAACTCTTCATGTAACAATATAAAAAGATTAAATAAAGCTAAATTATAGAAAGAAATTCCATCATATAGTTTTAATTATGTAGAATTATTTGTTCGAAAATTAAAATACAAAGGAGTAAACAATGTGAGCTATGTTGAAATAATAAAAATAAGATAACTTAATCCTGCTAAATAAGCTAATATAATCCTTAAAGAAATCACAAAAAAGAAAAAATAAAATATTTATTCTTAACTATTTGAGAATCCAAATGAGCTTTAAAATATCATTTCAGATTTAGAATTAAATCAAAATACTAATAGCTACTTATAATTTAATAGTTTTTATACTTAACTTCAAAACAGTTGCATAAATTCTAATTAAAGTAATAAATTACAACTAATAAAAGAAAATGATACTGCTATAGATTTTGCATAAGCTGATTTTTATAAATAATAATAACTACTAAATAAGTAGTAAACTTTAGGTGATGAAAGCACAAACCTTGAATAAATTAAAATGGTTTCAAATAGAATTGAATACGAAGATTTGAGTTATTAATCTGATGGAGGTAGTAGTTTGGCTTTAAACAAATTCAAAGAATAGAAAGGATTATAAAAGTTGAATAAAAAACTGCAACTTAACTAGTTGGATTAGCTGCAAAATAATATTGCATAAGAAAAAACACTTATTTAGTCAATTTAAGGAAACTTAGTCAGTAAAAGTGATTTGTAAATTAAAGTAGATTTTTTAAATAAAAACATGAATTTTTAGAATCTTTAAGAAGATTAATTTAAAACAAGTAGCTATTATGCCTTACCTAGTCCTGAAAAATTAAATAAAACAATAGACCTGGAGCTAAATTCTCTAAATAACAGCTATTACTTGAATATTAATTCTAATCAACAATCATTAGATCTGCTTTCAGATTAGAATTTTAACATTCAACAAATGAAATAATATGAAATTATTTAAAATAAAACATAAGAAAATATTTATTTAGATGTAGAAACTAGCAATCGTGAAATTAATAAAAAATAAAATACTGCAATCAGTCCTTTAAAAATTAGTAAAAATCCTAGTATTTTTAAGTCGAACAGTTTTAGAAAAAAAAAAGTCAACAATACTTTGATTAATGCTTTGAGTAACAGAGAGAAAAAACAATTATTGAAAAACCCTTATCAAAATAATCATCATAATAAGCTATATAAAAATAAAAATATTAAAAAGTAGCAAGTTCAAGATATCCTTTATGATATTGCTTCAAACAACTCTCAAAATTCATATTATACTCCAGTGAAGAGATAATTAGAGCATATTATGGAAGACTAATCAACTCAAAAAGTAATAAAACTAATAAAAATGATAGGTATTATTTGCTTCAGTATTATGATATGCATCACTCTAATACAATTTAACTCGATGCAATAGTATCTGTCATAAGCTAATTAAGAATATGAAGATTTCAGCTGGCCAACAACTTATTCTTCATATTTAAGTGACATCCTTAAATATAAAAATATTTAATTTCTTATAAGTTATGCAAACATAAATTTCCGAGACAGTAACTAAAAGCAACTTTTTTATAATAAAATGCAATAAAATATGGAGGATACTTTTTTAGATGTATTAAGATTGTTAGCTTAAATGGAATTGGCTTACTCAAAAAGAGAAATGTTTACTAGAATATTAGAAAATAAAATTGTTTATTATTTTGGGTAATTGTATAATCCATAATTGCTTAACTCAATTACATCTGATACGCAGTTAATAAGCATAAATTATCCTACTAACTTACAATATAGCATGCTTTTAAATGTTTAAAACATTTTCCGATATATTCATAACTTAAGTAATGGAAGGCCTGAATATTACTTAATATAAAATCAGTTAGAATCAATTTCTTAATTAAAAAAATTATAACAAGATATATAAGAAAGCCATTCATAATAATAAGAATACATTCAATAGGAGCTATTAATTATAATCATAATTTTAGTTTTAATTAATACAGGTTGTATTGCGATCATAATACCATTATATTATCATATTCAAAAAGAAAGAGATTCTATAATTTACCTATTTACTACATTTCCAATTTACAAGTTAGATAATTTGATCAAAAAAATTTAAAATTCCTACTTAAACACAAATACTTGCTCAATTTATTAGAATTAAGACAACTAAATCATTTTAGATACAATTGTTTAATTATAAAGTATCGAAAATAAAAATAATATCAGGAAATAAAGTATTAGCTCTATAACAAAGTTGCCTAGATACAATAAAAAATTACTTTTTGCTTGTTTCTTTATTTATGCATTAATTATATGCTATCCGATAATTGTTAAAATCTTAACTACTGATTATTTAACAAAATCTGCCCTAGATCTTTAAACAATAAGTAATTAATTATAAGCTTCTTTTAACTTTATACATACAATTCAAACAAATAATTTAAGTTTTAAATATTTAAACAAAAAAAATCTAATATCTTTTTTTTTAAATAATAATTTGATTTATTATAATATTAAAGCAAAAGTCTACTATTTAAGATCATACCTATTATAGAATATTGCGATGAATTTTAATATTATCGTTATGAAGGTAAAACCAGGTTTCAAACCTATGTAGCCTGAAATTTATTATGATTATTTATAAACACTAATTTCATAATAGGAAGATATAAGTAAGGATATCTAATGGATAATAAACTCATAGTATTCAGATTAAAGGTATTTTAATTATTCAAATCTAGAGATTTATTTAATAAGAATCTTTCAATTTTGAAAAGATAAATAAATAAATATCTTAGTTATTTTAATTAATTTTGTAACTTTATTTAAATATATTAATAGATTTAACTAAAACTTATACGATAACTTCTTTTTTTCTGCTTTTAAAACAAATTTGTGCAAAAATTTTAAGAATTATCCTTAGTTCAACACAAATCCTAAAAAATTAAATATTGATTTCTGTGCTTCATCACAATAAAATTTCTTATAAGAAGGCTTCTAAGTGGCTTACGAAAGTCTTTTTAACCTATTTTCTGATTTATACAACTCATATAAAATAACAGACAATATAAAATTAATTGAATAAATAAGAAAAATATTAGAAAATATTGATATTTAGGAATTTACTGCTTTTTCTGAGTTTTTAGATGAAACAGTTATTAGTTTAAATCAATTTGTTTTAACTTAAAACAATATTTTTTATAATCAGATAAAATTATTATTGATTATTTTGATAGCTTTTTAAATATTGTTGATGCTTTTAATTTTCTTTTTGGGTTAGATTACTTTCAGTAATTATTTGAATCAATAGCTACACAAAACAAAAAGGTATCTAAAAATTATTGATGCTAATACTTTGATTGAAAATCAATATATATAAAATTATATTAAAAAAAATATTGTTGTATGATTGATGATAAAATTATGTTGTTAATAATTGTGAAAAGCAATTTTTATAAAGTTGAAATTTTAATTTCTTAATGTGACATATCTATGTTAACTATAATATTTTGTTTCTAAAATGTATATTTTATAAATAATTAATTTACTTAATTTCTATGAGATTGATTTTTTAACTTTTATATTTTAGATATTTTTAAATATAGTCCAATTTCTCTAAGTTTTATACTTATGTATATCACACATTCTATATATGATGATATAAATTTTTAGTAAGCTTTTGGAAAAAATTTCATAAAAGTATTTAACATCAAAAATGAGAATAAATATTAAATTATTGTTAAGATATAAAAAAAATAAATGAGATAGTAGTAGCTCTTTTTATTTGGCTATATTTAAATAAAACAATCATCTATATCTCTTCAGTAGAGAGCATATCATAAAATTATTTACTGGTTTATTAAAATAAAGAAAATTTGTGATAATCTTCTGTAAAACAAATCTACTAATTTTATTTATCTTAAATTTAAATAATAAAATAATGCATAGATATATAAAATTTTTTGCGTTAAAAAATATATTTGTTGGTAATTAAATGGTTTTTATTTTTACAAAATGAATAGAGTTATAATGAAAAAATATTCAAATTTAATTTATTTATATAACTAAGGTTATGCTATTTTTAATAATTTATTATTTAAATTATACTTGCCATAAAAAAAGATTCTAAGAGAGCTAATAATTATACTGTTCAAAAAATCTTAACTAAATCAAATTTAAAAATAATAGAAACTTTTTAATTACTGTTATTATTTTTGTTAAAAAAGGTTTTTTAAAAGAACCATAATTAAAACCATCAAATAATTAATTTACATTCCAAAAAAGCATTCATCTATCTATCTTCAAGGACTATTACTAAGATTTAAAAATATGTAAGCACTTAAAAATAAAAAGCATCCTATTATAATAACTAAAGGTATGAAGCAACCAATGAAGAATCATTTACTAAGTATCAAAAGTTGCTTAATCGCAGTAATGTATGATTGCATGTTTCTTCCTTAAATTTTCTAAAATCCTTTGTAATGAATATGAACGTTCATCAACTTTACAAAGCTTAATAATTTATGGTTTTTTATAAAATATCATAAGCCATTCATTTATATCTTTTATTAATTAATTTACTCTGCTATTAAAATCGAAAAAAATTATTTATTTTTATTTAAAATTGATTTTCTTCTTTTGAAAATAAAAAGAATCAATTAATTCATTCATAGTTTTTAAAATTAATATTAAAAATTCTTTTATTTATTTATTTAACCATTTTCTGTAGAACCAATTATCAATTATTTATTTTGATTAAATATAATTTTGTGATCCAAATAAGATATCCTAAATATATATTGTTCCTAAATTTAGAAATAGATTAAATAGATTAGTAAAATTTTATTAAAAAAATATATTTCTGGTTTACACTCAATAAAAATATTCGTGCATGCTTAAAGTTAAGTTCTAAAAATAAATATCTGATTATGAAAAGAATTAAATTATTCATAAAATAGAATTATATTTAAATTTTAATTAATTGCATTTAATAGGTCCCATTTTTAAAAGCTTTTAAAGTAAACTGTTTCATTTTTATCATAATTATTTAAAATGTAAAATGATTAAAATAAATAATTTACTATTGAAAAAAAGTGGAATTAATAAAATGGAAAATTATTATTTTAATTTTAATAGAACATTTTTATTTCTTTTTTGTGATTTAATAAAGAAAATTTTTATGATGCTTACTAATTAAAATTTTAAGATTACTATTAATAACGAAGCTAATTTACTTTCATTTGATTGTGTTATTTTACTGAATGAATAATTTAATATTTAATTTATTTTAGATTAGATACACTTTAATTCGAGTAGTAAATAATTTTTATGATATATATTTGCCTAAAATTTCTAAATACTTAAAAGCTCAAGCAATTATATATTATTTAGACAGTTTTTTTCATAAAATAAATTTAAATAATCATCAAAAAGATATTTATTTTTTACTTAAATAAAATTAGCTAATACAGTAAAATTTAACTAATTTATTTTTGAGTTTTTTATAACTTTGTTTTGATAATACTTAATGTTTAAAAATCTAAATTTTAATAATAAGGATTTATTTAGTTTGAAGAATTTAATATTTTAAATAAAGTTTATCCACCAACCTTATTTTTTCTGAATTTTTCAGATAATAGATTAGCTACCATAAATAAAAAAAATCCCAAAAATAATATATTTATAAATATCAAATCATGATATGTGTAAATTATAATTTATTTATAACATATTAAAATCAAAAGTCAATGAATAATTAAAAAAACAAATAATTTTAATTTACAGAGTTGCTAAAACTCTATTATACAGAGGAGATGTATAGATTGGTTCATTTGTTTCCTAGAAATAATCCTACCTTTTTAACATTAATAGTTTTAAAGTACTTTCTATTATTTTAATTTTCTCTGTCAACTCAACTTTAAGAAACAACAGGTTATGATTTTAAAATAAATTTCATAATACAGACTGGACTATTTAAATATTTAAAAAATAATATTAACAATATCATTTACTTCATGATATTTATCAATGGAATGCTATTGATATACATGATATTTGCACTTTTTAGATTCATGCACTTGTAATTTAGGATGATCAAGAAATTGAACAAGAATTATAATTAGGAAATTTAGATGAAATTAGAAGAGTCTATATATGAATAAAGCAGCTACTTAGACTAATTATTTTCATTGATGATTACTTTATAATAGAATATTATACACTTCCCTAGTATTATATTAGCTTTTAATAATTTAAATAACAATAGTGCTTCTTATGCTCTTTTGTCTATTGCAATCTTACTGAGTACATTAATTGAATTAATTATTATATGCTTTGATTAATTAATTAATTCCAATTCTAATTTAAATCAAGAAAATGAAACATATTTTTATTTTTAATTTCTAATTATTAATTAATATAATACATTTTTTATTTATTATTTTTAGATACAATCACTTGTGACACAGACTATAACTATGAAATTAAACTTAAAGACTACTTAGCAAAACCTTTTAATATCTTAAATTTTTTATTTAAGATCTTAGTCGAAGTTTTTATTATAGCAGCATTAGTCTATATGCCAGAAGGCTAAAATTCTTTACTGTCTTGCTATTTTCTTATAAATGGTTTGCTTTCTTATTTTTTCTCTTACTATTATGATAACTTTTCATAAATAATAAACCTGTTTACTCATTTTGCCTTATTTTTTATGAGTATAACTCTATAAATCTATATTTCATATAGTATTCCTAGCTAATTGTTAAGTTTCCTTTTTATGATTTACATACCTTTAAGCTATAAAATAGCTTCTATAATAGTTGAAAGAGATTATTAGAATTAATAAAATAGCTTTCAGGAACTGCATTAAGAAATGTAAAATGATGATAAAAACTTTGATAGAATCTTAAGATTAAACATTTTTGACAATATCGAGAACTCAAAGCAAAATGAGAAAAAATATTTAAAATTTTTTAATTTAATTACTAATAATTATATGTCAAAGTAAAATTAATTTATTAATTCATACAAAGAAACTAATGGACTTGATTAAAAATTATAAAATAATGAGTAAATCTTTGAAAGTAATCATACTCAAGCATCAACTTAACTTACAAATTAATAAATTAGCAAGTAAACTCGCTTGTTTGAAGATATTTCTGAATTAAAATTGATAGAAAAAAATGTCATAATATTATTGAAAGATTAATTTTTGAAATCTTCAAACAGCAAATTAAGAAGCAAATAAAATGGTACGAAGATTCTTCAAAGCGTATTTATATTTTTGATAGAAATGAGTGAGTCATACAGAATATATTTCCTTATGTATTTACAATTAATTAAAAGCAAGAATTTATCTCTGAAGTAGAAATAAATATTTAAATCTATACACAGTATATTTTTAAAAAAGAGAGCTGTCATAAGAAAGAGAATGGGAAAGACAAATCCATTTGATAGTTCTTACTTATAAGTCATAAATTTTGAAAATAAACTGGAGAAGTCCTATTCTTTATTTCGCTAAACTATTAAAATAAAATTATAAGTACTAAGCATGATGAAACAAAAACATATAGTAGCTACAGAGTTAACTTCTAAAATTGAAAGTATGCAAAGTTAAATAGCTTAATTAAAGGTGAATTTAAATTATTTAATATAATTAAATGATGATAGCTTGGATCTTTTAAATTTACAAGCTCTGTTTCTGGAAAATTTGAGCTTTTCAGAAAAAGATATAAATTTAATACAAACCAATAAATACAAAAAAAAAAGCTATAACTAAAAATATTTAAACAGACAAAATGAAGATGAAATATTAAGTTCTATGATTAACAGTGATAAATTTGATGAAAAAACTTGTATAATTTTTGCAAGTTACAAAGATACTGAAACTTTAACAATAAGTCAAGTTTCTTCTAATTTTTCTAATTTATTTTGCTTTACAAGCAGAGACCATATCTATGATAAAAATATTGAATCTATTATACCTCTTGCATTTCAGAGTGTACATAAAATGTATATAAAACAATATTTAGAAGATTCAATAACATGTGACATTTCAAATAATACAGATCAGCAATTAGAATAAAGTAAATAAGACCATGAAAATGACGAAAATGTAGTAACTACAATTAATTTGAGATAAGGTTACTAATTTAATTAACCTAAATACTTATCAGAAAATTAAAGTGGAACAAAAAATTAAAACTATGAATTATAAAATTGTAAAATGAATTAATAGATAATATTTGCTTCTCTCAACTAAATGTTCATCTTACCTATTAAAATAGATATTAGAACAAACGAATACAAAGAAAATGGAACATTTGGATTGGTAGCTAAAATAAAACAAATAAATGAAGAATACTAATATATTCTATTCAATGAGACAGATTTAAGTGTTATTGGTCTCACTCAATAAATGCACGAAATATTCTTTCCTAATTGTAACAATCTCTAAAAAATTAATTTGAGATAAATTTTCCCCTTTTTGATTGGAACTTAAAATAAAACAAAAATTGAAGATTCACATATTTAATATAAAGAAACGACTTGCAACAATAATAATACAAAAAAATAGTTACATGTAAATTTAACAGATGATATGCAGTATATCCTTAAAGGATAGTTATAAAATAAATTAAAAATTAAAAACAAATTCTCATTTATAATTATAAAGTAGGCAGATGAAACAAACAACGCTCTAAACACTCCTTATAGAAGTACTAAAATATTAAATAAAGCTAAATCATATAAAGATATTTTATCATATAGTTTTAATTATGTAGAATTATTTGTTCGAAAAATAAAATATCATGGAGTAAATAATGTAAGTTATGTTGAAATAGTAAAAATAAAATAGCTTAATCCATCTAGTTAAGCTCAAATCATCCTTCAAGAAATAACTAATGTAAAAAAATAATAGATTTATTCTTAATTATTTGAACATCCAAGCTAGCTTTAAAATATAATATCAGATTTAGAATTAAATCAAAATATTAATAGCTACTTATAATTTAATAGCTTTTACACTTAGCTTCAATATAGCTCTAGAAATTTGAATTAAGGTAATTAATTACTATAAATAAAATAAAATGATACTCCTATTGACTTTACATAAGCTGATTTTTAAAAAGTATAATAACTACTTGGTGATGAAAGTACAAATATTGAATAAATTAAAATGGCCTCAAATAGAATAGAATACAATGATTTTAATTGTTTATCAGATGCAACTAGTAGATTTACCTTAAACTAATTCAGAGAATAAAAAGCATTATAAAACTTGAATGAAAAACTGCAACTTAATTAGTTGTCTTAGCTGCAAAGTAATATTGCATAAGAACAAGTATTTATTTAGTCATTTTAGGAAAACTAAATAAGCAGCAGCGATTTATAAATGAAAGTGGATTTTGCTAATAAATAATTGGATCATTAGAACCTTACAGAAGATTAACTAAACAAAAGCAGCACTTGTACCATACCTATTCCTTAAAAATCAAATAAAGCAATTAACATAGAATTAGTCTCTCCAAATAACAGTTTCTACATGAAAAATTGTTCTAATCAATAATCATTAGCTCAACTATCAGATTAGAATTTAGATGCTCTACAAATAAAATCACATGAATTTATTTTAAATAAAATTAAAGAAAATGCTTATTTAGATGTAGAAAACAGTAATGAAGAAATTAATAAAAAATGTAATAATGCAATCATTCCTTTAAAAATTAGCATAAACCCTAGCAAAATTTTTAAGTCAAATAGCTTTAGAAAAAATAAAATCAACAATACATTAAATGATGATTTAAATGACAAAGAGAAAAAAAAATTGATGAGAAACTCTTATTAGTACAATAATATTAACTAGATATAAAAACAAAAAAAAAAGGAGTAAGTTCAAGATATGATTTACGATATTGCTTCTAGTACCTCCCAAAATTCATATTATACTCCAGTCAAGAGATAACTAACACAAATTATGGAAGATTCATCAACCCTAAAAGTTATAAAACTAATAAAAATTATTGGAATCATTTGTTTAGCTGTCATGGTAGGCATCACTTGGTTACAATTTAACTCAATGAATGAGTTTCTGTTGGAAGCTAATTAAGACTACAAAGATTTTGGTTGGCCAACAACTTATTCTTGTTCTCTAAGTGATATCCTTAAATATAAAAATATTTAATTTCTTACAAATTATACAAGAGTAGTTTTCACTGACAGTAACTAAAAGGAATTATTTTATAATCAGACACAATAAAATATGGAGAATACTTTCTCAAATGTATTAAGATTGTTAGTTTAAATGGAAAATGCTAACTCAAATAGAGAAGTATTTAATAGAGTAATAGAAAATAAAATGAATTTTTACTTTGGGTAATTATACAATCCTGCATAGCTTAACTCAACTACATCTGACAGTACTGATTTAGTATATTAAAATTATACTAGTACCTTAGAATATAGCGTAATTTTAAATGTTCAAAATATCTTCCGTTATATCAACAACATGGGTAATGGAAGGCCTGAGTATTACTTAATATAAAATTAATTAGAAGCAATTTCTTAATTAAAAGATTTATAAGAGCATATAAAAGAAAGCCAATCATAAAAATAGGAATATATTCAAGATTAACTCTATATCATAATCATGATTTTAGTTTTAATTAACACATGTTGCGTTGCCATCATAATACCATTATATCTTTATATTTAAAAAGAAAGAGACTCTATAATTTACCTATTTACTACATTTCCAATTTAAAAGTTAGATAATTTGATCAAAAAAATATAAAATTCCTACTTTAGCACAAACACTAGCTCAATTTATTAGAATTAAAACAACTAAATAATTATAGATACACTTTTATAATTATAAGACATCGATAATGAAAAAAATATAAGAAAGCATAGTATTAGCTCAATCACAAGTCTCCCTAGATATAATAAAAAATTATATTTTGCTTGTTTCCTTATTTATTCATTAATAATATGCTATCCAATAATTGTTCAAATCTTAAGTGCTGATTATTTAACAAAATCTGCTTTAGATCTTTAAACAATATGTAATTAACTAATTAATTATAAACTTTTTAAAATTTTTTTCATTCAATTAAAACAAATATGTAAATAGAAATTTAAAATATATTTATTTTTTATAAAAAAATAATATTATTTATTTAATAATTTTAAAAGCTAAAGTCTACTAGCTAAGATCATACCTATTGTAGAATATTGCGATGCATTTTAATGTTTTATTAATGAAGGCAAGACCAAGATTCAAGCCTATGAAGCCTGAAATTTATTATGATTATTTATATACACTACTTTAATAATAGGAAGATATAAGTTAGGATATATAATGGATAATAAACTCATAGTATTCAGATTAAAGGTATTTTATTTTATTCAAACCTACAGATTAGTTTCATTAAAATAAATGATCAATTTAACAAAAAACATAAATATTTATTTTTATTATTTTTAATTTTTTAGCTTTATTTAAATTAAAAAATAGATTTAACTAAGACTTATACGATAACTTCTTTTTTTCTGCGTTTAAAACAAATTTGTGCGAAGATTTTAAAAATTACCCTTAGTTCAATACTAATCCTAAAAAATTAAATGTTGATATATGTGATTCAACCCAATAAAAGTTCTTATAATAAGGTTTCTCAGTAGCTTATAAAAGTCTTTTTAGCATGTTTACTGAACTGTACAATATATATATAATACCAGACGACAAATTATCAAGATAATAAGTAAGATAAATATTAAGAAATCTTGATATTTAGGAATACACTGCTTTTATTGAGTTTTTAGATGAAACAATTATCAGTTTAAATTAATTCGTTTTAACTTAAAATAATACTTTTTATAGTTAAATATAATTATAATTGATTGGTTTGATAGTTTTTTAAATGGTATTAATGCTTTTAGTATTCTTTTTTGGTTGGATTACTTTCAGTAATTATTTGAATTGCTAGCTACACAAAACAAAAAAGTATCTATAAATACTAGACATTAATACTTTAATTGAAAATCAATACATTTAAAATTATATTAAAAAAAATTTAGTTGCTTAATGATAAATTTATTTTTTATGACTCTTTAAGTTATGTAATAAATTTATTTATGTTTATTAAAGTAAGCTTTAATACATATTTAATTTTTAAAAATTAATATTAATATAAATTAAAATCCCTTAATTCTTAATTGTACAAAAATTGTTTAATTATTATATAGTTTTTTAAATGTATATTTATATTGATAATATATTTATTTTCTTATGATGTGATTGATTTTTCACTTTTGTTTTGCGTGTTTATTTTTTAAATATAGTCCTATTAAAGTTATTTTTAAATGGAAGTAAGTATAATTTATTTTATAATTGAGAAATAAGTAGATAGATTTTATTTTTTAATAAATAAATAAAGTATTATTCACTTTAACAAATATGAATTAACTAGATAAAATCTTTTTTGGAATCCTTGCACTTGAATTGGGTATTCTGCTGTTTATGTTAATAATAGAGAAATTTATTAGGTATTTCATTACAACTCCCAAATAAAAATGTTTAATTAATAAGAATTGGTTAAAATAAAATTTAATGTATTTTTGATTAACCTTTAAGCTAAACTTAATTATATATATATAATACCCTAGAGTATTCTTAAATCAATTTTTTGTCTTAAAATAATTTTTTTTTTTTTTAATTCCTTATTTATTACATAAGATATTTATATATTTTTTTTGAAAATTTAAAATTTTTAAATTCCTGAAATTCATTAAGAAAGAAATTGAAATATAATTAATGGATTGATAATTTCAGGATTTAATCTTTTTGGTTTTGAATCTTATTTATTTCATTTTGATTGCTAATTTATTTATCAATTCCCTTCACAATATCAGAGTGTAAATTTATTTCCAAAATCTAAGTTTATTATTATGATTAACATTATTTTTAGTTTAGGTTTTCATAGATTTAAATTTTTAGAATTTTTTAGATACTTAATTTTCTTATTTTTCATGCACAGAATATGTTTTTGTATTTGCTAAAAATTTGTAATATCAATAATTGGAATAGATATTAAAAAAAGCTATCTAAGATGTAAAATAAATTATTTATCCTAACTTTTTTTCTGTAATATTTGTATAAATATAGTGATTAAAATCAATATCTCTTCAGTAAAAGTAAAGAGCTTATCATAAAATTTTTTACTGGCTCTTAAATCAATCGAACAAAATGCGATAATTTTTTTAAAAAAATTGATCCTCTAATTTTTATTTTTATTTAAAATTAAAATAAGAAAAATGAAACATAAAATAATTTTAAAAAATGAATATATTTATTTATATAGAAAAAAGAAAAATTTACAATTTATTAATTAAATGAATGACTTTTATTTTTATTTTTATTTTTACAAAGTTAATAAAGTTTTAATGAAAAGATGTACCGATAATTTATTTATTTTACTTAGATCATACTATTTACTTTCACTGATTGATTAAATTATTATTAGCTATAAATTCTTAGAACTAAATAACAAACAAACAATTATACTGTTCAAAAAAACTAAATTGAGTGAAATTTAATGATAATTTAGAAATTTGATAATTAATATCTTACCGCATTTATTTTTGTCAACTTAGATTATTTAAAGCTATAGAAAGGATTGCATTAATTAAAACAAGCAAATTTAAAATACACATCAAGGACTATTACAAAGATTTAAAAATATGTAATCTCATTTAAAAGCTAAAAATAAACTACCTATCTTGATAACTGAAGGGATGAAGCTGAGAAAGATGAAATTATTTGCTAAATATCAAAAGTCATTTAATTGAAATCAATACCTACCTGTTTCTTCATTTAATTTCTTAAAATAATTTTATACATTATATAACTTCTTAATATTACTGATATTCAAAAAAATATTAAACAAGCAATTTATATATTTCATTTATTCATTCAATTCATTTTCACTATTTAGAAACTTATACTTTTTATTTAAAATAGATTTTCTTCTTTTCAAAATAATAAATAAAGAATCATTTCATAGATATAAAATAAAGCAAATTTAATTGAATAATTTTTTTTTATAATTATTTTCAATAGAACTAATTATCAATTATTTATATTGGTTCAATATACATTTATAATCTAAATCAGAATATAATTTTTAAATATATCCTAAAATTAGTAAAAAATAATTGGTAATATTTAATAAAAAAAACTTCTGGCTTGCATCGCTCAAAACATTTGCTTGTTTTAAGCTAAATCTTATAAATATCTAATTAGGTTACTCATACAAAATTAATCAAATAAAAAAATTGATTTTATATTAAAAACTTAATAAGTAACATCTTTTTGGTTTTCTGTTTTTATGGAAGCTATTCCTTACTAATTGTTATTCAAATGATTTTCAAATATTAAATTTTCTAGCTAGAAATCATTTACTTTATTATAAAAAATTAAATAAATAAAATTGAAAAATTTAATTCTATTTTACATTTTGTTTTCAGGTATTTTTTTTATCTGCCAAGAGTAAAGGTAATTATTTTTCATGGTGATTATATTAAGCCAATTTATTTTAAATTAATCTGGGTGTTTTACTGAATGAATAATTTAACAATAAATCAATCTTTAGATCAATTATACTTTATTGGAAGTAAATGATTTTTTTTTTATTATGTAACATAAAAGCAAATTAACTTAAAATGATTAAAACACTAACTTTCAAGCGAATAAACACTTATATTAATGAAATGCTCAAAAAAGATAAATTACCTATCTATTTACTATTGCATTATTTTACTTATTATAATTCATAAACTATCAATTCAATAAAATAGGAATTATCAGTGATTTAATAAAATAATTCCTAATTTTACACACTCAAATTTATTAATCATAAAAAAAAACTCTTTGCGCATAAACTTTCTTATTTAAATAAAGTGAAAAAATTTTTCTAATTTAATAAAATGCTCAATTATTAATAAATAACATTGTTTTTCCAATATTTATTTATTGGTTAAAAATTTAATTTTTGAAAAATAAAGATTGATTTAGTTAAAAGATATTTATTAATCTATTTTTATAATACTTATCCAGTAACCTTATTGTTCAGATTATTCAAGTATATATTACCAGCAGAAGTTTAATTTCAAAGAAAATATATTTATAAATATAGAAAAAAAGTTAAGGTAAATTGTAATTTATTTATATTAGATAAAAGCATAATTCTATGAATCAATAAAAAAATAAATAATTCTAATTTACTGAGATGTTAAAACTCTATTATACGGAGGAGATATATAGATTGGTTCACTTGTTTCCTAGAAATAATCCTGTCTTTTTGGTTTTAATATTTTTAAAATATATGCTCTTATTTTAATTTTCTCTGTCAACTCAATTTTAAGAAACCAAAGATAATGATTTTAAAACCAATTTAATGATACATATTGGAATATTTAAATATTTAAAGAATAATATTAATAATCTCATTTACTCCTTGCTATTTATTAATGGAATGCTATTGGTATATTTGATATTTGCGCTTTTTAGATTCATGCACTTGAAATTTAGGATGATGAGTAAAATGAATAAGAATTACAATTAGGAAATGAAGATGCAATTAGAAGAATCTATTTATTAATAAAGCAGTTGCTTGGACTAATTTTTTTCATTGATGATTACAATTTAACAGAACATTTTTCACTTTCCTAGTCTTATTTTAGGTTTTAATAATTTAAATAACAATAGTGTCTCCTATGCTCTTTTGTCTGTTTCAATCATTATGAGTAAATTAATAATTAATTGATTTTCTGTATTAATTATGCGCTTTACTTAATTAATTCAATTCTAATTTCAAAAAAGAAAAAGAACAAATTTCTTACTTTTTACTTTCAAATTATTAGTAAGTTAGTTATTTTAACAAAATTTTTTTAATTTACAAAGATATCATTATTTCAGATACAGACTATAATTATGAAATTAAACTTAAAGACTACTTAGCAAAACCATTTAATATCTTAAATTTTTTATTTAAGATCTTAGTAGAAGTTTTTATAATAGCAGCAATAGTTTATACACCAACAGGCTATAATTCTATACTCTCTTGCTATTTTATTACAAGTGGTTTATCTTCTTACTTTTTCTCTTATTATTATGACAATTTTTCATAACTAATAAACCTTTTTACTCATTTAGCCTTATTTTGTATGAGTATAACTCTGTAAGTCTATATTTCGTTTAACGTTCCTAGTTAATTGTTAAGCTACCTTTTTATGATTTACATACCTTTAAGCTATAAAATAGCTTCTTTAATAGTTGAAAGAGATTATTAGGATTTGTAAAATAGCTTTCAAGAATTGTGTTAAGAAAAATAAAATAATGATAAAAACTTAGATAAAATTTTAAGATTAAATATTTTTGACAATATTGAAAACTCAAGGCAAAATGAGAAAAAATATTTTAAACTATTAAATTTAATTATTAATAACTATATATCAAACCAAAATAAATTAAATAATTCATACATAGAAACTAGTAATTATGGAGAATAAAATAAGCTAAATGATCAAATAAATAGCTAATAAACTCAATTATTTGGAGATGTTTCAAAACTAAAGTTAATAGAAAAAAATATTATTTAATTTCTGAAAGATTAATTTTTGAAATCTTAAGACAAAAAATTCAGAAGTAAAAATAATGGAACACAGTTTCTTCGAAGCATATTTATATTTTTGATAGAAATAAGTGAGTCATATAGAATATATTTCCTTATGTACCTATAATTGATAAAACGTAAGAACTTATCTCTAAAGTAGAAATAAATATTTAAATCTATACATAGTATATTTTTAAAGAAGAGAGCTGTAGTAAGAAAGAGAATGGGAAAGGCAAATCCATTTGATAGTTCTTACTTGCAAGTCATAACTTTTGAAAACAAACTTGAAAAGTCTTATTAATTATTGCATGAAACTATCAATTTAAAGTTATAAATATTATGCATGATGAAACAAAAGCATATAATTGCTAAATAGTTAATTACAAAAATTGAGAGTATGTAAAGTTAAATAAATTTATTGAAAGAAAATTTGAATTATTTAATTTTACTAAATGGAGATAGTTTGGATCTTTTGAATCTGCAAGCTCTGTTTCTGGAAAATTTGAGCTTTTCTGAAAAAGATATCAATTTACTACAAGTCAACAAATATAAAAAAAAAATTTACAATTCAAAATATTTAAACAGACAAAATGAAGATGAAATGTTAAGTAGTATGATTAACAGCGATAAATTTGATGAAAAAACTTGTATAATTTTTGCAAGTTACAAAGATACTGAAACCTTAACAATAAATCAAGTTTCTTCTAATTTTTCTAATTTATTTTGCTATACAAGTAGAGACCATATCTATGATCGAAATATTGAATCTTTCATACCTCTCGCGTTTCAAAGTGTACATAAAATGTATATAAAACAATATTTAGAAGATTCAATAACTTGTGATATTTATTCAAATAATACAGATCAGCAATTAGAATAAAATGAATAAGATAATGAAAATGTCGAAAACGAAGTAACTCCAATTAATAAGGGATAAGGTTACTAATTTAATAAATCAAAAAACTTATCAGAGAAGTAAACTGTAACAAAAGCTTAAAACTATGAATTATAAAATTGTAAAATGAATTAGTAGATAATATTTGCATCTCTAAACTAAATGTTCATCTTACCAATTAAAATAGATATTAGAACAAATGAATACAAAGAAAATGGAACATTTGGATTGGTAGCTAAAATAAAACAAATAAATGAAGAATACTAATATATTCTATTTAATGAGACAGATTTAAGTGTTATTGGTCTAACTCAATAAACGTAAGAAATATTCTTTCCTAATTGTAACAATCTCTAAAAAGTTAATTTGAGATAAGCTTTCCCCTTTTTGGTTGGTACTTAAAATAAAACAAAAATTGAAGATTGCTAAATCTAAAATAATGAAACACCTTACAATAATACTAATACAAAAAAATAGTTTCATGTGAATATTACTGATGATGCTCAGTATATTCTTAGAGATTAATCAAAAAATCATTTAAAAATGAAAAATAAATTTTCATTTATAGTTATATAACACTCAGATGAAATAAACGATACATTAAACACTTCATATAAAAGTACAAAAAGATTAAATAAAGCTAAATCATATAAAGAAATTTCATCCTATAGTTTTAATTATGTAGAATTATTTGTTAGAAAATTAAAGTACAAAGGAGTAAACAAAATAAGCTATATTGAAATAGTAAAAATAAAATAGCTTAATCCTGCCATTTAAGCTCAAATAATCCTTAAAGAAATCACAAACATAAAAAAATAATTCTTATATACTTAACTATTTGAGAATCCAAGTTAACTTTAAAATATAATCTAAGATTTAGAATAAAATCAAAATATTAATAGCTACTTATAATTTAATAGTTTTTACTCTTAGTTTCAATATAGCTGTAGAAATTTTAATTAAGGTAATTAATTACTACAAATAAAAGAAAATGATACTCCTATTGATTTTACATAAGCTGATTTTTAAAAAGTATAATAATTACTTGGTGATGAAAGTACAAATGTTGATTAAACTAAAATGATGCCTAATAGAATTGAATATGAAGATTAGAATTGCTAATCAGATGAAAGTAATAGGCTGACCTTAAACTAACTCAGAGAATAAAATTCATTATAAAAGTTGAATGAAAAACTGCAACTTAATTATCTGTTTTAGCTTCAAAGAAATATTGTATAAGAGCAAGCACTTAATTAGTCAATTTAGGAAAACTAAATAAGCTACAACGATTTATAAATTGTAAATTATGGTAATTTTAATTTGAGTCTTTAAAATTTTTAAGATGATTAGATAAACAAAAACAGCGATTGTGCCTAAAGATCAAATAGAGCAATAAATATAGAATTAATTTCTCCAAATAATAGCTTCTGCATGAATATTAATTCTAATCAAATATCTTTAGCTCAGTTATCTGATTAGAATTTCAACATATAACAAATAAATTCACATCAATTTATTGGAAATTAAACTAAAGAAAATATTAGTTTAGATGTAGAAACTAATAATTGTGAAATAAATAAAAAATGTAATAATACTATCCTTCCTTTAAAAATGAACATAAACCCTAGCAAAATCGCTAAATCTAGTAGTTTTAGAAAAAGTAAAATCAACAATACATTAACTAATGCACTAAATGATAGAGAAAGAAAATAATTAATTAAAAACTCATATTAACATAATCATGCTAATTAGCTTTATAAAGATAAAAATATTAAAAAGTAGTAAGTTCAAGATATTATTTATGATATTGCTTCAAGCAACTCTCAAAATTCATATTATACTCCAGTCAAGAGACAATTATAAGATGTTATGGCAGACCAATCAACCTTATAAGTAATAAAATTAATAAAAATTATTGGAGTTATTTGCTTCACTGTCATGGTATCGATCACTTGGTTATAATTTAGCTCAATGTATCAGTATCTGTCAGAAGCTAATTAAGACTACCAAGATTTTGGTTGGCCCACTGATTATTCTTCTTCTCTAAGTGATATCCTTAAATATAAAAATATTTAATATCTTACAAATTATAGAAACTTAAATTTCACAGACAACAGCTAGTAGCAACTTTTTAAAAATAAAATACAATAAGATATGGAGGATACTTTCTCAGACGTATAAAGTTTATTAAATTAAGTAGATTTAGCCAACACAAAAAGAGATATATTTAACAGAGTAATAGACTATAAAATTACTTTTTACTTTGGGTAATTGTATGATACAACAATGCTTAGCTCAACTGCGTCTGACAATTCTGATTTAATCACTTTAAATTATAGTTCTACCTTACATTATAGTTTTCTTTTAAATGTTCAAGTTATCTACCGTTATATTAAGAACTTAGGTAATGGAAGGCCTGAGTATTACTTAATATAAAATTAATTAGAATCAGTTTCTTAATTAAAAAAATTACAAGACGATATAAAAGAAAACCAATCAGGATAATAGCAATACATTCAAGATTAGCTCTAAATTATAATCATAATTTTAGTTTTAATTAACACATGTTGTGTTATGATCATAATACCATTATATTTTTATATTTAAAAAGAAAGAGACTCTATAATTTACCTATTTACTACATTTCCGATTTAAAAGTTAGATATTTTGATCTAAAAAATATAAAATTCCTACTTTAGCACAAACACTAGCTCAATTTATTAGAATTAAAATAACAAAATAGTTTTAGATACAATTGCATAATTATAAAGTATCGAGAATGAAAAAAATATCAGAAAGCATAGTATTAGTTCCATCACGAGTCTCCCTAGATATAATAAAAAATTGTTTTTTGCTAGCTTTCTTATTTATTCATTAATAATATGTCAACCGATAATTGTTAAAATCTTATCCCTGAATTATTTAACTAAATCTGCTCTAGATCTTTAAACAATGTGTAATTAATTAAAAATAATTTAATATTTAAATATTTAAACAAAATATACATTATATTTATTTATTCTCTTTCTTTATAATATTATTTATTTATTTATTTATAATAATTTTAAAAGCGAAAGTCTAATAGCTAAGATCATATCTATTGTAGAATATTGCATTGCATTTTAATGTTTTAGCTATGAAGGTAGATCCAAGTCTCAAACCTATGTAGCCTGAAATTTATTATGATTATTTATAAAAACTCATTTAAGAATAAGGAGATATAAGTAAGGATATCTAATGGATAATAAATTCATAGTATTCCGATTAAAGGTATTTTATTTTATTTAAATCTATGATATATAATTAAAATTTATGTATTTTGATCAGTTTTTTATCTTAATTTTTTGACTTTATTTGAATATTAAAATATATTTATTTAAATAGATTTAACTAAGACTTATACGATAACTTCTTTTTTTCTGCTTTTAAAACCAATTTGTGCGAAGATTTTAAGAATTATCCTTAGTTCAATACTAATCCTAAAAAGATAAATATTGATCTATGTGCTTCACCGCAATAAAAATTCTTATAGTAAGGCTTCTAAGTAGCTTACAAAAGTCTTTTTAACTTGTTTACTGATCTTTACAACGCATATTAAATAAAAGATCAGTAATAATTCCTTGATTAAGCAAGATAAATATTAGGAAATATTGATATTTAGGAATTTACTGCTTTTTCAGAGTTTTTGGATGAAACAATTATTAGTTTAACTGAATTTGTTTTAACGTAAAACAACATTTATTATAATCAGATATAATTATAATTGATTGCTCTGATAGCTTTTTAAATGGTATTAATGCTTTTAATCTTCTTTTTTGGTTGGATTACTTTCAGTGAATATTTGAATGACTAGCTACACAAAACAAAAAGGTATCTAAAAATTATAGACGCTAATACTTTACTTGAAAATCAATATATATAAAATTATATTAAAAAAAATATTGTTGTTTAATGAATGATAAAATTATATTTTTTAACTTTTTAAATTACACAATTTATATTAATTTATTAAAGTCGATTTTATGCGAAGGGTTAAATAATATTATTTTTTCAAATTATTTTTAAAAACTATTAATTAAAAAAATTTTTTAATTTGCTTGATTTCATATTTTTTGAATATCAATATCCTATTTAAAATAAATTTTAAAATTACATATATATTTAGTATCTTAAATATTTCATATTTCGTGATTCATAGATTTAAATTCAAACAAATTTTTGAATTTGAATTAATCTGCTATTTTTATTAAGACTATGTAATATAAAAAATTAGAACAATTATTAAAATTGCTAACTTAAATAAAATATAAAATAAAGAGTGAATCCTTAATTTTTTAATGAAATTTTCCATAAAAATACGAAAGCGATTTAATTCAATATCTCTTCAGTAAAAATAATGAATTTTTCATAAATTATTTACTGGCTTTAAAACAAATAAAATTTGAGATAATTCATTAAAGAAGCACATTTCTCAACAAATATTTATTTTTGTATTAATTTTAATATCAAAAATTAGTTATTTGAAAAATAAATTTATTTTGATTAATTGAATAATTAAAATATTTATTTTTTTCAAAGTGAATAATGTTTTAATAAATAATTTAATCAGATTTACTTACTTATATATACATATAATTAAAATCATACAATTTTCTCTAATTAATTAATCTATAACTTCCTATAACAATAGATTCTTATAGAACTAAAAGTAATACTGTTAAAAAAAATAAACTGAATTAAATTTTCAAAACATTTAAAAATTAGATGATTACTACTTTTATTTTTGTAAAATTAAAGCTATTAAAAGAACTACTTTAATTAAAACCATCAAATAATTTACTTACATTCTAATTAAAATCACATACTATTACTAAGATTTCAAAATAAATAATCATACCAAAATAAAAAATATCCTATACCAATAAATAAAGGCATGAATAGTATGTATTTTTAATAGAAAAAAACTTTTTAATATTAAAAGTAATTTAATAGTAAAAAATTTTTATGCTTTTTCTTATAACTTCTTTAAATATGTTTAGCGTTGTCTCAACTTTAAAACTTTAAGAAATTAATTATCATGCTATTTTTTTTAAAAATCTTAAAAACAACTTATTTCTTTTGTTGATTTAATTATGCTTTTCAAAAAGAAAAAAATAAATAAATAAAAATATGTATTTATTTGTATTGAAAATAGATTTTCTTTCTTTCAAAATAATAAAGAAACTTTTTAAATTTTTTTAAAGAAATTAATTTATATTAATGATATATTTTTAAATAGAATTTATTATGAAACATTCTCTTTTAAACAACATAATTTTGTAGTTGAAATAAGATATCCTTTATATTTGCTACTAAAATTAGTAGCAAACAAATTGGTAAAATTTTATTAAAATAAATAATGAATTTATAGTTTTCACTCACTTGTTTTAAGTTAAGTTCTAAAAATATCATGTTTATCAAAATATTTAATTTATTACTCATAAAATAGAAAACTTAAAAAAGTAATCTTTTTCTTGTTTGCCATAATTTAAATTATTTTAAAATATTAAAATTTTTTATTTAATAGGATTTATTTATTTATTTTTGAATGAAAAAACTTATATATATAATAATAAAATTTTTTTAAATTTTTATAAATAATTTTCATTTATTTTATACTTCTGCAAAGAATTTAAACATTCATTTTTATGATGATGATGATTATTTCAAAATTTAAGATTACAATTTATTTATTGCTTGCTTGATTGATTGAAGCTAGTTTACTTTCAATTTATCATATGCTTTAATGAATTAATAATTTATCATTTAATTTATTTTTAATAAATTATGTTTTATTTCAAGTAATTATCTTTTTTTAGTGTAACAAAAGATGTTTATCTGCTTAAAGTATTTATGTACTTATTTGAGAATAAATTTTATCAAATAAATTAACATAATGTTAAATTAGATGAGTTATCTCTATATTTTTTATGTATTTTTTCCCCATTTTTAAAAACATTTAAATTTCTTTAATTTAAGACAATTTTTACTAATCAAATTTAAATATAATAGATAGTTTAAATTCCTATATATATTTTTATTAATTCATTTGATGTGAAATCTTGTAAAATTAGGAGATAATTTTATTCACGTGAATAATAATTTCTATTTTATTGATTTAACATTTTTAAATAATTTTTACCCATTAACCTGATTTTTCCAGCTTTTATTCACCAGTCAAAATATTTATATCTCAAATCAACTGTTTATAAATATCTGTAAAGATGAACATAAATTATAATTTATTTATATTAGATAAAAACATAAACAATGAATCAAGAAAGAAACAAATAACTTAAATTTGCAGATTTGTTAAAGCTCTATTATACTGAGGAAATATATAGATTGGTTCACTTATTTCCTAGAAATAATCCTGCTTTTTAAATATTAATAATATTAAAATACTTGCTATTATTTTAATTTTCTCTGTCAACTCAATTTTAAGAAACAACAGATTATAATTCTAAAATAAATTTCATCGTTCAGTTTGGAGTATTTAATTTTTTAAAGAATGATAAATTCATTGATAGTCTTATTTACGTCTTGCTATTTATAAATGGAGTGCTATTGATATATATGATTTTTGGTCTTTTTAGATTCATGTACTGGAAATTTAGGATAATAAACAAGCTGAAAAATAATTTTCAATATGAAATTTAATTGTAATTAGAAGAGTTTATAAATGAAAAAAGCAGCTGCTTAGACTAATTTTTTTCATTGATGATTACTTTTTAACAGTATTTAATTCACTTTCCAAGTATTCTTTTAGGCTTTAATAATTTAAATAACAACAGTGTCTCTTATGCTCTTTTGTCTATTGCTATTTTAATAAGTAACTTAATAATCAATAAATTATTCTTTATTAATTTAATTCAAATACCAATTTCACTATATAAAAAGAACAAATTTTTTGCATTTTACTTTCAATTATTAATTAATTTAATAACATGTTTGTTTTTTTAATTTACTAAGATTTGGTCACTTCTGATACAGACTATAATTATGAAATTAAACTTAAGGACTATTTAGCAAAACCTTACACTCTCTAAAATTTTTTATTTAAGTTCTTAGCAGAAGTTTTTATTATAGCAGCAATAGTTTATACACCAGAAGGCTCAAATTCTATACTATCTTGCTATTTTCTTATAAGTGGGTTATCTTCTCAATTTATCTCTTACTTTTATGATAAGTTTTCATAACATATAAACCTGTTTACTCATTTCACCTTATTTTTCATGAGCCTCACTCTCTAAATTTATATCTAATATAATTTTCCTAGTTAATTGTTAACTTACCTTTTTATGATTTATATACCTTTAAGCTATAAAATAGCTTCTATAATAGTTGAAAGAGACTATTAGAATATGCAAAACAGCTTTCAATCAGTGCCAGAATAAATATAAAATAATGAGAAAAATTTAGATAGAATTCTAAGATTAAATATTTTTGACAACATTGAGAATTCAAAGCAAAATGAGAAAAAATATTTTTAATTTTTAAATTTAATTACAAATAATTATTTATCAAACCAAAATAAGTTTATTAGTTCTACTAAAGATACAAACAATCTTAACTAAAAATTCTAAAATAATTTTTAAATTTATGAAAGTGATTATTTTTAAGAATAAAATAATCAAAAACTCCAATAAAATAGCTAATAAACTAATTTATTTGAAGACGTTAATAAATTAAAATAGATTGAAAAAAATATAATTAAATTATTGAAAGATTAATTTTTGAAAATTTCAAACGAAAATTTAAGAAGCAAAGATAATAGAACAAAAATTCTTCGAAGCATTTTTATATTTTTAATAGAAATAAGTGATTCATATAGAATATACTTCCTTAAATATTTATAATTGATAAAAAGTAACAATTTGTCTTTAAAGTAGCAATAAATATTTAAATCTATACATAGTATATTTTTAAAAAAGAGAGCTGTAGTAAGAAAGACAATGGGAAAAACCAATCCATTTGATAGCTCTTACTTACAAGTCATAATTTTTGAAAACAAACTTGAAAAGTCCTATTCCATATTGCGCTAAACTATTAATTTAAAATTATAAATACTAAGCATGATGAAACAAAAAAACATAGTTGCTAAGCAGTTAATTACGAAAATTGAAAGTCTGCAAAATTAAATAAATTTATTGAAAGTAAATTTAAATTATTTAATTTAATTAAATGATGACAGCTTGGAACTTTTGAATCTGCAAGCACTATTTTTGGAAAACTTGAGCTTTTCTGAAAAAGATATAAATTTACTTCAAATCAACAAATACAGAAAAAAAGGCTTAAACTAAAAATATTTAAACAGGTAAAATGAAGATGACATTTTAAGTAGTATGATTAACAGCGATAAATTTGATGAAAAAACTTGTATAATTTTTGCAAGTTACAAAGATACTGAAACCTTAACAATAAATCAAGTTTCTTCTAATTTTTCTAATTTATTTTGCTTTACAAGTAGAGACCATATCTATGATCGAAATATTGAATCTATTATACCTCTCGTGTTTCAAAGTGTACATAAAATGTATATAAAGTAATATTTAGAAGATTCAATATCATGTGATAATTATTCAAATAATACAGATCAGCAATTATTAGAATAAAACGATCAAGATAATGAAAATGGTTAGAATGAGGTAACTCAAGACAATTAAGCCTTAAATTTTTAATTTAATCGACCAAAATATTTATCAGAGAAATCAACTGGAACAAAAAACTTAAACTAATAATTTGAAAATTGTAAAATGGGTTAGTAGATAATATTTGCATCTTTAAACTAAATGTTTATCTTACCAATTAAAATTGACATTAGAACAAATGAATACCAAGAGAGCGGAACTTTTGGATTAGTAGCTAAATTAAAAAAAATAAATGAAGAATACTAATATATTTTATTCAATGAGACAGATCTAAGTGTTATAGGCCTCACTGAATAAGTGCATGAAATATTCTTTCCTAACTGTAACAACCTCTAAAAAATTAATTTGAGATAAATTTTCCCCTTTTTGAATGGAACTTAAAATAAAACAAAAGTTGAAGATTCTTATGTTTAAAATAACGAAACGATTACCAACATTTCAAATATAAAAAGTTAGTTTCATGCAAATTTAACTGATGATATGCAGTATATCCTTAGAGGATAATCAAAAAATAAATTAAAAATTAAAAACAAATTCTCATTTATAGTTATATAGCATTCAGATGAAATAAATAACACATTAAACTCTTCGTTTAACAATATGAAAAGATTAAATAAAGCTAAATCATATAAAGAAATTTCATCATATAGTTTTAATTATGTAGAATTATTTGTTAGAAAATTAAAATACAAAGGAGTAAATAATGTGAGCTATGTTGAAATAGTAAAAATAAGATAACTTAATCCTGCCAAATAAACTCAAATAATTCTTAAAGAAATCACAAAAATGAAAAAATAAAATATTTATTCTTAACTATTTGAGAATCCAAATGAGCTATAAAATATAATTTCAGATTTAGAATAAAATTAAAATACTAATAGCTACTTATAATTTAATAGTTTTCATACTTAACTTCAATACAGTTGCAGAAATTTTAATTATGGTAATTAATTACAACTTATAAAAGAAAATAATACTCCTACAGATTTTGCATAAGTCGATTTTTATAAATAATAATAACAAATAAATAAGCAGTAAACTTAAAGTGATGAAAGTACTGACCTTGAATAAATTAAAATGGTGTCAAATAGAATTGAATACGAAGATTTGAGTAGCTAATCCAATGGAAGTAGTGGTTTGACTTTAAACCAATTTAATGTATAAAAAGGATTATAAAATTTAAATGAAAAACAGCTCCTTAATTAATTATAGTAGCTGTAAAATAATAATATATAAGAACAAACGCTTATTTAGTCAATTTAAGGAAACTAAGTCAGTAACAGTGATTTGTAAATTAAAGCAGATTTTTCTAATAAAAGCTTGAATCTTTAGAATCTTTAAGAAGATTAATTAAATAAAAATAGCGATCATGCCTTGCCAAGCCCTATAAAATTAAATAAAACAATAAACATTGAACTAATTTCACCAAATAACAGTTATTATATGAATATTAATTCTAATCAATAATCTCTAGCTCAGCTTTCAGATTACAATTTTAACTTTCAACAAATAAAATAACATGAATTTATTTAAAATAAAACTTAAGATAATATCTATTTAGATGTAGAAACTAGTAACCGTGAAATTAATAAAAAATAAAATAATATAATCACTCCTTTAAAAATTAGTAAAATTCCTAGTAAAATGTTTAAGTCGAAAAGTTTTAGAAAAAATAAAGTCAACAATACATTAATTAATGTTTTGAGTAACAAAGAGAAGAAATAATTAATGAAAAGCCCTTATCAACATAATCATACTAATTAGCTATAAAAAGATAAAAATATTATAAAGCAGCATGTTCAAGATATTATTTATGATATTGCTTCTAGCAACTCTCAAAATTCATATTATACTCCAGTGAAGAGATAATTATAACATATTATGGAAGATTAGTCAACTCAAAAAGTAATAAAACTAATAAAAATTATAGGCATTATTTGTTTTAGTATTATGATATGCGTTACCTTTATACAATTTAACTCGATGCAACAGTATTTATCATAAGCTAATTAAGATTACGAAGATTTTAGCTGGCCCACAACTTATTCTTCTTCTTTAAGCGACATCCTTAAATATAAAAATATTTAGTTTCTTTTAAATTATACACAGATAAAATTCCCTAACAGTGACTAAAAGTAACTATTTTATAATCAAATGCAATAAAATATGGAGGATACTTTTTCAGACATATTAAATTTGTTAGCTTAAATGGAATTAGCTAACTCAAAAAGATAAGTATTTAATAGAATAATAGAAAATAAAATGGTTTTTTATTTTGGGTAATTGTATAACCCATAATAACTTAACTAAACTACATCTGATACAGATTTAATAACTTTAAATTATACTACTAACTTACAATATAATGTACTTTTAAATGTTTAAAACATTTTCAGATATATTCATAACTTGGGTAATGGAAGACCTGAATATTATTTAATACAAAATCAATTATAAGCAATTTCTTAATTGAAACAATTATAACAAGATATAAAAGAAAATTAATCGTAATAATAAGAATACATTCTAGATTAGCTCTTAATTATAATCATAATTTTAGTTTTAATTAATACAGGTTGTGTTGCGATCATTATACCTTTATATTATTATATTCAAAAAAAGAGAGACTCTATAATTTACCTATTTACTACATTTCCAATTTACAAGTTAGATAATTTGATCAAAAAAATTTAAAATTCCTACTTAAGCGCAAATAATAACTCAATTTATTAGAATTAAGAGAGCCAAATAATTATAGATACAATTGTTTAATTATAAAGTATCGAGAATGAAAAGAATATCAGGAAATAAAGTATTAGCTCTATCACAAATCTGCCTAGATACAATAAAAAATTACTTTTTGCTTGTTTCTTTATTTATGCATTAATTATATGCTATCCGATAATTGTTAAAATATTAACCACTGATTATTTAACAAAATCTGCTCTAGATCTTTAAACAATATGTAATTAATTAATAATTATAAGCTTTTTTTAATTTTATGCATTCAATTAAAACAAAAAATTTAAGATTTTTTAATTATTTAATAAACAAAAATAAAAATTCTATTTTCTTTTTTTATTAAATTAATAATTTAATTTATTATTATTTTTATAGCGAAAGTCTACTATTTAAGATCATACCTTTTATAGAATATTGCGATGCATTTTAATATTATAGTTATGAAGGTATAACCAGGTCTCAAACCTATGTAGCCTGAAATTTATTATGATTATTTATAAACACTAATTTCATAATAGGAAGATATAAGTAAGGATATCTAATGGATAATAAACTCATAGTATTCAGATTAAAGGTATTTTATTATATTCAAATCTACATTTTAATATCTTTGTTATTTTAATTAATTAAGTAACATTATTTAATTAAATAAATAAATAGATTTAACTAAAATTTATACGATAGCTTCTTTTTTTCTGCTTTTAAAACAAACTTGTGTGAAAATTTTAAGAAATATCCTTAGTTCAACACGAATCCTAAAAAAATAAATATTGATTTTTGTGCTTCATCACAAGAAAAGCTATTATAATAAGGTTTCTAAGTGGCTTATAAAAATCTTTTTAACATGTTTACTGATCTATACAACACTTATTAAATAACAGACAAAAAAATATTAATTGAATAAATCAGATAAATATTAGGAAATTTTGATATTTAGGAATATTCTGCTTTTACTGAGTTTTTGGATGAAACAGTTATTAGTTTAAATCAATTTATCATAACTTAAAACAATACTTTTTATAATCAGATAAAATTATTATTGATTGCATTGATAGCTTTTTAAATGGCGTTAATGCTTTTAATCTTCTTTTTTGGTTGGATTACTTTCAGTAATTATTTGAATGAATAACTTCAAAAAACAAAAAGGTATCTAAAAATTCTTGATGCTAATACTTTAATTGAAAATCAATACATATAAAATTATATTAAAAAAAATATTGTTGTCTGATTGATTGATGATAAAATTATATTTTATTAATTTTAATATTAAGTAGTTTATAATTGTGAAAGAAAATTTTTATAAAGCTTATATATAAAATATCTTAATGTGAAAAATCTATGGATGTTAAATATAATATTTGGTTTCTAAAATGTATATTTTAAAAATAATTAATTTACAAAATTTCTGTGAAATTGATTTTTAAACTTTTATGTTTTACATATTATTAAATACAGTCCAATTTCTCTAAGTTAGATACTTTTGTAAGCTCTTCTATTAGATGGGAAAACTTTTTTATAATTTATGCTTAATTTAGATTTCTGCTTAACTTAATTCGGCTTAACTTAGAGGGATACAGGTAATTACATTTAAAAATATAAAATATCCTATCCCAATAAGTAATTAAATCGTATTTTTAATAGAAAATTTGTTAAACATCAAAAGTTAGTTTATAGTAAGAATATTTCTATTTTTTTCTAATAACTTGTATGAATCATTTTAGTTTTGTCTCAACTTTATTTAAAAATTTAAAAAAATAAATTAGTTAGTATGCAGATTTTTTGAAAATCTCAAAAACAAACAACTAATTTCTTTTACTGGATTAATTCTGCTATTAAAAAGAAAAAAATTATAAATTTGTTTGTATTTATTTATATTTGAAATACATTTTCTTCTTTTTAAAATAATTAAGAATCTGCTAGTATTTTTAAAAATTAAGTTATCTGAATGATTTATTTTTCAATAGAGTTAATAATCAATGATTAAATTTTATTCAACATAATTTTGTTGTTTAAATAAGATATCTCATATATCTTGTTACTAAAATTAGAAACAACGAAATTGGAAAAATTTTATTAAGAAATGTAAATCTGGTTTTCGTGCACCAATTGTTTTAATCTAAGTTCTAAAAATATCAATTTTATGAAAACATTTGATTAACCATAAATTAGAAAGCTTAAAATGTCATATTTAAAATGTAATATATCACATGTAATAGGTCTAGTTATTAAAGTAAACTTTTTCTTGTTAGCCATAATTTAAATTATTTTAAAATATAAAAATGTTTTATTGAATTTTTAGAATGAAATAATATCATAAAAATGTTTTATAATTCATTTTCATTTATATTATACTTCTGAAAGGAATTTAAACATTTTTATGATGATTATTATTTCAAAAGTTAAGATTACAATTTATTGATTGATTGATTGGTCGATTGATTGAAGCTAGTTTACTTTCAATTTATCATCCTATTTTATTAATTAATAATTTGTTATATAATTTAATTTAATAAATTATGTATTTTTTATCATTTTTTTAGTGTAACAAAAGATATTTGCCAACTTAAAATAACTATTTATGTACTTATTTTGATAATCGATTTTATTAAATAAATTAATGTAATTTTAAATAAGTTGAATTATCTCATACATTTTTTATCTCTTTTTATTTCCATTTTTAAAAACCAATAAATTTCTTCAATTAAATCAATCTTATACTAATAAAGTTTAATTAAAATTGGTGGTTTGAATTCATATATTTTTCTTTTATGCTTAATTAATTAAGTAAAATTTTGAAAATTAGGATAATTTATATTTTAATGATTTAGTATTTTAAATCATTTTCACCCACTAATCTAATTTTCAGGCTTTTAATTACTAATCAAAATACCTTACTTTCTTACTCTAATTAAGGTGCTTAATGAAATCAGTTTTTACCAAAAAATTATGCATCTTAAGTTGTACTCTGAGCATATTTTTATGTTCGAGTATTTATATTCTATTATAGTAGTTGCGGTATTTATATCTCAAACCAAGTATTTATAAATATCTAATGAAGATGGACATAAACTATAATTTATTAATATTAAATAAAAACATAAAAAATGAATCAAAAAAGAAATAAATAATTTAAAGTTGCAGAGTTGCTAAAACTCTATTATACTGAGGAGATATATAGATTGGTTCACTTGTTTCCTAGAAATAATCCTGCTTTTTAAATATTAATAATATTAAAATACTTGTTATTATTTTAATTTTCTCTTTCAACTCAATTTTAAGATACTATGGATTATGACTCTAAAATAAATTTTAAGGTCCACATTGGAGCATTTTAATATTTCAAGAACAAAAAATTCACTAATAGTCTTATTTATGTCTTGCTATTTATAAATGGAATACTATTGACATATATGGTGTTTGGGTTTTTTAGATTCGCCTACTTGAAATTTAGGATGATATAAAGGTTGAACAATAATTCTCTTTAAGAAATTTAGTTGGAATTAGAAGAGTTTATAAATGAAAAAAGCAGCTGCTTAGACTAATTTTTTTCATTGATGATTACTTTTTAACAGTATTTAATTCACTTTCCTAGTATTATTTTAGGCTTTAATAACTTAAATAATAATAGTGTCTCATATGCTCTTTTGTCAATTGCAATTTTACTGAGTAACTTAATATTCAATAAATTATTCTTAATTAATTATGTTCTTATTTATTTAAATGCCAATTTCAGCATGGAAAAAGAAAATTTTTTACATTTTACTTTCAAATTATTAATTAATTTAACATATTTTTTTAATTTACAAAAGATATGGTCACCTCTGATACAGATTATAATTATGAAATTAAACTTAAGGACTATTTAGCAAAACCTTTCACTTTCTCTAATTTTCTATTTAAGTTCTTAGTAGAGATTTTTATTATAGCAGCAATAGTTTATACACCAGAAGGCTAAAACTCTTTACTATCTTGTTATTTTCTTTTTAGTGGTTTATCTTCTTATTTTTTCTCTTACTTTTATGACAATTTTTCATAACTAATAAACCTGTTTACTCACTTCTCCTTACTTTGCATGAGCCTCACTCTATAAATCTATGTCTAATATAACTTTCCTAGTTAATTGTTAAGTTTCCTTTTTATGGTTTACATACCTTTCAGCTATAAAATAGCTTCTATAATAGTTGAAAAAGATTATTAGAATTAATAAAATAGCTTTCAGGAACTGTATTAAGAAATATAAAATAATGATAAAAACTTTGATAGAATTTTAAGATTAAATATTTTTGACAATATTGAGAACTCAAAGCAAAATGAGAAAAAATATTTAAAATTTTTGAATTTAATTACTAATAATTAAATATCAAACCCAAATAAGTTTATTAATTCTATGAACGATACAAACAATCTTAACTAAAAATTCTAAAACAATTCTTAAATTTATGAAAGTGATCATTCTGAAGGATAAAATTAGCAAAAGCTCCAAAAAAATAGCTAATAAACTCATTTATTTGAAGATGTTTCTAAATTAAAATGGATTGAAAAAAATATAATGAAATTATTACAAGATTAATTTTTGAAAATTTCTAACCGAAAATTAAGAAGCAAAGATAATGGAACAAAAATTCTTCAAAGTGTATTTATATTTTTAATAGAAATTAGTGAGTCATATAGAATATATTTCCTAATGTACTTATAATTGATAAAAAGCAAGAATTTATCAATAAAGCAGTAATAAATAATTAAATCTATACATAGTATATTTTTAAAGAAGAGAGCTGTAATCAGAAAGAGAATGGGAAAAAAAAATCCATTTGATAGTTCTTACTTACAAGTAATAACTTTTGAAAACAAACTGGAAAAGTCCTATTCCATATTACGCTAAACTATTAATTTAAAATTATAAATACTAAGCATGATGAAACAAAAGCATATAGTTGCTACAGAGTTAGTTTCAAAAATTGAAATTATACAAAGTTAAATAAATTTATTGAAATATAATTTAAATTATTTAATTTAATTAAATGATGATAGCTTGGAACTTTTGAATCTGCAAGCTCTATTTTTGGAAAATTTGAGCTTTAGCGAAAAAGATATAAATTTAATTCAAATCAACAAATATAGAAAAAAAGGCTATAACTAAAAATATTTAAACAAGCAAAATTAGGATTTTGACATGTTAAGCAGTATGGTGAACAGAGATAAATTTGATGAAAAAACATGTATAATTTTTGCAAGTTACAAAGATGCAAAAACCTTAACAATAAATCAAGTTTCTTCTAATTTTTCTAATTTATTTTGCTTTACAAGCAGAGACCATATCTATGATAAAAATATTGAATCTATTATACCTCTTGCATTTCAGAGTGTACATAAAATGTATATAAAGTAATATTTAGAAGATTCAATAACATGTGATATTTCTTCAATTAATACAGATCAGCAATTATAATAAAATGAACAAGATAATGAAAATGATTCGAATGAGGTAACACCAGATAACTAAGCTTAAAATTACTAATTTAACCAATTAAAATATTTATCAGAGAAATAAACTGGCATAAAAAATTAAAACTATGAATTATAAAATTGTAAAATGAATTAGTAGATAATATTTGCCTCTTTAAACTAAATGTTCATCTTACCTATCAAAATAGACATTAGGACAAATGAATACAAAGAGAACGGAACGTTTGGATTAGTAGCTAAAATAAAAAAAATAAATGAAAAATACTAATATATTCTATTTAACGAGACAGATCTAGGTGTTGTAGGCCTCACTAAATAAATGCATGAATTATTCTTTCCTAATTTTAATAATCTTTAAAAAATTAATTTGAGATAAATTTTTCCCTTTTTGATTGATACTTAAAATCAAACAAAAATTGAAGATTCACAGGTTTAAAATAACGAAAGGATTTGCAATTCTACTAATATAAAAAACTAATTTCATGTAAATCTAACCGATGAGATGCAGTAAATCCTTAGTGGATAATCAAAAAATAAATTAAAAATTAAAAAAAAATTATCGTTTATAGTTATATAGCACTCAGATGATAAAAACAACACATTAAACTCTTCATGTAACAATATAAAAAGATTATATAAAGCTAAATCATAGAAAGAAATTTCATCATATAGTTTTAACTATGTATAATTATTTGTTCGAAAATTAAAGTACAAAGGAGTAAACAACTTGAGCTATGTTGAAATAGTAAAAATAAGATAACTTAATCCTGCCAAATAAGCTCAAATAATCCTTAAAGAAATCACAAAAGTGAAAAAATAATATATTTATTCTTAACTATTTGAGAATCCTATTGAGCTGTAAAATATCATTTCAGATTTAGAATTAAATAATAATAATAATAGCTAATTATAATTTAACAGTTTTCATACTTAACTTCAATAAAGTAGCAGAAATTATAATTATGGTAATTAATTACATCTAATAAATGAAAATGATACTCCTATTGATTTTGCATAAGTTGATTTTTATAAATAATACTAACTTACAAATAAGCAGTAAACTTAGAGTGATGAAAGTACTAACCTTGAATAAATTAAAATGATGTCATATAGAATTGGATAAGAGGATTTGAACTGTTAATCTGATGGAGGTAGTAGTTTGACTTTAAACAAATTCAAAGAATAAAAAGAATTATAAAAGTTGAATGAAATAATGCAATTTAATTAGTTGTATTAGCTGCAAAATAATAATTCGTAGGAAAAAAAACTTATTTAGTAAAATCAAGGAAACTAAGTCTGTAACAGTGATTTGTAAATAAAAGTAGATTTTCCTAATAAAAATTTGAATTTTTAAAACCTTTAAGAAGATTAATTAAAAACAAGTAGCTATTATGCCTTAGCTAGTCCTGGAAAATTAAATAAAACAATAAACTTGGAGCTAACTCCAAATAACAGTTATTTTATGAATATTAATTCTAATCAACAATCTTTAACTCTGTTTTCAGATTAGAATTTTAATGTCCAACAAACGAAATAAAATGAATGTATTTCAAATAAAACTTAAGAAAATATCTATTTAGATGTAGAAACTAGTAATCTTGAAATTTATAAAAAATAAAATACTGCAATCAGTCCTTTAAAAATTAGTAAAAATCCTAGCAAAATTTTTATATCGAATAATTTTAGAGAAAAAAAAGTCAACAATACATTGATTAATGCTTTGAGTAACACAGAAAAAAAACAATTTATGAAAAACTCTTATCAACATAATCATTATAATTAGCAAAACAAAAATATTAAAAAGTAGCAAGTTCAAGATATTATTTATGATATAGCTTCAAGCAACTCTCAAAATTCATATTATACTCCAGTGAAGAGTTAATTGTAACATATTATGGAAGATTAATCAACTTTATAAGTAATAAAATTAATAAAAATGATTGGTATTATCTGCTTCAGTATTATGATATGCATCACTTTTATACAATTTAACTCGATGCAATAGTATCTGTAATAAGCTAATTAAGATTATAAAGATTTTAGTTGGCCCACAACTTATTCTTCATCTTTAAGTGACATCCTTAAATATAAAAATATTTAATATCTTGTTAATAATACAAACATAAAATTCCCAGACATTAACTAATAGCAAATTTTTTATAATCAAATGCAATAAAATATGGAGAATACTTTTTCAAATGTATTACGATTGTTAACTTAAATGGAAATGGCTAACTCACAAAGAACAGTGTTTAATAGAGTAATAGAAAATTAAATTGTTTTTCATTTTGAGCAATTATATGATCCATAATTACTTAACTAAATTACATCTGATACGTAGTTAATAAGCATAAATTATACTACTAACTTACAATATAGCATACTTTTAAATGTTTAAAACATTTTCCACTATATTCATAACTTAAGTAATGGAAGGCCTGAGTATTACTTAATATAAAATCAGTTAGAATAAATTTCTTAATTAAAAAAATTATAACAAGAAATAGAACAAAGCCAATCATAATAATAAGAATACATTCAAGGTGAGCTCTTAATTATAATCTTAATTTTAGTTTTAATTAATACAGGCTGTGTTGCGATCATAATACCATTATATTATTATATTCAAAAAGAAAGAGACTCTATAATTTACCTGTTTACTACATTTCCAATTTAAAAGTTAGATATTTTGATCAAAAATATTTAAAATTCCTACTTAAGCACAAACACTAGCTCAATTTATTAGAATTAAGACAACTAAATAATTTTAGATACAATTGTTTAATTATAAAGTATCGATAATTAAAAGAATATCAGGAAATAAAGTATTAGCTCAATCACAAGTCTCCCTAGATACAATAAAAAATTACTTTTTGCTTGTTTCTTTATTTATGCATTTATTATATGCTACCCAATAATTGTTTAAATCTTAACTACTGATTATTTAGCAAAGTCTGCTGTAGATCTTTAAACAATATGTAATTAATTAATAATAAGCTTTCTTTAATTTTATACATTCAAATAAAAACAAAAAATTTAAGTTTAAAATATTAAAACAAAAAAAAAATTTATTTTCATTTTTTATTAAAATAATAATTTAATTTATTATAATTTTAAAGAGAAAGTCTACTATTTAAGATCATACCTACTATAGAATATAGCGATACATTTTAATATTATAGTTATGAAGGCAAAACCAGGTTTCAAGCGTATGTAGCCTGAAATGTATTATGATTATTTATAAACACTAATTTCATAATATGAAGATATAAGTAAGGATATCTAATGGATAATAAACTCATAGTATTCAGATTAAAGGTATTTTATTATATTCAAATCTACAGATTAATTTAATTAGAATTTTTTAATTTTGCAAAGATAAATAATTAAATAAATATCTTTGTTATTTTTATTTTGTAACTTTATTTAAATATATATATATAAATAAATAGATTTAACTAAAACTTATATGATAGCTTCTTTTTTTCTGCTTTTAAAACAAACTTGTGTGAAAATTTTATGAATTATCCTTAGTTCAATACAAATCCTAAAAAAATAAATATTGGTTTCTGTGCTTCATCACAAGAAGAGCTCTTATAAAATGGCTTCTAAGTGGCTTACAAAAGTCTTTTTATTAATCTATTTACTGATTTATACAACATATATTAAATAACAGACAAAAATAAATAATTTGAATAAATCAGATAAATATTAGGAAATTTTGATATTTAGGAATTTACTGATTTTTCTGAGTTTTTGGATGAAACAGTTATTAGTTTAAATCAATTTATTTTAACTTAAAATAATACGTTTTATAATCATATAAGATTATTATTGATTGCATTGATAGCTTTTTAAATGGTGTTAATGCTTTTAATCTTCTTTTTGGGTTGGATTACTTTCAGTAATTATATGAATGAATAGCTACACAAAACAAAAAGGTATCTAAAAATTCTAGACGCTAATACTTTAATTGAAAATCAATATATATAAAATTATATTAAAAAAAATATTGTTGTTTGATTGATTGATGATAAAATTATATTTTATTAATTTTAATAATATTTATTGTTAAAGGAAATTTTTATAAAGTTGAAATATAAATCTTTTAATGTGACAAATCTATGTCAATTATAATATTTTGTTTCTAAAATGAGTATTTTATAAATAATTAATTTACTTTCTAAGCAAATTGATTTTTTATCTTATATATTTTACATATTTTTAAATATAGTCTAATTTCTCTAATTTTAATACTTTTGTGTAATACATATCATATATGATGAGATAAATTTTTAATTTTGCTAGAATAGATTGATTGGTTGATGGCTATTCAAGCTTTTAAAAGTGAGGATCTACAATATATTTAAAATTAATTAAATAAAGTATTAATTATTTTTTAGTAGTACATTTGATTAAATAAAAATTTGTAAATTTTATATTAATTCTATTTGGTTTTAGAACCAAGAAAATGATAATAAAAATATTCAAAATTACATCAAAAAAGATGAAATGTATGTATATGTATCTCTTTAAATTTAAAATAAGATATACTTTTACTTTGATAAATATCTAATTTTACTTTACAAATGATTATAGAACTAAATATTAATTAGATTTTAATTAAGTAAAATAAATAATCTTAAGCAACTATAACTAATACTTCTCAAGAATTATTATTATTACATCAATAGTAAATTTATTTTTAGCACAGAATATTACAAAATATTGTAAATCGGTGTAGATTAGCTTTTAAAAAGATGTATATGATATTAAATTTAAATATTTAAGTAAGTAATATACTAAGCAATTATCAAAATTACAATAAATTCTGCTAGTATTAAATTAAAAGATATTACTTAGTAAAACATAGAACTACTATTCTAATAAATTCTAAAGACTTAATAAATTTACAATTAATTTCATAATTTAACTTACAAATTTACTATTTTTAGAATTGGAATTAGAAGTAAATTAAATAATATTTTTGAAGTAGTTAAATATGCGATTTAGATTAATTTATTTATTTATCTTTTGCAATAGCTAAGTCTTTTATAATAATTTAGAAGTGATTAATTTAATTAATTTTGAATGAATTTTAATTACTATTTTTGAGGTTAGAACCTGCGTTTAACTTTCTCCATATATATATGCTACCTTATGTATCTATTTATACTTTTTAAGAAATTTTATTTATTTACTTATGTGATCTCATAGAGTTTGTAGCTAGATGAAAATAATTTAAATAGTTCAATATCAAATCATTTTTGAATTTAAAAAATCGCATAATATTATATTATCCTTAATTCAGGATAAGTAGAGCTTGTAATTTAATTAAATTATTATTTTTAACTTATTAGGGCATTTTAGTTACAATTTAATTTAGTCTGTAGAAAAATCAATAATTATTGCTAAAATATGTAAATTAAATTAATAAATAAATAAAAACCACAATATTTCAGCAAAATGTTTATCTTGCAAATTAATAATAAATCTAGCAAATATGTCTATAAATAAATATTTAAGCATACGATTGATTATATGAGTTAAACACAATTAGAATTTATTTCTTTTAAAATTTATTTTAAATTAACATTTTTTGTTTGCTTTAATTTGTATTAGAGTTATTTTTTATGCATGCATAATGTCAGCATACTTATAAGATTAATAGTTTGCGTGGGCTTTACTTTATCTTGTCTAATACACTTTAAAAAATAGAAAAGATTGATTGAAAATGAGATTGTTTCATGCTTATTATAGCAATTTTTAATTGGTATCAAATTCTTTTACAATTTCTAATTTTTATTCCATATTTTACTGAATTAATAACAATCGTAAATTTAATTACTTCTATCACAGTATTATTGCTTGATTTCAAAAATTATATACTTCTTAGCTTAAAATAGGAATTATATTTAAAAATGCTTATCTTTTTTAAATCTTGAATGAACTAATCTCATTTTTATCTAGTGAATTTTGTAAATATTTTATAAATTTGTTTTGTTTTATAACTTTTAAAAGACATTTAACAAATTAATTATTTTTATTAACAGAAAATTAAAAAACATGCTTAGGTATGATTCAAATTTTAATATGCCTTTTTATAAAGTGAAAGCAAGCAACATATGATTTAAATTATTTCCTATTTTTCGATTATTTGATAACATTAAAATAAATATTTTTAAAAATATAATAAGGAATAAATAGGTAAAAAAGTAATTCCAGTAAGAAATAATAATTATCTTATTAACAGCGAATTTAGTCAAATTAAATTAAATCTATAAAATATATATTTGCATTTGTATTTATTAAAAAAGTTTTTAAACGATTAAATCAAATAAATTGTTATGTTTTACTTATTCCTAATTAATCAGTAATCAATCGTTAGAAGAAAAAGATAAAAATTAGCAAACATGTAATTTTTATTATTAATAAAATATCAAATGTGTTTTTATTAAAATCTAAATTAGTAGTGAGTCTATAATTTATTATTGCTTGAAAAATAAATAATCACTCTGAAAATAATTAAATAAATAAATTAAATGAATTAGGAAAGTAAAAACAAAGAAAATAATTTAGCAAATTTTTTAAAACTCTATTATACTGAAGAAATTTATAGGCTAGTTCACTTATTCCCTAGAAATAATCCTATATTTTCAATATTTATTGTTATTAAATATTTACTACTATTTTACTTATCTTTACAAAGTAACTTTTAAGAAATCACACAAAATGGCTTTGGATTTAATCATTAGAAATAAAATGGAATAATTCATTATTTGCTAAATAACGATTTGATAGATAAATTAATCTATGCATTGCTAGCTATAAATGGCATGCTTTTGATTTACATAATATTTACAATGATTAGATTTATTAACATGAAATTAAAGTTATCTAACTAAATTTAAATGAAATTCAATCCAGACATACACTTTTAAATTGAGGAAAATTAAAATGAAAGTAGTAGCGTTTTAGATTAATCATTTTCATTAATGATAACAGTTTATTAGTATGTTATTTATATACCAAGTATAGTTTCAAGCTTAAATAACTTAAATAAAAACCCAGCCTCTTATGCACTTTTATCTATTGCAGTCTTACTTAGTAATTTTTTAAATTAAAAATTTTCATAATTAGCTTATATTAAACGTAATAATGGACAAATATAATTGTAATTTTATTAAAATAAACAAATTTTTTTATTTATTTTTTGATATTTTTAATCAAATTAATTTAATACTTTTATATTTTATAGATATTATCATTTCTGATACAGATTATAATTATGAAATTAAGATTAAAGATTACTTAGCAAAACCATTCTCTATCTTAAATTTCTCCTTTAAAGCCATTGTAGAGTTTTTTGTTTTAGTAGCAATAACATTTGTTCCTGAAGGCGAAAGTGCTTTGTTATCTTGTTATTTCATTATAAATGGAATAAGTTCTTATTTTTTAGCTTATTATTATGTAGAATTATCATAACTTCTAAACCTCTTTACTCATATCGCCTTATTTTGCATGAGCGTCACGTTATAAATCTGCATTTCATATAGCATCTCTAATTAAATATTAGGTTATCTTTTTATAATTTTAATACCTTTTAGCTATAAAATAGCTTCAATAATTATCGAAAGAGATCATTAGAGTTTGCTAAATGACTTTCAACAATTGTATGAATAAAAATAAAACAGTGATAAAAACATAGATAGAATCATAAGATTAAATATTTTTGACAACATTGAGAACTCAAAATAGAATGAAAAAAGATATTTAAAATTTCTTAATTTAATTTCGAATAGTAACTAATCAAAGTAAACGAAATTAATCAATTCTAAAAAAGAATCTGAATATTTTATTTAATATTTTCAAAAGAAAGAATTACTTTCTGAATCTAATGCTCCTGAACAATAAACATAAAATCAGATTTCATCAAACTATTAACAAAATCTCTTATTTGAAGATGTTTACTAATTAAAACTTATTCAAAAAAAGGTCATAAAGATTTTAAGAGATTCATTTATGAAAATTTCAAATAATAAAGAAAGAAACAAATAAAATGGAACATAAAGTTTAATTAATTAATTTATTTTTTTAATAGAAATAAGTCATTCGCATAGAATATATTTCCTTAAATTCTTTCAATTTACAAAAAGCAATAAGCTTTCTATCAAGTAATAGCAGCTTTTTAACTCTATACATTAAATATTTTTAAAGAAAAGAGCAGTCCTAAGAAAGAGAATGGGGAGAGCTAATCCATTTGACTGCTCTTATTTGTAGGTAATAATTTTTGAAAAGAAACTTGAAAGATCCTATTCCTTATTGCGTTTCACTATCAATTTAAAACTACAAATCTTATGTATGATGAAGTAAAAGGAGATTATTGCTACTGAATTAATTTCGAAAATAGAAAGTATGCAAAAATTAATTAAGTAATTAAAAACAAATCTAAATTACTTGATTTAATTGAATGACGATAGTTTAGATCTTTTGAATCTCCAAGCTCTATTTTTGGAAAACTTGAGTTTTTCAGAAAAAGACATTAATTTAGTCTAAGTAAATAAATACAGAAGAAAGTAAACTAAATATTTTAACCCACTGAAAGAAGATGAAATGTTAAGCAGTATAATTAACAGTGACAAGTTTGATGAAAAAACTTGTATTATTTTTGTGAGTTACAAAGACTCTAAAAAAATGCAAATAAATCATGTTTCTTCAAACTTTTTTAACTTGTTTTCCTTTACAAACAGAGAAAATATATAAGGACGTAGTATTGAATCTATTATACCTTTAGCGTTTTAAACTGCACACAGAAATTATATAAAAGAATATTTATTAGAAGAAGTAACAAGCAATATGTATTCAAATGATACGGAACAACCATAAGATAGAGGAATTATTTAAAATCAAAACAGCTAATTATAATAAAAACTATTTGACCAGTAATAAGATTTTTAATTTGATTAATCAGAATAATTATCAAAAAATCAGGCAATAGAAGAAATTTTGATGTATTAATCAAGAGGTTCTAAAATGAATAAATAGATTATATTTGCTTCTTTAAATTAAATGTTTGTTTTACCTGTGAGAGTAGATATTCGAACAAACGAATTTAAAGAAAACAAAACGTTTGGTTTAGTGGCTAAAGTAAAATAGATCAATGAAGAGTGTTAATATGTTCTTTTCAACGAAACAGATTTAAGTGTTATCGGGCTTACTGAATAATTGCATGAAACCTTCTTTCCTACTTGCGAGAATTTATAAAAGATTAATTTAAGAGAGATTTTCCCATTTTTAATAAGCCCTAAAAATAGAGTAAAACCCTTAGAGGATATCGAAGCAATTGATATGAAAAAGAAGCTACATATTAATTTAAGTAACGATATGGAAGATTTCCTTAAGGATCAAGTAAAAAATTAATTTAAAAAAAAAAATAAATTAGCTTTTATAGTCATCCAAAATTAAGATATGACAAGCATTACTTTAGCGTCTTCTTTAAAAAGCAGTAAAAATAAGTATAGTGCAAAAAATCTTAATAAAATAAAGTCAACAAAAGAAATATCATCATACTGTTTTACTTATCTTGAGCTTATTATTAAAAAATTAAACTATAGTGGAATCAACAACATTAGTTATATTGAAATCGTTAAAATTAGATAGATAAATCCTATTTTATAAGCTCCTTTTATTTATTAAGAAATTACTAATACAAAAAAACAAAATATATATTCTCAGTTTTTCAGTTTTCCAGAAGAATTTTAAAATTTAATATCTAATTTAGAATAATAAACAATTAATTATTATCCTATAAATTCTATTGACTCTTAATTTAACTTTACTTCAAGATACTAGAATTAAACAAAAAATGGTGATGAACAAAATAATATTCTTCTTTCATAATAATAACTTTAAAAATCTTAAGATGATAGCATAAATCTAAAGTAAATTAAATTATAAATAAACAAACTTGAGAACGAAGATACAACTTGTTAAGAAGATTTTGAATTTTGCAATTAACAATTTAATTAATTGATAGAATAAAATAATGACAAAAATTAGAAACAATTTGGTAAACTTTAGTGCAATTTTAACTTGCCATAATAACATTCAATACAAAATATTAATCGATAAGACTCCTAATTTATATAATCGCTATAAGAAATATAATAAATAGATTATGAAGAAGGGGAAAATCATTTAAACAGAACTAATTTAGCATTTAAAGATAATAGTGTGCATAGAATACAAGATGATTAATAGCACTTTAATAACAATTACGCTTTACTTTCTCCTTGTAAATCAGATAAAACACTAAATATAGAGCTAGTTTCTCCAGTTAATAGCAGCTGCATAAACATTTTTCCAAACTAATAATCACTCACTAATTTATCTCATTAAGATCTCAAATCTCATTAAACTAAAGAAACTTCTTAATAGGATTTAGAATGTATTAAAAATTAATACACCTAAATCTTTAACAAGACAAATACTTACTTAAAAAAGATAAAAGAAAAAACTAAATCTTATAGATCTAGAAATGCAAACAAAAACACATCTCCATGCAGATTAGCTAATGCTCTAGATAAACAACATTAACGCTAATTAAATAATTAATTTAATTTTGATAAATAAAACAATGTGAATCTAATAGACAAAAATAAGAAAAAAAAGTAAATTCAAAATATACAGTATGATATAGCTTCTACTAACTCTAAAGATTCAAGTTCTGCTTCAGCAAAAAGATAGCTTTACTAGATTATGGCTGATAAATCAATTCTTTAAGTGATTAAAGTTATTAAAATGATTGGTATCGCTTGCTTTGCTGTAATGGCATGTATGACTTGGGTGTAGTTTATCTCTATGGAATAAGACTTAAGAGAAGCTAATGAAGATTTTCAAGTTTTTAACTGGCCTACAACTTATTCCTCTTCATTAAGTGATATCCTTAAATATAAGAATACTTAATATCTTATTCAGTTCTCAACATAATTAGATTTTCCAAGTATGGAGCAAAGATTAAACTTCTACAATAGAGTTTAATCAGAAATGGATCTGACTTTAACTGAGGTTTATGAATTACTGTCTGAAATGTTAAAAGCAAACACAAAAAGAAAAGTATTTTAGTAAATAAGAGAAACTAAAAGCTTTTATATTTTTGGATAATTGTATAATACAACGCTCTTAAGCTCCGTTCCTTCTGATAGTGTGGAATTAATCAGTTTTAATCATGATACAAGCTTACTTTCAAGTATACTTTTAGGGCTTTAACTAACCTTTAGATATGTAAATAATTTAGGTAATCGAAGACCTGAATATTATTTAATATAAAATTAACTATCAGCAATTTCATAATTGCAATAGGTTTAAAATAACATTCTAATATAATAATAAAATGATTAACAGTATATTGAAGAGTAGTTAAGCATTTTAGTTATTATTTTGGTTGTAGTTAGCGCAGCATGTGTAGCAATTATAATTCCCCTCTACTTTTATATCCAAAAAGAAAGAGATTCTATCATATATCTTTTAACTACTTTTCCAACAATTAAAATGGATAGCTTAATAAAGAATATATAAAATTCGTATTTTAGTTAAAGCATCTAATCATAATACTACCAAAACCAAAATGACCATTAATTATTAGATTCAATAGTCTCATTGTAAGTTTTAAATAATGATAAAAATATTCGGACTTAAAATATCAGTTCTATCACTCGCCTACCCAGATATAACAAAAGTCTGATTTTAGCTTCTTTATGCGTTTATATATTAATGATATGCTATCCTATCATTGTTAAAGTATTAACATAAGACTATTTGAATAAAACTACTATAGATCTCAAAACAATGAGTAAATATTTTATATTCAATTTTATTTTTTTTTAAATTATTTTATTTTAGTTTAAATTAAGCATTTATAAATTTAAATTTCTGTAAAGCGTATAGTGTATCAGGCGGACGCCGCGCATGTGCACAAAATAATGTGATATATAGCTAATCCTGATAAATTTTAAAAATATTTAATTTTAATTCGTTTGATATAAATTTTATGAATGCGCACAATGAGTGCACTAATTATAAAAACAAAATTATTTGAGCCTAAATTTTTGCAAAACACTTACTATGCATTCAAATTAAATTAAAATTCTTTAATATAATTGTTAATCATATTCAAAAATTAATTTAAATAACATTTTATTTTTTTAAAAGTGAAGGTTTATTATTTAAGGTCTTACCTTTTGCAAAATATGGCAATGCATTTTAATATTTTAACCATGAAAGTTAATCCTCGACTTAAGCCTATGAAACCTGATATATATTATGAGTATTTATAAACTCTCATAAAATAATAGGAAGATATTTACAATGATATTTAATGGGTTTCTAAATCTTAATATAAAGATAAAAGGTATTTATTTATTCATGATATTTAAATTATTTTTTTACTGATCACTAATTTAAATAAATAGATTTAATCAAGAAGAATATGATGATTTTTTTTTCTCTACATTTAAAGGTAATTTATGTGATAGTTTTAGGAATCATCCTTAATACAACACTAATTCAACAAGAATTAATGTTGAAATGTGCAATTAATCATAATAAGGATTCTTGTCATAAGGCCTACAAATAGCTTTTAAAAACCTCTTTAACTCATTTAGCGACTTATATAACTTGTATATGATATAAGACCAATCTGAATAACAATCTTAAATTTCTAATTTTTTATCTAAATTTGACATTTAAGGTTTCACAGATTTTACTGAATTCATAGATGAAACGATTATTAGCTTGAATTAATTTATATTATTGCAAGGAAATAATTACTATTAACAAATAAAAATATGGTTGATTGCTTTAATTGGTTTTCAAATTGTTTTGATGGTACTGATTTTTTCTTTTGGATGGAATTCTTTCACTAACTATTTGAATGGTTAGCTTCATAAAACTAAAAACTATTTACAAATTCTTGATGTTAATACATTAATAGAAAATCCTTATATTTTAACTTATATTAAAAAAAATACAGTAGTTTGATATAATAAAATATAATATTTATATTTATTTTGTGAACATTATATTTATTCAAAATAAAATTATTAAGTTTTTTTATCTTTGTTAATAAGTTTTAAAAAACTTTCCTTAAATTTCGTTATAATTTATCTTAAATTTTGTTTAGTTCTATTAAATTATATACAAAATTTAGCTTCAACGAAGCTCAATTTAATTTAAGGTTCTCTAAAATCTTAATAGGTAGAAAGCATATTTATTAATAAAAAACTATTATTGTAAAGGTAAACAAGCATAATTATTTATATGAAGATCTTTTGAATTTAATATCATTATCTTCTGGCTCAAAAAATTTAGAAAAGTATGTTTTGCTTTATATATTTTATTTATATGCATTTTAGCATTAAAAAAAATATTTGGAAATATTACTAGCAAGGCTAAATAAATTATTACTATATTAATTACCCTAGTTACTCTTTAATTAAGGACAAACTCAAATCAAAAATTTTTATAAAATTTAGTCCTATGATCAATGCTGAATCATCGTAGGTTTTGTTTGGGAGTGGCATTAATATATGAGGAATTACAGTTTATATATTTTTTATGAAAGTAATCTTCATTTATTTGTGTATTTAAATATCAATTTTTTTTAGATCGAACTACCTGCGATTTTATAAAAAATAAAAAGATGTTTTAAGTTTTTGCTTTTAACTCATAAAATTTAATTTAGATTTCCTAATTAAGAAAGAAGAAAGAAATATTTTAAGAGTTTTTTGTTTAACTTGACACAAATTAATTTAGGAAGAAAAAAAAAATGACTTGTAAAATATACAGTAGATGGTAAAAAAGTATCAAATGATTTAAACATAATTATATGTTTGAATTGTATGCGTAGATAAATAGGAAATATAATTAAATTTTATTATTAGAACAAAATTCTTAATTTTTATTGATATTAAATTCAAGGATATAAAATGACAATTTTTTACTCTCGTTGAGTTAAGTGAATATTTTTAGAATTTAAAAAAATGAATATTGCTATCTAATAATTCAAGAATAATCAATATTTAATTTATTTATGATGTTTATCAACTAAATCTTTTATAATAAAGTAAGAAAGAGTTAACACTATTAATTTATCTTATTAAAAATATTAATATTTTATATTAATGAACTTAAATGCACTTTTCTTTGTCAATCGTTAATTTTTTTAAATTACTATATTAAATTGATTTCATAGGGTTTGTTTATGTACAAATGAATAAGTATTATACTTACTTTGAGTTAAATTAAAATTTATTGACATATTTTATAAATTGTCCAAAGGTATTAATTTTATTTAATGTGCATTCCAGTTAGCTGATAATTTTAATATATTTTAAATTATTTTATATTTATTACTCAGATTAATAAATATACCTATTATTACTTTAGACAGTAATATAAAAAAACGACTAAAAATTCAATCTGTAAACTAAACTAAATTAATCAAAAATGACCACAGTCTTTAATTATTAACAGACTTCAACCACATGGATATTTTGTTAATTAAATTAACAAAAGATTAAAACTTAACCATCTATTTAAAGAAATGAGCATTTAACCATAAAAAAAAAAGATTTTAAATTTGTTTAAGAGTTAGTTTTTATTGATATGAACTTACAATAGGTATATTTGATTATGTTACATTTGAAAATCTTTTGATTCTTAATAAATAATTATTGCGAGAAAAATAATAGTTTAAATGGACTTCTCTTGAATTTTATCTAGTACAGTTATTACTATAAAAAATATATAATCAATATCACATTTTGCTAAAGCTAAGACAACGATTTAGAATAGGTATCTAACTGATTTTTAATTTTTAACTTTTTTTCCATATTTTACTGGAGTAATTCCAACTCTAAATTTAATTGATTCTCTCAAAAAGTCTTTCTTACAATAAATTTATCTTTTTAAATTTATTATTTAAAAAGAAGAAAGTATTCAATTTATCACTTAAATGTTAATAATTCTATTAAAATAAAACATAATAATAAAGTTGTAATTTTAATATATTTTTTGTTTCTACTCATTTTTATTATAAAGGGTGATCAAAAAGGTAGTGAGTTTTATTTTTTGCGTTTTTAATGAAGAATCAAGTGTTATTACTTCAATTGACCAAACTTTATGCCTTAAACAAAATTGATCTATAAAGAAGTATTTTATTGAAATTTTTATCATGGATCTTTTGATGAAAATTATTTCCATATAGAAATAATCAATATGTTATTAACAGTAATACTTGTAGTATTATATTAAAAATTTTAAGTATATAAATTTGCATAGATTAAAAAATTTTTAAAGCAACTTAATCATTTAATATTACTGTAATTTAATTATTTTTAGATTATCAGTAATCACAAGGGAAAAAAGCAATAACCAAAAAAGAATGCGATTTTAATAACTAATGCAACATCAAATTTATTTTTATTAAATTTCAAGCAAATTAATTAGCCTGTAATTTAATATTACTGAAAAAATTATATATTCCAAGAAAAATGAATTAAGAAAAAAAGAAATAAGTTAAATTTTCTGAGCATTTTAAACTCTATTTTACTCAAGAAGTTTATAGGCTAGTACACTTATTCCCTAGAAATAATCCCACATTTTCATTATTTATTGCTTTAAAATACCTGCTACTATTTTACCTGTCTTTATAAAATATCTTTTAAAAAATCACAGAAAATGATTCTCAATATAATTCTTCGAAATCAAATGGATTAATTAATTATTTGCTAAATAACGATTTGATAGATAAATTAATCTATGAATTGCTAGCTATAAATTGCATGCTTTTGATCTACATAATATTTACAATCTTTAGATTTATCAACTTGAGATTAAAGTTATCAAACTAAATTCAAATGAAATTCAACCCAGACATTCACTCTTAAATTGAGGAAAATTTAAATGAAAACAGCAGTTTTTTAGATTAATCATTTTCGTTAATGATATCAGTTTATTAGTATATTATTTATATCCCTAGTATTATTTCAAGTTTAAATAACTTAAATAGAAATCCAGCATCTTATGCGCTTTTATCTATTGCAGTCTTACTTAGTAAAATTTTTAATTAAACTTTTTCTTAATCAGTTTATATTTTATGATATTTGAAATAATACGCAAATAGAATTGTAATTATATTCATATAAACAAATTTTTTTATTTCAAATTTATTTATTAATTTAACATAATTTTATTTAATTATTTATAGATATTTTCATTTCTGATACAGACTATAACTATGAAATTAAGGTTAAAGACTACTTAGCAAAGCCATTTTCTATCTTAAATTTTTCTTATAAATCAATAGCTGAAATATTTATCTTAGCAGCTATAATTTTTGCACCACAAGGCGAGAGCGCTATATTATCTTGTTATTTTATTATAAATGGACTTAGTTCGTATTTTTTTGCTTATTTTTATGAAGAGTTTTCATAGCTTATAAACCTATTTACTCACATAGCCTTACTTTGCATGAGCTTTACTTTATAAATATGCATTTCTTATAACATTTCTAACTAATTTTTGAGTTATCTCTTTATCATTTAGATACCCTTTAGCTATAAAATAGCTTCTCTAATTATTGAAAGAGATTATTAAAATTTGATAAATAATTTTCAATAATTGTATAAATAAAAATAAAGTAATGACAAAAACATTGATAGAATTATAAGATTAAATATTTTTGGTATCATTGAGAACTCAAAATAAAATGAAAAAAGATATTTAAAATTTCTTAATTTAATATCCAATAGTAACAAATCAAAGGAAACAAAACAAATGAATTCTAAAGAAGAGTCGGACTATCTTTATCAAAGTTTTCAAAAGAAAGAATAATTTATTGAATGTAATTACCCTGAACAATAAAACGAATAAAAAGATTTATCCAGCCAATAAATTCTTTTGTTTGAAAATGCTTATTAATTAAAATTTATTCAAAAAAAGATAATTTAAATTTTGGGAGATTCATTAATGAAAACTTCAAGTAACAAATTAGGAAGCAAAGAAAATGGAACATAAAGTCTCCTTAATTTGTTTATCTTTTTAATAGAAATAAGTAATTCCCATAGAATGTATTTCCTTAAATTCTTTCAATTAACGAAAAAGAACAAGCTATCGATCAAATAATAGCAGTAATTTAACTCTATTCATTAAATATTCTTAAAGAAAGTTGCTGTTCTAAGAAAGAGGATGGGAAGAGCTAATCCATTCGATTCCTCTTATTTACAGGTTATAATTTTTGAAAACGAACTTGAAAGATCTTATTCTTTATTACACTTCACAATTAATTTAAAATTGCAAATACTAACAATGATGAAATAAAAGGAGATTATTGCTACTGAATTAATTTCGAAAATAGAAAGTATGCAAAAGTTAATTAATTAATTAAAAGTAAATTTAAATTATTTGATCTAATTGAATGATGATAGCTTTGATCTTTAGAACCTCCAAGCTCTATTTTTGGAAAATCTGTGCTTTTCAGAAAAAGATATTAATTTAGTCTAAATTAATAAATATGCAAGAAAGTAGACTAAAAATTATAATTTATTTAAGGAAGATGAAATGTTAAGCAGTATTATTAACAATGATAAATTTGATGAAAATACTTCAGTGATTTTTGTGAGTTACAAAGACTCTAAAAAAATGCTTATAAATCAAGTTTCCTCAAACTTTTTTAACTTGTTTTCTTTCACAAATAAAGAAAATATAATAGGACGTAGCATTGAATCTATTATACCTTTAGCGTTTTAAGCTGTACATAAAAGTTATTTAAAATAATATCTATAAGAAGAGATAACAAGCGATATTTTTTCAAACTATATTGAATATTAAAATTAAGGAATTAATTAAATTAAAGGCAGCTAATAATAACAAATACATATTAACCAGTAATAAGATATTTAATTTGATAATTTAGAATAATTATCTAAAAAGGAGACAAAAGAAAAAATTTTAATGTATTAATCAAGAGGCTGTAAAATGAATCAATAGATTATATTTGCATCTTTAAGTTAAATGTTTGTCTTACCTGTTAGAATAGATATTCGTGTCAACGAGTTTAAAGAAAATGAAGTTTTTGGTTTAGTGGCTAAAGTTAAATAAATCAACAAAGAATACTAGTACGTTCTTTTTGATGAAACAGATTTAAGTGTTATTGGACTCACTGAATAAATGCATAAGACTTTCTTCCCTAGTTGTGAAAATTTATAGAAAATAAATCTAAAATAGATATTTCCATTTTTGATTGGCACTTAAAATAGTGTAAATCCTTAATCATATATAGACCCAGTTAATAATAATAATAATAATAATATAAAAAATTAACTGCATATAAATTTGAGAGACAATATGTAAGATTTTCTTTAGGATCAAACAATTAATTAATTTAAAAATAATAACACGATAACTTTTTTAGTCATCTAAAATTCAGATATGATAAATCCTGCTTTAAATTCTTCGTTAATGAGTAGTAAAAAGTAATAAAGTATGAAAAAGCTAAATAGATTGAAATCAACAAAAGAAACTTCATCTTATAATTTTATTTATGTTGAGTTTATTCTGAAAAGATTAAATTATAAAGGAGTTAACAATGTAAGCTATATTGAAATTGTGAAGATGAGATAACTTCATCCTATTTTTTAAGCTCCAATAATTCTTTAAGAAATTACAAATAAAAGAAAGCAAGATATTTATTCTCAGCTTTTCAGTTTTCCAGAAGAACTTTAAAATATAATATTTGATTTAGAATAAAAAACAATAAATTATAATCAGATTAATTTATATGATTCTTAATTAAACTTGACTTCGCGAAATTAAATTAATTAATATTTATTACAAGAGAAAAGTAACATCGATGAATTAAATAATAATCTTAAAATGTAACAACAACAACTACTTTGTAAGTCATAAACTATCGGAGACGAGAGCACAAATCTAGAGTTAACTAAAATCAAAATAAATAAAATTGAGAATAAAAATGTAAGTAGTTAAGATCTTGAATTATGTAGTTAAATATTGAAATAATAATCAATAAAATAAAAATAATAATTTAGAGATTATTCATAAAATCAATATGGCAAATTAAATAGTAATTTAAACTAGAAAGAACAATTTTAGATTTAAAATATCAATTTATAAAATTAAAAATTTATTACTTCATTGAAAGAGATATCAAATCTTTTTAATGAAGAAGGTGAAGACCATTTAAACAGAACTAATTTTGCATTTAAAGATATAAGTGTAGATAAAGTGTAAGAAGATTAGTAAAATTTAAATAATAACTTTACTTTACTTTCTCCTTGCAGATCAGACAAAGCATTAAATACAGAACTAGTTTCTCCAGTATATAGCAATTATATTCCTAGCCATTCTCATTTTTCAAACTAAGAGATCAAATATAACGAGTTTAAATCATATTAAACAAAAGAAACTTCTTTATAAGATTTAGATTTTATTAAAAGTTAGTCAAAATAAATATTTAATCTGACAAGTAATAACTTACAAAAGATTGAAGAAAAAACCTCAATCAATAAATTTATTAATACAAACTATAATAGAACTCCAAGCAAATTAGCAAATAATAATGTTCTTTCTTAAAAACATTAACATTAATTCAATAGTCAATTTGATTTTGAAAAATAAGGTAAGTTGCATTTCAAAGATAAAAATTATAAAAAGAAGCAAATTCAAAATATACAGAATGATATTGCTTCTACCAGTTCTAAAGATTCAAGTTCAGCATCTGCAAAAAGATTGCTTGAATAGATTGTGGCAGATAAGTCAGTTCTTTAAGTGATTAAGGTTATTAAAGTCATAGGTATCGTTTGCTTTGCTGTTATGATATTCATGACTTGGTTTTAGTTTATCTCTATGGAAAAATAACTTTCAAATTCTAATGAAGATTTCAAAGTTTTTAATTGGCCAACTTCTTATTCTTCTTGCTTAAGTGACATTGTTAAATATAAGAATACTTTATATCTTATTCAGTACTCAAAATAGTTGTCTTTTTCAAGTTAACAGTAAAAATAACTCTTTTAAAATAGAATGTAATCAGAACTAGAGTTTACTTTAGTTGAAGTTTATGATTTATTGTCTTAAATGTCAAAAGAAAACACAGATAGGTAGGTATTTAAATATATAAGAGAAACTCAAAGTTTTTATTCTCTTGGATAAATGTATAATACTACACTCTTAACTTCTACTCCATCTGATAAAATTGGAGTTTTTAGCTATCCTCATTACACAAGTTTATTGTCAAGTATTTTACTAGGCATTTAGCTAACTTTTCGTTACACACATAATTTAGGTAATGGGAGACCTGAATATTATTTGCTACAAAATCAACTGTAAGCAATTTTAGAATTAGAAAAGGTTTAAAATAACATTCTAGTAGATTAATAAAATGATTAATAATATATCCAAGATTAATTAACCATTTTAATCGTGGTTTTAGTCATAATAAGTGCGGCATGTGTAGCAGTTATTATCCCCTTCTACTTTTACATTCAAAAAGAAAGAGAGGCTATAATATATCTTTTTACTACCTTTCCAATAATAAAGTTGGACAAATTGATAAAAAATATTTAAAATTCGTATTTTAATTAAAGCGTTTAATCAAAGTATCAAAATTTAAATGATCACTAATTATTAAATTCAATCGTCTCATTGTAAATTTTAGATAATGATAAAAATATTCGCAAATAAAATATAAGTTCGATCACTAAACTACCTAGATTTAACAAATACTTAATTATAGCCTCCTTTTTCATTTATTTAATAATGGTATGCTACCCAATTATAATTAAAGTCCTAACATAAGATTACTTGGATAAAACTATCATAGACCTGCAAACTACAAGTAAATATAAATTTTCTAATTAATTTCAATTATTTGTTGATTAATTTAATATTTTCTAAAATTAAATTTTAATATAAATTAATTTTTTTAGATAAAATTCAAATTGTTTAATCTATTTATTTTTTTAATAATTAATATTTTTTATAATTAAAGTGAAAGTTTATAATTTAAGATCATATCTTTTGCAAAATATAGCAATGCACTTTAATATTTTAACAATGAAAGTTAATCCTAAACTAAAACCTATGCAGCCAGACACATATTATGATTATTTAAAAACACTGATCAAGCAATAGGAGGATATCTTAAATGATATTTAATGGATTACAAAATCTTAATATTAATATTAAAGGTATTTTATTTAATTAAATTATAACTTTTATTTATTTAAAATTTAACAAAAAGATTTAAGTAAGATGAATATGATGACTTTTTCTTCTCTGCTTTTAAAAGCAATTTATGCGATTCTTTTAAGATTTACCCTCAATATAATACTAATTCAACTAGAATTAATGTTGGTATTTGTAATCAATCACAATAAGGATTCTTATCATAAGGCCTTTAAATAGCTTACAAAAGTCTGCTAAACTAATTTATTGACCTATATAACATATATATGATAGTTGACTAATCTTAATAATAATCTTAAATTTCTAATTTTTTATCAAAGTTTGATATTTAAGATTACTTAGCATTTATTGAATTTTTAGATGAGGCAATTATCAGTTTGAATAAATTTGTTTTAACATAAGGAAACAATTACTATTTATAAATCAAAATATGGTTGATTGTTTTGATTGCTTTTCAAATGGTTTTAATGGTCTTGATTTTTTCTTTTGGTTGGATTTCTTTCAGCAATTATTTGAATGGTTAGCTGCATAAAACTAAAAATTATTTAACAATTCTTGATGTTAATACTTTAATTGAAAATCCCTATATACTAACTTATATTAAAAAAAACACTGTTGTATGATAGATAAATAAATGTAAAACTATAAACAAAAATTAATATATAATAATCACTATTGTAATTAAAGAACAAATTTTCATCAGTATTTATTTATTTATACATTTATTTTAAGAAAAAATTTTTTAATTTATATTGAAAAATCTACTTCTAAATAAAAGAAAATAATAAGATACTATATATATTTATTGTATTAATATTTTTATTAATTAAGTATTTTCTTTAATTAAATAGTAAGCTTTTGATAATAAAAAGGAATCTTTTTTTTACAAATTTGATCAATCAATTTTATCCATACAATAAAGAGTAAGTGTTTGTTTTAAAAAATTTAATATTTAATTTTCAGATTGATATATTTATTATGGATATTACTATTAGAGGATATTTTAGGAGATTATAACCTCTTATTTCTTAGATATTTTCTTACAAATTTTCATCTGAATAGATAAAATCAAAATTTTTAAAAGGGAGTTACTTCTCACAACAAAAATACTAAATAATCATTTGCAAGCTTTTATATATATATATATTTTCATTCCAAATTTAAAGAGCGTTTAATTTTTGTTATATCAAATATTCTATCTCATAATTTGATTTATTAGCTTAGAGTAGTACTATTAATAATGAACATAATTAATTAAAAATTCAAAGACTAATTAATTTATTATTTTCAGATTAAATTTGAAAGCGTAAAATAAATCTTTGAATTATATATTTTTATTATTTTAATTTTAGCCAAAATAAATAATTTAAGCAATTAAGAAAATTGAATTTTAACTTACTTATACAAATACAATCTAATTTATTTAATATACATTTTGATTATTTTTTATTATTCTTACAGATTATAAAAATTGAGCTTAGATGTTACTAATATTTTACTTGACATAAATTTATTTGTTTTAAATTTTATTCAGTAAATTATTAATTCTACTTATTATATTAAAATGTAAGCCTTGATTGAAATTCCATCAATTAATATTTAAATCATTAAGAAAGAGATTTTTTAAAAGATGGATTAAAATTAATATCATAATATGAATCAAGCAAGTATCATCAAAATTTACTAATTTAAAATCAAGCAAATGGTAGATAGATGATAGATACTTTGAAAAATTAGAATCAATTATTAAAATTTAATCAATCAATTTAATAAAATCAATCAATTGATATATTTTGCTAATTTTAATAGCAAAAAAAACACGAAAGCCTGATTAAAAGGTGATCAACATTTTGTTAATAATTTATTTTTTTAGAAACAATAACATATTTTAAAAACGCACAATATGAATAAATAGCAATTCAAAGAAAATTCACTAAAAGAATTAATAAAGTTGTACTATATAGAGGAAATTCATAGATTAATTCACTTGTTTCCAAGGGATAATCCAATATTTTCGATATTAATAATTGCCAAATACTTAGTCTTGTTCTTTCTCGCCATTTCAAGTTAGCTTTAGGAAATTGTAGATACTGACTTTAATTTCAGCTTCTTAAAATAATATGAATTAGTTGGATATTTATAAAATCACGAATTCATAAATAGATTGATTTTTGTCTTATTAGGCTTTAATGGAATACTAATCACTTACATCATTTTTTCTTTGCTTAGATTCATATCTTAAAAATATAAAAGTAACAAGCTAAGTTAAATGACTTTTAACCCAGATGCTTAATATTAAATTGAAGAAAATATTTGTGAAAAAAGGAGTTTTATAGATAAATAATTTTCACTGTTAATAACTATTTACTAAAATATGATTTATTTTCCCAGTTTATTTATGAGTTTAATAAACTTAAGCAATAATATGTCATATTATTTTCTCTTACCAACAGCAGTAGTACTAAGTAATTCTTTAAAATTTAGTTATAATTTTAATATTCATTTCTAATCATTGATAAATTAGCTATCTTATCTAATTAAGATTTAGAAAAAACAAATTTTTGCTTTTACTTTAGATTTTGAATTTTCATTAATAATAATCGGATATATTTTTCTTTTAAATTTAATAGATTTAATAATTTCAGATGTAGATTACAATTACGAAATCAAAATAAAAGACTACTTAGCCAGACCTTTTTCAAAAATTTATTTTGCATTTAATTCTTTCCTAGAGATATTTATTATAGTAGCAGTAGCTTTTACACCTTATGGTAAGAATACAGTATTATCTTGTTATTTTCTTATCAGCGGTCTATGTTCTAACTTTTCATCTAAATTTTATGACAGGTTTTCATAGTTTTTAAGCAATTTTGCTCATATTACCTTTTTCGGAATAAGCGTGTTTCTTTAAATTAGTGACGTATTTTGCTTACCCAACAAATTATTGAGCTATTTTATTATTATTTATATACCTCTATGCTTTAAAATCGCTTCTCTAATATCTGAATACGATCACTAAAATTTATTAAGTAATTTTTAATAGTTATTTGAAGAAAGGTAATTTAGCTTAGCCTATATTGACTAAATGTTGAGATTGGATATATTTGACAATAAAGAAAATTAAAAGGAAAATGAAAAACGATATTTAGGATTTCTTAACTTGATTGTAAACTCTAATTTATCAAAATTTAGTAAGTTGTCAAATTTTAAGACAGATTGTGATTACTTTGATTAAAAATTTTAATAGAACAGCTCAATTTTTTAATCTGATGATTTTACAGGGAAAAATTTTTAAAAAATCCGAATTGATAGCCAAAAAATTAGATTATTTGAAGATACCACTTAATTAAAATTAATTCAGAAGAGAGTGAAACAATTTCTGAGAGATAAATTAGTTAATGCTTTAAATGACAAATTAACATATCAAAAAAATGGATTTGAAAATTTGTAAAATTTATTTGTCTATTTAATAGAAATAAGCGAGTCGCATCGAATCTATTTTCTTAAATTCTTGTAATTTATGTAAAGCAGCAATTTTTCTGTCAAGCAAAAGCAAATATTATAATCTATTCATAGGATATTCTTAAAAAAGAGAGCAATTTTAAGAAATAGAATGGGAAGAGCAAATCCTTTTGATTGCTCGTACTTGTAAGTAATTATTTTTGAAAACAACCTTGAATAGTCTTATTCTTTATTACATTTGACTGTCAATTAAAAAATATAAATTCTAAATATGATGAAGCAAAAATAAATTATAGCAACAGAGCTAATTTCTAAAATAGAAAATATGCAAAAATTAATTAAATAATTGAAAATAAATTTAAATAATTTGATCTTATTGAACGATAATAGCTTAGATCTATTAAATCTCTAGGCTATGTATTTGGAAAATTTGTGTTTTTCAGAAAAAGACATTAATTTAGTTTAAGTAAATAAATACATACGAAAGAATTTAAATCAACAGAGTAAGTACTTTAACCTATAAAACGGAGATGATATTATTAGCAATATAATAAATCATGATAAATTTGATGAAAAGACTTGTGTGGTTTTTGCATCTTATAAAGACTCTAAAACTTTATTAATAAATCAAGTTTCTTCTAATTTTACTAATTTATTTGGTGTTACTAGCAAATCAAGTATTTTAGGTAGAAGCGTAGACTCTATCATTCCTCTAGCATTTTAGTCTATTCATAAACTTTATTTGAGTCATTATTTAGAAGAAGAAATATCATGCGACTCATATCTAAATTAAGTATTATAATTATAAGATATAAATATCAATTAAAATCCAAGGGATTTGAAACATTAAGGACCTGCTGAATGGATTAAAAATGAAAAGTTTGTATTGAAAGAAAATTTATCAAAAATAGAGGATAAATAATAAATTTTAATGTAAAAATCAAGAGGCAGTAAAATGAACTAATAAATAATTTTCGCTTCTTTGAATTAAATGTTCATATAACCTGTTAGAATAGACATCCGCACTAATGAATTCAAAGAAAACAAATTGTTTGGGTTAGTGGCTAAGATCAAATAAATTAATTAGCAATTTTAATATATTCTCTTTAATGAAACAAATTTAAATGTTATTGGTCTATCTGAATAATTGCATGAAAAATTCTTTCCTCATTGCGATAACCTGCTAAAAATAAATTTGAAGCAATTTTTCCCCTTTTTGAATGGAACCTAAGACTTGAAAGGGAGATATGATTAAATTTAACATAATGATTATGATAGAATTATCAACTATCATGTAAATATAATTGAGGAAATGAAGGACATTCTTAGAGAATAGACAGAAAATAATTCATATAGAAAAAATAAATTAACTTTCATATTAATCTAACAATCATTTGTGCTAAAAAATAAATTGCTTTCTTCTTAAGATACTAGCAAAAAAGACTTAGATATGTAATAGATAAAACCAATAAATGAATTAAAAGATTATCTCTTTACTTTTATAGAAATGAATATTTAGGAAGTAGGCTATAAAGGGATAGAAAATATTAGTTATATTGAAGTGACAAAAATTAGAGAGATTAATCCTTTTCAATCAGCAACTATAATCCTTCAAGAAATAAGAAATAAAAAAAAATAAAATATTTATTCATAGCTATTTAAAAACGCAAATGAATTTTAAAGGATAATATTTTTATTAGAATAAAAAGAATTATTTTAAAATTAACTTTAAAATAATTAGGAAATATCAAGTTTATAAATTAGTCAGATAAATTCTAATTTTAATTTTTATTAATCTCCAAAAGATAAAGATTGTCGTCTTAATATGCAAAAAAAATAAGATAATTTATAAACAATTGGAGAAGAAGATATAGATATTGAATATTAGTAATCGAATAAAATTAAAACCTATGACTCACATGAATACAATAATGAAGATAGTATTTTTAAAAATCATTTCTTAAGAGGAAGGCAGTAATAGTAATAATAACAAACATGCACATCTAATAGATTTGTTGAGAACGTCTAAGTTAATATAAACTAATAATTTTAATATTAAAATTTATAAGAAATAAAATTCATACAATCAATCTGTGAAATTTAGTAAAATGATTATGAAAAAATAAGTAATTAAGATTTAAATAGCTAAGTGAATTAAAATTTCTTGATTACTTAAAAACTATTAAGTTAGTCAAGTCTGAAACAAAAATTTGTAAAATATTATTTTATTTTTGATATTTTTATTTTAATTTAATTAATTAACATTTTTTTATTAAAAATATTAAGATTGGTGATGCTGATGAACTTAAAAGCAAAAAAAACTCTCCTAATGAAGATGCAAACATGTTGAAATTAACCAACGAGTAAAACCATATGAATAATAATTATAGTTTTCTGTCACCATGCATATCAGACAAAACATCAAACTAAGAGCTCCTTTCTCCTAACTGTATATATATACTTCAAAATTAATAAACTCTTTCTAGCCTATCAAACTAAGATTTAAATTTGTAATAAAAAAAATTTTCTTAATAAAGTACACAAAATTTAAGTGATGCTTAGAATATATAAAAATAAATTTTGCTTTCTGATTATAACATCAATAGTGAAAAACAAAATTCTTAATTGAAATTTAACTACGATAACATGCATTAATAAAAAAATAATAAAGAAACAATAGATAATAAAAATAGCTTTTAACTAAAAAAAGATTAAAAATAATAGTAAAAATAGATTAATAATAATTTTATTAAAGTTCAAAATGGAAATTTTAACTAAAAAGATAAAAATAATTATAAGAAGCATATTCAAGAATTATAACAGGAAATTGCCTCAACTACATCTAAAGACTCAAGTGTTGCTTCAACTAAAAGATAGCTCTTTTAGATTATGAAAGATAGATCAATTCTTTCAGTAATAAAAATAATCAATATAATTGGAATCATGTGTTTTATTGTGATGGTATGTATAACTTGGATCCAATATTACTAAACTACTCAGAATTTATCAAGCGCTAATTAAGATTATCAAGTTTTTGATTGGCCTACAACTTATTCTTCTTCCTTAAGTGATATCCTTAAATATTAAAATACAATATATCTTTTAAACAATTCATAATAATTACCATTTACAAACAATCAAGAAAAATAACTTTTTAATAATCAAATAAAATCAAATATGAAGCTTTCCTTAGCAATAGTATTTAAATTATTATCTCAGATGGAAAGAGCGAACATAGATAGAGAAGTATTCAGTTAATTAAGACAATAAAATATGATTTATTATATAGGGCAATAATACAACACTTCAATACTAAGCTCTACACCTTCAGTAAGCACCTAATTAGTGGCTGTAAATTATCAAACAAATATGTAATTCAGTGCTATATTAGGCGCCTAGCATATTTATAGATATGTTAATAATTTGGGAAATGGGAGACCTGAATATTACTTAATAAAAAATCAGCTTGCAGCTATTTCTGAATTATAAAATGTTTAAAGCTTAATTCTCATGAAGTAAGAAAATAGATAATTTTATATTCAAGATTAATAAGCGATCTTAATGATTATCTTAATAACTATTAATGCAGCTTGTGTTGGAGTCATAATTCCACTATACTTTTATATTTAAAAAGAAAGAGACACAATTATTTATCTTTTTTCTACTTTTCCAGTTCATAAATTAGATTTTTTAATTAAAAAAATATAAAATTCTTACTTCAGTTAGAATTTTCTATCAATGCATTTAAGCAAATGTACATTACTTCATAGAGAAACCATGGCATCACTCCAAGCTCTAAAAAATCAAAAAGATACTAGAAAATAAAGCATAAGCACTATTACAGCTCTTCCAAAATTTAATAAAAAACTATTTTTTGCAAGTTTTTGCATTTATTTAGCTGTTATTTGCTATCCTGTGACAATTAAAATTTTAACTGAAGACTACCTAAGTAAAACTACTCTTGATCTTTAGACCATGAGTAATAAATAAATAAATAAAATAATTATTTAAAAAATATATTAATTAAATTATAATTTAAGCAAATTTTATTTTTACTTTTTAGGCTAAATTTTACTTTATTATTTTAATATAAAAAAGTGAAAGTTTATTATTTAAGATCTTATCTTTTATAAAATATTGCCATGAATTTCAATATTTTAGTGATGAAAATCAATCCATAATTAAAGCCAATGACCCCAGATATATATTACAGCTATTTAAAGGATCTTATCTAATAATAATAAAATATAACAGATGATATTCAATGGATAACCAATTCGTAGTATTAAAATAAAAGGTATTTAATTATTATAAAAGTATTTAATAATCTAATTAATTCTTACTTACTTACTTACTTACTTACTTACTTACTTACTTTTTATTATTAAAAAGATACAATCAACAACTTTACGATAGTTTCTTTTTTCCGACATTTAAAAGCAATATGTGCGATTCTTTTAAGAATAATCCTTAATACAATACTAATTCTACCAAAATTGATATTGGTATATGTGCTTCACCAGAATAAGGATTGCTAGAGTAGGGTTTTTAGGTAGCATATTAAAGCCTTTTTAATATATTTACAGACCTTTATAACATATATACTATAGATGACAATTCTTAATCCCTTTCTTAAATTAAAAAATTCTTAATGAAATTTAAAATATAGAACTTCTTAACTTTTACTGAATTCTTAGATGAGACAATTATTAGCTTAAATTAATTTATATTGACTTAAAGCAATTAAAATTATCATTTAATATAGCTTTATTAGGTAATTTTAATTTCTATGCAAATGATAATAATGGTGTTAATCTTCATATTTGGGTGGATATCATTCACTAATTATTTAAATAATTAATTGCACCAAACAAAAAAATATCTACAAATACTGGACATAAATACTCTAACTGAAAACCAATACATATCAAATTATATCAAAAAATATAGAATTATGTGAAATATTAAGGCAATATTAATTTCTATTCAAATGCTAACAATGGTATTAATCTTCATATTTGTTTGGGTGAATATCATTCAGCAATTAAAAAATTAATTGCCCCTAACAAAAAATATCTAAAAATACGGGACATAAATACTCTAACTGAAAACCAATACATATCAAATTATATCAAAAAATATAGAATTATGTGCATAAATATATATTTATTTAGTCAGTCAATTAAAATATCAGTAATTTTATTTATTCAATTTAATTTTTTTAGATAATTTATTTTAGGAGAATAAAAATTATTATTTTCATTTTTGTTTTTCATAAAATTAGATTTTGTTTAGTTTTAATTCAATTTTTTTATTTTTATTTATAATAATTATTTTAATTTAGCTTATTTCAAAAATAAATAAATAAATAAAATATTCTTAGTTAAACTTTAAGATACAAAAGTAATTAATTAATTTTAAATATTTTAAATGTAATTATTTTCATTTATTTTATTAAGAATAAATTATTAAGTAAAAGAATAATAGAAAAAAAGAATGATTCAAAAAAACAGTAAATTTAATAATTTAGCTAAAGTAATTAAGAATTTATTTAAAATACTTTATAAAATTATTTAATTTATGATTAAAAGTTCCTATAATCTAATTTACTAAACTTCGAACATTTAAAGCTATATTTCAAGTAAAATTTCATAGAGATTAATACAATTTAAGTTTTCTAAGATTAATTAGATGTTAAATCATTAATGTTTTAATATAAACATCTTTAAAGAATTTTAAGTTCAATAATTTTCATTAAAATAAAATGTTTATTAAAATAGTAATTCAAATATCGATTAAACAAATATTTCAGATTTATGCAATCACATTATTAAAATTAATTGTCTTAAAAGTCTTTTCCTTGATTTGAGGTAAAAATATTTTTTTTTTTATAAGTGTATTAAAATTGGATGAACTTAAAGTATTCTAAATAACTAGCTGAATAATTCATTTATATAAAAAATATTATTGAGGAATATATTTAAAATTTCTTTTTAAATATAAAGCAATACAAATATTAGCTAGGAGTCTATATAAATTTTGGGGAAAGGCTTACAGAATTGTTAAAATTTATAAATCCTGATACTTTTATTAAGGTAATAATTTATTTAAATACTTAATTAGATTAATTATTAATTAATAAGTGAAAATAAACTTGATCTTTAAGGCGTAGCATCATTATTAATTTAATTGGGAAATTGCTGTAATCTAAATTAGTTAATAGTAAGCTTCAAATATAAGTAAAACCTTTAGCTTATAAAATATTTACTTATAATATAACTAAAAATCAAGTAATAAGCTTGATTATTGTGGAGATTTTAACCTCGGAGATGGATTAAGTTGTTTAAACAAAATTTAAATCTTAGAATTCGATTTACAGTAAATTTTTTTATTTGCATTTCTTCATTCTAAAAATGTTTGACAATTAAATTCTAAAATAGGTAAAATGAAATTAACGATAATATGTTCTTTAAAATATGCAACCGAATTTCAAATTGTTCCTAAGTCTAAAATTTGACATTAAATTTTAAGTAAATTAATTGATTAATATTTATTTTATGGTTGATTAATTAATTATTCATTTATTTTATAAAACTCTTTTATTTATTTCTTTCTAAAGCAAAAAAAAGTTTTAGAATTTTTCTTAAAATTGTTTTTTTAATTACTCTTTAATTAAAATAAGCAAAAATAAAATATGTTTTGCTGAATAGTATGAATTAGGGTTTTCAAAATGTTTAAATCTTAAAGTTTTTAATCTAGAATTAAAGTAAATAAGATTGAGTTATAATTTTAAAGTCATTTAATTTCAAATATAAATTTAATAGCAAAAATAAAATTGAATACCTTGGAGCTTCTCACTTAGCTAATTAGTTGGCTAAGATTTCTAATTTAAAAACCTTTAAACTTGATTTAAGGTATTCTCTTTTTTTGAATTTAAAATAATTTGTAATCCTAAAAACTAATTCTTCAATAATTCATTTTAAAAGTTCTAATCAAATTGGAAGTTTAGGGGCAGCAAACTTAGGAACGGGATTAGCCAATTTAAAGGCCTTGGAAGTGCTTAGCCTTTCGTTAGAGTAGCTTTATCTATACTTTTAAATTTTTAAAAAATACATTTTTTAATTCTTAATAAAAGGCTAGACCATTTGTATGATAAAAGTGTATCAGAATTATGCAAAGGATTGAAAAATTCATAGAATCTTAATAGTTTGTCTTTGTATCTTGAGTAAAAATATCTTACAATGCCATTTAAATTTGTGGAAAAAAAAAATTTATATCTAGAATTAAATAGGATTTATTTTAATTTATTTTATAAGAAATAATAAAATAGGAAATTAAGGTGCTCATGAAATAGGCAATTATTTAGGATCAATGAAGAGTTTAAAAACATTGATTATTGATTTAAAGTAATTTATATTTTTTTGAGGATATATTTATTATAATTTACTAATTTATTTAGAAGAAACAAAGTAAGCTAATAAGGTGGTTTTGATCTTTGCAGTGGGTTATCAAACTGCTAAAGTGTCTCTGAGCTTTCTCTTGAATTTTAGTATTAAATTCAAAATTATATCTTTTTATTGAAATTTATTTTTTCAAAGCTATAACTCTGTAAATGAAGAACTAGTCGATGGACTTTGTTCAAGGCTAGGCAATTGCTTGAATATAACTAGCTTATATATTGGCTTAAGGTACACATAGATACATACATACATACTATATTTTTTGCAAACTTAAAAATAGAAAATAATTTTTTACTTCAAATAATTAAAAATCAATTTATTTTAAATTAGTGATAACTAGATTATTGCCAAAGGTTCATCACGTCTTTTTGTAGGTTTAGAAAATTGCTTGAATCTTAAAACTTTAACAATTGACTTAACGTAATTTGTTTAAAAGTCCAAGTTTTATTTTTATTTTCTGCTTACTACAAAAAAGTACAAATAAAATCGGATCAAAAGGCTTAACAAGTTTAGGAAATTCATTAAAAAATTGTTAAAACTTGAAAAATCTAACTCTTAAGTTAAGGTAATTAATATATAATAAATTATAAATTACTTCTAATTTGGTATATTTTCACAGATATTTTAATTAAAAGTGATAATAAAATTGGCGATAAAGGTGTGGCTATTTTAGGTAGTGCTTTAGCAAACTGTTTTAATTTGATTTCGTTAACTTTAGATTTAGCGTAGAAACTTAAAAAATTAATAATTTTTATTAAATTTAAATATATCTCTAAAAAAATAATTAGGAACAATAGCATTAGTGAGATAGGAGGATAAGATTTTGGTTATAATTTAGGAAAATGTAAAGGACTTGCTTTTTTATCAATTAATTTAGTGTAATTTTTAATAGATTAAAATATTATTTATTTTTGTTTCTATTTTAATTATTTCAAATACTCTTTAAAAGAATGAATAAAATAGGGTCTTTAGGTGTTAGCGGTTTAACTAAAAGATTTCATCAAATTGCACATTTAAAAAATCTAATTTTATATTTAAAGTAAATTATTTCTTTATTATAGCAATTCCTTCCTTCATTTAAATTTAATAAAATATTTTATTAATAAATAATATTATTTTCATATTAAATTCTATTAAAAAACAAACAATATTAATAAAATAAGCAACAATAAAATTGGATCCTAAGGAATACTTGAACTAGGTATTGGAATAAGATTAATAGTCAGTCTTTTAACTTTGAATATTGATTTAAAGTAATAATTTTGTTTTTATATTTTTATCATTATTATTATTGATTGATTTTTTATTTTAAATTAAACTTTTACTACAAAAATAAATTTATTGTAAATAAATCGTAAAAGAAAATTATTAATTTAGTTCCTAATTAAATATTTAATTTTTAAAACATTGGCAAATATGTTAAAATTTAACTATCCAACTATCCCTGATTTAACAAATAATTTACAAGTCAAATATACAAATCTTAAGTTGTGGGATAGAAGATTTTGATATGTCAGTTTTTAATACATTTTAACTATTTTTTTAAATCAAAAAATTTTAAATTTAAATATAAATATAAAGCTAAAATGAAATTGATATTATTATGGCAAAAAATTTGTTTAAAAATCTTAATAAAACTATGAGACTTGTAAATTTAGACGTTTAACTTTGGTGAATGAGGTAAGAGAATATTTATAAATAATATTATTTAGTGTTTTGAAGAAAATAAATGTTGATAGAATGAATGTCATTTTTTATAAACTTTTTATAGTTTTTTGTTGGTGATTATATAAATATACTCAAAAATATTCCATAATATTTATTTTTAATTAAATTAATTTTGTTTTCTTTTTTCTATATTAATAAAATAAATGATATCTTTAATATTTAAATTAAATATATACTGTAAATGCTCATTAATTAAGGCATTCCCTAAGTATCTTTTTTGCCCAAAAAAAAGTGCCAAAAAAAAAATTTAAGAAAAAAATGCCTTAATTAACGAGCATTTACAGTATTATTGTTTTTTTTTTTAATTTTAAATAAGATTTTAAAAGAAAATATTTTTAAATGAATTTGATTTATTTATTTTGTTTTATTTAAAAATAAATAGATTTTACTATTAAGATTTAACAATAAAATTTCTGGTAGATTTTATGAATGAATAAGCTGATTAATTTTTGTGATTAACCAAACTCCGCAAAAGATTAATTAATTAATTGATTGATTGATTTGATATCACAAAAATTGAACCTTCAAATAGTAAAAATTAATCAAATTTTAAAGAGAAAGAGATTATTTTAATAATAATTGTTGCTAGAGAAAGAAAGCAATAATTTTTTATTCGGATTTAGACTATTTCATTTATAGGTGACTAAAATAAATTGGGATTATCTTTTTGCTTTCTCGTTATTGCTTTTTGAGTACTATAATTTGAATAAATAAAACATTTAAAATGATGAAGGATATTGAAAATTCAGTTTCAGATGAAGTGATAGATGATTTGAAAAGAATGAAAAGAATTGTTTCTTCGCATGTACCTAATTTTGCTAAATCTTAGTTCGAAATACCAGAGTCAATTCAAAAGATAATAGAAAAATCTGCAAAAGATCAAAAAATTTTAAAAAAGACTGCATCAACTCACATTAGAAACTCAATTTAATCAAGCTAATATTTTGGACATGCTTTGAATTCAAATCATGATATGGATATAGATATGAGGCGATAAAGATTAAGTTGGTTAAACAGAGAGTTTCCTCGCTAAAATAAACAAAATTAGAATAAAAAAATTTTCGATAGTTAAACAATTTTATAAACTTTAGAAAATTTAAGGCACATGAATAGTATACAGTATAAGTAACACTTTGGCAGACACACTAGGTCTTCTTCACTTAATCCTACCTCTAAAGTAATTAAATTTTGTATCTAAAATATTATATACAACTTCAAAGCATATTATTGGACTTATAATAACTTGATTTCTAATAAAAATAGACCAATAGTAATACTATTCCTTCAGAGAGTGAATCGAGCAATTTAAATAACATAGATCAAGCTATCAAAAATAGAAAAAATAAAGTTTAAATTAAAGAATTTATCAAGGAAGAAGATATTCAAGAGGACAGTCAAGGATTCATTCTTTTACAGAGATAATATAAAAATTCTAGTTAAAATGAGAGCTTTGAAGGTTAAACTGATAAATTAGAGATAATTTGTTAAACAAATAATAAAGATAGCTTTCAAGGTGATTCTACGCATAAAGTTAAATCTCATATGATACTTTATGATTTTAATGACATTCAAAAAGATATTTAAACATAAAAGTTAAAAAAAGTTGATTAAAACTAGCATAAAGATAGACCAAATTAAGAAAATTAGAAAGAGAATGAATAAATTTTATATAAGATTGATAAGACCAAATAAGATGATAATAAGGTTGTAATTAAAAAAGGGGAAAGGAGCTTTTCTCCTATCAAACCCAAATCTATAAATTTCGATATGGCTTTGGAATTAGACAAAAATAATAGATTGCTATAAGAATAACAAAGTAAATAAAACCAGAATTAGATCTTGTAATAATAAATTTAGCAGCGATCTAGCTAAGTAATTAATCAATAGAATAGCTAACAGTCTTAGAGATCTCGACCAAGAATATTTTCAGAAGATAAAAAGTCAGAATGGAATGAAGGAAGTTTGATGCTTCCAGCAAATGCATTAAACTCAAGCTCAATTGAAGCAAACAGCTAGTTTTTATTAGCTAAATCATTAAGTAACATTCAGTTCAGTCACCTCAAGTAATCTAGATATATCGATTATGTAAATCATGTCCACAGCAATTATGAATTTAACAGCAGCAGCAATAATGATGCAACAAAAGAATCAAAGTAGCTGCTTTCTTCTACTATGAAAAATTTTAATTAAAATGAAGAAAAGCAAACAAGTATTCCATTAGATGATATATGCAAAAAAAATAATAGCTAAATCTATGGCAGTAGAATGATAAGAAAAGAAGTAGACTTACAAAAAATATTAAATGCGAGGGGACTCTTAAACAAATAAAACAGCTATCAACAATAAAGTGAGTATTTTCAATCTGATAAATATTTGTGTTAAATTCCATGGTAAAGCTAAGATGTACTTGAATTTGAGAAAAAACTTAACAATAGAGAAAAAGCTTAGATAAATGTGTACCAACATTAATTTATCAAAAAGTATTTGAATATGAAAAAAGATAATTATAGAAAGAATATCACTTCTAATTCAAATTTATCTTAAATCTCCCAAAACCAGAACTCTCAAAGCAGCATAATAAACAAAAATAAAAATATAAAAGGCAGTGGATATCTCTCAGAAATAAGTGAGGTAAGTTAGAGTCTCAAAAGATTGAATAAAAATGATAAATTAAATTTAACTAATTAGTAAGAATTGTTTGTAGGAACAAGTAGTGGAAATATTTAATATGAATAGATTGGATAGAAAGGGAAATTTTTTGCTAACCCTATACCAGCCGAAATACCAAAAATAAATGAGAGTACTCAAAATATAAGAGAAGTTAAATCTTTCAAAATTCTCAAAACTATAATAAATCGCAATCTGTAGTCAAATTAAGTTCCATTTTTATAAAATTAAAGTAAATACAATGAACAAATCAAAAAAGATAAATAAAATAGTTAAATAATATACAGAGCAAGTGATTATTTAGAGTAGCTATGAAATAAATCCTTTATTCAGAATAAAGTTTATTTATATAAATATAATAAAAATAGTATTTTAAAACAATTTAGTTATTTTATCATAATAATTATTTAAAATATAGAGTTTAAATTTAATTTTTAACAAATTTTAATTTACTTCATTAAAATATTAAATAAATTAAGCTAGTTTAAATCAAACTTCAATTAAATTTGGATCCAAACTAATACTTCAATTTCATTAAATGATAATAAATATGTTTATTTAATATGAATGAAGATAAATATTTTTATTTGTAAAATAAGCTTATATAAATTGATTAATTTAAGAAATTATTTACTTTGATAAATAAAAGTTTTATCATATGTAAAGAATTTAGAAGAGGTGAATAATATATATAAATACCAAATATATTGCAGTATTTTTAAATAAATAAATAATTAATGAAATAAATTTGGAATAAAATAAAGGTATCAAGTAAATCATAGATATTTAAAAATTATTTCTATTACTTAGTTAACAGATTTATTTCATAAAAAATGTATTTGAATTATGTGATGATAATATTTTATTAATATTTTTTATATTCATTTTTTTTATTTATTTAAATTACATTTTGGAACATTTTTTAAGTAAGATGGATTTTTGTTTTATATTCCGGAGGTCTTTTTGTTAATAAATATTACAATAAAAATTAAATTTTTAATTTATATTAAAATCATATTCATAATTGCTTTCTTTAGTTAGTATTTTAATAATAATTATGTGATTTAAAAATTCAAAAAAATATTTTAATTAATATTTTACTTTTTAGTTGATTTTAAGAAAGTAGAAACTATAAAATTTGTTTGTTAAAAGATATGCATGCTTATTCATCAGCAATTTATAAAAGTGAGATAGTTTTTAATAAGCAGAAAAACAAATACTTAGAAATTTCAATATAAATTTATCAATAACTTAATAGTTTTTATCAAAAATTAATTTTAATTATTGAAAGAGTTAAAGCACAAAGATATTAGACATAATGTTACTTAATAAATCTACTAAGGAAGTAATAATAAATAAAGATCTATTTTGTTTGAATTTAAAGCTAATTCTTATTTTTTTTTAAATTAATGATAGATTTTCAGAGATTGCTTAAAGTGCATTCCTAGCATGGTTAAAGATGTAAAATAATAATTAGTATTAAATAAAATCATAGTTAGCATTATCTTTATTTATTAATAGCAACATAAAATATATGCAGTGAGATAAGTTTTAAGAAAGGAATTCGAAAAAAACAAAGATGAAACAGATGCTCAGAAGATAGAAGCTTTAAGAAATAAGTAATTTAAAATAATTTAAGCATTTCTTTTAGTTGTTTAAAGTATAAAGATAATCTCACTTTGCCAATTATTAAAATAATAATATTCTTTTAAATATAACTATTTCCTAACTTAATTATATAAATAGTGCTATTAGAGGAATCAGCAATTACATGATCTATCTTATTAAAACGTATACTCATTATGACATTTACTTTTCATATATCTAAAATTTTCTTTGCTTTTGTGTTTTTTAGCCTTCAGCTAGAAATTTCTATGTTTTTAATTATATAAAATATCATACTATTATTAAATTAATTAAATAACTAATAAGCGAATACTTAAAAGACCCTCATAAGAAAGAATACCAAAGTATATTTGAAGATCCAGATGAAAAAAGTAATACTCAAACTATAAAGCCAATAACATAAAAAGAAAATGAATGAATGATTGAAAAGTAGCTCATTATAGTTAAAAATTATAATCAAATTAATAAATTATTTAATTATAAATAAAATGCAATATATTTATTTATTTACATTTGAGAATTTATACTTTTTTAAGATATAAGTTAATATAATTTATATATTTATAATAATTCATTTAAAATATTTACTTAAATGTATTTAAAAAAATTTACTTATCATTAAATCCCAATTTTTTTAACTAAAAAAGATAAGTTTTGTATGAATTATTTTAGAAAATTTATTTAAAATAAAAATAGTAGAGTAATTAAATGGAACTAAAGATTATTAGAATTATTTCATGTATTTATGATAAAGATATTTATTTTTTAATTGAGAGAAAAAAAATTAATATAAAAAATATGTGGGAGGGCTAATAATATAATTATAAAAAACTTTAAAAACAATAAATAAATTCAAGATAAGTGTAAATATATTATTAAAAAAAATATTTGATCTTACTTAAGGATTATGGTAATATAGTTTAAGATTCAATTTAAGTTTAAAAGACTTTGATTTCATTTTAGTGGAATCAATCATAAAATTCATTTAACATGAATTTTATTTTATTTGATTACTGTATTTCAATGGTGCGGTGAGCTATTTTCCAAAAATAATGAAAAATACAAGTATTTAAAAAATGTAAATTAGTATATGCTTTTTCTAATTAGCTTTCTAACTATTACTATTTATTTACGAATTGTCAAAATTAATTTAAGTAAAATTTACCAAGTTTTCATTCTGTGGTGAAATTCTTTAAAATCTTTGTCTAAAAGACCAATAATGCGATTTTGATATAAAAATCATAGATAAAAATTAACGAGGATTCAGGGTTTGATTTTTGTGGTTTAATGAAATTAATTTTATTTCGAATTTTTTATTCAATTTTTTAGCTTACTCTAACAAAAAATCAGATCAATAAATAATTGAAATAGTTTTGACAAATTAATAAAATAGGAAAATCAAACATAACCCACCATTGGAAATGATTATATAAAGGAAATTTGAATATAGGCTTTAATTTTATATAATAAATTTCAAATTGTATTCATAAAATCTATCAAAAATTTTAAATCATCAAAAAATGTACTTGAAATTAGCATTCTTGTTTATGGCTACTCTAGCAATAAGTTTGGCTAAAGTTGATAAAAAGAGAGTTATTCTAGTTGACTAAATAGGATAAAATCTTCTTTTTAGGACAAATTCTCCAGCTGATCCTGATAACTAAACTTATGAATTAGACACCTTATTTTCCTATATGAAAGAAGTTGCTCAAGCAAATAATATTTAATTCCCTGAGAATTTCACTGTTGATGCTTATTCTCTTCTCAATGTATTTGAGCCCTCTCATAGAAATCCTGAGATTGAATACTTTAAAGAGCATCCTAACTACAAACTATACCATAAGGTTATAATAGGTAATTTTATAAGCCCACTAAATTACCCAGCATTTATTAGAAAGTTCATGGCTGAAACATATGAATATTGGAATTTCGATTAGCTTTAAAAGCTAGTTAAAAGAATGAATGAAAATCTTGCTCAATAAGAAGAAATCCCTAAAATAATTTTCTTCCACTGTGTAGCTGGTGAAGATAGAACTGGTGAGGTATTTGGTGCCTATAAAATGTATATTAATGGATGGACCTACTAACAAGCTTTAGATTTTGATAATCATGTTATGGATAGAAATATAAAAAAAATGAGTGAAAATGGAATGAACTGGTTTTGTTGGTATTTAAAATATGTTCATAATATGGAAAATGATTGTGATTATTATTCTTGAATTATATATAATATTAAAGATGTATTAAAATTTTAATTTTGAACTTAAAATATATATTAAACTTTATTGGTTTGAATATGCTTTTATTGATAAAACTTACTTTTTGCCATAAAATAATTTATTTTTTTTATTTAAAAAAGCTAACATATTTTTAAGAACAAATTTAAACTTTTTACTATGTTAATCAGATATTTTTAAAATAATTTTTTTAATTAATATTTTAATTGTCTTTAGATAACAAATAAAAAAAGGCAGGAATGTTTAAAGTTAAAATTAAAAATAAAGAATATACTAAAATCTGACTATTAATAGATTCAAATGTTGTGATTTTAAAATTTGCGAAATATATTTCTATTTGTGGATATTTAGTTTATAATTTATGAAAAATTGCTGAAACTTTAATTAAAAGACTAACTAAAAAAATTATTTTATATTTTCAAGTAGATTGAATTTATACTAGCTTATTATTAATTAAAAAGAATATTTAAACGATGCCATAGTACTATATTTTTTTATGAAATTAAACTAAAATTAGAGCTTTAAAAATAGAAAGAATAATAAAATAGAAGAAAAATAAATAAATAATTCAAATTATTTTAAATTTTGAAATATTTTTTTTGATAATTTCTGAAGCCAAATTCAAAATTAGCATTTATCAGATTTTAATTTATTTTTCAAAATAATTTAAAACAATAAACCATATTATGAAATAAAATTATTTAATACATTAATCTATTATCATATAGTATAAACATGCTTTTACATGGCTTTAAATTTTTTAATAGAATTGGGTTTTTTTAAATAAATTAAAAATTAAATAAAAATATCTACTTCCGACCTCTCATTCAGTTCTGGATATCAACCCTCTATAATTTATATAATGAAGCTGGAAAAAAAATGTTCAAGTGAAAATTGGTGGTATTTTTATTTTATGAGAATAAAAAATTTAAAAATATCTCATAAGAGTGTGTTTTTATTCAATTAGTTTTGTTTAATTTAATTTAAATATGTCAGTTGATGCAATAACAGATGAGGTAATTAATTATAATATTTTACTTGTTCTTTAGTATTAGAAATAACTTTAAATAATTTTAATTGGGAAGAAATTATTGCGAATAATAAATTCTATTTGCTACTTTTATTAATAAATATAATATTATTAAATTTCAATTGAGTTAAATAAAATAGATACTAGCAACTTAAAATTAAATTTTATCTTTGTTATTGAAAGTAATAGCTAATTAAGTTAAAAGATAAGTATTGATAAATAAAAAATAGAAGGTTGAGAAATTTAAATATTATTTCAGAAAATATAGTAAAAAAATATCTTTGATTCTTTAATTTTCTTTTAATTTCAAATTTAATTAATAAGAATTTATTGGCTAAACTAAAACTGGTCATATAATGATTTATTAAATTTTAGATACAAACATCTATATTAATTTTAATTGCATTACTGGAATTTGAATATGCGTTTCAAGTACATACATTTTGAATTAATTTATTAACAAATTCTTCTATCACAACTATTAATTAATTTTTATATGTTAAGATAATCATCCATTAAAAAAATCATAATCAAATTAAGTAATAAAAAATCAATTGATTAAGAAATCTACTAAAAACTACAAATAATAAAGAAAAAAATAGCTCTACTTTAAAAAATGCAATTCTAATTAGACGAACTCATTTAAAACGATTTTTAACAATTATATTTCTCTGAATATTTTGGAAACTACGAGCAAACTCCAGCAAAAGAAATGGAAAAGGAAGACAATATGAGCAATACATCTTCAGATAAATCAGATTCAGACAAAGAAAAAAGCTTTGGTGAAATACTATTACAAGAAGGACATGAGTTTGAATAAAACTTTTTAAACAATAATAAAGAATCTTTACAAAAATTCAACGAAAAAGCACATAGAATTTAAAAAGCTCTTGATAGATTTAGCAATAAAATAATTAACTTCTTTAACAAAGACGAGCCCAAAAATTTAAGTTAATGATTACACAAACTAAACTGAATCAAAATGTAAAACACCTCTGGCATATATTAGTCTTAATAAACTAATATATTTTTATAATGGAAATCCTAACCACTAGCTCCTTTAAATGAAAAGCAATACTTTCATTTATAATTACTAACTATTATAACTTAGATGAAATAATTTTGAATAACCTAACCAACTTTAAATATATCTTTAATCATAAATTTTAAACAATACTAACCTAAAAATAATTTATACAACCTCTTACAATAATTTAAGTATTTTAATTTGTATATATATCCATCGTATATTATTCTATTCTTTTCTTTAAATTTAAATAAATTCCTCAAAAAATTTCATTCAATTAAAAAAATTAAGAAATAATTTGAAAACTTAAATAATAAAAATAACTTTTTAAAAAAATATAGTATTTATATTTATCTATAAAGTTAAATAAATAAATAAATATCTTTTATGAAATCTTTTTATGTTTGTTTATGTACTATTTTATTTGGAATTAGGAAAAATAAATAAAGAGATTTGATAGATAATTTAATTAAAATTACAATATAAATCAGTAGGTGAGTTAATATCAAAATGTAGTTAAAACTAAAGGAGAAATTACTAATAAAGAGAAAGAAGGCTTACTATTTAAAATATTTCTATTTACAATATACTAAATTATTTCTAGAATTTAAAAATATATAGTGTTGATGGTTATTTTTTTGTTAATTGTGTTTATTAATTTACCAATTGACCAATTTAATTGTTTTTTGAATTGAATTCAGTTGATTTGATTAGAGTTGTCAATGATTGGCATTAAAAAAAGATTTAAATTTATTATTTTGGTTTTTTTTTAATTTTGTTTTACTTTTTAATTGTTTTAATTTATGTCTTAATATTTAATTATGTCTAATGAGCTTCAGTTTATCATACAAAATTTTATGTTGGATACTCTCCAAATCCTCCTGCATTGTAGTCATAATATAGAAGTTCTCCTTTTTTTATGTTTCTTTTGGCATATAAAATTACTCTTGATTCTCCATTAATGTTGAATCTAACACTGTGGACATTCTGTTTAGCCATAGATTTTTTAGAAGTATTATTAATTCCTGATAAGAATCTAGCAAGGTTACCTTTTTTATCAGGAACAATTACTAATGATGTTTTTGATCTAGCTGTTCTCAAAAGATCCATAATAGAGTCGTTTTTGTTGAAGATGTGGTTTCTAGCATAATCGACCTCACCAACATATTCGCAAATTAAAGTCTTTGCCTTTATATCATCCATAGCTCTTACTATAAATCCTTGTATCTTATCTTCTTCTACTACAACAGGAGCATAAATCCCCTATCTGCTCATTTCTTTGAATTTTTAGAATATAATGCTATTTGCAAGATCAATTACTTACAAATTTGGTTCTAAATTAGCATTATTGCTTTATTTAGGGCATTGTTAAGTGTAGCACAAATCGTCGCAGAATTAGATGTTTTTAGCTTTCAAAGCATAGATTAAAGATTGCTTGCATTCTAAATTAACAATTGGATTAGAGCTTGGAACTGGAAGTAGGAATTTAACTCCTCCTTTTGAATTTATAGGTGCAGTAGTGTTTTTAGCTTATGTTTCATTGCTTGTTGATGAATAAGTTGTAGACATATTAGACTCGCAGTCGTCATTATAATAACTACTGCTGCTGCTAGATTTTTAGTTAATAGCCAGTGGTTGAGTCAAAGAGTCATCGTTAATTTAAGTTTTATTACTTATAAATTCAGTAGAATCATTTTTCTTTCTTTTTTTAGCCAAAACAGAGTTAACTGTTTTATTTGAGTCGTTAATATATTAATCATTTAATTTATCTATTTTTTCTTGAGTTCTTTATCTAGTGATGCGAGTTTGTTATTCAACTTTAGTAGATTTATCTGTTTTTTAACTTTACTTTTATTCTTTTTATTCTTTTTCTTACAACAATTTAGCTCTTCTTCCACGAGTTTATCTCATATTTTCCATTTCTTTAAGAGCATCAACATCAAGTATCTCATCATCACTTTCATCATCCTGCTTCTCCTTTTTATTTTCATTAATCATCTTCTTAGAATCCTGAGTAGCTTTATTTTTTTTATCTGACTTCTTATCATCCTATTCGTAGGGTTTATTACCCAAAGATTCTTGCTATCCTCTAATGAAGTAATCCTCGATAAGTTTCTAATCAGTAGGGATTTATTCTTTATAAATTAAATGATATTTTAGTTATAAGAAATCAAAAATACAATTTAACATTCTTAAATTTCCATCTTAATATTTATAAATAAAAATGAATGGTTGAAGCAATAAATATTTGATGGTATAATGAGTTCTTCAGACATGGAGTGTCTTTAATAAAAAAATACAAAAGGATTAGTTTCCTTTACTTTTTGTTTGTTAGTCTTAATTAATTAAAAATGTAAGCTCAATTTGATTAAGATAAAAAACAAAATTTTAAATTTGGGTAGAAAAAGAAGGAAATATAAAAATTTTAGTAAAGTAAAAGAAAACAAAGACAGTGTTTGAAGTAGGAATTGTTTTTATTTTCTCATCAGACATGATTTTTATAAGTAATTTATTATCTTCCATTCAATTTTTATTGTTTAAAGTGTAAGAAATTTGAGTGAAAAAAAAATTATAGATAGATAGGTCTTTAAATAAACTAAATTTATTACTTTTGATAAGCGTTTGACAGGAATTGCATAAAATAGATTCTTTCTTTTTACTGAAGCACTCTTTGTGATACATTTTATTACATTTGATACATTTCTCGCTTTCTTCAATCACACCTTCGTTCTCCATGTAGAGAATCATATCATCACATTTTCCACAAATCTTTTTTTTTCATAATAATAATTTTAATATACATTTAATTCTACTTATCGAATAAGAAAATTTTTAGTTTTTAAAGGCATTTAGAGTTATCTTTTTAGTTGATTTTGTGCTCAAATAAAAAAAATTTAAAATAGAAAGCGAAATTTATAAATTTATCTGTAAAAACTATAATTAATCTTGATAAAATAATTTTCTAACATTTTATCTGTCCAAAATCAAAAAGATTTGCCATGTATGAAAGAATGATTTTTATTGGTATACAATCTAAAAAGATCCTATAACTGCTCTTCTATAAAATATGGTTTTGTATGTATATTTAATTTATTAGTAGAAATTCAGCTTTTTAGCAATGATAAAAGTTCTAGATAGATTTTGAGAAAGAAAAATAATATTGATAAAATTAAATTTTTGAGTTATTCATTGTAATTTATTTTCTTCTTTTGCTTTTTTATTCTAAAAAATTGATTTAAAATCTTTAAGTAATATAAATTTATTAATTTATTTATCTATTTATTAATCATTCATTCATTTAATTTATCATTCTAAAGAAATTAAATCTTTCTTTATTTATTTCCATTACATGTTAATATTATTTTTTTTATTAAAGACGAATTATTTTGAGCAAACTTGATTTTAAGATACAGCGCTTTAAAATTGTTTAGTGAAGCATGCTTTAATAGACTAATGAAGGGCTCTTCAAATGTAATAAACAGTTTATTTGTTTGTTAATTTACCTGTATCTTTTAAGCAACATCTCTTTAATTTTTAAAATTAAACTACTCGAGCAGTTTTTGTACTTTTGAATTAGATCTCCTTCCTCCACTGCTTCTTTTCTCTTTTTCCATTTAATATTTTTATTCAACGCAGACTGGACAAAACCAATCTTCTTCTTCATCAGGAATTTCCTTAAGAGGTGGGTTCTAAATTTAAAATAAAATTTATTAGTTTATAAATCAAAAGATTTTGAGTAATTTAAGCTGCTTATCTACTTCTACTCTCTCTCTCATTTAAACATCATAAGATTTGCTTTATACATCATGAATCGATATTTTAAAATAAATTACAAACAAAATATTATAAATCGTTTCTCTTTATCCATAACATTTCCAAATACTTTTTACTATTACATAGTTCCGAAAATCCAACACTTCACTCAGTTTTTCAATAAGAAACGAGAATTAAATCGTGTTTTAATCCATAAATATTTGTGTTTTTTATATCATTTTAACTTCTAAAGTAAAGTTTTTGATTATTTCCTCACATTATTAAGAAAACTAAATAAATATAAATAACTTATGTATGAGAGAGAGTGAGAGATAAAGTTTGCATTGAAATATTTATTTGAGCTTACGAGGCAAAAAGAATGATAAGCATCATCACAGTAATCGCAGAGGAGTAGTTATTCATCGTGATGATAGTCATTACATACTTCACAGATCTTTTCCAGAATGTAATTTGTTTGAATCTACTTAAGATCTTTTTTTGAAAATTACTTCACCTTTTCTCTTACGAGTTAAAGATATTACTCCTAGGTCATCTTTTCCTCCGAAGAATGAATGTATTCCAAAAATTAATCCAATTTAGCCTTCATAGCTCTTCTCTTACGTCCCATTTATAATTTACTCTTACTTGGTTATTAGTATTATCGTAGAATTATTATTCTCTTTTCGAAATAACTTTTTCGTTATTTGCTCTTTTTTTTAAATAATAAGACTCTTAATTTAATTTTTTTGGATTTATTTTTTTATTGATAAATTATCTATTGCTTTATCCTTATAAAGTGATTTATAATCAATTATTTTAATTAAGATTCATAATCATTCATATAAAAACTGTATTCGCTAACATCATATTTATTCAATTCATTATCTCATTCAATTAAAAATTGCTTATTTATTTGCTATTTAATATATATTGCAATTTATTCATAGAATTGGCGCTATACAATTCAATATTTTGGCTCGCCCGCATCACATCTAATTTAATATTTTGATATTTATTCTTTCTTTTTTTATAGAGCTTCTCAACAGATAGCTGTTGCAAGTCTGTTTTTATAGATTCATTTATCATTTTGATGTAATTTTATTCTATCTTTTATATTAATTTTAAAATTATTTTCAAAATTAAGCAAAATTATTTTAAAATTGTTAATAAATTTTGGTTTCAAAAAGGTAAAAATAAAAACAAAATAATCAATATGTCTCCTTCATAAGATTAATTATTTTTAAATATATTTTAACTCTACATGGAAAAGATTAGAAGATTCAAAATTTATTAACCAAGGTATTTAGTTATTAAGTAGCTAAATAAAAATATTTTAAGTTTTAATCTATATAATTTATGTAGTTTCCACTATACTCAAAAGGTTATTTCTGATCAAAAACAATACAATTTCTTTATAAAAAAGCCTTGGCGGTACTTTATTTGAGCTATCATTAGTTGTAGTATTTAATTTAGCATTAAATGTGCACTCGCGGGAATATTCAAACTATTCCCTCTTTATTTAGCACATTTATTCAAATATATGCATATAAATTAGATAAACGGGGTTAAATATGTAAATTATTTTTTTCATAAGATTTATTTTTTATTAAGATAAAAGACACAGCTATATATTATTATGTTAACTACTTAATACCCTCTTAAATAAGAAGAATGTTTTTATTATGCAAATAAATATTAAGAATAATAAATAGAGAAGATATTATTAAGTGAGTGAACAGGAATTATTTACATATATATTACTTTTCAAACACAAAAGAAAAATATCAAAATAAATAAACTAATCCTTATTTATTTATATGTTTTTATTAGAATTATTTTGATCAAATCAATTCATAGCTTTTAATCCGCATAATATATTCCTATAATTAAGGTTTTTTGAATCTAAACTTAAAAGCTTTTCATAAACACTTAAAGTTTATTTTTTTTAGCCTTGTAGGTGGTAAGCTAGACCTAAACAATAAAGAACTTCTTGATTTGTAGGAGAAATATCTAGACTATGCAAAAAGTATTGCTGTGCTTAATTAAATAGGTTCATTCTTAAGCATGAAAGTCCGAGATAGTAAAAATAAACTTCATTTTTTGGACAATATTACGTGCATTTTTAAAAGACATTAAATGATGATTCTAATTAATTATTATATAAATAGCAAATTCCTAAATGATAAAGAGCTTAATCACTTTTTGGTTGTATTTACAAAACTCTTTAAAAAGATTAAATTGATTTATCTAACTCATTTTATTGAAATTGAGCTAATCCAATATTTTAAATGCTCATTACATGCTCTGGATTTATTTTTAAACAACAATTGTATTATTCAATAGCTTATTAGTACATTTTTTTTTGAAAGAAATAATTTCCTTTCTAAAAGTACTCTTGTAAATTTTACAAACTAGTAAAACAATAAATTTAACTTTAAAATAATTTTCTTCGTTTGAGCATCATGAATCAATTATGAATTCGATCTATCAAATTTTAATTATTTGTAAAATCAATTAAACCAATTACTTACTACAAAAGAACGTCTTTAATTTACTATTATATTTATACAATTGATAAATTAAAATATAGATTTAATAAATAAATTCTCCTGAAAAAAACCTTTTGTAAAAATATAAAATTCAAAAATAATTTTTTTAATATTTTGATTTTAATAATTATATTAAAACTTCTTATCATTAATAAAAATTAAACCATATTTTAAAAATGATACAAAAATTTGTTTGGTTTTATTTTTGGGATGATAAATTCTTCTTTATTTCAAAATGTATCAGTTAAAAATTAAATTTTTTATATATGAAATTCAAAGATAAATAAATAGTTTGGGATCTTTTATTTTGAATAACTTTGAATTTGATAAATATAAGCAACAATACACTCATTCACTCGTCGATTATTGATTATTAAAAACACATAAATATTATATTAAATAATCTAATTAATAATAATAAATAATGAGTAGTGAAGTATAAGTGAATATAAGCTAGAATTAAGTTACTCATAAACTACCAAGAAATTCAAAGCTAAAACACTCAACAAGCACTGAGTAAAATTATTTTAAGTTTGCTTTCTTCATAATATTTACAATTTATAGGATACAAAAAAGAAGGCACTCTTCTGTTGATTGCTAATAATTTTAGTTAGAGAGCTTGTAAAAGAGTGGAGAAAGCGATATAAATTAAGATGGTGTTTACTAAAGAAAAAAATTAAGTAAAAGATCTGATTCAATGTAGATCATTAGGTCACACTCTTCATCTAAGTGTGAGAGGATTTTAGATTAAAGTAATTTAATTGGTTAAGGAGAAGTAAAAAATTAACTCATCATAGCCAAAGTTGCAAAAGAATTAGAATTCAAAAGCGAAGAATGCGAAAGATTAAAATTAAAATTGTAAAATTTTTAATATAAAAGGAAGCATTTTAAATTTAATATCTATATATAAATAATAGACAACAAAAAGACGAAGAAGTTCAGGAGGTTGAACTGAAAAACATTGAAAATTAGCTTCTTAAGGGGGATTTAAACTATTCAAAAAGTGTTATAAAAGATCTTAAGAAGAAGCTGAAAAGTGTTTAATAAACTACTCAATAAAATAACAGTGCAATTTCTGCAGAAATATAAGAAAATATTTTGTCTCTGATTTAAGAGAATGAGTAATTGTATTTAAAAAATGATAACCTAATAAAAGAGTGCTTGAAATATCAAGATCAAGTAAAAAAATATAAAGCTTTGAGTTCAAAAGTTGTTATTTGTTAAAGCTGTTAAAAAAATTAATTAATGAGCTCATACAATAAAGAAGAACTTTCTGAACTAAATAGAAAAATAGATTTACTTTCTAAAAGCCAAACAGAAGCAGAAAAAACTATATCAGACTATGAAGAGAAAACAAAATTCTACAAAGTAAATTAATAGATTGAGGAGCTAATTTAACTATATTTATTTATGTTATTTAAAAGATTTAGATTTAATCTTTGTAAGACAGAGAGGTTAAAGAGAGAGAATAAATTCTGAATGAAATGAATAGATTAAAGTAAGAGCTTGAATTCCATGGAACGTTGGAACTAAAGAGGTAAGAGGAAATAGAAAAACTGATAAAAATCATTCAAATGAAAGATTAAATTGAAGTAGAATAGTAGAAAACAAGAATAGAGGTTGAAAAACTTCACTAGGAAATAGTATAAAAGAGTAATGAAATAAATTATTAAAAAGAAAACTTGTAAAAAAATGAGTAGAATTTGAAGAATAAAGAGGATCTTATAAGTCACCTCAGAAATTTAAATGATTAGTCATCAAAACAATTGAAAGAAGAGATAGATAAGTTAAATAGAGAAAAAAATTTGATTTTATAGGAAAGCAGCAGGTTTTAAGAATACAATGATAGATTGGAAAATTAATTAATAACAACTAAGGAAGATTTAAAGAAAGTTAATGAGATTTTAATAGAGAAATAATAGCAGTTTTTGGCTGAGAAAGAAACATTTAGGGAAGAGAAAAGCAGAGACTTGGCTGAATTGAATAAAATTAAAAATCAACTACAAAATGAAATAAACAACATTTAGCATGAAAAGGAATTAGCATTTATTGAGAGAGAGAAATATAAAAATGAAAAAAATAAATTGATTTCTGAAAATCAAACTATACAAAGAGAATATGAAAATATTATTTAGTAGAATAAATTACTTTTAAATGAAAAGCAAGATCTCATTTTATAAAAGCAGCAGCTTTAGTAAGAGAAATAGCTTTTGTAGCAAGATAAATCTTAGTTGCAGCAAGAAAAATAATAGCTTTAACAAGAAAAAGTTCAAATGCATCAAGATAGATCAGCTTTAATTAGAGAGAAATAATAATTGTTAGGTGAAAAAGAAACCCTTTTGCAAGAAAAAAAGGTGCTAGTGTAGGATAAAGAGTAGCTTATTAACCAAAAAAAATCACTTACTTAATAGAATTAAATTGTTAATAAAGAAAAAACTATTTGCAGCGAAGAAAATAAGCAGTTGCTAACAAAAAGAAATGAAGACTAATTAAAAATTAAAAAGTTAACTGAAGAATTAGAAAATTTATAGAATGAAAACAGTAAGTTGGTAGAAGAAAGTTTTAAGTTATCTCAAAGACAATAGACTGTGCCAAATCATGAAGTATAAAATACATAATCATTATCTTCTATGCAAGTTCTAAAAAGTTAGTACGAATAGTTGCTAAAAGAGAAACAAAGTTAATTAGAAGATAAAATTAAAGAAATTAGCAAATTCAAATAGCAACTGGATGATAAAGAAATAGAACTTAACGAAGTGAATTAAACTCTTAAGATTGTTTAGGAGTAGCACTAAGAAAATATTTAATCAGCTGATAAAGTTAAATAACTCACTTAAGAAAATTCATAATTAGAAATAAAATTAAAAACTATTTAAGAATCTATTGAAGTATTCAAAAAGAAAGCTCTTTTATCTGAAGAGCAAGAGAAAACTATAACTAATTTACTAACAGAAAATCAGAAATTACAGTAGACCTACAAATAGTTATTAAATAGCAGTTAGCAAGTGCACCAAATTTCATCTAATTTTTTGCAATACAGCTCTAATTCAACTGAAGAAACTAAATAGGCTTATAACAATCTTTAAATTACTATATAGCAGTTATAAGAAAGACTCAGAGTCTGTGAGGCTCTAATTGAAGAGAAAAAAAAAGAAATAGAAGAGTTCAAGAGCAACACTTATTTTCCTCTGCTAGAAGAATGCTCGAATTACAAATCACAAATTACTCAGTAAAAATCTCTGATTCAGTAATTGGAAAATGCCTTTCTAAATAGAGAAAAAGACTTTTAAAAATAAATGAAAATGATGAAACTAAAAATTGAAAAAGATAGCAAAAGTTAAAATGCTGTAAATTAAATGTAAAAGAAATTAAAATAAAAAGACAATTAAATTTTCTCTATTGAAAGCTCACAGCAAATAAAATAATCAACTTAAGAATCCTGCTCAAATTATATTCAAAGTAACTGCTCAAATTTTATTCAAGACAACTGTTCAAATTTTATTCAAGGTAACTGTTCAAATTAAATATAATAATTTGACATGCTAAATACGAAAGGTCTAAACAGCTAGAGCTAGGATGAACACGATTTAACTAATTTAATTTGTAAATCTTCAATCGATATTTAAAATTCTGATGTAAATAAGCCAGATTAATATCCAACTTGTTTAAATTTGAATGAAAGAATGCTGATTAAAGCAGAGGAAATTCAGTAAAATAGCTAATTTAGAAATAATTCCATAGATAATTCAGAAAAATTGAATGAAAAGTATTTTACATGTAAGTAATAAAAAGATAATATTTTAGATATCAAAGATTATCAATAAAAATTAGCAAGTAATAATTCAAGTGCTTAAAAAATTAGCCAAGAGAGCAGTAATAGTTGCTAAAAAACTATGAGTAGAACTCCCTCTTATGTAAAGATTTCTAATTAAGATTTAATCAGAGAATAGCACATAAGAAGCAGTCGCTTGTAAGCTTCATCAAGCTCTTTAACTAGAAGAAACTCAAATATATTTAATAATGATAATAACCTTTCGTATATTCCTATCCCTAATAATGATAATAACTCTTAGAAGCAGCTTTAACAAATTTCAAAGAACTCATCATCTTAAAAGTTAATTAATATTTCAGATAATTATTCAAGCCTTGAAAAAATAACAACCAAATAAAATAATAATAATTATAGTATACAAAAGTCATCTTCTAGAGATAAGAATATTGACAAAAATTATATTCAAAATAAATAAACAGAGGAATTTAAAAGAAAAAGCTCTAAAGATCTTGTCAATAATAATAAATTAAGGCATTCTTTTGATATACCATCTCAATAAGGGTAAAATGAAAATTGTTAACAATTATAAATTAGTTAAAAGCAAGATAATTTAATATCTATGCTTAAGGAGAAGGTTGCTAATATTTCTTTGCAAAACAAAAAGCAACCTTTAAGCTAGAATTATCAGAACTAATCTAATAAATAATTTACTTAAATACCTAAGCCTCATAATAACTCGACCATAATTAGCTATGATTAGTATAACAATAGCATATTAGAAAAATCATAAGTAATTAATATTTCTAGCAATCATACAGCAGAACAAAATTATTTATATCATAATTCTAACGAAAAACCAATCTACTATCACAATAAAACCATGAATTCAACTTAAGATGAAAATTAAGCTCCCTTTAATAACTCAAATAGTTTCTTTAAAAGTCAATAATTATGTGCCCCAATAAATAAAAGAACAAATTCTTTCCAATTCAAAAATGATTAAAACAACAGCAAAAACTTCTTCTCAAATGTCTCAGCATTTGATTTTAGTCAATACAATAAATGAAATTAATTAATTAAATTTGTGTAAATATTTATTATCTTTGCTTGTAAATTATATATATATAAATAGAAGAGTTTATTTTTAAGTATTATATATAAAAAACTATATTAATATAAATGGATTGTTAGCTAATTAATCATTACAAATTGTATGATGAATGAATGAATAAATGTATAAATAATAGGTAGATTTTCTATTTAGATAAATAGAAAAATATCTAAACAATCAAATTATTTATTTTGCAAGTAGAGTATCTTTTTCATTTAATAAATTACAAACAGAATTTCTACAAATCACTAATTAAAAGGTATAGAATATTAAAAATGTAGGGTTTAATAAGAAGAACAATGTTTAGCATTTCTTAAATTTCAAGATCTGCACAAAAGTAATCATTCATTAAATTATAATTAATTATTTTTATAATTATTTTGTATTAATTTTCATCTTAAATATTAAATAGAGCTCCTCGTGAAGAAATATCATTTGTAGTTTCTCCAAGAGAAGATAGGTCAATTAAAATTCCCATAAAAACATTCGTAGATAATAACTTAGGATAAGTGTTAAGAAGCAATAAAATTCCTCTTGAATTTAAGTGTGGATTTTCTTGTGAATGCGCTACTTGTGCAATTTAGATTTAATAGGAAGATAAATTTGAATAGATTTGCGAAGAATAGCCAAAAGAACATGAAGAATCAATTACATTGGCAAGTGAAGGCAAAGATAAAACGTATTTGAATAACATTAATTGCTTAAAATATATCTTTATTTTAATAAAAAAAATAGATACAGATTAAGTTGCTAGTTGGTTACAACTAAAGACATGGATGGAATTACTATTTTATTCTGATTATCCAAAATATTTATTAAAAATCATCATAACATAGCTAGCTAGCTGAATCACTATTTTTATAGATAAAATTCATAAATTTTGCTTTGCTTATAAATGTACAAATATCAAATTGATTTATATATTAAGCCTTAAATAATTATTAAAATAAAATCTAGCTCTACTTAAAATTGTAAAAAATTTAATTATTATTTAGATATTAATATTAAAACAAACTTTAAATTTAATTTATAAATTTATAAATATAATGTTAATATTAAGAAATGAATTGAATTTATTCTATTATTTTTTAAAAAAAGAATTTTAACAAATTATTTTTATTTAAAAATAATTTAAAATAGTTTGTTTATTTATTTCACACAATATTTTAATATATACCTGTCTCTTTTCTAATTTTAAGTAAGTTGATTTCTAATTTCAATTAATTATTTGACTTATAAATAATATTTCTAGAGAGCTTATTTTAATATCTACCTTTCTCTAAAACAAGTTCTTACAATAATAGATATTTTAATATAGCTTTTTATAAATTTGAATGCAAAAAATAAATAATATAAATTCAAGGTAAACAGAATAGGTACTATAAAATTAAATTTCTTATTTTCTTTAAAATAAATAATAAATTTTTAAAAATAAATACTTAACAGAAATAAAACTTCATAGAATCAAATAATCTTTATTAAAAATGATTTTTTAATTTTATTTTATTTTATAAAGAAAATACTATAAATATCATAAATATCTGCTTAATAATCTATCTTAAAATTGAATTAACAAATAAAAATCATTTAGGGCATTTATTGGAAATAATTTTGAGTCCTGAGCAATTCTTGCAAGATGAAGAATATCCTATTTATTTATTTATTTATTTATTTATTTATTAAAAATAATTTAACAAAAAATGGATATTTAATTTATTACCTGGAGGTAAACAGAGTGGGCAATCTCCGATAGAGCATTAAGAACACATATTATTCAAAGAGTTGTTAAAGTAGTTATCAGGACACTTTTCTAAGCATTGATTTTGATATAAATATCTTCCACTGTTACAGCTGGTGCAAAATTATGCAGCTAATTAATTGTTTATTGAAAAAATAATTTTTTAAATTTAGTTAAAATAAAAATAAAATATTTACTGTCTTTGCATGACTTGCAAGTGCTATCACATTTATTGCATACCTTATTTAAACTAAATTCATCATCAGCACAAGTGTTAACACATTTTGTACCTGATTTTTAATATCCATCAAAGCATTTGAAACATTAGTTCGAATCGCAAGATGCGCAACCTGGAGGGCACTGATAATTTAAAATTGGATATATTTAAATAAAAATTTGAATTTATTAAATTTATTGATTACATAATCTACAATGACGAATAACTCTCTAATGCCAAATGATTCATTAAAATAGTCTTCATCAAATGTTGCATTCAATTTAATTTCTAATGATTGGCTATTGTGTTAAATTGACTTAGAGTAGCTGTAAAAATTATCTTTCCAAGAATTAGAACCACAAAGATTATCTTTACCACCAGCTTAATCTTGTTTTATTTCATCTATCTGGTTAGTATCAACATAAACTTTGAAACCTTCACTATCCCATGAATCAATTTAGTAGTATTGGAAACCAAATCTAACTTAGAAATGGGGCTTGCTAAATTTTAGATCAACAATAAATAATAAGATTTAATTCTTTAGATTAAATAAAGTTTGTTTGTTTTACATATTTTGGAAAGTTTTTAAGATTTAAGAACCTTTGCCTCCAATAAATGGACCTCCTAACAATTAAACACTACCACAATTTCCAAAAGTAGCTTAGTTGAAGTTAGAAAGTTGAAGACCAAGAGCAGCGATTTCTGATTCACCAAAGTTATTAGAATTCAAACCAATTAAGAGATAATCACCATCTAAATTATTTGTGATAAAATTTTGATTAGATTAAATATTGTTACTTCTTTGAGTAGAACGATTTTTTATTCATTTATTTATAAATTAATTTTTAAAATTGCAAATCTTTTATTTGAATCTTCATTAAGGTTACATAAATTACAATTAAAAAATGCATTCATAATCATTTACTTGGAGTAGATTTTGAAGGATCTTAGCAAGTTTAACCTTACTAAGGAGCGAATGAAGGGCACTATTAAACGCAACCTTTTCTGAACTGATAATATCCATTAGCACATTAACTGCAGGATTAGCCATTGCTATCACACTTAGAACATTTGGAAGGATTACAAAAAGTTTCTACGCAGAATGAATTAGTAGAATCAGGTTAGAATCCTTAAGGGCACTAATTTAGGCACTAGTAATTATGAGCAATTCCCATTGAAGGGCAAGTACAAGCTCCATTTTATAAGGTTCCTTTATTAGGGCAGCTTTGGCATTGGTTCTAAAATATTAAAATATTATTAAATAATTATTAATTGTTTATAAAATTATGATTTGATACATAGCATTTAATACAGTTTTAATTTAAGTATTTAATTATTTATTTATATATATATATATGTATACCTAGCTAGGACCTGAGCAAGTAGCGCATGAGGGATGGCAAGTATCGACTCTAACAGACAAATTTTTGATACCAAAACCTTCATCACTATTGTCCTAATCGAAATTAGAAGTAAACTGAAGGTTCAATTATGAATTAGTGTGAGTAATGTTTTTTTAGAAGAAATATAATTGATCATTGTATGAAGTAGACCCTAAGCAAATTTTAACACCATCATATTTGTCTTTTTAATAAGTTTTGTAAGTTGTACCATCTAAAACTACATTAACTTTTTCGTTATCAACACTTTTATACAAAAGCACATCTACACGAACGGAAAGACTCCAATGAGGAGGTAAGTTTTGATATATTTTTTACAAGTTTGGAGTTTCTTTGGCAAAAACACCAAACATATTTCCTTTACTGAAATCTTAGAAACTAGTTTGCTCGCATAATTTAACTGTCTTTTAATTCCATCCTACAACATCGTTGGAACTAAATTAGTAAGCCTTAAACTCTTCTGCAATAAGAACTTCCTCTTTTGATTAATTTATTTGTTGAAAAATAAATTTTAAGACATTTTTAAGAAAAAAATATATTTTTTTGAAATGCAAAAAGACACAAATGAGAAATTGAAAGAGAATAAAAAACAATAGATTAAATTGCTAGATGAATAATTTATTAATATTTAGAATATATTTTATATAAAGCTTATGATTACCAGCTTATGTAAATGAAATAAGCGCAAATAGTGAGCTAAATAAGATGTTTAATTGAAGACTGTATTTCATTGTTTTTTTATTGTTTATCAAAGTTTAATTTGCTAATTAATTATCAATTTAATTTCCTTTTACTCTAATTATGAATGTAATAAGATCATAAAATAATCACATTTCTGTCAGTAAATAAATATAATATGCACATTATATTAATTTTTTAATTACTCTTCCTACCATTCTATTTTTATCAATAAATCTATGAATTTCTAACTATTACTTAGGATATTCGTATCGTAATAGCAAGCAAATGCATTCTAATTTTTAGCCATTACAAAAATTGAGATATTGAAAATAAATTTTCTCTTTTGAATTTATGTGGTTAAAGTGTAAAATAATGCATAATTTTTATTGGCTGCTCGTTCTAGATTTTAATCAGCCAGATATTTTTTTTATTATTGTTTATATTATATAGATTTTTATAGTGGCCCAAATATTTTTCTACATATTATCTTTTTTAAATGACATAGTTCTAATTAATTATAATAAATATAAATAAAAATCAAATTATATTTATTCTATTCCATCAAAAAATAACAAAAAGCAATTTATTAAAGTAAAAAATTTTATTTTACTTATTTACTTTTTTTCTAGGTTTATTTTCATAAAATAAAAAGTTAAATTAATTTTTATAATATTTTTGCTATTCTAGTAAAAATTATTCTTGAATAATTTTCATAATAACCATAATTTATTAATAATATTAACTCAATTTTTATTTGAAAACTCATTGATAAATAAAATAGACAGACATATATTTATCAAATTTAATCAAATGAAGATATTTTTTTTATACAATAAATATTTACTCAAGGCAAAAAATAAGAATAAATATTAATTAAGTATTTGCTTTTATTTATCCAAATTCAAATATTTATTTACCTCTATAAACAATATAAATTTTAAATTATTTAGTAAGTCAAAGTACCATTATAAATATTGTAAGCATTTCAATTTTATATATAATATTTGAAATTTTATGAAATTATCTTGATTAATGATATAAAAAATAAGAGCATCTAGAAAACTTAAATATTCTTCTGATGAATTTTAAAAATGAAATTCATAATATAAAATTTACTAAATTGTTTTGAGCATTTAAAATATTTTTTTAAATTAGTAAATTTAATAAAAAATAAATAAAAAAATTTCACATAAAGTTTTTATTATTCTTATTTAATTTAATATTAATTAAAAGAAAAAAACTCTTTATTTATTAAATTTATCCATTATAAAATTAAAACAATTTTTGTTTTTATAAAATCTTCTAGAAAAATAAATATAACCAATAAATTTCAACTTCATTCAAAAATAATTAGTTGAAATATCTTTTGTAAATAAAATTATATTAAAAATGAATTTCTGGCTGGAATAGGAAATTGGTTATTGTAATTTATTATATAAATTAATTAAAATAATTTATTCAATTTTTATTAAAAGAATTTAGCATTTATTTAAAAAACTATAAAAAAAGATGTTTTTTAATAAATTATTCTTAAAAAATATTTTCCACTTTTATCGATTTTTTAATTTTAGAATGTTTATTTTAATGAATGAAAAATTGGTTTATCAATTAGTTTTTTATTTAGTCCATTAAAAATATTCTCTTTTCACTAACTTATATCGAATTATGTTTATTTATTTGTTGTTTGTTTGAAATGATAAGATATCTAGCTCGAAAGATAAATAGTTATTATTTAGTAGAAAAAAATTAAAATTGCAAAAATTCGAATTAAAGCAAAGATACAATTAAATTAATCCTACATAATATAAATGGATAATTCAAAAATTATTATAGATCAGATATTTTAGAAGCTTAATGCAGACACATCTTTCGATTACTATACTATAAAAGGTTTAATTAATCTTATGAGCTATGAAAAACCATAGTATTCTTCCTACGAATTTGTTGGAGCTGGCTTGAATAGCTTAGTTTTGAAAGTCAATGATGACACTGCATTGAAAATTATGAAGGTAACTAACCAAAATTTAGAACTTTTGAAAGAACTTGACCAAAGAGTATCTAATTTAAGAACAGCAGGGAAAAATAACTACGTTTAATAAGTTGATTCAAGCTATTTCTTATCTGAAAATATTTCTAATACCTCTACTCCTGTCTTTTATGTTTAAGAAATGGATCTATGCACAGGTTATCTTTTTAAGTTTATTCTATATTTCAACAAATGCTAAATTTTTTTATAATTGCTAAAATTATTAGGAAATTTAGATAGCTATTTATCAGGACTAAATTAAAAAGAATAGTCTCTTAATGATACTTAGAATGAAAGAATAGCAATTTAGTTATTAGATGCTCTAATGATTATCCATGCTTTTGGATTCATCCACAATAACATCAAATTAACTAATATTTTGTATAAGGAGCAAAGTAATGGGCAGATTGTCTTCAAAATAGGTAATTTAATTTGCTTGTAAATGTATGAATTTTTAACTCAATTTAATATTGAAAGCTGATTTGGGACTTTACAGACTTGAAGATTTCTCAAAATGGAATATTTAAGGAAGATTAAATAGAAACGCATAAGTAATTTAGTTATTAATTAATTTATTTATTTAGCTAAAACTCTTTATAAAACGATTATTTATTTTTTTATGTATTTTGACTAATATTCATTTATTTTTTCAACACTTTATTTATAAAGAAAACAATCGATATTTATCAACCACAAGAAGCTTATTATAATCAATATAGTTCTAAGGTAATAAATTTAACAAATTATTGCTAAAATATTTGAATTAAATAGAAATTTTTTTTTGATACTTTTTATAAGAAATTATTTTAATTTATTCCAATTATTAAATAAATTATCATTTTAGAGTGATTTATTCTGCTTAGGTCTGATATTCCTTCAATTAGAAAATACAAACTTTGACTTTTAAAATATGCAAATAAGTGAGTTTGTAGCATTCTAAAACAAACTTGATAAAAATGAATTCCCATTTGAGGAATCTCTCTTGAAAGACAGTCTTTTGTCTTAGATTATTTAAGAATGGCTAAAAGACATTCCTTCTGAAAGAAAAGATGAAAAAGCTGTTCTGGCTCATTTGCTTTTAAAATAGAAATAATGTTCTTTAAACGAAGATTTATAAGTATACTCTTTCAACTTTTAAGCTCCCTTATAATAAGTAATAATTATTAATTCTTATTGAAAAACGCTAAATAAAATATCAGTAAGTATAGGGCTAAGCACAATTATTTTAAGTATCTTCATAACCTTAGTAAAGATAAAAAGAATGGCTTATAGATTGGGATTACTTTTAGCAAGAAGGATCTATATTTGAAATGATTAAGGCAACTTTCGAAGCATAAAAAGAAAACTACTTAAACCAATCAGAATTAAAACTTATTTTTGAGTAAAATTAAATTTTATTGTATAAAAATTAAATTATTTTGCAATTATAAAATAAGATGTACCAAAGAAAGAAAAAAACTAGCATTAGATGATGATTCAATCAGCATCATTTCTAAAGTTTTAAAATAACTTCAGTTTGCTGAGTCTCTTGAATTAAACCTTAAGTATATATATATATATTTCTTTCGTTCATTCATTTAATTAATCATTCTTTTTTTTTATAGGAAAAACTAAATTGGAGATTTAGGATTAAGAGAATTGAGTGATGCTCTTCTACTTTTTGAGGATTTAATATAATTAAAATTAGATTTATCGTAAATATTTTTGATAATGTTTGATTTAAATTAATTCTATTTTATATCTAAAGATAAAATATGATCACTGATATGGGAATAGATTACCTTCGCCACTAACTAAAATAAATCTAATAGCTAAAGAAAGTTGATCTAATTTTTAAGTAACTAAACTTATTATTATTTATCTTATTAGGTTAAAATTAATTAAATAATTTAATTTTATTATAGTGAAAATGATTTTTCTGATAGTGGAAGTGTAGTTGAGGCCTTTTATAATGATATAAAACCTTTAATGAATGAATTTAATATAAGTGTTTGAAAATTTCTCATATTTTTATATATTTATCTATCTATTTATTTACTTTATATAAAATATGTATACTTTAATAGTTAATTTAATATGTTAAAATATCATTTAATTGCATTTTTTACAGAAAGCTTTAAAAATTATTTAAGTAAAGCTATTGAACCACATTTATTTATTCAAAATAATAAAATACCATTAATATCTATTGGGTTTTCCGAGTTTGTTTTGTCTCATTTTAATCATATTTAATATATTAAATTAGAAAACTATTATTTTATTTCAATTTTTATTTACTTTTAATCTTCATTATTTAAGAAACCATTAAATTCCTCAAAATTTATCCTATTTAAACTTGAGATTATTACCCCTAACATAAATGAAAGGAGAATAATTTAATGGTATCACATCAATAAGATGGATTTAAGAATATCTTTATGCCTAAATTATAAAAATGAATAAATCATTTTTCTGCTTTTTATGATTAAATAATAATCTAAATCTGGTTAATAAATAAATTCATTATCGTTGAATGAATTAATATATAGGTTGATATTTTTAAAATAAAATGCGTTAATTATTTATTTAATTTAAGGTTTAAAATAAATTTATTAGAAAGATGATTATAAATAGGAAATAAATTTTAAGATATATAAAATATCACATTTACTTTATATTAAGGTGCTTTAATTATTTTATTTTTTGATTTAAATAGAAACAACTTTATTTAAATGATTTAGATAATTTTTAATTTAAGACTACAATTTATAAAATACGCAATGGATTTAAAGGTTGAGAAAAAAAAATAAGATTTATTATTTTTTGTTTTTGAATAATTTGTTGATGGTACCTGGTTAGATTTAGAGGATGAAATCGAAGCTGTTGTTAATAAACTGTTAGATAGCAATGCCTAATAATTATAGGTTTTAATGGATGAGCTTATATCTTTAGGGTTAAAAAAAGATAAAGTAAAAACTATTAAAGAAGAAATACATAGATTATAGAATGATCATTTAGAAAGTCCTTAAGAAAAATTAAAAAAAGAATATATTTTGCTTTGGCAATTTCTGTAAGAATTAGAATAAAAGCAATCACTTTAAAAAGATAATGTGCAAAAAATATTTTAATAGCTTGTCAAGCTCATACAATAAAATGATAATGATAGAAAGATCAAACTATTTGTAAACTAAATGAGCATTTCTAGTTAAGATAGATAAATTCTATATGAAAAACTAAATGATTATATGTAGAAGAAATAATCTTCTTCAAGGAATAAGTTAGAAATCGAAAATAATTAAGAGAATAAATTTACAAAAAACATATCTTTTAATTAACTTAATTAGAAATCACTTCAATATTTATCAAATTAGACTTAAAGGCAATTATAAAATATTCAAAATTAACCAGAATAATAATATTTTGGCGATAAAAATGATGAGACACCAACAGATTGCGGATTTAACTAAAGTGATAGCAACTTGAAAACTCAACAATATTTTAGTGATCAATAAATGAATTAAAATAACATGATAAATGTGGTTTCTTCGAATGAAAAATTTTTGCCAATCAAGATTTTATAATAGTTTCCTGAAAATGGATTTGACCAAGTTTATATAAGAAATATTTTGATGCAAGAAAATGTGAATAAGTTAATATAATCTATTTAAGCAGGAAGCTGTAACTGTGTTGGTTTTTTAGGCGATTTCAGAATTGCTTTCAAAATATTATCTTGTATGGCTCCAAATCTTATCTAGGTTAATCTTGAAAATGAAATTTTAGATTAGTTTGATTTATTGGTTGCTTACACTGATGGTAATACTGTGTTTATGATTTATTAAGATAGCAAATATTTGTTGAAAGAAAATTCTTTTGAGAATAATGATAGAGCTTTGTACATAAGATATATTCTCGATATTTGCTAAGTAATTGTCCTTTGCATAAATGAAGAAAGCGTGATTAATTGGAGCGATGCTAATCCGTTTCAAAATAATATTTCAACAAAAATTAAATTCATTGAAGATAAACAGCTTGATTTTGTTGTAAAAAAAATAGAAACAGAATTTTATAAATAACCAAAAAAATCCCAAATAGTTAAATGCTCTCTGGATTGTTAAGAAATAATTTATACTTGGAGTGAAGAAGATAGTTAACAAATTTATTATAGAGAATATTAAAAAAATAAAAATAAAATTGAGAAAATATTTGAAGAAATAAATTTTGAAAATTACAAGACAAGCAAGCTTAACTTTTATCAACAATAAGAATTAAAGTAAATTATGTAGCTCGTTTTTTAATCCTTCATAGGGAATAAGGAATAAATAATTAAAATAGAAGAAATATTTATCAATTTGACAAATCAAATTTAAAAATATCAAACATAATGGCTTGAAACAAATTTACTTGAAACTTCAAATGTGATTAAATAAAACGACTTTGAAATCTTATTAAAATCATTTTTAGATTAAAAAGATTAAATTTTAAACGCTAATGATATAATTTAAAATACTTTAATAGAAATTAATTAAAAATTTAACGGTTATTGCTTAGGATGCATTACAAAAAAATGGAGTTGGTGCAATTAATGTGTTAGATTACAGATAATATTTTTAAAAATAATATAAAAATTTAAGTAAAACATTGATTTTAAGTAGACAAAATAAATTTCTTTTTTTTAAATTGTTGATGAATATAAAAAAAATTAAAAGTTATTCGTAAAAAATTTGGAGAATAAGTAATATGAAGAATTTATAATTCAATTTGAAGAATCATTTAACTATTTTGTTAAAGAAATCAATAAATTTAAATAGAAAATATTCATAAAGAAAATCTAAGAGGATAATGTGACTCAATTATTAAAAGAAAAAATTGTAGAACATGCCATTAACACATTTGAAAATTAGATAAATAATAACTGGATTTTATTGAAAAATATTTAGTAAGAATTTAATACTTCAAAAGAGAAAGTTCTTTAGGTTTTAGAGTAACAACTTAATGAAGAACAGAAAAAAATAATAATATTGAGACCGCTTATTAACAAATTTGTATCCAAAAAAAAAAGAAATAATATTCGAATTATATAAAATTTATATGATATTAAATTACCTAAAGAAGCACATTCAATATTAAATTACTTTTGCTTTGATTCAGAAATTGATTATATAGCTACCTGCAACTCTTATTGCCCAAAAGAAGATTAAAAACTCACTATTTGGAAAGTCAGAAGGAATTTTAATGGCAACCAGTAATAAATTTTTGGAAAAGTATTCACAATGAATAGCTCAGATGTATGCATACATATAAACAGTAAATCTAAATAATGGATAGTTTTTGATAATATCAACAAGAATTAGGCTATGGGAGAAATTAAATAAGATTATTCATTTTCATAGGAGATGTCCTTTAGTAATGTATATGCATCTAAAATTAAAGAAACAGGACATAATATTAGAAGAGTGGATAATTGTTTTATTCTTAATGGAATTGATGATAAAATTTTTATTTATGAAAAATAAAAATAATAATATTATGCTGTTTCTCTTGACAGCGATTCTATTGAAATTAAAGTCTTTCAGCTTTGTAAATAAATAAATAATGAAATTGTTAACGTGGAAAATCTTAAAATATACAAAGTGTTTAATTGCCTTTCAGATAAAGTGTACGTATTTGAAACAGAAGACTCTTTAAAAATTACAGATTCAAATTATAGGACCAAATTTGAAATAAATTTTGATAGACTTCAATATTAGGACTTTAAAATTATTGACAATTAAACAACAGTTATGATAATAGTTATTTATTAAGGATGTAACATAGATTCTTATGTAATTACTAATGAGTTAGATTAATAATAGATTTTAGTTGAAAAAGGGTTTGAATAAGAAGCAATTGAAAAAAGAATAGGAAATCCTATAATCGATAGTTTAGTAGAATCTATTAAAAATTATGGACAAAATTTTACAGAATTAGGATGTCCTCAGTAAAATAATTTATTTTGCTTTTATGAAGAAGCAAATCAATCTTAATAATCTTCCAATTTAAGTAAGAAAATTAATTAATACTTAAAAGAATGCTTTTAGGCATTGCAAATAAATTATTAAATTACGTATGAAGAAAATTAAAACTCAAGCAATATAGTTTGTATTGTAGATTAAATTTAAAAATTTTTGGAATAATATTCTTAGCCTATTCCTATTTAGCATCTAAAGCTTTTGTTGCTTACAAGAATACCCATACAGATAAGTACCATAAAGTAATCTAATTACTATCCTTTAATTAACGGCTAACTTTGGGATCAACTATAATTTCAAAGATCTGAGTCGCTTTTGAAATTAGAAGATGTTAAAAAATAAATTAATTTTGGATGGTTTGAAGAAGTTCTTAGAAATTTAAAAAATGAGTCTCTTTATGTTATAAGTATTTTTGGGAGATAATCGGTTGGAAAAAGCTCTTTACTTAATAGGATGTTTGGCACAAGATTTGGAGTTTCTGTTTCAAGATGTACAGATGGAGTTTGGCTTGGATACACCTCTTTAAATGATACCTAAATTCTCGTTCTTGACTGTGAAGGTTTGTTTTCAGTTAGAAGAAGCAAAGCAGATGAGCTGAAGTTACTTTAGTAAATTACTTTAATCAGTGATTTCAGTATTCTTTTAGCTGGTTTAGAAGCTATTGATAAACCTTTTTAAGAGCTGCTTAATGATCTTATACTTTCCAACAAAAATAAAAAAGGAGGAGATATTTATTTCTAAGGTTCTTTGGAAATATTGGTGAAGGATATGAATGGATAAAATGACAGTAGTAAAATTTAGAAAGAGTTAACACCTATTTATAATTTAAAAATCGATACAAATATTCATTATTTGTATCCGTATTATCATGAAGGATTTAATAACAACCTTAAATTGATAAGAAATTAAATTTTATCAAATTTAAATAAAAAGTAATAAAAAGCTGAATAAACTCTTTCTATTTTTAAGTATTCTATTGCACAATTATTTTTAGATGATGACACGGATATTGAATTGCTTTACCATAAACTTGAAATTAAAGATCTGACTAATTAATTTAAATAAATATTTTTAGATATCAACAAGTTAAAATTAGCTGAAAATGAATCTTAAATAAATTTTACCTACCAAGGAAATAAATCTGAATAATAGTAAATTAAATAAATTGATTAATTTGACTTTGATATTGAAGAAGAAAAAGAATAAATGAAAGATTAAAAACTGTAAGATTTGACTTAAATTCCTTTGTCTTTTGATCAAACAAAGCTAAAATTAGGCTAAGATAGATAACAATCTATAATATCCATAAATCGAATTTTTTTGCAAAAAATATTTGACGATTAATTTAGTAGGCTAAAAATGGTTGATCATAATAATTATTACAAATAATTGTAAAATTTTTTTAATGAAGTTTTTTCAAATAGAAAATAATTAGTTATGAATGCCTATGATGCAAAATTAACCAAATTAAGTAAACTCAAAGCTATATCTAATGAATTCAAAAATGAATTAGATTAATTTATCTCAGAATTGAATGAATAATTCTAAATTTGCTAAAAAAATTGCAAAGAATGTGAAAGGAGATGTGTCAAATAAAATAACCACATAAGCGATTGTGATTGCCAAACTTCTCATACTTGCATTTATCTGTGCTAAGAATGTACAAATGAGAATTAAGATAACAATATAGTGAATTAAGATAACAAAATAATACACTAAGATAATAGCATAGTACACAAAGATAACAATATAATAGACTAAGATAATAACATAGTACACTAAGATAATAATAAAATAGACTAAGATAACAATATAGTACACTAAGATAACAACTACTTAAACCCTCATCAATGCTAGTTTTTATTTGGACATTTAGGTACACATTTATGCAGCACAAAAACTCATTTCTGTGATTAGACTTGCCAAATTTCATCATGCCAGAACCAATGTAAACTTAAATATAATCACTCCCACTTAATTGCACATGATTGCTAATAAAAACACTAATGCAAATATAATTGCAAACTGCATGATAAATGCAAAAAGACTTGTTAGTTAGAAGATGGACATATGGAGGAAGATCATTTATGTAATTCAGATAAGTGTTTTGAAAAATGTGTTTTATGTGATAAATAATGCTCTTTTAATAAGCATGATCATGCTAATTTGATATTAGATCCTATTAAAAATAAGCAATTGCTTACATTAAAATACATAAATGAATAAAATTATGAAGTTGAAGTAATTGTTGACGCTCATTTATGTGGAGAATCTCATTTGTGCTTGTAATTATGTCAAAAAGAAGGTATTTGTAATATCAGCTATCAGACAGAGTAAAAATCATGGGTTTCTCAAGAATTAAAAAGATTATTTAGTTATAATTTTTATAAACCTTAAAATTAATAATAAAAATGCTCTATTGTTATTCCAAAATGGTAAAGAATGCATAGAGAATTAATTCACTAATGCTCATAATAGCATAGATGTAATCAAAAATGCCCAGAATGCTTAAGTTTTTGTAAAAAAGATTATAATCATGAAGGAAAGCATTAAGCAGATATTCACAGAAATAAAGAATAGTGTGTTTTCTTAAATAAAACTGAAGATAAAATATCTATAAACGATCCAATTAACTAAAGAAGTTATAAAGCTGGAGAATCAGCAGAACCAGAAAATTGTTATGATTCCTGCTTAAGATAAGGGAGAGCCCATTTTCACTTAAGAGAATGTTTAGGTGGTGATTTATGTGCTTAAAGCCTTTTCCCATTTGATGCGAGGCATTCTAAAAGTTAATTCTATCCATATATCAATAAATAATATGACGAAATACTTTGCAAGAAGTATTGGAATTCAATCGATTGGGAAACTCCTCTTTTTAATAAATTAAATTAAGAATATGAAACAGAGCTTTGCAATTATGCTTGCTCTCACAAATAACACTTGTAGCAAAATAAAAAAATGAATTTTTGCACTAAAAAAGCTTGGCACCAAGGAATTCACAACATTAAAAAATCAAACTGTCAACATTAGCTTATTTATGATAATAAAATCCAGATTTGTTTTACAGTAGATACTACAAGCTCTATGGGTTAAGTATTTGGTCAAATGAAAGCATCAGTTGAAAATATTGTAAACTCTCTAAACATCTAGGATTTTGATATTAAATTTGGGATAGTGTGCTATAGGGATCATCCAAACGAAGAAACTTCTTATGGAGAAACTGGTCTAAAAATTTTTTAGTTTGTTAATCGAGCAGATGTTTTAGAAGTTATAAAAAATTTAGATGCTCGTGGAGGAGGAGATATACCAGAAAATGTAATTTGTGCACTTTACCAAAGTTGTAACTCATTAAAATGGAATAAATAATCATTAAATATAATAATTCACATAGGAGATGCCCCACCACATGGATTAGAATATGGAGTAAATAGTAATAATTTAAAATGGACTTTATATGGTTGTCCATGTGGAATTAAAAGGGTTGATGTCTTTAATTAGCTTAAATCTAAAAATATAAAATATTTTATGGTTAAATGCTCATCTGTATTAAATGAAACAGAAAAACTATTTAAAAAAGATTTTGGTGAATTTTTTAGAAAAGCAGTAGAAATTTCAAACTTTAACTAAATTAATGAGAAAATAACAGAATTTGTTATCAAGGAAGTTCAAAGTAATTTAGAGTTTTACCATGTATAACCTTACCCTGATGGTATCAAATAGAATTGAAATCAATATTTAGAAAATTAAATATAAAAAAATTTTTATTAAAAATAAAATTTATTTTTGTAATTTATTTATATAGTTAGATAGATTATATTAATTTGAGTTTGTTTGGTTTTCATACTTTATGAATAGAAATTACTAAAAGTTTATTTTACTTATTTTTGATACTTCATTTTTTTTGGTAAAAAGAAATTTACTCCGTGATTATTGTTGCAAAGCAAAAGGCTTTACATAGAAAATTAAATTGTTTACCCATTTTTTTATCAACTTTAATAACTTTTTTCACTTAGTACAATTAATTTATACACTATAATTAGAAATCATTTTCAATAGTTTTATAAGTCTACTGAAATTAAAAAAATTTTTTTTGAATGGATATAAGTTAGTCTTTTTCATAATTATAATGTGGTTTATATAATAGCATTGCGAATTATTTAACGTGAATATAAATTAGAAATAATATAGAAAAAAATGAAGTAAAATAATCGTTTACTTAATTAAATAAATTAGCAATACTTCATCACCTTAATTTAAACGAATACATAAATAATCTTTTTTAATACTATAGAGGAAAGTTAGTTGTATAATTATGGTTGATCCAAATATATGTATGTATTTAATATTAATTTATTTATTTTGGATACGTTTTGAGACTATAGAATTTTTGTAATTTAATTAATTAAAATAATGTAAAATCAAAAAACTTGTATACTGTAGATAATTATTTATTTTAAAAAACAATACATAACTGGATACCTTTCAAAAAAAAAAGTTAAAATGATATAACAGAAAAAATATTTTAATTAGCTAGAAGATGTAGCTTGCTTTATATCGAGTTATCTCTTTAATTTATTTTTATCTTAAAAATTAGTTTCTAAACTCCCATTTTTAGTATCTAACTTGCCTTCATATTGATTTCAAGTAAAAATAATTAAATTTATTTATATTTTTAGCAATTTTAAATATTAAATTAGAAGAGTATTATGAAAAATTGAATTTTTATTAAAGAGAATATCATTCATATATCTCCTTATTTTTTTAAAAAAAATAAATTTATTTTTAAATTCTTTTCTTTTACATTAATTTTTTTAAAATATATTAACAGTAGCAATTTAATCGGTTTTGAGGGTTTAAAAAGCTTATGTCCTGCAATAGAAAAATGCATTAATCTCTCAAATTTAACTCTTGGTCTTGAGTAAATAAATAAATTTAAAATTTTTAATTTTTTCATATTAATTTATTGTGAAAATAAGAAGTAATTAATATATTTTCACTGCTATTTATTTATTATTTTTTTAATACATTAAAAGGAACAATTTAATTGGTGAATAGGGAGTTTAAATATTAGGCCCTGTTTTGGCAAATTGCATTCATCTTTCCACTTTAATACTCTAATTAGGGTAAGTTTAATCTTTTATATTAATATAGGATATCCATTTCAAAATTAAATGAAAGCCATTTAAGCAAAATTTAACGAGATAAATTTATTTGACTAGTCTTTACTTGAAATCAAATTTTATTCTCAATCTATTTATTATATATTTTTTTTGAAACTATTTAACATTAATAATATTTTTGAAATATTTTAATAGAGGAAATCAAATAGGCCCAGAAGGAACAACAGTCTTAGGATCTTTACTAGCAAAATGTACTAATCTCTAAACTTTTGAAATCGATCTCTTGTAAAACATACATAAATACATACTTTACTAATTTAAAAGTTAAATAGAAAATTCAATCGAAATTTTTAAAATGATGTTTTAAATGACTTTATATATTATCATCAGCTTATTTTAAATAAAAAAAATTAATATTTTAATAGTTCTAACGAAATAGGAGATGATGGAGCAAAAGGACTTGGTTAAACACTATCAAGCTTCAAAAATATCTCGAATTTGACTATTAAACTTGAGTAAAATAAAGAAAATTTAATTAAAAAACAAATTTGATTCAAAGACAGACTGGAATATTTTTATTTTTATATTTTATTTGATCATTTAACCTACTAATTATTTAAATTTTTAATACATTTTTTCATAATTTTAGATCTTTCATTTTAATTTTATCAAAATATATTAAAAAGATAAAATAGAATTGGAATGGATGGTGCATCAGGCTTATGTTAAGAGTTAGAGAATTGCAGTAATCTCTCAAATTTGACAATTGTGATATTGTAATATGAATTTTATTAAATATTTTATTTTCTATCATTTAAACTCGTTATTAAAGCAATCAAGCTATTTATTATCTTTGATATTTTTTTTATAAATTAAACAATTTTATTTTCATTAATGTAATAGAATGAATTAAATCAGAGCTTAGGGTATCGCAAGTATAGGTTCTGCAATTTAAAAGTGCCCTAAACTTTCCAATTTAACACTTAACGTTTGGTAAAAATTTCATTTATTTTTAATAATTTTCATTATTTTTGAAGCAACACAGTAATTATAAAAAATCATAATCAAATTAGTAAAATCTACCATATGCTAAATAAATATCTGATAGAGCAAAAAAAAGAATTTTTCTGATAGATTACAAATTCTTAAATAAATTTCAAAAAAGCTAAACTTTTTATAATTTTTCATATGAGCTAACTAATTAGTTTGATTTTAATAAAAAGCTACTGTAGAATTGGAAATGGTGGTGCTTCAGCCCTAGGCTCTTCTTTATCAAAGTGTACAAATCTTACAAAATTGAATCTATATATTGAGTAAAAAATCTTTAAAACATTAACTTATATTTTCAATTTTAACAAACCAAAATAACTAATTAATTCTACAACTCATAATAAAAGCGATAATTAAATAAGTGCTTAGGGTGCTTAAGACATAGGATCAGGATTAGCAAACTGCAAAAATCTTAAAAATCTGGAACTTTCTTTCTTGTACAATATTTTTTTTGTTTTATATCTGAATTATTTATTTAAAGATAAATCGATAGTAAGCCAAAAAAATAACTAATTAGTATTTTTTTTAAATCATATTTTTAAAAATTTATTTAATATTTTAAAGAGCGAATTAACTTGAGTCATAAGGTGCAACATTTTTATGCAATAACTTAACTAACTGCACTAATCTCTCAAATTTGACACTTAACCTCACGTAATAATAAATTATTTCATAAAGTCTATTTATAAATCACAATTTAATTTAATTTACAAGATAGATTTATTTTTAATATTGTTAAATGTGCAATTTCTAAAATTAAATTTATTTTTTGACAATAATTGACCAATTTATTAAAATATACTTAAGTGGTAATCAAATTGGTGCTCTTGGTGCAAAAGTCTTAGGGTCTTTGATAAGCTCTATTAATTTCCAAAATTTGAGCCTTATTCTAATGTAAAACATGTTTTATTTTTATTTTATTATATCCATGTTTAATTTTTCAGATAAAAGTTTAATTTATTTATTTATTTTTACTTACTATTTTTTTATATTGTTGTTTATTTTTTTATTAATCCTTGATTTTTAATTTCAAAATATATTTTTTTAAACATTTTTTTCTTTTTATTTTTAATTTTTTTAATTTAAATATTTGAATAAATAGAAATAACTAAATTGGTGATGAAGGTACTTAAGCCCTAGGTTCTTCTCTCTCAAAATGCACTAATCTCTAAAATTTGACACTAAGTCTGGGGTAATAAATATTTTTTGATTTCATTTATTTATTTTGATAATATAAACTTAATATTTAAATTACTTATTTTAAACTTTTCTCTTACAATTTAAAAACTTATTAAAAGTTTCAATTAGATCAAAGACTAAGGTGCCCTTTAATTATGTGATGAATTGAGAAGATGTATTAATCTCTAATTTTTGCTCGTCAAACTCCAGTAAATTTTATTTACTATTTTTTACTAGTTAATTACATAATGTAAATTAAGCTAAACAAAAAATACACGTTTTAAATATGTTTTTTTGACATTTTTAAGTGAATTTTCTCATATATTTTTTTATTTTTTAATCTAAGGCTATATTTTTTGTTGATTATTTATTAATATTTTTCATAATAACCTTTTATATTAATTAATATTTTATGTAAAACTTATAAAAAAAGGATGAACGAATTGAATACAGATTCTAAGATATTATCATCAAAGTTTTTAAAACTTAACTAACTAACAACGAAAAATATTGTCTTATGATCACTTTAAGAAAATTAGATTCATTTATTTTAAAATTTATCTAAATAAATAAATAGCAAAATAGATGCTAAAATTTGTATATATAAAACAAGTTTCATATAAAGTGTTTAATAGCTAATTCAAATTTATTAAAATACTGTAAAAAGTTTTACTTTTTGAGGTTTGAAACCATTTTATTAGTGAACTTAATATTTTATTTAAGGGATAAGAAAATAAAAATTTTCAAAGATATAATTTAATAAAAAATTGAATTACTCAATCATTAATGTGCTTTTTGATAATCAAGTTTTAAAACAAAATACATGAATTTTAGAAAACATATTTCTTAAATATGGTTTAGTATTAAAACAAACATATAACTTAATTTAATCAATCAAATTTTTGGTATTTCTAGTTTTTAAGTTTATTCAATCTGATTAATTGTCTAATTTAATTAGGGAGTCTTTTCATTTATATTTTTTTCTTATTAATTAATTTAATACTTAAGAGAAAATATAAACATTTCTTAATCATTTTATTACTTCTAAATTCAATTAAAATTTTATTTTATCCTAAAATTTCCTTTTGGATACAAAGAGTACTTTTAGGCATTGCTAAACCATTTTATGTTTCTGATTTTCAAAATTACAAGTATTTGTTTAAATTAATGGATAAATTAAAGTTACTCAAAATGCTATCATAAACTTCAGATAAAAAGAATTCAATTATTTCTATTTATTTTTATGAAGTTAAAGTTAAATTTTCTTGGATTCTATTTGAAGATTAACTTTCTTAACTTATTGTATTGATTAAAGGAACTATTAATTAAGATTTGATAATTTTAAAAACATCTAAGTTAGTTTATAAATTTGATGGATCCTAAATCATTTTGTAGTGTTGTAGAATGTTGTCTGCTTGGGTTGTTTGTTTTTTATCAAGGTTCTTAAATGAGTTTTTAATATTTTAGCATAAAGCAGTAAATGTATCACAAACCTAATTAAAAGAGTATCTCTGTATGATATCTATCTATTTTAAAGAGGATAGAGTAAATTGAATATTTAAATCCTTTTAATAGTAATAATTTAATTTATTAATTTAATTGTAAAGAGATTCTCTTTACTATTTAGTACCATATTCTTTGCCTACCATAATTTCATCAGCCAAAGGAAATGTATCAACTGTTACTTACTTTAGTTTATTGTAAAACTATTTTTAATCATGGAAGTTAAAATTTTGCTTTAATTAATTTGTGTAATCAGGAAACTACACAATTTAATCTAGAAAGTGGTGTAGTTTTTATTAATAAAATTAAAGAGGTAAGCTGGTTTTGGAAAATATGAACATCATGTTAGCTCCAAAGTCAATTTTTGAGTTTTTAGTTAATTGGTAGATTAGTTCGAATATTTATTTGAGAGATTTACGTTTTTACTAAAATCCACATAGCTCGAATATTTATCCATCAAAAAGAAAAATTAGTTTGATTCCTTAAGAGCCTGTTATGATTTTATTCATAAAATAAGAGTTGACTGTATCTATAATATCATCTCCATTATCCTAAAAACCCTGAAAATCCCAGATATCACCCTTTTCAAAAGAGAATTTATTTAGGAAAAATGTTTAAGATTCTAAGAAGCTAGGTCCAATCATTTCATATTATTACTAAGATGGATTTTTGTATTATAGAACAACTTCATAATTCTCAACATTCACAACTAGGTTGATATTATACAAAAATGAAGCAAGAGTAGTCTTTCCAGAACCAGCGTTACCAAAAATGAGAATGGCATCTTTTTTGCTTGGTAATATTTTTTAAGATCCATATTTTAAATATTTAAAAAATAGAATATAATTATTTAGATTCCTCATCTTTATTTTAGTTAATTTCTTCAATTAGAGAGTCAATATCCTTATTATATGGCTCTTAAGAAGAGTTTATTTAACCCTTGAAGTCAGTTCCAAACATATACTTTTGTTTAATTTGTTAGCGTTACTTTGCCTTTTTTTTTAGTTTTTTCTTCTTTTTTCTATTTAATTAGAAATTTAGAATTTTGGATTACAAAAATTTGAATTTAAAATTTAGACAATGGGGTAAGATAATTGATAACTAAACACCTTTCACTTTTGTAAAATATTTAATTCTAATTATTCACAACTTTCTGTGCATTTATTTATAGATATTGTTGAGTTATTTTTTAAAAACAATCTATTTGAGTATAGAAAACATGATCACATATTATTATACATATTATACATAAATATAAAACATTACTGTATTTCTTCAATAATAGTTTGAGATTAGGGATTAAAGTAAATATCAAATTTTACAAATTAAAAACCTCAATAATTCGCAAAATTTTAGATATGTGACTTGCGAGATACGAGGTATTACGGTAACTATAATAAACTTCATGATAATATATAATAATGAATATTATTTTTATTATTATAATAAAATGACGCTACAGACAATTTGACACGCATTTATTTTATTTATATTTTCAATCTTTAATTTATAGATTACTCAACAATTAATATAATTAATAATTTAATATCAGAAGATATTTTTTAATGGAAAGTCTACCCCTCTATCGAATTTATTTCATTTTTTAATTTAATAAATAAAATAATAAAAAAAAACATATTTTTTTGGAAATCTTTTATTTTTCGAATTCTATTAAATATGGTTACAGAACTAAAAAGAGCTTTAATTTAATTATCTTAAGTAAGCATAAAGATAATTTAACATTTGCATAAATTGGTTGAATAAAGGTAATTTGTCTTCTAAGCAAAAGATAATCCATCATTATTTTAATAGTCAAGTCTTATTTAGGTTTGAAAAATTTTTGTTACTCTACAAAAATATCTTTTTTAAAATATTTAAAAATAAGAAAATATATTTTTGGTATTTCAATATTAAATAAAGTGATTTAGTTACTTTTTTTACAATTTTTAAAAGAAAATACAAATTAAATCAGATATTATAAAATAGTTAACTAAAATTAAAAAAACTAACAGATAAAAAAATTTAAATTAAAAATTGTAAAAATTATTGTTTCAAAATATGGACATTCTCTTTTGTTTTCATTTTATTTTCATAAGTTTTATTTGCACTAATCTAATTAATTTTCATTCAAATTTATGAAAAATTTACTTCAGTATTCAAATATTTACTCAAATAGTTTCTTAACTATTTATCTTGAGCAATCTCTGATTGTAGATAACATTTCTAGAGATTAATTTGTCATATAAAAGTAAAGCGTTTCTGACTATTGTTTTTAATAATATTGAATTTCTTTAATTTTAACAAATACTCTCTATACGAGATTATGAAAATTCTTTACCTATCTCTTACTTTTAAGGTAAAGGAAATAAAATTATTTTGCTTTGAGCAGTTGCAAATAATATTTTTTAATCTTATTATTATCACAATGTTTTAGATTCTAATAATTAAAATCCTTTGATATCATTAACTAATTTATTAAAATATCAAATTATGCTTTTAAGTGATTCATTCTTTTCTGTTCTATTGAAAACAATAGTAATATTCTTTGAAAAATCTATATAAGTTGATTCTACTAAAAAAAGATAGCTTCCAAAGTAGCTTTTAGACTATTACGCTTTTCTGGAGTTTATTATTGAAAGGACTATCCATCCAAGACTAACAAGAATTTAATATTTTAAGAATAGCAAATAGTTTTATTAAAGACAATAAGAATTAGTTATTTCAACTCCTACACCTCTGCTATCTAGCAATCCAGAACAGTCAAAAATTAGAGTTTCATTATCCAACTTAAAAAAGTTAGGCTATAAAGTTTCTGACTCTGTATCAGACTACCCAATAACACTAAACATTTGATTTTTCATATCAGAAAAATATAATTAAAGCTCTACTTCTGCAACAATACTCTTCGCTAATAACCTAAAGGTTTAAGCGATATATATATGCAGAAAATGGTGTTTTGCCAGTTCCTAAAGCAATACAAATTTTTATTATCTTATTTTATTTTAGAACCTTTCTTCATTTATTTTTTATTTATACAATATTATCATCCAAGTAAGAGCAGCTTTCCTCTATTATCTGCCATGCATATTAGTTTTTCTACTATTAATCTATAATATCTTTAGCACTATTTTTTTACATTATATATAATGTTAGGTTGATACTTTATTCCTTTATTTTTTAGATTTGATTAAGATATCAATAATTTAATTCGTGTTATGATATTTCAAATTTTAGAATATTAGAATTTTAAAAGTAATTTAAGCATATTTTCCTGATTCTGATTTCTCACTTTGTATAGTTATAAATAAAATTGATTTGATTACCATGATTTATAACCTTTATTTTTATAATATTGACTTTAATAAAAAGAAGTAGTTTTATATGTTTAATTTTAAATAAGGATAATTGCATATTTTGAATATCATTTTTTTAAGTTAGTTATCAATTACTAAACTATAGAGATTGTTTTACTCTTTATTGGTTTAAGTTATACTCATATAACCTGAGGAATACTAAATCCTTCCATGAAAATCGATGAATAGGTAGTGTTATTAACCATATTCGATTGCTTGTTTTTATTTGATTAGCATTGAAGCATATAGTACTTGAGTGCTTCAACGAAGAATCCTTTATGGAATCTCTATGACTCGCCTGCCAGAGCCGCTTTGCCCTTCTTAAATCAGAGCTTAATGTGTTGTGTCTCAAGTATAAGTTCAGCAATTTAAAAGTGCCCTAGACTTTCCAATTTTACACTTAACATTTGGTAAAAAACTTCCCTTATTTTTATTTATTTTATGATAAGTAGCACCAAATACAACCCAATTAACATGGAGGGTCCCCTACATACTATTAAGAGATTATTCAATAATTTGTTTTGCAGTTATATAAATTTAATAGTTTTTATCTTTAGGTGGAGAAGGAAAAGTTATTATTTTTGTCTTTTAAAGATTTCTGAAAAACTCTTAGTAAGATGCATTAAAGTATTTTGTTTCATTTAATTATTAAATAAATTTTGAGTTTCCAGATAATTCTTAAAATACTTTTCTAAGTTTATCTTAATAAAATGTTATATTATCCTTAGTAGTTTTAGAAATTACAATGAGTAAATTTTTTGATATATCAAAAGTTGTGTCTCTTGTCATAGAAATTAAATATTGAATTTATTATTTGTATGGTTAACATCTCTCAGAACTCAATCCTTTGCATTCTAGTAATGAACCATCTATTAATAAAATTATTTTCACCTACATAGCGTACTATTGAAAATAATGAATAAAAAACGAGTTTATGATATCAGCTTTAGTTTATTTAGTGTCTTAAAATCCTGGGCAATCAATATAAACGTAAGAAGAGCTGCTCTCAAAGACATAGGAAAAGAAGTTTCTGATTACAGAACATTTAGACCAATTTTTCTTTAAAATTAATTGTTTTACTAATAGTTTATGATACTTTAATTAAGCTCATTTTATTCTACAACTAGATTTATGCCTGATAAAAAAGCAGCTAATGTTGTTTTTCCAGCCCCAGTATTTCCGATTATAAAAACAACATTTCTCTTATTGCTTGTCTACTATTTGACACAGTTAGTAAAGGAAGAGATAATATCAGAGATGATTATTTCCGATTAGTTTCCATTTTTAAGTGTATTTAGTAATAAATAATCTGATAGATTAAAAGAAATTTGGTATGAGCTTAAGGTTAAATTCTGGTTTTAACTTGATAGAAAAAGGTTTTAATTTGTATTTCTTTAATCATAAAAATTGAACTACCCTCTTCTCATTTCTAAATCAGTCAAAGTATTTTTGATAGCAATATTATTATTTATAATTCTTTCGTTTTTAATAAATTATGAAGAAGTTTTAAGTAATAACTTATATTTGAAATGTATTTATATTTCATTTAATAGAGTTTTATAATTAATATTCAAAAAAAATATATTTAAAAAAACACTTTTATTTCCAATCTTTAATTTACTGCCATAAGCTTATTGATGATAACCAATTACGCATTAAAAAAAAGATTATAATTTATTTAATATAATATTACGTGCTTCTAAATAACCCACCATCATTTTTTGAGTTTATAATCTTTTAATAATAAAAAAAGTTAATCTAAATTGAAAATTTCAATCCACATTTCGGAGTTCGTCTTCACCTTAATTCGAGGAATGAGGAATCGCAAAATTATGGTATATATAAATATATATCAAATTAATGAAATTTAAAATAATAATTTTAAAAATAATTTTTCGAAGCTCATTAAAAATAAATGGATATTTTTGTATTAATTATCATACCATCACAAATTCTATAAATATTCGTATAATTTTATAGTGAAAATTTATCAATTTAGTGATAGGATTAGTAGAAATATTTGTAATAATTGGACATTTAGCAAAAGTTGACCAATAGAGTGAGAATAAATTAATTATTTTAGAAGATAACTGCTGTGAATACATTTTATTTATAAATTTTCATGATATTATTGCAGCACAACTTAATTTTACTATTTATATTGTTGGCAATGAAGGAATATATTATTTATTCAAGATTAAACTATAATATCTTATTATTTTAATTTTAGAAGAATTTAACAATTTTCATAATACTGAAAGATAAAAAAAACAAAAATTTATTATTAAATGAATGATTTAACATTTTAATTATTTGTTGTTAAATTTAATTTTATTATATTTATATATATTTATCTTTTTTTATCAATAATTATTATTTAAGTTTTTTCTTTTAACTTAGTTTTCATTTTTTAAAACTTAGATTTACTCATCATAATTTATTTTATCTTTTAGTTATTAATTTAGCTATTCTTGTTTTTGGTGGAGTTCTTAGTTAGATTTTTTTAAACTTTATTATGTATTATTAAACATTATTTAGTTTAATAAATCCTCTTATTATTTATTTGATGCTGCTATTTCTTCGTTCAATATTATTAAGACTACTTTTTTGAACACAGTATAAAATGATAATTCATAACTAATCTTGCTGAAGAAAAGATTATAAGCAAATTTGGATAAAAATTCAATGTAGCTTAATTCTTATTCGATTTCATTACTTTAAAATTTATTTTAGAAAAAAGAAAAATTTTTTTCTATTGGAGTGATTAATTTTAAGTTAATAAGACTAATTAATTGCTAATTGTTAGCTGGATTGAAATGTTATTCTAAATCTGAGACTATTTATTACATTAGTTTTATATACTCTTTTATTAATGATTCATTTTGTTGAATTTAGTTTCTTAAAATATTTAGAGCATTTTTTAATTTATTTTTCATAACAATTTAGATTTCAGATTCCAATTTTAATAAATTACGATAAGAATTAATTGATAATGGAACTTTAAAATCATTTTCATGGTAATATTACATGCTATTAAGAGATTCTTCAATAGTTTATTTTGCAGTTATGTAAATTTAATAGTTTTTTTTATCTTAAGGGGGAGAAGGAAATGTTATTATTTTTGTCTACAAAAGACTTCTGAAAAACTTTTAGTAAGATATATTAAAGTATTTTGTTTCATCTAATTATTAAATGAATTCTGAGGTTGTTGATAGCGCTTAAAATGCTGCTCTAAGTTTTTCTTAATAAAATATTATATCATCTTTAGTGGTTTTAGATATTACAATAAGTAAATTTCTTGAAATGTCAAAAGTTGTGTCTTTTGTCATAGAAATTAAATATTGAATTTATTCTTTATATGGTTAGCATCTCTGATTACTCAATCCTTTGCAATCTAGTAATGAACCATCTATTAATAAAATTATTTTTACCTACAAAGCATTCTATTAAAAATAATGAATAAAAAACGAGTTTATAATATCAGCTTTAGTTAATTTAGTGTCTTAAAATCCTGGGCAATCAATATAAACACAAGAAGAGCTCTCAAAGACATTAGGAAAAGTTGTTTCTGATTAGAGAGCATTTTCACCAATTTTATTTTTTAATTATAAATGTTTTTATTTATAGTTAATGATTTTTTAATTAAGCTCGTTTTTTTTTACAATTAGATCTATGTCTGATAAAAAAGCAGCTAATGTTGTTTTGCCAGCCCCTGTACTTCCGATTATAAAAACAACATTTTTCTTATTACTTGTCTACTATTTGGCACAATTTGAAAACTAAGAGATCATATCAGAGATAATTACTTCCGATTCATTTCCATTTTTAAGTATATTTAGTTATTAATAATCTTATTGTTCAAGAGAAATTTGATTTGAGCTTAATGTTAAATTCTGGTTTTAACTTGACTGAAAAGTGTTTTTGAAATATTTTCTCATGTCTAAAGTAGTCAAGGTATTTTTTATAGCAATATTATTTATAATTCTTTTCTTTTTAATAAATTATGAAAAAGTTTTAAGAAATAACAAAATATATAGCTCCTTATTTTTGAATTAATATTAAAAAAAAAAATATATTCAAAAAAACACTTTTATTTTAATTCACTAATTTACTGCCTTTAGTTTGTTAAAGATACCAAATACGCATTAATTAAAAACAAATATAATTTATTTGAATATTTGACAACATTGCATGCATCTAAATACCCCATCATCATTTTTTGATATTTAAAAATTTTTATTTCAATAGATATACACACATTATGATTGAAAAAAATGTTGGTTAATTATTAAAATAAACTTCCCGATTATAAATATATATGTAAATGAACATTTAATTTTATTATTGTAATAAAATTACACTACAAAAAATTTGACACATTATTATATTTAAATCTTCAACCTCTAAAATATTGATTAACAATTAGCATAATTAATCATTTAATATTAGAAGATATTTTTAAATGGAAATTCTACCCCTCTATCGGATCTATTTCATTTTTTAATTACAGAACTAAAAGAGCTTTCATTTTATTAACTTAAATAAAATAAAATAATCTAAAATTTGCATAAATTGATTGCATATAGACAATTTGTCATCTAAGCAAAGATAATCCATCATTATTTTAATAATCAAGTCTTTTAATAGGTTTTATGGCTATTTTTTATTAATATGCAAAAATATCTTTTTTAAGAGTAATTTAGCTTTATTATTGCAAAACACTGTATTAGATGGGTTAAGAACGCTCATGAAGTGTCATTTAAAAATAAGAAAATATTTTAATTGAGATATTAAATAAAATTATTTAGTTGCTTTTTTAACAATTTTTAAATCAGATTTTATAAAAAAATTAAATTTATTTAAAAATTTTTTTAAATTATTGTTTCAAAATATAGAACACGCTGATCTAAAAAAGCCAATTGCTCCTCCTATAACAGTACCAACAGGGCCAAAGCAGCTTCCTATTACTCCGTATTTTACTGTAGAGCCTATAGTGCCTAATACTGAAGGTGATGAACTTTTTTTTGCCTAAGCCTCAATTATTTATCTCTCCTTTTCTCTTCTTTATTAATTTTATTTTTGTACTTCTTACGTATGTCTATCTACTTCTTCCTCCATTTTTCTTAAATCCTCTTGTCCATTAATAATATTAGATTTAAAATTATTAAGCTAATTCTATTTTTAAGTTATAGAAGATTAAATTGACTCTATTTTTTTCTTTTGTTGTTCTTCTTATTATTTCTAAATTTTTAATTGTTCTTATTTTCTTTTTTCCTCCATATTTAATTGATTAGCCTCGTTATTTAGCTAATTAATTTATTCCATCTATTAATCAATTTACTTTTAACTAGACTGTACTTTCTAATTCAAAACGTTTTATTCATTTTCACTTATCATAATTTAATCATCTAGCTCTCTTTATTATCTTTATTATTTGATTATGAATTTTTACTTTTCATAACTTTTTTGCAGCAAAAGCATTCCTTCAGACATTTCATAGCAATCAATAATTCCAAAGTTAATTTTGTAACCCTCTTTATCTTACAAAAAGTTGAACTATACCAATAAATTGTCATACACTTCTCTTAAAAAAAATTACAATTTCTTTAATGTTTTTGTGTATGATTAATCATATTGATTAAGTTATAAATTTATAATTGGTTAAAAAAGGTATTATAATAGCAAATCATAATAGGTGCTATTTATTAACTTCTTTTTATTTGCTTCATACTAAGAATTGTAATTATCTATTATTTGAGGGAACTAATCTAATTAATTTTCATTCAAATTTATGAAAAATTTACTCAAGTATTCACATATTTCCTCAAATAGTTTCTTAACTATTTATCTTGAGCAATCTCTGATAGCAGATAACATTTCTAGAGATTAGTTTGTCATCTAAAAGTAAAATGTTTCTGATTTTTGTTTTTTGTAATATTGAATTTCTTTAATTTTTTAACAAATACTCTCGATATGAGATTATGAAAATAATTTACCTATCTCTTACTTTTAAGGTAAAGGAAATAAAATTATTTTTGCATTGAGCAGTTGCAAAAGATATTTTTAAATCTTATTATTATCACAATGTTTTAGATTCTAATAATTAAAATCCAGAGATTTCATCAACTAATTTATTAAAATATCAAATTATTTTCTATAAAATGCTTCATTATTTTATGTTCTAGTGAAAACAATAGCAACATTCTTTGAAAAATCTATATTAGTTGATTATGCTAAAAAAAAGGTAGCTTCCAAAGTAGCTTTTAGACTCTTACCCTTTTCAGGAGTTTTATATTGAAAGGACTATCCATCCAAGACTATCAGGAATTTAATATTTTAAGAATAGCAAATAGCTTTATTAAGGCAATAAGAATTAGATATGTCAACTTCTACACCTCTGCTATCTAGTAATCCAGGACAGTCAACAATTATAGTTTCATTATCCAACTCAAAAATATTAGGCTGTTAAGTTTCTGACTCTGTATCAGACAAACCAATAGGGGTAGACATTTGATTTTTCAAACAAGAAAATTTTAATTTAGGCTCTACTTCTTCGCCATACTGTTCGCTAGTAACTTACAAGTTTAAACGAGATATATATGCAGAAAATGTTGTTTTGCAAGTTCCTGTAATTCCTAATACGATCAGCATATTGTTATTATCTTTATCTTATTTTATTTTAGAACCTTTCTTCATTAATTCTAAAATTTTAGCAATAGATTTCTCTTAGCTAGTTCCCTCTTTTAATTATGCAGTAATATCATCCAAGTAAGAGCAGCTTTCCTCATTTAACTGCCAGGCATATTAGTTTTGCAACTATTAATCTACAATATCTTTAGCAATATTTTTTAAAGCACTGCTTATTTTCATGATAATGTTAGGTTGATATGTTATTTGTTTGTTTGTTTTTTAGATTTGATTAAGATATCAATAATTTAATTCGTGTTTTGATATTTCAAATTTTAGAATATAACAGATATTAGAATATTAAAAATAATTTAAGCGTGTTTTCTTGATTTCCCACCTTTTATCGTAATAAACAAAATTGATTTGATTACCATGATTTATAACCATCATTTTTATAATTTTGGTTCTAGTGTAACAAAAAGAAGTAGTTTATATGTTTAATTTAAAATAAGGATAAATTGCATATTTAGAATATCATATGATTAAGATTTACACAATAAGAGAAAGAAAATCACAAATTTTTCAACTCAAAATACATATTAATTTTGAAGGCCTAAAATAATCTTACCCCTAGTAATGATAATTAATCAGAAATAATACTTTAAATTATAATAATCCTAACAAAAAAAATAAATAAAAAATAGATTATTATATTTGTTGTGATCAAATACTTCAAATATCTTCTTATATTTTTTAATGATATCATCATTTTTATATTTTGGAAATTTTTTAATCAAAAAGTATTTTTTTAGAACTTTTATTTATTAATAAGTAATGAAGAAAAGGAAAATTTTTGTTTAATGTAATATAAAATAAATTTATATATTATTTTTATTATATATTTGAGAAACAATTTTAAATATTTGATAGATTCAAAAAAATTTAACCAACATATTCACTACTAGTCAACTAAAACTTAAAACTATATTAATCCTAACAATAAATTAAATAAATTTTAATTAAAATCAGATAATACAACACATTATTGACGCACTAAAAATTAGAATTTTAAAATATAAGTCATCAGATTACTCACTAATAAATATGTAATTAAAATAAAAAACAAATTAATATTTGAATATTTTATGTTGAAAGTCCTACCCTAACCTCTTTCTATCAAATTAATTTAATTTTTAATTAAAAAATAAAATAATAAATTGAATATATTTTTTTTTTTAATTATATCAATTTTTCAATTTTATAAAATTCATGAACTGATTGATTTAAAAAATAAATTAATTATTACCATATTTAGCAAGCTGTTTAAAGAAAACATAATCTAATCATAACAAAAAATAATTGAGTGCAGTAAATTTGTTTGTATTTTAGATGTATTTAAAATAAGAAAATAAATCTTAAATAAAAATTTTCAATTACAATTGTTAAGTTAATTAATTATTTGTTTGTTTAAGCTATGTATTTTACTACTACAATATATTTTTTAGAGAAAAAGTAAATTTAGAAATCAAAATAAATTTAAATGGTACCTTAAATAAACAAATGTTAAAAGAAATATAAATTATAAAACAAGTTAATATTAGGATATTTTTTGCTGAAAGTCCTACCCTCTTTCTATTTATTTTTAATTTAAAAAATAAAATAATAAATTAAATATATATTTTTTTTAATTCTATCAATTTTTCTATCTGATAAAATTCATGAAGTGATTGATTTAAAACATAAATTAATTATTATAATATTAAGCAAGTTGCTTAAAGAAAACCTAATCTAATCATAATAAAAATTAATTGAGTGTAATAAATTTGTTTGTATTTTAGAAGTATTTCAAATAAGAAAATGAATTTTTTCAAATAAAACTTTTCAATTAAAATTGTTAATTCAATTAATTCTTTGTTTGTTTATTAGTTTAAGCTATGTATTTTACTATTAGAATATATTTTTTAGACAAAAAGTAAATTTAGATATCAAAACAAATTTAGATGATACCTGAAATAAACAAATATTAAAAGAAATATAAATTATATAATATTTACAGCAAATTTATTGTGATAGATATTTAACTTAAATGTTATTTAAATTAGTATTGTTTCAGAATAAAGAAGATAATTTTTCTTTTAGTAAAATCAATTAATTTGACAAAGATGTCCCTAAAAAGGGCCAAATCGAGCTCCTATCGGTAGTGAGCTTTGTATTAGATTTCATATCTTCTAATACTTTAGTCAATAAGCTTCTTGTTCTTTAAAATTAATACTCTAATTCCTCATTAATTAAGAGAATCCCCTCCCAATTTTGGAAGGTTATTTTTTGGCCCTTGGTTCTTAGTTGAAAATTCGGTTCTAAAATTTTTTTTGAGAGAGCTTTAATGATAAGCTACAATATATTTTCATTCTCTCTTTCTTTGATAATTGTTTATTTTCGTATTTGATTTATAAAATTGTTAAAATTTTATCTACTTCCTCCCTTTTTTATTTAAATCCTATTGCATTCTTTTTAGTTCTGATTAAGAGTATATTACTACAATTTTTCGATCGTATATATAAATGATAAAAATGAGAATATAATATGCTTTAAAAGCTAAATTTCAAAAATAAACAACAATAATATTTTAATAAGAAAATAATTTTTCAAATCTGCAATATAAAAAATTTTCTTAATATTTGTTAATTTTAAAGTAAATAAGACTATTATTAATATGATCAGGTTTTTAGTTTTTAATCTATTTATCTGCTTATTAACTATGAATAAGCTCTTTTTACAAAAGGAAAATATATTTCTTTCAAATTAGAACATAAATGAAAGAATAGAAAACAAATAACACATAAAAAAAATAAAACAAGAAATAATTAAATTACTAAAGAGAAATAATTTTTTTATATCTTTCTTAATCAATATTTATTATTTAAGTTATTTCTTTTAACTTAGTTTTCATTTTTTATAATTTAAATTAATTCATCATAATTTATTTCATCTTCTAGGTATTCATTTAGCTATTATTGTTTTTGGCGGAGTTCTTAGTTAGATTTTTCTAAACATTATTATGTATTATTAAACATCATTTAGTTTAATAAAACCTCTTATTATTTATTTGATTCTGCTATTTCTTCTTTCAAAACAATTAAGACTACTTTTTTGAACACAGTATCAAATTATAATTCATAGCTAATCTTGTTGAAGAAAAGATTGTAAGCGAATTTGGATAAAAATTCAATGTAGCTTAATTCTTTTTCAATGTCTTTTTTTTAGAAAATTGAGAATTCATTTTCTATTGGAGCGATTAATTCAAAGTTAAGAAGACTAAGTAATTACTATTTGTCAGTTGAATAAAAAGGATAATCTAAACCTGAGACTATTTAGGTCATTAACATTATATATTTATATATTAATGATTCATTTTGTTGAATTTAGTTTCTTAATATATTAAGAGCATTTTTTAATTTGTTTTTTATAACAATTTAGATTTCTGATTCCAGTTTTAATAAATATTGATAACAATTAATTGATAATGGAACTTTCAAATCATTATCATAGTAATACGTCATGTTATTAAGAGATTATTCAATAGTTTGTCTTGCAGTTATGTAAATTTAATAGTTTTAATAATCTTCAGGGGGAGAAGGAAATGTTATTATTTTTGTCTATAAAAGACTTCTAAAAAACTATTAGTAAGATATGTTAAAGTATTTTGTTTCATCTAATTCTTAAATAAATGAATAGGTTACAGATAATGCTTTAAATACTTTTCTAAGTTTATCTTAATAAAATGTTATATTATCCTAAGTAGTTTTAGATATTACAATAAGTAAATTTCTTGAAATATCAAAACATGTGTCTTTTGTCATAGAAATTAAATATTGAATTTATTGTTTATATGGTTAACATCTCTGATTACTCAATCCTTTGCAATCTAGTAATGAACCATCTATTAATAAAATTATTTTTACCTACATAGCATTCTATTAAAAATAATGAATAAAAAACGAGTTTATAATATCAGCTTTAGTTAATTTAGTGTCTTAAAATCCTGGGCAATCAATATAAACGCAAGAAGAGCTCTCAAAGACATTAGGAAAAGAAGTTTCTGATTCAAGAACATTTTCACCAACTTTATTTTTAAATTCTAAATATTTTGATTCATAGTTTATGATTCTTTAATTAAACTTATTTTTTTCTACAATTAGATCTATACCTGATAAAAAAGCAGCTAATGTTGTTTTGCCAGACCCAGTATTTCCGATTATAAAAACCACGTTTTTCTTATTACTTACCTACTATTTGACACTGTTAGAAAATGAAGAGATCATATCAGAGATAATTACTTCCGATTCATTTCCATTTTTGAGTATATTTAGTTATTTATAATCTTATTGTTCAAGAGAAATTTGTTAATTGAATTCTCTTCTCATATCTAAAATAGTCAAGATGTTCTTTATAGTAATATTATTTATAATTGTTTTCTTTTTGATAGATTATGTATTATTTTTAAGAAATAGCAAAATATCTAGCTCCTTATTTTGAAATGTATTAATATTTCAATTAATAGAGTTTGATAATTGATATTAAAAAAAAAAAAAATTGAAAAAAACACTTTTATCTCCATTTTCTAATTTACTACCATAAGCGCATTTTCGATACCAAATACGCATTAAATAAATAAATTATAATTTATTTAAATATTTTACAATATTACACGCTTCTAAATACCCCTTCATTATTTTTGAGATTTAAATATTTTATTTATGGCATTTTTTTAAAAATCTTAGGGGATAAGAAAATAAAAAGTATCAAAGATATAATTTCATAAAAAATTGAATTACTCAACTATTAACTACGTACTTTTTGATCAAAATACATGAATTTTAAAATATGTAGTAAAACAAACAAACATAAAACTTAAGCTAATTTATCAATCAAATTTTTGGTATTTCTAGTTTTTTAGTTGCTGGAATTTACATGACAGTTGAAACTATATTCAAAAATAAGCCAAGAAAACCATCTTATTATTTATTTTTCTATTACTATTTTTACATTTCATATTGATAATTTAATTCAAGTTAAGTTTTCTAAAGCTGTAAATCTTTGCTCCTTTGTCTCTCTTTATCAAGTAAAATGTTTTATTTCTTTATTTCTTAACATAGTGTATCCATTTATTATTAGCAAGATTAGAAGTGCTTGTTGATCTAATCTAATTGCTATATTGACTACTCAATTAAAATTTTTTTGTCATTGATTTCCTATTAAATTATTTGAATTTATTTCTGCTGCTCATTATAAAATTATTAGGCTTCAATTATTTTTTGTTCGCTTTATTCAATCTGATTAATTACCTAATTTAATTAGGAAGTCTTTTCATCAATATTTTTTTCTTATTAATTAATTTAATACTCAAGAGAAAGGATAAGCATTTCTTGATCATTTTATTGCTTCTACATTTCCATTAAAATTTTATTTTATGTGATAATTTTTTTTTAGTTTTCAAGAGTATTTTTAAGCATAAAAAAACCATATTCTGTCTCTGATTTTCCAAATTACAATTAAGTATTTAACTTAATGGATAAATTTAAGTTATTCAAAATGCTATCATAAACTTCTGATAAAAAGAATTCAATTATTTCTATTTATTTTTATGAAGTTAAAGTTAAATTTTCTTGGATTCTATTTGAAGATTAACTTTATAAACTTATCGTATTGATTAAAGGAATTATTAATTATGATTTGATAAATTTAAAAACATCTAAGTTAGTTTATAAATTTGATGGATCCTAATTCATTTTGTAGTGTTGTAGAATGTTGTCTGCTTGCATAGTTTATTTTTCATCAAAGCTCTTAATTGAGCTTGAAATATTATAACATAAAGCAGTAAATGTATCACAAACCTAATTAAAAGAGTATCTTTGTATGATTTTTATCTATCCTTAAGATGATATAGCAAATGGAATATCTAAATCATTTTAGTAGTAATACTTTAGTTTATTAATTTTAGAATTTAGACACTCTCTTTACTATTTAGTACCATACTCTTTGCCTTCCATATCTTCATCAGCCAAAGGAAATGTATCAACTGTTACTTACTTTAGTTTATTGTAAAACTATTTGTAATCATGGAAGTTAAATTTTTCCTTTAATTAATTTGTGTAATTAGGAGACTAAACAATTTAATCTAAAAAGTAGTGTAGTTTTTATTAATAAAATTGAAGAGGATTGCTGGTTTTGGAAAATATGAACATTATGTTAGCTCCAAAGTCAATTTTTGAGTTTTTAGTTAATTGGTAGATTACTTCGAATATTTATTTGAGAGATTTACCTTTTTACTCAAATCCATTTTGCTCGAATATTTATCCATCTAAAAGAAAAATTAATTTGATACCTTAAGAGCCTGTTATGATTTTATGCATAAAATAAGAGTTGACCACATCTATAATATCACCTCTACTATCCTAAAAACCAGGACAATCCCAGATATCAACATTTTCAAAAGAGAATTTATTTGGGATAAATGTTTAAGATTCTATGAAGCTAGATCCAATCATCCCATATTCTTTATGAGATGGATTTTTGTATTATAAAACAGCATCATAATCAACAACATTCACAACTAGGTCGAGACTACACAAAAAAGCAAAAAGCGAAGTCTTTCCAGAACCAGTATTACCAAAAATGAGAATGGAATCTTTTTTGCTTGGTAATATTTTTTAAGACCCATATTTTAAATAATTTAGAATAGTGTATAATTATTTAGATTCTTCATCTTTATGTTAGTTAATTCCTTCAATCAGAGAGTCAATTTCTGTTTTTTATGGTCCTTAAGAAGAGTTTATAAAACTCTTGAAGTCACTTCCAAACATATTTTTGTTAAATTTTCTTTAATTTGTTAGTGTTGTCTGTTTGCCTTTTTTATTTTAATTTTTTCTTCTTTTTTCTATTTAACTAGAGTTTTAGATTATAGGATTTTTAAAATTTTAATTCAAAATTTAGACAAGGGGTAAGATTATTGATAATTTAAGCACCTTTTGCTATTGTAAAATATTTAATTCTAATAATCCACAACTAACTGAGTATATATTTTTAGATATCGTTGAGTTTATTCATAGATTATTATGAAAACAGTCAATTTGAGTAAAATAAACTTGACCAATACTGTATTTCTTCAAATAGGCTTGAGATAAGGGATGAAAGTAAAAAAATATCGAATTTTATATAATAAGTTTTTATAAATTTCAATTTCTTGAAACAAGTGTGTGTAAATAAAAAATTTGTATGGTAAATGATTTCTAATTATAATATTAAGTCGCTGAAATATCTAATAAACAATCATATCCTTACTAATTAAGAGAAGTAAATATAAAAATATTTTCAAATTTATTATATTTTTGAGATAAAAAAAATAGAAGTGTTTTATTTTATGTGTTATTCTAATTAAAATTTGAATTTTATCCTAAAAGGAAGTTTGAATATAAAAGAATTATAATAAATTGAATTATTTTAATTTCTGCACAAAATGAATAGTAATTCAAATCCACAAATACATATGTAAACAAACAATAGTAAAAAATATGCATGAAAAACTGCTTGATTTTTATTTTTTGGTAAAATATTATCTATTCATTCAAAAAAACTAAATATTCTAATTTAATCTATTATTCAAGAAACTCATTTTTTTCCTTATGGTGAAATTATTGTTGTCAATAACTGTCCTACAGTCCCAATAATAGCTGGTATCAACTAGGATTCTTATTTAGCTTTATGAATTTACCTCTGATATTCTATTTCCATTTCATTTTTTTGTTTTAAAAATTCAATTTCTTGTTCTAATTATTAATTTTATTGTATTTTTTCTTAATATTGTTTAGTCATTTCCTCTAATTGTTCATTTTATTTTGCTAATTAGTTATTTTGCTCTTCAATTTTTTCATTTAAAAATTATTGCTATTAGTTAATCTATTCAAGGCATTATTAGTTGCTCCTCAAATCTTGAGAAGCTTTTTATTATAATTCCTCTTCTTCCATAAGTTGTTATTATTTTTCCTATTGAGCCTAAATAGCTATTTAATTATCATAATCAAGCTATTGTTGTTTATGGCTAAAATCATCAGACACATTTTCTAAGTTTTAAATAGCACTTTGGTTTTTTTGCAGTCTTTCTTTAGATTGTCTTTAACTCTCCTTAAGAGATTAAAGCTTTAAAACCTGGTCGAGATTTTATTAAAGAATTTTAACTCCATTGCATGTTTATCTGGTTGAGATAAAACTTTTTCTTTAAATATTGTTAGATTCAATTTTAGATATTAAATCGCAATAGATATCAGTGAAATAGAAATAAAACAACTCAAAAAGATTGGTTAAATCTTTCATCTCTTAAATACATTTGTTTTCTAGGAGGATTTCAATAATTAGATTTTGAAACTATTCCTTAATTTATTTGATATAACTTTCATCTTATTAATCTTTTAGACTTTAAAAATGTTGTATTATTTATTTTGTTTATTTTAGCTGAAGCTCGTTTAATTCTTTTAATTCTTCTGATATTTTTTTACAGATACTAGTAAATGTTTTCTCCATCTAACGCTGAGATATTTCAAATAACTGATTAATTTTTTCAATATTCTTCATTCTCAAAGGTAGTTATATTTATTCACTTTTACAGAAATCAATATCTGATTCTATTGCATTTAAAATTTTTAACCCTGGTCCTTTATCATAGAAAGAATTAACTTATGCATTGTCAGGTATATTTGGAAATAATAAAACCATGGTATTTGAAATTTATTATAAGAATTTCTTAAATTGAATTTGGTAATCTTAGGTAAATTTACAAAGGTCCTCATTCAGAAACACTTCAATAAAGTTTTTTAATTTTTTGACATAAAAATCACTCTCTTTTTTTAAATTAGCTTTTGAGATGACAATTGCAGTGAATTTAGATATGTCCAAGCTAAAATCTCTTATCATAGAGAAAAAAGAAAATAGTAAATCTTTGAGGTCTCTACCTTTTTCGATTCCATATCCTCTGTTTAGTTAATTACCATCAATTACAAGTATAAATTTAATTCTTTTAGCTGAATTTACTATCTTGTTTATGAAAAAAGAAATTGGAATCTAGAATTCTTCACCTCTGCTGTCATCAAACCCAGGTGTATCCCAAATAGTTATTTATTTTTTTTAATTAAAAAACTTATTAGGAATGAAAGTTTCAGACTAAATTAGATCACTACCTATTTTACCATATTTTTAGAAGTCTTCTTCTTTATATTATAAATAGCTCTCTTGAAATATCGTTTTGTTAACAACTAGCTATAGCCCTGACAAATCAGCAGAGAGACTTGTCTTACCAGATCCAGAGTTACCAATTACTAAAATAATATTATTGTCAGCTGAGTTGATTTTTTACAAACCACACTTAATATTATTGAGAGTGCCTTCAATTTATATTCCAGCATCGTTTCCAACTTATTAGAAGTTACTATGTTGCAATTCATAGCTTAAATCATTCTAATTATTCTACATGAGAAATTAAGATGAGTTGTTTTAGAGATTATTTTTTTATCCTTCCATATACAAGAGTTGTCAATAATTTTATTATTAATGTTTATTTTTTCTATTTGGTAGTCTAATTTTTAAAGACAGCTGGGATTTTTAATAACAAACAATCCTTAAATTGGTAAATAGAAAATTTAATAACACACTCCCCAATAAAATTTACTATTTACTTTATTTGATTATTGAATTTTGTTGAAAAAATCCTACTCTTTAATAAAATAAGAAAGAATTATGGAATATAAGAATTTCATAATTTGCCATTAAAATATAAAGATATTTTACATTTATTCAAATATACTTACCCACACACTTGTGATTATTGAACTTCGTTGAAAAAATCCTACTCTATAAAGAAATAAGAAAGAATTATGGAATATAAGTATTTCATAATTGATAACTAAAATAATATTATAAAGAAGAAATTCATTCTTTCAAACATACTTACACACACACTTGCTAATCCATAAAAAAATACACCCGAAAAGAAGAATAGTTTATTTAATTTAAGGATATTTAATATTCTAATTGAGAATAATAAATAATTTCACCAAAAAAAACGACCAACATAAGGAATAAATTCAACAGCATATGAAAGAATTTTTAAAAAACCTCTCTTTTTTTTGGCTCTCTTTTGACTGATAGCTAATTAAATTATCTCTTCTTCATATTTTTTATTTTGTTGTATTAATTTTTCTGTTTAATCTAATAATTCAGAATTTTTTTATTTTAATCTGCACAATGAATCTTCAACACTGTTTACTTGTTTTTTAGCATCTACAATCTACTAATCTATAACTTTTTTTTGCTTTTCAAAGTCTTCTATATTTCTTCTCTATTCTATTAAATTATTGTCTAATTCGTTTTTCTTTTAGTCAATATCTCTAATTTTAGATTTGAATAGCTGTAGATCATTTGTTTTGTGCTATTCTTGCACTTATAGTTCATCCAATTTGAATTGATTATTTTTTTATTGTTGTTGCATTTATTTTTTTATTTCATCCGATTATTTAACTTTTATTTCTAAATAACTAATGGCTTCCTTTTTTTCCAGTATTTTCTTAGAGTATTCGAGACTCATTCTAATTATTTCCAAGCCTTTTCTTGTTTCTTAAGATCCGAATCTGCACAAAAGCTATTTATCTTTTCCTAGCAATTCAATATTAATTAGTACTTCATCATAAATTTCAGATATTAAAAAATGTAAAAGCTATACATTATGTTATAGATCATTCTTATCCGTGATGTAAATTGAATCTGAAAATGGTAAGAGAAGGGTATTATATATAGTTAAAAATTTTTTTAAATTGCTTTCTTATATTTAATATTGTTGCTCTAGGTTAAGGGTTACTGATTCTAAATATTCTATTTATTCGCGATTTAATTATTCAGCTTGAGAAGCTAAGGTTTAGCAAATAGATTCAAATGTTACCCTGACTAAGTCCTAAGAGTAGCTCCACATCAATTTTATCTTATCTAAAGATTTATCTGTAAATGGAATTCTTAAGTCTTTTAAGCAATAGAATTCAGATTGCAGAATTTCCAAAAGCAATTAGTCTCTTAAAATTCTGCTTTCAAAAAGATTACCAACCTATGATTCATTTGCTACAGGAATAAGTAATATCTTTGCTTATGCTACTCTAGAAAAAAATTCTTAAATATTAACCATTTAAAGGTTTTATTTCAGTTAGGTTTAGTAATCTTATGAGTTAACAACTTCGCTTATGAATTTTTTTGTTATCTTTTCTTTGTAAAATTCAAAGCTCTTAGATGCTTTATTGATGATGAAAATTAAATTCTTGGCAAAATCAAATTAGCTGTTTAAGGTAAACATGTAAAGCATCTCAAAAATCTGCTTAAGAGCCTTTCCTTTTTCTGGACCTAGACCTGAATTTAAGCTATGTCCATCAATAACAAAAACAAATTTAATTCCAGCTACGCTATTGATGACTTTGTGTATAAAATAAGAGTTAACTATATCTATCTCTTCTCCTCTTGTATCATTAATTCCAGGAAGATCCCAAATATCTATCCCATATTATTAATTTTAAAATAGGTTTGGTATAAAAGTCTCAGATTCAATATGGTTTTTTCCTATTTTGCCATAATTCTAATTCTCTACATAAGCATAATCAAGAGTACAAAATCCAGACTAATCTTTAACAACCCTTAAATCAAGACCTGATAAAAAAGCTGAAATAGATGTTTTTCCTGAGCCAGAGTTTCCAAATAAAAGAATAGAATTTCTCTTTTCTTTTATTTAGATTTTTTCATACCCTAAATAGACATCCTTCAGAATTTTGAATAGCGACAAACTATCATTATCTCCCTTTTTTTAAAGTTCAGATATATAAGTTTCGATGTTAAATTCTAAGAGCATATCAGAAAATAAAAATTTTTCTTTACTGTATAATTGGTAATCAATAGACAAGAATATTTTATTTTTGAGTTTATTTAATTAATTAATTATTAGCTATAGCATTTATCACTCTTTTTAATACTATTAAATACATTAAAGAATCTTAGTAACAAATAATAAAAACAAAAGCTAATGAAATTTGATGAATTTTATATTATATTTTGAAAAAAAAGAACCTGAAACCAACAGGTTATTATATATTTAAAATAAAATTAATGATAAAAATATACATAGATTATGGTTGAAAAAAAAATGTTGGCCAATAATTATAATAATCTTCATGATAATATATGTATAAAATGAACATTTAATTTTTTTATAAAAATAAATTGATGCTACAGACAATTTGACACACTATTTTATTTAAATTTTCAACCTCTAATTTATAGATTACTCAATAATCAACATAATTAATAATTTAGTATCAGAAGATATTATTTAATGGAAATCCTACCCCTCTATTAAATCTATTTAATTTTTAATTTAAAAGATAAAATAATAAAAAAAAACATATTTTTTTTGGAAATCTTTTATTTTTACAATTCTACTAAATATGTTTACAGAACTAAAAAGAGCTTTAATTTTATTATCTTAAGTAAGCATAAAGAAAGTCTAACATTTGCATTAATTGATTGATTGCATAAAGGTAATTTGCCATCTAAGCAAAAGATATTCCATCATTATTTTAATAATCAAGTCTTTTATTAGGTTTTATGGAAATTTTTGTTTACTAAGCAAAAACATCTTTTTTAAGAATATTTAAAAATAAGAAAATACATTTTTGGTATTAATAAATAATTTTAAATATGTATTCAAAAAATATTTTAATTGAGATATTAAATAAATAAATTTATTTATTTGCTTTTTTAAAAGAAAATACAAAATTTCTCTATAAAAATTAAATCAGATATTATAAAAAAAGTTAACTAAAGTTAAAAACACCAAAAGAAATATAAAATTTATATTAATAATTGTAAAAAATTATTGTTTCAAAATATAGAACACCCTCTTTTTGGTGAAAATAAGCCAAACAATCCTCCTACAAGAGCACCAACAGGGCCAAAGCAACTTCCTATTACTCCGTATTTTACTGTAGAGCCTATAGTGCCTAATACTCTAGGTGATGATTTTTTTGCCTAAGCCTCAATTAACTATCTCTCCAATTTTCTTCTGTTTTCGTTTTAATTTCTTACTTCTTATATTTTTCGATCTACTTCTTCCTCCATTTTTCTTAAATCCTTTTGCCCATTTTTTAAATTTTATTCAATATTATTAAGCTAATTCTATTTTTAAGTATTAGCAAATTAAATTGAATCTAAAATTTGCTTTTGTTCTTCTTCTTATTGTTACTAAATTAATAATTGTTCTTATTTTATTTTTTCCTCCATATTTAATTGATTGGCTTCATTATTTAGCTAATTAATTTATTTCTTCTTTTAATCAATTTACTTTTCACTTGATTGTATTATTTAATTCAAAACATTTTATTCATTTTCATCAATCATAATTTAATTATCTAGCTCTCTTTATTATCTTTATTATTTCATTATGATTTTTTACCTTTCATAACTTTTATGCAGCAAAAGAATTCCTTCAGACATTTCATAGCAATCAATAACTCCAAAGTTAATTTTGTAACCCTCTTTATCTTACAAAAAATTGAACTATACCAATAAATTGTCATACACTTCTCTTAAAAAAAATTACAATTTCTTTAATGTTTTTGTGTATGATTAATCATATTAATTAAGTTATAAATTTATAATTGGTTAAAAAAGGTATTATAATAGCAAATCATAATAGGTGATATTATTTAGCTTGTTTTTATTAGTTTCATACTAATAATTGTAATTATCTACTATTTGAGGAAACTAATCTAATTAATTTTCATTCAAATTTATGAAAAAATTACTCAAGTATTCACATATTTCCTCAAATAGTTTCTTAACTATTTATCTTGAGCAATCTCTAATATTAGATAAAATTTCTAGAGATTAATTTGTCATATAAAAGTGAAAATTTTCTGATTTTTGTTTTTTGTAATATTGAATTTCTTTAATTTTTTAACAAATACTCTCCAAATGAAATTACGAAAATTCTTTATCTATCTCTTACTTTTAAGGCAAAGGAAATAAAATTATTTTTGCTTTGAGCAGTTGCAAAAGATATTTTTAAATCTTATTTTTATCACAATATTTTAGATTCTAATAATTAAAATCTGAAGATTCCATCAACTAATTTATTAAATTATCAAATTTTTCTCTATAAAATGCTTCATTCTCTTATGTTCTAGTGAAAACAATAGCAATATTCTTTGAAAAATCCATACTAGTTGATTATGCTAAAAAAAAGGTAGCTTCCAAAATATCTTTTAGACTCTTACCCTTTTCAGGAGTTTAATATTGAAAGGACTATCCATCCAAGACTATCAAGAATTTAATATTTTAAGAATAGCAAATAGCTTTATTAAGGCAATAAGAATTAGATATGTCAACTTCTACACCTCTGCTATCTAGTAATCCAGGACAGTCAACAATTATAGTTTCATTATCCAACTTAAAAAAGTTAGGTTATAATGTTTCTGACTCTGTATCAGACAACCCAATAGCTCCAAACATTTGATTTTTCATATCAGAATATTATAATTTAGGCTCTACTTCTCCGCCAAACTCTTCGCTAATAACTGAAAGGTTTAAACCAGATATATATGCAGAAAATGTTGTTTTGCAAGTTCCTGTAACTCCTAATACGATCAGCAAATTGTTATTATCTTTATCTTATTTTATTTTAGAACCTTTCTTCATTAATTCTAAAATTTTAGCAATAGATTTCTCTTAGCTAGTTCCCTCTTTTAATTATGCAGTAATATCATCCAAGTAAGAGCAACTTTCCTCATTTATCTGCCAGGCATATTAGTTTTGCAACTATTAATCTACAATATCTTTAGCAATATTTTTTAAAGCACTGCTTATTCTCATGATAATGTTTTATTGATGTGTTATTTGTTTGTTTTTAGATTTAATTAAGATATCAATAATTTAATTCGTGTTATGATATTTCAAGTATTAGAATATTACAAATATTAAAAGTAATTTAAGCGTATTTTACTGATTTCGCACTTTGAATAGTAATAAATAAAATTGATTTGATCACATGATTTATAACCATTATTTTTTTAATATTTATTTGAAAATAATAAAAAGAAGTAGTTTTATATGTTTAATTTAAAATAAAGATAATTGCATATTTTGAATATCATAATATGAAGATATACACTAAAAGAGTATGGAATTCATAGATATTTCAACTTAAATACATATTAATTTTGAAGGCCTAAAAAAATCTTACCCCTAATAATAATTAATAAAAATTAATATGTAAAGTAAAAATCATCCTAACAAAAAATTAAATTAAAGAAATTATTATTTTTGTTGTGAATAATCACCAATAAATATGCAATTAAAATCAAAAAAAGTTTATATAAGAATATTTTTGTTGAAATTCCTACCCTCTAATTAGTTTAATTTTTATTTATAAAAATAAAATAATAAATTGAATATATTTTTTTTATTTAATTATATCAATTTTTCTAACAAAATTATAAAATTAAATATATTTTTATTTAAATTCTATCAATTTTTCAATTAGATAAAATTCATGAACTGGTTGACTTAAAACTGAAATTAATTATTATAATATTAAGTAGAGTTGTTTAAAGAAAATCTAATCTCATTATAACAAAAAACAATTGAGTTTAGTAAATTTGTTTGTATTTTAGAAGTATTTAAAATAAGAAAATAAATTTTAATTAAAACTTTTCAATTGAAAATTGTTAGCTAAATTAATTTTTTATTTATTTAAACTATGTATTTTACTACTACAATATGTTTTTTAGACAAAAGTAAATTTAGAAAACAAAATAAATTTTAAATTAAAATCACATTATACAACATATTATTTTGACACACTAAACGAATAAAATTATAAAATATACATTATCAGATTACTTGCTAATAAATATGCAATTAAAATAAAAACAAATTAATATTATAATATTTATTGCTGAAATTCCTACCCTCTAATTATTTAATTTTTAATTAAAAAATAAAATAATAAATTGAATATATTTTTTTTTTTAATTATATCAATTTTTAAATTTTATAAAATTGATGAATTAATTGATTTAAAAAAGAAATTAATTATTATAATATTAAGCAAGCTGTTTAAATAAAACCTAATCTAATTATAATAAAAAATAATTGAGTTTAGTAAATTTGTTTGTATTTTAGAAGCATCTCAAAACTAATTTATAGCTTATTTAAACTATCTATGTATTTTACTACTACAATATATTTTTTTGAAAAAAAGTAAATTTAGAAAACAAAATAAATTTAAATGATACCTAAAATAAACATTTTAATAAATAAATAATAATATTAACTACAAATTTATTATGTTAGATATTTATTTAACATAAATGTTAATTAAATTAATATTTTTTCAGAATATAGAAGTTATTTTTTCTTTAGTAAAATCAATTAATCAACCAAAAATTTTCTAAAAGGGCTATTCAATCTCCTTTTATAGCTAGCTTTGTTGTAGATTTCATCTAATACTTCAAAAGCAATTATCTTATTGTCCTTTAAAATTAAATACTCTATATAATAGATAGGGACAATTATCGCCGGTCCTACTAAATAATAGCCCAAACACCCAAAATTAATCTTCAGACATTTCATAGCAATCAATAATTCCAAAGTTAATTTTGTAACCCTCTTTATCTAAAGCAAATTTGAAATTAGAAAATAAATGAAATCAGAGAGAACAAATAACATATAAAAAAAAATTTAGATAACAAGAAATAATTAAATTACAAAAGATGTAAAGAGAGAAAAACTAGATACTAAGCTATTAAAATAAAATGGATTAATACTATTAGCAAATTATAAAAAGCCAATCATCTGATATGCCATAAAACATAATCTAATAAATTGAGACAACAATAGGTACATTAAAGATTATCAAAAAGCTAGATCAAGGAGCTATTGGTAAAGTTTTCCAAGCAGTCAATCTTAAAAATAATGAGGAAGTAGCCATAAAGTTAGAATCTACCAAAAAAGAAAAGAAATAACTCTAAATATGAGTACAAATTAACTAATTATCTAACTAAAGATAATACTAAATATAGTAAGGGAATTCCTAATGTAAGAATATTCTATGTCTTTAAATAATGGCATAATCATTTTTCAATTTTTGCATCTCTATGATTAGAATTCATATCAATTTTCTTGTTAGAATTAGTTTCAAGTATACATTTCAATATATTAGATAAAGCAAATAATTATTTTAAGAAAAGGGAAATTTTAATTAATAAACTCAAATAAAAAAGCAATTTTTTTTTAATATCATAAAACAATTAAGTAAGGTCAAAAAAAAATAAAAAATTTAGAATAAGAAGATAAAAAATGATTCAATATTATATTGAATAAAAGTTTTTATAATTAGTAAGCTTAAAAATTAATTATAAAATCCTAATGTTTCTTATTTCTAGTTTAATAAAAGAAAACATTAATTTCATAATTTTTCTTAATATATTAAAATTTAGTCATTAATTTAATTAGGTTTACTGCTTTTGCACTTAAGGTGATTAAAATATCATGGTGATGGATCTCTTAGGTCCCTCTTTGGAAGAACTTTTAGATTTTTGCAACAGAAGATTCTCACTAAAGACTATCCTTATGCTAGCTGAATAAATGATATAAACAATAGAATACATTCACTATAATAATTTCATATGTAGAAATATTAATCCAGGGAATTTCTTGATTGGTTCTGGTAATCTTTTAAATTAAATATTTATTACTGGACTAGGCTATAGTAAGCGCTATTTTTAAAGAGATGGCACTCATATTCCATATAGAGAGGATAAGAGCTTGGTAGGCACTCCTAGGTATGTATCTTTAAATATGCATATTGGGATTGAACCTAGCAGAAGAGATGATTTAATATCTTTATTCTATTGTCTTATTTATTTTTTAAAAGGGTCTCTCCCATGGTAAGGTCTTAAAATTGGAAGAAGAAATGAAATGTTTGTAAAGAAATTAAATACTCCAATTTAAGAACTCTGCTTAGGTTTTCCTAATGAATTTATAGAATATTATAATTATGTTGGAAAGCTTTCATTTGAAGAAAAACCAGATTATTCTTATTGTTAATCTCTCTTCAGATAATGCTTTTAAAAGATGGGATATGAAAAAGATTCTAATTTTGATTGGATTATAATTGTAAATGAAAGAAAACAACAATAGGATAAAAACTCTGTAGCTAAATTCAGAAATAATATTCTTGATACAAACCATTAAAAAATTAAAGTATATAAAAAACAACTTTTTATTGATGAACAAAAATCAAGTTGTGAAAATTTTTTATTTTTACAATTTTAATTTTATTTGAATTATTGATAAATAAAAGCTTAAATAAATTAGAATACGATTTAGAAATTAACAATAGTTTAAGATACAAAATAAAAAAATACTTAAAAAAAATGAAAAGTAAGTATCTCAAAAAATTTGATTTTTTACTCAAATAAAAGAATAAAAAAAAATGAGTTTTTAAATTAAAAAATTAAATTGTGTGAAAGGCAATTAATAATTAAAAATTATTATTTATCTTTTAAATAAAGTATAATTATCTCTTTATTTAGGATTTAATTTTTCTACTACTTTATAAAACTTTAAAAGAATATAACTTTTTTTATCTTATCAAATAAGGATTTAAAAGAATTTTAAACTATTAAGAAAAAGTAATTCCTATAATTTTTTATGATACACAGCAAAATATTTATTTCATTCCTCAATAATGTAGTAAATAAAATTAAATTTCTTAATAAATAGAAATTCTTCAATTTGATTTGAGAAAGAATAAGAAATATTTCAGCTTTGCAATACTAAATCTGTGTGATTGATTAAATAGAGTTTTAACTTTAACAGAAATATATCCAAAAATAATCAATTTTTAAATTAGAAGTAAGTAGGACAATATTAATATGTAAAATAAAAATAATCATAAGCAGAATATTCATGAAAATAATACTGATATTTATAATTAGAATAAAAGTTACTCTATTATTTAGAAGAATTAAAAAAAATATATTTTTGTATTATTTTTTTTTTTTGGATTGTAATTATTATAATAATAACTCAAAATGTTTATTCACTCAATTAAAAAAAAAAATATTTTTTATAATTGTAAATAATTCAACTTTATATTTAGAAATCAATTAGTTTGACTATGAATAAATAACAGATTTATCATCTATAATTTAAATTGATCAATTAATTAATTAGATAATTTAATAACTTTATAGTTATAATCAGTGATGCAAAACTTATTAGAATACTACTCTATTAAAGAAGAAACTAAAAATACATACAATATCACTCACTTTTAAATAAGAGAAATAAAAATTAATTTTAAAGTTAGTTGTTTGCCTTTTTTTAAATAATTTAATATCTTTTTAGAACTTATTTCAGATTTTATATTTTTGTTAAAAAAAAATTAAAAAAAACATTATTTTTGTTGCATAAAATTCTACTAATTAAATCTAATTTTTATATCTTAAATCAATTAAGGATAACAATTAGAATGGAAATAATACTAAATTTAATTAATATAGATTTAGTAGCATAAATTGATGTACACTAACTAGCTATTAATGCAGAACCTGCTTTTGAAGATGTGTTTGTTGGGCAAAGAGTGCAGGAACCAGTAGTATTTGGAGCAGCTGCGGCTGCATTTCCATAATAACCTGCTTAGCATTAACAAATATTTGTATTTGGAGACCATTATGTAGTTCCTGTGCTGTTATCATTGCAAGAACAGCTACCTTAATCTAAGTTAATTGAAGAACCTGCAGTGCATGCAACACAAGCTGATCCAGCAGTAGAAAATTAACCAGAATCGCATTTTTTACATCCTGTAGAACCTAAAGAAGTAGCAACATTTCCGCTAAAACCATTCTTGCAAACGCAGGAAGTTTAAGTTGATGATAAAGGAATAGCATTTTAATCATAGCATTAGCAATCATAACCAGGAGAGACTGACAAAAGACTGTAAGAATTACCAGGACAAGCTTAGCATTAAGCAGCAGAAGCAGGAGTCATTTCAGTAGCAGGCTAAGCAATAGCAGTCATTTAATAATTAGCTAAACAAATATTACATTGAGATACATCCCCTACGATAGAAGGTTTTTGAATATTTCCTGAACCAGTTGGACATGCCATACATTAAGCTGCTTGTGCTTAATTATTTATAGATAATTAAACTGCTTAAGCTACCATATAGTAATTATTTAAGCATTGATTACATTAAGAGATATCACCTACTGTTAATATTGGCCCAATATTTCCAGTTCCAGAAGGACAAGGAGAACATTGAGCTGCAACTCCTTATACAGCTGGTATTGCAGAATTATCTGGTTATACAGCTGAAGATGTCATATAATAGTTAGCTAAGCATAAATTACATTATGATTGATCTCCTACTTATGAAACACCATTATTACCAGTGCCACTAGGGCAAATAGTACATACTGCAGATAGTGAATTTGGTGAATTTGAAACAGCAGAAGACGCCATATAATAATTTATTTAACATATATTACAGACACTGACATCTACATTACTCGAAGTATTACCTCCGCTTTAATTAGAAGGAGTAGCTGTTGAGGATCCAAAAGGGCATTATGTACAACTTCCAGTAGATTGACTAGCATCAGTACCATAAAAACCTTAATTACATAAGCAAATAGTTGCTCCTAATTGGCTTTGGGCTATTGAGGCATTAATAGTACACTAAGCAGTTACGAAAGACTAAATTCGTAATAAAATAATAAAAATAAATAGAAAAACCATATCTTTAACTAACTTCAAATATTAAACAAAATTTTCTTTTTTTTTTTTTGATTTTAAATCTTTTTAATTATCTAAATTTGTAATTAATTTTCCAATTTTTTTCTAAAAAGCAAAAATAGCCAGATATTTTTTATCAATCAATCAAATTTTTTGCCTGATTTTTTTAGCTCTAATTTTTAACCAGAAGAAAAAATATTTATTATATACTAACATCACATAATCACCAAAAGATTATTAAATTTAATATTATCATTTAACCATTTGATATCTTTCCTTCTGATACCCTAAATAGATTACTTTCAATATCTAAAAGTTTTTACTTTATTTAAAATTTTAAGTTATTTTTTAATTTAATAAGAATAAAATTTGATGATATTAATGACACTATAATTTAGTTTGTAATTAAAATTAATTAATTTTTATAAATATTTAAATATTATTTAATTTAAATGTATAAAACAAACTGAAAATAAATTATTAATTTAATAAAATTTATATTTGGTTGTATAATTTGTGAGTTTGTAATAAAATAAATTGAATTTAAATTAAATAATATTATTTATAATTAAATTGTTTGAAGAGATTTTTTGCACTATAAAAATAATAAATAATATAATTAATTAAACTTAAATATTAAAATTTAATAATTGGAATTAAAATATTTTTTAAGTAAACTTGCTACCATTGATTGGAAGAATAAAATATTTATTTGTTTAATTATTTTAAAGCTAAATAGCCAGTAGATATTTTATAATTATATTATGAATTAAATAAAGAACTATATGGTTATTAAATTAATTAAATTTGATAGATTTTGCAATTGCAAAATTCAATTATTTGTTAATAATTAAATATAAACTGCAAATAAATCTTATTTACTTTTATAATGAGCAATTAAAAAGCTATTGTTGATAATAAGCTAAAGTTGACTTAGACAAATCCTTATGTTGTTTCTCATAAAGCTTACGATTCAGGACCTTTAGGATTTACTTCATCTACAGGATTTTAATTTTATGAAGTTAAAGAGAATGACCCTAGGTTTTCAAAAAAGTTTAAAACTGCCAATCCAGAAGATTATGATTAATCAGTGGCTAAGAAGGCTAAAGTAATAAAAAAGATAGAATATTCTGGAGGATATCGTGTACCTAAAGAGTCCTTAAATAAACCTTATATGAAAAATAAATGTTGGAAATCAAATGATGACCAAGATGATAACGAAAAATACAGCAAAGAATAAATTATGAAGAAATTAGGATTAGAAATTCCAAATTAGCAATCAAATAGCTCTAAAAAAAGAAAGTAATCAAGATCCAGATCTAGATCTTTAGGAACTATTTAAGAAAAAAATAGATAAAATATTACAAATATGAGCTCTTAAGCTCTTGTCAATGAAGCAGAAAAGAAGATCAATGATATACATTAGCGTAGAGAAGAATAAAATTAGGTATTCATTAATTTAAATAAATGGCTCTTTTATTTTATTGTAAAATTTAGAGATAAAAGAGAGAAGACGAGTTAAGAAAGAAAGGTCAAAAACTTATTTTATAGAACTAAGAAACACATGAGGAAGTGTATGTGACAGTAGATTCTCACAAAATAAAAATGATACAAACATATATCAAATAACTTGAACTTTAAGAATAGCTTGACGTATTTATTTATTTAATAAATTTCACTTACTAATATCTTTAAAAATTCAATGAAAAACAAACTGTTAAATTTTTCAAATATTTAATTATTACAAAAATTTATTTATTTATTAGAACATACAAAGACTAAAATCAGAGAACATTTATACAAGATCACCTTCAAAGATGAAAAAAGCACTAACTTTAGAAGATAAAATGAAGAAAGAATTCACCTTAAAAGAGATTTAAAATGAATTAAAATATGTAGAATTAATCAGAAATCATGAAATTTATAAATTAGAAAAAGAGTAATTAATTAATTTATTAATTAATCAGATTTTAGAAACTGATTTTTATTGATGTTTTATTTATTACAAAGGAAAATTGCTTAAATTGCAAAGGTTTACTTTGCTCTTAATAAGAAAGACTTTGACTTAAATGAGTTTTTATCTCCAAACAATGAAAGATGGGGCAAATCTCCAGTCGTTAGTATCGCTAAGAATGAATAAAATCCATTCAGCCATTTGCTTTTTTCGAGAGAAGCATATATTTTACTAGTTGATAGGATAGTGAAAGAATTGCAAGATCTTCAAAAAAAATCAGAGATGTTTAACAGTCTTAATCAAAGTAAAGACAGAAAGATTGAGAGTGTTGACAGCGTTATTATAGAAAAGTTTTTTAATTAAAGAATAAATGTTAAGGACATACTAAATATATAAAACGAACAAATTTCTAAACTAATTTCAAAGAAAGAAACAGTTTCTGTTCAAGATATCAAAAATTAGCTGATTAATATTGCTAACATTTAAATTAATGAAAGAAACCAAATTATCAACAAAATAGAACAATAATATGAAGAAAAAATGAAAATATTAAGAGATGAGTTTGAAAAGTAAGAGAAAATAAAAGAACTAAATTAGGAATTAGAAATTATCAAATAAGAAAATCAAGAGTAGGGAATTGAAAATCTAGATGAATAATAAATAGAAAAAATACTAGATATGGAGGAAAATCATTTAGGTGGCTATGACTCTGACCCCGAAGCTTTAACACTCTAGTAAAGAACTATCATGATATGTAAATAGAAAAGGGAATTATAAAAAGAAGTTTTGCAAAGGAGATAAGAAAGATGCAAATGTAATTTACTAAATTATTTTATCTTTTTTAATTAGAAAGTTATCTCATCATTTTAAATATAATTAGCTGAAGATAAATTCCGTTTAACTCTACCTATTCCTTAAGAATTTGAAGAACGTGCAAGATAAAGTAAATTTAAAAAAAGTATAAGATAAACTAAGCTAGAAGAAATGATAAAGGAATTGTAAGAAAAGGATAAATCAATATATGGATATGTTTTTAAACCAAAAGAAATACCTGAGAGTGTCAGAATTCCAAATTTATACGAATAAATTATGGAAGAAAATGATAAGAGAAGAGAAATAGTTAGATAAACTTCAAAATAAATGACACTAGAAAACGAAAGACCTTTTAGTTTCTACTACAGAGATATGGATAAAGAAAGTAAATCAATTATATTTCAATCATTTTTATTTTTATTTTACTTGAATAATATTTTAATTATATTATATATGATAAATTCTCATATATTTAGATTTAACAAAAATTTTTTTGCCTATTAAATAGATCAATAATCTAAAATTTTGTTTAAATAAAATAAAATTATATTTTATCATTTAACTAAAATTGCATTAAATAAATAAATAATTGTTTAAATGTTAATAAAGTTAATTTTTAAAATTTCTGATTTTTCAAATTAAATTTTTTAATTATTTTAATATAAAAATAGAAGTATATAAAAGACCATACTGGGAAAGAGAAAAATTTGTGTTTAGAGCTAATGCAATTCCAAAGCATGTGACTTAAAAAAGGTTAGAAAAAATGAAAAAAGTATTTATTAATTTTAAAAATATTCCTATTGAATTTGCTAATTAATCAAATAAAAATTAGCTTCAAGAAGAAAAAAGGAAATAAAGGGTATAAAAAAGAAAAGAAGAACTAATAAGAATGTCTTCACTTCCTCCTAGAATGGCTAAACATGAAGAGGAAAAGAGGTAAAAATTATTATAAGAAGCTGATGAATTTGATGAAGAGGGTAATCCTATTTTGAAATAGCAAAGCAGTAGCAAATATTTTAAATACACGTTTGAACCTCCTAGAGCTAAAAAAGTAACAAATAAATAAATAAAATAAATCTTTAATTTTAAAAATATTTTCTATGGAATAGATACCTGATTTTCATAAACTTCATAAGACATTTTAGCAAGAACTTGATGCTAAAAAAGCATCATTTAAACCTACAATAATGGAGCCATTTGATTTTGAAGAGTCTAGGAAATTACCAAATAGAGATTATTTAGATTAAGAGAATATGCTAATAAGAGCAACCTTAGACAAATTTTATCAGCATAAATCAGAAAATATTCAAAAAATTGTAATTAAATTTAAGTTAGATTTCAAATTTTATTTAAATCTGATAAAGACTTATATAGATCCTGATAATTTGCCTCCCTCAACAAAGAAATCTCAGGAGATAATAAAATTCAGAAAAAAATAAGATGAAATAAAAAGATAAAAAGAAAAGGAACAGTAAGATGAATTACTTGCTAGAGAAAAAAAGAGAGAAGAAGTAAATTAATAAATAAATATTCAGTTAACTTATAAATACTAATTTAAAATTAAAAGTTAAAAAAGAGATTTTATGCTTCAGATGCACTTAAAAATTTCTAAGAAGAAAGAGAGTAACAAAAACTAGAAAAAGAGATGGAAAAATAAAAACAAAAAGAGTATGAGAAATAGATGAATGAAGAATTCCACAATAAGATAAAAGAAAAATTGGATGCAAAGCCTCTCCTTATTGAAAAATGTAATAATTTATCTTAAAAAGCCCATATTGGAAATAAATGTTTTAATAAATTAATAAGATGATAAAGATTAGTCTGCCATTGAGAAGGTCAAAGAAAAGTGGACATACAAAAATAGTTAAAATAGCAAATATTCTTAAAAATATTGATAGTTAGTTCTCTCATTTAATAAATTTATTTTAATAAAATCAAAATATGTAATATACACTAATCTAGTGCAAAGTTAAATTTGATAAAATTATAGAAATTTTATTTTAATTGAATGAAGCTTTAAAAAGAAAAGTTAAATAAATAACTTAAAATTAAAGTACTCTAAATAGTAAACTTTTATAATTATTTTAGAAGTAAAAAAACAAAAAAAGCATTTATTTTTTTAATTTTAAGTAAATTTTTCTTAATAAGAAAAAAAAAAAATAAATAAATAAATAAATAAAAACTATTTTTAAATAAAATATTAAATAAGAAAAATTCTTTTAAAAATAAAATAAATTAAATTAAAGAATACAATTTTTGTTTAAATCTAAAATTATAGAAATAAATAAACTTCAAGAACCATTTCTTAACAAAATTCACTAAATAATAATAATAAAATATCTAATTAAAATTAAAACATTTATTATATTTTAATTTAAAAGAAGGTTCGTAATTATTATTTTTTTATAAAATATTTGAATAAAAAAATAAATAAATTTAGTTATTTATCTTAAGAAAATTTTATTGTGAATATTAAAAAAATTATTTTTTGGTTTAAAAAAAAAAATTTAAATTTCGTTAATTTTTGATTTTGTTTATTAAGTAATTTATTTAAAATACAAAAGAGAATTTTAAAAGCATAAAAGGAAGTGAATTTGAAAAATAAAGATTTACTTTTATTTATTGTTTTCATTTTATTTGAAAGTTTATTTTGAAAAAAAATAAATTAGTGATTATATTTCAATCAACATAAAGATATCTATCTATCTGCTTGCCTAAATATATTTTTAAATAGATTTTAAATATTTGTTAGTATTAAGCTAAGATTTTGCTTATATCCCCTTCTTTCTTAATAAAATTAATATTGTTTGTTTATTTATTGATTGATTTGCTGCTTGAAAACTGATTAGTTAATTTTTTAATTAAATATATTAGCTGATTGAATTGAATTCATTTTGTTTAATTTTTTTTTTTGCTTTTTTTGATTGCAAAGAATTTGAAATAAGAAAGAAAAAAAAAGTAAAGTATAAAGAAACATATAGTTAAAATGTGCGCTTCTTATGCAAGATAACATCAGAAAAAACTATAGTTTGTACAAAATTAGTTTAGCAGCGTTGGAGGAAATACAAGATAGAGGTTGTCAAGTGAAGAAAGAAGACATTTATTGAGTGATAAGGATGCATATATTGAATACTTAGAAACCCAATTAGATAAAGTTTGCGAGCTTTCCTTAGTTGAGAATCCGCAAATTTAGAAAAGAGTGTAGGAACTTGAATAGTCAATAACTGACCACGAAGAGAAATTTGCAAATATTACAAAACTTATAAAATTACTATAAACTTTTGCTGAAAATTAGGTAAAGAACAAGCAGAATTATTTAGCAATTTATTGATAAATTTTACAAAAAATGGCCCTTAGTTTATTCATAAAATACAGCTGGATAAAAAATATTAATTAGCTATTTATTTTTGCTAGTTTGGTTGTATTGTTTTAAAACAGTACTGAAAATAAAACTACTTGAAATTCAAAATCAAAAATGCTTCAATTTTTATTATTGCTGTTATTACATTGAAGGCCATTTTAATAAAATAAAAATAAAAAGATGAATAAAGAGAAAGCTATATTTTAACGGATGCAAAAACCGTTTTGTTTGAGTTTGATTTTGGAGCTAAATAAATACATTTTATAAGATTTGCAAAATAAAATTAGCTAATTTGTTTTATTATGTTTAACAACAATTTAGGAAGATGAAAATAAGTTAATTAAAGAGCACTTCAATAAGCCTTTAAATAGCTTTGGGAAAAAAATAGAAAACTTTCAAAATGATTTGGTTAGCGAACTGAAGGATTAAATTATAAAGATTGAAGAAAAGGATGGCCAGAGGGAGTCTTAGATTTATGAGACTTTATCAGCATTTTAGAAGAATATTAACGATTTTGAAGTTAGAATTGAATAGTTTGCCAACTAGCTTTCAAAAGACATGGCAACAGATATAAAAATGTTAGCTACTCAAATCCAAGGTGAAGCAAACAGCTAAAACACAGCATCAATTTAACCAGATTAGCTTAGAAATTTTCCAATTGTATCTGACAATCAAGTCAAATAGAATTTAGATAAATTCAGAGAAGAAATCAATAAAAAAATTGAATTTGTTTTAAAGGAAATGAGAAAGAATGCTCTTTTAACTGATGTTGAGTGTGTAGAAACTAAATTAAAAAAAGAATAAAAAGAAAGAACTTATTTATGCAAGTTTGTAGAAGACCTTACCAGAAAAATAGACGAATTACCTCAATCCATTACAACCCGTATTTTTAAAATTAAAAATTCATAAAAAAGCTATTAGATTTATCTTAAAGCAACAAAAAAAATACTCACGAATATATAAATAGATAGATACATAGTTATAGAGATAGATATATAGCGATATCTCCTTTTCAAATAAATTTCAAAAAATTAAATGATTGAAAAGCCAAACATAAAATTTGAAATAAAATCTAATTGTTTTTATTTAAATTTTTCATAATTATATTGGAATTAGATATTTAGTTATTAAAATTATTCTTTAAATTAACTTAGGTGCTAGCACTTCAAGAAATGTCTCCCCTTCAGCAGTTTAAGAATCAAATTAATTTAAATTAGTTAAGTAAATTGAAAGTGATATTGAGGATTTAAAAGAAGTAGTAAATGCTTTAGTCGATAAGATTGAAGAATAAGATAAGTAAAATACAACTCATTAAATTTAAATTAACTTATTGAATTTTTTTATCAAAATAGGAAGAAAAAGTCTTCATTTATAACAAAAGACTAATTTGATAGCTTAGAGAAAAATTTGACATTACAAATCTCAAGATTTGTTGATCGTTTTTAGAACTTTTAAGCAGTAAATTAAATAATATTTTACATAAAAAACATTATAAAATATCATTAATTAGAACCCTTCATAAAATGTTGCTTATGATGAATCTTTAAGGGAATCTGATAATTAAAGAAGTAATAATAATTTCTCAGCACGACAATAATACTCTACATTAAAGAGTGATTAATATTTAAGTAAAATAATTAAAGATCAGAAATAATATTTATTTATTGATTTTTTATTGAATATTAAGCTTAATAAATGAGATCTCCTTAGTTTGAATAGCAAGGATGGTAGTAATAATAAATGTTACAGCAAAATTAGTATTAATTAAATAACCAAAGTGCAGAAATACACCCTGAAGACGACTCTTACATGATGCAATAAAAATATTCTCCAATAATTTAAGACGACCAAGACCTAAGGGATACTCTGATTTCTAAAAAAGATAAAAACACATCATTAAATAACTAATAGTCAGGTGGAGATAATAATTTAGGAGAAAGCTTTGGGTTAAATTAAAATAGTCATATTTCTAACAATCTTTCAGATAAATTAGATTAAAATAAAAATAAATCGAGAAAGAAATCTAGTAATTAAGAAGAGATTCTTGATTAAGTAAATAAAATTAATAAATATTTTTGATAGAAAAATAAAATTTTAACAAAAGTATCCATAGAGAGAGAAGAGAGGAGTGGCATCTTCTAGTTCTAAATCAATAACTAGATAATCAGATAAAGAAAATAAATAAAATTCTAATTCATAGAACAGAGGTAGAAAAGCTACCGACGAATCAGTCACTACACTTAAAAAGAATAAAAGTATTGCTTTTTAATTCATTAATTGAAAAATTGTTAATAAAATTTTTAATTTTTAGAAAGAGAATTAAAATCTGAGTCCAAATCTATGTCAAAAAGTCCTTCGAATATAGGAGAAGTTTCCAGCACTAAAAGCATTAATGCTTCAAGAAAATTATCCTAACAAAATATATCTATAGACAGATAATCTAAATCTAACACAAGAGTAACATTAACTGAACCTGAAGAAACTCGTATTAAATCGCCTCTATCTAATATATCGTAATTTCTATATTAATTTTCTTAACTAAATAAATTTTTCTTATTTACCTTATTTGTAGTGAATTTATATTAAACAAATGAATAAACTTTAATAATTTAATAGAAAAAATAAAAGTGGGTTTGAGTCAAATCAAAAGTCCAAGATAAAAAATAAATCTCCTTCTCCTATAGGTAATACTAATAAATTCGCTGAGAAGAAGAGACAAAATGGAGAGAAAATAAAAGAGTTATTCAAAAAAAAGAAGTAGATGGATTAAAATAGCTCTTCTCATACTAATTAAAATCACTCAATATCTTAAAAATCAGCCAATATTTCAGTAATTATTTTTAAATTCTAACAGATAAATAAAATTCTTTAACAACATAATTAAATATTAGGTAAATGAAAAAAAATAAGGAGATAAAAAGAAGAAATGATTAAAATGATTTAATGAATAATTATCAAAAAATAATAATAATTTTAGCTATACAAAATAATAAAATTAACTAACTAACTAACCTGTTACAATATAGTTTGAGATAGAATTTATTTACCCCTTAAAGATTAAATATTGAACAAATATTACAAAAATAAAAATGAACACAAAAATATCCTACAAATAAAATTAAATAAAATGATAAAGTAATTAAAATATTAGATTAGCATCAACTAAAAGTCTTTTTCTTAAAAAATAAATACAAATTATGTCTATAAATAAATAAATAATATACAAACATTTTTATATTTAAAACTGTATTTATTTATTTAATATATTGTTTTATTATAATCCCAATTTGTTTGTTACAAATAAATCTTACCTAAAAATTTCAAAATTATACTGGATTTGATTTATTAATAAAAACACAATCTATTTAGCTTTCATTTTACTTTTTTCATTGAAATAATATTATATATACTTCCTCTTATATCAGTTTCTAAATCAGCTTCTTACTCAGTAATACCATATAACTAATTATTTATTTATTTTATTGAAAAATTGTATTAATCCTATTTAAATTTTCAATTATTTTACTCTTTTTATCTATTCTAGATCTATAAAAGATCCTATTTGGCTTATAGGCAACTCATTTCCTTTTATGTTTGCTTATTAAAAATTTATTTAATCATTTAATCCAGCCTAAAAAAATGATAATTTACCATCTAGCTCATCAAAAATGTTGCAGCCCTCCAATTATTACAAAACTAAGATGCTTGGTTGATTGAAATCAAATACCTTGAATAGTTCTATTTCTGGTGCCTTTTATTTTTGATTTAATATTGTTTATTCATAATATTCAAATACTTTTTATCATACTTTTGAACTTTCTGGAGAAAGATAAAATATTAAAGATTTACTTGTCAAATTTTCTTGTTGAGTATAAATTCTATTCAATCCAATAAGGATTTCCTTTAGTGATACGATCTGTTTATATTTAAAAGTCAGCTAAAATTAGAACATTTAAAGTATACTTAATTACCAATTTAGCGTTAAGGAATGTGAAGTTAGCATTCTTGCTATTTAATAGCTCTATAACTTATAATGGATTACTAATTTTTTCATATAGATATACTTGGACAGTGACTGGCTACTGTAAATTATCAAAAGTATAAGAGTAGGGAGTTGATTAGATTTGCATTTTGATTATCTATCAGTAATTTAAATATAGCTGCTTAATAAAATATCTTTTAATAAACTTAATAAAAATATCTCTATGTAGAAACAAATAAAACACAAAAGCAGAGTAAATAGAGTTGTCTACTAAATATTTTATGAATAATTTATACTAAAATTAATATAAATATTTAATTTAACTAAATAAAAAATAAATAAATATTTTAAAATAATTTTTTTTGAAAGATAAATATGCTAATCAATTTAATTATATTTTTTATTATATTTATTAAATCAATTAAATAATATTTTTAATTAATTTATTCATTGTTTTTATTCAAGTCATAAATATTTTAATTTTTTTGATAATTTTTATTAAGATTTCATTTATAATTAGAAAAATAATGAATGTAGAACTTAAAACCAACCAAACATAATTTTTGATATATATTTCACTTGTAAACAAAATTTTAATTATTTTTTTCAAATTTAACCTAAAATATCCAGAATATCTGCTTTTAAAAGTCATGAAATGCTTATGTCAGTCAATAGAGATTTAAGAAATTTACTTAATTTTTCATAAAAAAAAATTAATTGCAATAAATCTGAATTATATTGAAAATATTTTTATATTTTTATTAATTAAATCTTATTCAAGAAGTTTATAAATAATTATTAAATGAAAACACTATAAATAATAAGTAGAAATCTGATCATAAAGATAGCTAATTACAAAATAAAATCTTAATATGCAAACTTTATCTCAATCTTAATCGTTATTTAAGTAAGGAATAAATAAATGATTGTTGATCTTATCAAAAATAAGTCCTTCAGATTTTCGATATAATAAACAAAGTTCAATATTAGATTTTTAAGACATCATATTAGATATTTATTCTAATTTTTTTCTAATTCATTTTGAGTAAAAATGTCGAAATTTTCGATATAACAAACAACCCTCAATACATAATTTTTAAAATATTTGAAATTCTTTTTTTTCAAAAAGTTTAATTAAATTTTAGAATAACATAAATAACAAATAATCATTTAAATTAAAATTCAAAATATAAATTAATTTCATTTTAATTTATGTTGATGAAGGGAAAATAAAATTGTTTTATATATTCAAAAATTAAAAATAAATCAAATTTCTAATAACTTAAATTTATTAATATTAAAATAAAAGTATTTATTTAATTTTATAAAATATAAGTTAATTTATCCAAAAAGTTAGTACTTCAAAAAGTTAAATATTTTTACAGCAAGCTAAATATATACCCAATTAGATAGATAACCCATCCCCATCATCTCCTATTTAGCTTCTTTTGTAATCAAAAATACATCAAATACTTAAATAAATAAGATTGTATTTATCCAAAAGATTTAAGTTTAATGTTTAAAGGTTTAGTCAATTATTAGCCTAATTAAGTAATCACTTAATTATTCAAATAATTAATTCTAATTTAAGATAATTTACATATTTAGAGATACTATTAAATATATAAGTTACATATAGTTAGTTAATCTCATTTTAATATATTTTATAGCCTTTAATAAATATAATTAATTATTATGTATAAATGAGCCATTGTTTAAAATGTTTTGAATACCTAAAATGTGTTGATCCTTAAAAGTAATGAAATTATTAGAGGTCATTTGTAACATTTTTAAATTCCTTTTACTAAGACTTTTGTTTTTATTTTTAAAAATACTTAAATTAATTTACATACACTGAATATTAAATTTTTAATGGCTACTCAATTTTATAATAACAAGCAAACTATTTATGATAAAAAATGAAAATAAAATAATAATATTTCAATATCAGAATTAAAATTTACTTCATCTAATGTTTAAAAATTTATTTTATTAGCTTTTATTTTAATATTTTCTTAAAAATTAATAAATTGAAATTAGTTATTTATTTATTAATTCAAATTTTGAAAAATCTTTTTGTTTTGTTGAGAATAATTAAGTTTCTTATTATAATTCATCATTTTTTAATATGAGAAGTTATTTAATTTTATAAATTTTTTGTTTTTTAATTTATTTAAATACCAATTAGATAAATTTATTTTAATGCTTTAAATTAATATTTTTATTATTTATTTGTTTGTTTGTTTTGAAATTGATATTTTTTTTATCATGTTAATTTGATTAAGTTATATTCTAATTTACTTGAAAAAGAAATAGAAAAATAAAATTTAATATCTTTTTTTAAAAATAAGCTGTAAAAAATTATGAAATGTATGCGATTAAATTAATTTGATAGTTTTTTTTATTTAAATAAATATAAAAATGGTTTTAGCTTCAGATAAAGTAGATTTGAGAAATATATAATTAGACTACAAGTCTATAATTTAAATTTATTACCAATAATTTAATTGAAAAACTTCTTGTTACATCATATTCTATTAGTTTATGTTTCTTTTTTATTTTTTAGTTATGTAATAATTTAAAAGTGGATCATTTTGAAATAAAAAATTATATATAATGATAAGGCACTTTAAGAAACAAATTGTAAGGTTTATCGCAATTTGAAATAATAATTTACTTATTAATAAATGGAAAATTTTTACCATTTGAAATAAAAGTGAATGGAATTAAAATATGCTTTTAATAATATTAATAAATATTTTTTTAATTATTTTTAATATAATTTTATTTAAAATAAAACATTTTTTAGCTTACTTTCAAATCATTACTTGAGGAAGTAAGAAAATGTATTTCTATTAAATTTTTTAGGTAGAAAAATTTTTGTTTTACTGACATTTAATCTTGACTCTATATTTTATAATAAATTATTAAAATATTATAGACAAATAAACAAAGACAGATATCACTTAATCAGCCAATAAGTCAAATAAATTAATTAAAGTAAGTAAGTAGTGTGTTTTTACAAATATTGTATACACTTTTAAAGTAATGAGAATTAAAAGATTTAAATATCTTTAATAATATAATATGAAGAGAATAAATTAACAGATTTAATATACAAGGTTTATTATACAAATTAAATATATTTTTTTTATAATAATTTGATTGTCAAATTTTTATTTTAGAGTTACTTTTGCTTAATAATTCTTTACAGTTTTTTAAATTGTTTTAATAAATTTGTTCAGAAGGTTTTAGTGAAATACATTCTGAGAAATAATTTATTGCTTAAGATAAATATTGTTTTTTTTCATAAATTTTTCCTAGCTCGTTATATATTTTAGCACTTTTTATATTATTTTGTAAAGCTAATTTGCATATGAAAAGGGCATCATCGTATTAACCCTTTTTGCGATATATTTAAGATAAATCTATGTATGGCAATTCATATTTAGCCTAAATCATGATTGCTTCTTGGAAGTATTTGATGGCTTTGTCCATTTTTCCTATTTACTCAAACACTTGTCCTAAGAGGAATTAAGCATTAGGGAATTTACTGTTCTGTTGCATAGAATATTTAGCACTAAGTATAGCATCTTCATGTTTGCCTTCGGACAATAAAATTTATGCTTAGTAGAAGTATGCTCTAAAATTGCAAGGGTTAACTTTAATTGAACTTTGCAAACACTATATAGCTAATTAATTTTATTACTTTAAGAAGTAGTAATAAGCCAAACAATTAAGAGCTAAAATATTTTGTGGATTTATTTACAAACTTTTCTGACTGAATTCCATCACTTTCTATTCATCCTTAATTTCAGAATAAGCTAGTGCTAACGTAGCCAAATACAAATCGTTACTGGGAAAAAGACGTACTAACGTATTTAAAATTTCAATTGCGTTTGAATAATTGAATGTTTCTAAATAGACTTTCGCCAAACTGTACAAGCAATTTTAATTTGAAGAATTCAATTCCAAAGCTTTGTTAAAGTATGAAATAGACTAATCAAATTCACTTCTCTCATAATAAATAATTCCTAAACAATAGTAAGGAGAAAATATTGTGGGTAGCAACTTTATTACTTACTTAAAAGAGGTAATGGCATCTTCGTACATTTTTTTCTTGAAATAGCATTTGCCAATTTGCAGTATTGAATAAGGATAATTCTGGTTGTAGCTGATTGCTTCTTTAAGTGTTAATAGCTCTTCATCTAATTTTTATTAATTACTTAATACGAATGCTTTATAAGTTAAGGCTCTATAATTTTTTGGGTTTAAATTCAAGCACTTTTGCAAATAACACATCGCTTACTTTAAATCGTTTTTTTCATAATAATAGTATCCCATACAGCTTAAAGCTATCTCATTTTTTGGGTTTATTGACAAGCATTTCTAGCTTATACTTCTAGACTCTTCACATTAGTACTGTTCCAAGTGTGTTAATCCAAGTAATGCTAAGTACTAATCATTATGTGTGTTTATCTTTACAAGTCTTTCCAGAGTAACTTAAGCTTCCTAATATTTATGATTATCTATTTCCTTTTGAGCCTACTAAAATAGTTCAGTCTAATTAAAGTAATATCCGATTTCATCGTCTTTCCCTTTCTCTAAATTGAGTTATATATTTTTAAAATCTTAAATTATCTTATCAATTGATGGTCTAAGTTTTGGATCTAGCTGAAGCGTGTTAAGCAGTATTTAATTTATTTCGATGCTCACCAGCTTAGAGAGCTAAAAAGTTTCTTTACCTTAAGTTAGCTACAAAACGTGAAGGAATGAAGCTCCTCCTAACAAATACATGCATACTCCAAACGCCCATACATCACCATCAAAGTTTTAGTATATTTTTTACGATTTCTTTTCTTCACTGTTAAAGTTAGTCATGACCAAAACCTCCGGAGGGAAGTAAAAGAGCACTCCCTTAACCTGAGATTATAGAAAGGCCTGCGTTGCCAACTAAGGATTTATTTCCTTAGCTAAACCAAAATCACAAAGCTTAATGTTATAATCCTTGTCTAAAAGCACGTTCTTTAAAGATATATCTCTTAGAACATAATTCTTTGAATGTAAATACTAAATTGCAGAAAGCATTTACAGCGCTAATTTCACGAAAAGCTTCTCCGACATTCCCTAATTGAGTTTTTTATCAACAAATTCTTACAAAGACATTTCGCCTTTCTCCATTTTTATAAAGTAGCAACTCCCAAGCTGGAATTCCCCTTTATAAGATACTATGTTGGGATGGTGACACATCTATAAAAACTAAGCTTCAGATTTGATTTCCTTAAGCTTTTATTCGTCTATGGAGTCAATTTCATCAAAAACAGAAACTATCTTTATAGCAACCTCCTCACCATTCTCCTCTTTTGCTGTCATAACCTGTCCATATGCTCCTGAGCCAGCATTAGGATTAACCACTGTTAGATGCTGTTTGTCTTTTAAAAGTTGAATGATCCTTTCTAATTTTTTAGAAACATTAGAATTCTCCATTTGAACTTGGTAATCTTAATTTATTTTTTGTTACAATTATTTTTATTAACAATTAATAATTAATTAATTAATTATTTATAAAATTTGGGATCAGATATTTAGACAAAAAAATAAGCCACAATAACTAAAGTAGATTCACAAAATTTTTCTAGCTGCTGAGGTTAATTTAAATAAGCTTGTTCGTTCAAAGCTACTCAAAAAAAATATCAGCTAATTTTCTACATATAACATAACTTTTTTAAGAATTAATCTCCTAACACCTTAAGAAATTAATTTTTGAATTTTTATGACATTTTATATTTAATTTATGAAAGTTTATATTCATAATTACAATAAATATTGGATCTGCTTTCAATGTGATAAAAATAGACAGATTAAAACAACAATTATTATTAGATTTATTAGTTAATAAATTTGATAAATTGCTTTTTAAAAAAACTCTTTTGAATTTTTTACCAATTTTGAAAGACAATTATGTTAAAAAGAGAATCAGTAAAAATTATAGTAAAAGATTAAAAAGATATTTAAAATTTATAAATTAGTAAACACAGAAGATACATATATACATACAAAGAAATAATAGAGCATTTTAAATTAATTCAAAATTAATAAATAAATTATTGGATATCTTACTAACTAAATCAGTGAAAAAATTAATAAATTCATTAGATTTTATTTAGATTCATAAATCACAATTGTTAGCAATTAATTTTACTTGTTAATGTCAAGAAAGAAAGAAATTAACAAAGATTTATTTTCTTTTGATTATTGAATTCTTTCATTTAATATAAAAAATACTTAGATAAAATATTTGTAAGAATTAAACTAAAGTCCTTTAAAAGCAATAATATCAGAGCATTAAAAGTAATTAAGGAAGTAAGCAAGTAAAAAAGTAGCTTTTAAAAAAAAATAGGCAAGGGATACAATAAATAAGATAATGTCTAGCATTTTTAAATCTAACTATTCTCGAAAACTCAAATCTGAAGAGTTGACAGGAGGTAAATTAGAAGTACCTTAAGAAGATTATACATGTTAGGGAAAATATGATATAGTGAAAAGATAAACCTACTTTTCAGCATTACAAATACTATTAGGCATAGCTCTTTCAGTATGTGGATTCTTCTTAAATTATCAGTTTCCTTTTTTCGGTAATCAAAGCATATTCATAATAGGCATAGGAATTACACTTTTCGGATTAGTTGCACTAATATGGTGTATGAAAGATGTTAATAAAATTAAAGATAAACTAAATATTGAATATTGGTATAACACACAAGATCATACCCTCTCTAAGATATTATTTATAGCTTCAATCATAAAGGCAATATTTTTACTTACTACAGTCATTACACTCTTCATTTATAAAAGCACAGCTAATAATTATTTTTAAGCCACCACTCAGTCAGATGATGCAAGTAATTAAATTTGATTATTTAAAAACAAATAATATAGTAGAAATAAAATGTTAAGATAAGTAAAATGAAAATAAGTATGCATAGTATTAATTTTTAATTGATAAATATAAGCACAATAAAGCAATTATATAAATAATTTAAATATAAAATAAATAGGTTAGCTACAGAGCAACATTAATTAGTACAATCTTTTCTTTCAAATCACTATTGCTATTTCACTTGCAAGCATAATTATTTTGGTTTGCACAACATATTCTGCATATGCTTTCTCAAACACAGCAACTTCCTTCAGAATCTCTTTGTATGCTTTTACTCTTCTCAATGTAATTTATTACTTACTTAAAACTCAAAAAACTTATTTTGAACAAAATTGATAATATTTATAGATTTATTTATAAATCACACAACCAACATAGAGCGGTTGAATTTATCAAATTTAATTGATAAATATTCAAATTTTTTTCAAAATTTTTTCATAACTGACTAATAAAAATTAATTAAGTAATCAAAGATATTTATTTATATTCTTTGAATGTCCCAATCAAATCCAAACATAAAATATAAATATCATGTATTATTTCATTATTCACTATAGTAAAAGTTTTACAACTTAAATTTTAAATTTGATAATAATTTAATAACCCTTTAAGTTAAATATTAGAATTTATATAGCTAAAATAGAATAATTACATTATATTTTATTTTAATATAAAGATAGCTTTTTGTGGAGGAATGATTTATGCTACTTTATCAACTTAGAAAATAGAAAATATTCACTCTTTGCAGGGAATTGCTGATTTTTGGTCTATTAGAGTTATATTTTACATAACAGGTGTATATTTATCTACTTTAATAGCCATTTTAATTACAAATTTCACAAAATCAATGAATCATTATATGTCTATGGGCACTTTGCTTTTACTGATTTGTGTGGTGTTTGTATCTTTCAATGGTAAGATTTATAGAAATGCAAGAGAAGTTAGCAACTTTGCTTAAAGTAACTGCTAAAATGAAATGCAGATGATCCATTAAGATTTTTTGGTAAAATCTGGTTGCCCCAATAAATATATTTTCAAATAAAAAGATCAAGTCTATCCTGATTGTGAAATGGACTAATAAACTGTTTTTTGGGAAAATGATTTAGACAAACAAAACTAGGACAAACTTAATTAGATCTAGTGTCTAAATAAGAAATGTTGTGGCATAACAGGAAAGTTATATGCAGATTGGTTTTATGTAATAGCTACTTTAGGTAAATAAAATAAATATAAATCAAACAATTTTTATTTTACTTAAAAAATTTATTCAAAAGGCCAATTAATTTCTTAGCAAAGCTTTGTTATCATCGGAATTTGTTACTATCTAAGTACAAGATATTCTGGCAGCAGCTCATATTATAAAAAGTTAGAATGTCTGTTTTTGGTTTTAGGTATGTTAGTTTTATCAGCATGGGTATTCCTAGTTGTTTACTATCAATATTAGCCTATTTCATAAAAACCAGGGCTTCAATCTTAACTAGAAATTCCTGATCCTACTGCAGATACTTATAAGCTTTATTAGTATGCAGATGTAACTAAGAGAATTTAGTGTGAAAAGTCTTTTTCTTAATACTTTAACATTTACTATTAAACTTAATTTTCTAAAAATGAAATATTTGAATGTGTTGATGATTGCTAAACAGCTATAATTAGGGTCTCTGTAACTGCTACATACTACAAAATAATTGTAAATTTATTATGTTTTTATATTTATTTCTAATTATATAATGAAATAATAAAGCTCTCGTAAAGTTTTAATGATCCTCATATCAAAATTTTCGATTCCAGATTCTAATCAGTGTTTAATGTGGGAGATATTCAACCTAACACAGATTTTGTAGCTGCAGAAGGCACAATTTCTACTGTTAAAAATTTTTTCATGCAAAATGTTTGTCTGTACTCTTACGAACCCCAAGCTAACCGTAATAATTAAATCTTAATGATATTTTTAAAGTTTATTTTTATTAATCTTTATTTTTTGTTTTTAAATAAATTAGATAATTTAATAGTAAGAGTGTCTAAAATTAGTCCTACTACAGGAAGTATTCTTAAAAAAATTGATTTTAAACCTTCTAAATCAGTAAATAAATTTGAAATTGTTTTTATTTAATTTTCTAAATCTTTAAATGATTTTATTAATTTTTTAAATATTTAAAAAAGGTATTGAAAAAGATCAATAAAAAAAATAATTAATTAGATGTAAGTTATTCTCAAACTTTTGATGATACGAATGAGTAACAAATAAATAAAAATGTAAGCTTTTAATCAGTACTAATTACTGTTAAAGATGCTGAAACTAATCAGGATATATAAAATAAATTAATAAACTTATAAGTACACTTCCATCATCAAGAATGTATAGAATAAAATAATACTCCTTCTGTCGAGTTGTCAGGAATTTAAAGCCAATTTTTAGTAAAAAACTTGTACACAAACACTTACACAATTTTTGTTAAAGTTGATGGATATAATTACTCTTGCAAAAGAATATAATTAACAGAGCATTATTAAACAACAGAATAGATAGTTTACTTGAATAAAAACTTACAAAACAAAGAGATGAGAGTAGTTTTAGAGTGGAATAAAAATAACTTTGCCTAATTGGATTTATTAGTCACTTTATCAACTGACAAATCAACTGATTGTATAGCTGGCTATTTCAATGAGAATTGCCAGAAAATCTATTACGAAAGAAAAAGCTAGCATCCTTATTATTAAAGTATTAAAATTGATAAACTAGGTGCTAATGATTATCTCTTCTACATAAAGCATAATTTATCTTAAAAATCATACAACGATCTTGTTGCTTCTGGCAAAAAGAACCTAAATTAAATTTTAGCAGAATCTGGTGCTCACTTCTCAATTTATGTAGCTGATCTTGAGTACCCTGTCTATGAAAGTGGTATAGCATATTTTGATACTAACATTTCAACAGACGAGAATTTAATTTGGCTTGTATCTTGTATGAATGGAATTTATGGAAATTAAGTATACTCTTTAAATCAGTATTGGACAATTAAATCAACAAACGAATTCATTATAAAAAGTTCTGGCTAAGAACTTCCAAGCTCTGAAATCTGCTCCAACTACCTCAAGTCTATGTTTAATTGATAATTTAAAAATTAAAATGCATACCTATTATCTTAAAATTAAAATAATTAATTCAAAATTCAACATTTTTGTGCTTCCATTTATTTTTATTAGTAAAAAAGTTATAATAAAATTAATCTCAGTGTTTTAAAAATTAATAATGCTCCATTTTATTCAAAATATTTTTAAAAATTTGTAGAATTTAAAAACATTAAAAAAGAAATATTTCTTTTTGTAATAAATTTAAAATATCAAATTTAATTCTAATTTTGTATTAAATTTATTATAAAAGCAATTTTTATTTAAAATAAAATTAAATAATGAAGCTAAAAATATGAATGGGGAACGAATATTAATGATTTTAAATCAAAATAATAAAGATTTTATAATAAGAGAATAAATTGTTTGAAAATAATTTAAGTTTTTGTATTGAAAAAAATTAAAAAATAATTCTAAAAATTTTTAAAAATAAGATAAATTATAATGTTAAAACAATAATTAATTCTTAATAAACAAGTAAACTTTTAATCATTAAGATAAATAGAATTAATTGAGATAGATTTTTATCATATAACATCTTTATTGAAGTAGTCTTTTTTTATTAAATTAAAAAAACATTAATTTATAATAAGCGTTTAAAAAGTAATTAAAATTACAAATTTAAAGTAGAGTAAATTAATATTTAAATAATTTTAATGATATAGTTTTTAATAACTCAAAGATCCAGCAAAAGTCAATAAAAAATGGTCCTTGAGTAAAATAATGTGATTCAATTCATAAAAGATTAAAAAATTAGATAGTTGCTTTTATATTTCAATTTGTTAGAGAAAGTTTAACATTCTTAATAACAAACAATTCAGCCAGCCAGAAATATATTTATTTTATATACAAAATATGAATGAAAAAATTGAGATTAAAAAAATATTTATTTTATAATAAATAAAATCTTGTTAAAGAAAAAATTTTTATAAGAATTAAATAAATAATAATTTATTTATTATAAAAATTAATAAAATAGAATGAATATTAATTAAAACACATTAAAAGCAAACTATTTATTTTTAAGTGTTATTCAAATAAACATTTATCATTTAATGTTTTATTTTTTAAATTAAAAATTCTTATTTTATTAATAAGACTTTTATTATATTAAATTTTTATTTTTTAATAAAATTCATTCATAAAAATTTGAATTTATTTTAAAAAAATATTATTTTAAAAATTGTAATTTTTCTTATTCATTTGATCAAGTTTATTTTTTACAAATGAAGTCTCTACTTTCATAAAATTTCTAAATTTATTGTATTAAAGAAAAGTTTTTATCTCCATAAAAATTAATTAAGTGCTTATGGAAGATATTACTAGCATAATATATAAAATGTTTGTTTTTCGAATAATTTAAAAGATATGTTGCATTCAAAAGCTAATAAATAGTTGCTTCATATTCAATTGATATTTTTAGGATAAGATTATAAATTTATTTCAAGGTTTTTAAATTCATTTTCATTTTTTGTTTTAAATAAAAAATATGGAAGGAAGTAAAAATAATATCATAAAATAAAATTAAAGAAATGCTAAATGTTATCTTTTTATTGGATGTACTTTAAAAGATTAAATATATAATATTTGTATATGAACTAAAATTTTAATTAAGAAAGTCTTTTTTCCTTGTCTGATTTTATTTATTTAATTTGTGAGTTTCATAAAGAAATAAACAAAAAATTGATTTTTGATAAAATCTAACGTATCTTTTGTGGGGATTTGATTTATTTAGTTTAATTTCTGACGAACTCTATCTAAAAAAAGAGATACAAAAGAATCAATCTGATCGAAGTTTGTCGTTTCTGATAAGATCTACTTAATATCAGTTATATTAAAGAAATTCTACTTTTTCGCTTTTGCGGCTTTATGAGTTGCTCCCTTAGAAAAACCTCTTCTTTAATTAAAAAGGAACTTTTGCTTATATTTTAAGAAGGGAATTTTCCTTTTAATTAAAAAGAGAAAAACTCTTGTTTTTTTGTAAGGAATTTTTCCTTGTGTTTCCACACAATGAAATCAATTATAAAAAGAGGTGTTTTTAAACAATTAAAAAAATTTGTAGTTTTTAGCTTTTTACTCAGATTTTTGATAATTAATTAATGGTTAGCTTTTGCTATAAATCAACACAAATTATAATAGATAAACAAGCATTATGCGAAAATAGTAAATTATTGATTGATTTTTATTCAAATAGTCAATTTCGAGATATATTTTTTGAGTTATTTTTTTGTTTTTTTCGTTTTAACTTTTTGATCAATCATAAAAACTTAGATGACATTTTATAGCAATTAAATTTAAATACATAAATTCATTCATCCAATCCTTATCAAAAAACTTATAAAAAATTTTACTTGATTTTTGAGCTTATATAAAAAAAATTGATAATTAAAATTGACTTAGAACCCGTAAGATGAATGATTATTTATTTATTTAATTAATTGTATTTGAAATTTCATTAAATTAATCAATCAATAAATTGATGATTTGATCAATAATCCTTTATTTTTTCCTCTGTATTAAAATTTTCAAAAATTTTTGTTTTTTCTCCCTTCCTCCTTTCATCCCTCTGATCTAAAGGCATTCATTCGCATTTTCCTCTCTTCACTAGCATTTAGATCGGGGAACTGATTTTTATTGTAGATTTTGTGTTTTAGGTTTTGGGTTCCATTTTATTTTTATTTGGTAGATTTGATTTGAAATCTCTACTACTTCTCCTAATTAATTATGCCTTTGCATATTTGCTTTATATTTTCCCTTTTGTTTTTCCCTTGTTGTTTCTCATCTAATTTTCCTTTGTGTTTTTCCTTGCATATTTGCCTTTTAATTTCCTTTTTATTTTTCTTTTCTTCTTTATCTTTAATTTTCCCTTGTATTTGCTTTCAAAAATTAATAATTTCCTTATATCAATGAAAGTTTTTTAACTTATTTACCTTTCCCCACATTCCGTATCCATATTATTTACACATAATCCTACAAACAGCTATATTTTCAGTATACTTTCTGAACATGAGAATCACGAAACTCACGAATACCCAAATAATTTTTGCATATTTTTTGTAAAAATGCCATTTTCACCCTACTACTTTTCAACTGAATGACATATAGCTTGAAGGATCAATAGCTCTCAATTTAAAAGAAGAGAGAGCAGAATTTATATGATAAAGTTTTAGAGAATACTTTTGTGCAAATGTTACTATCTAGATTTTCTTTGAAAAGTTCTTTTTTTTAGACTTTTATATAGAATAAGAGTAGATAAGAGATACCCATATGCTGTTTATGTTTTAAATATAGAAATGAAAGCTTTTTTAAGAGACTCTATTAAAATATTGGGTTTGTTATAAAAGGATAGCTGAAAAACAATTTTTAAAAATAAGGAATTTTTTCAGTAAAAATCATGAAAAATATGGTGAAGAATATGGCGTAAAAAATGGAAAGATTTTCGTAAAAGATAAAAGTAGAAATAAAAAAAGATATGTGCAAAGATGCAACCAGCAAATAGCATTAGTGATAAAGGAGATAGGGTTATAAAGCAAATAAAGATATGAAAGCCTTTATTATATTTCCAATTAATTATTATGCAATATTCCTTTATTAATAAATTGAAAGCTACTGATTATCAATTAATTATGAAACAAAGAGTAGGATAATAAAGATGCATGTATGTTTGTTTTTTTGTTAGTTAGTTAGTTAGATAATGCATGTTAAACAAACAAGCAAACAAATAAATAAAAAATGAATGAAGAAACAAAGAAATAATAACTCAAAGAAGATATAATAACTTCTTACTCTAACACACAAGAATATGAACATACTAGTTAAGGATAGTATATATTGTATTTATTAAGATTTTATATGAATAAAAACAAAATGTTGTTAATTAATAGGTCAATATGCTATGGTGCTGCTGTATTAATTATAATTATTATCATTAGAAAAGTTCTCACTTGGATCCCTTTTTGTTCTTCTTGATCTTCTTTTACTTTTCGGGTTTGCCGTACTTCTTTTCGTAGGCTTACATGTCCTTTTCGTACTTAGCCTTAGCTTCAGATTATAAAGTTTCGTATTTCTTCTTTTCCTTTTCACCAACAGCTTTCCACTTTTCAGCGATCATGGAGGTCAATTCGGTGATCTTGGCATTGGGGTTTTCCTTCTTGACTTATTCGTAGTTGTGTTACTTGAATAAGAAGAAAGCGGATAAGGGTCTCTTGGGGGGAGCGGGCTATTTTGAATAAAAAAAGAAAGATAAGTCAATTGTCTATAAGAATGGAGGCAAAAGAGTTGCAAAATGAGGGTAATTCCTCATCAATAATAGATTTTTAGAGCCTTCACTAAAAGAAAAAGTTATAGAGCTGAATTATGCGGGTTTTTTGGAGTATTTTTGAGGGCTCTATTAGGAAGGAAACTCTCAGAAATCCAAAAGTAGAATCAGAAAAGCTTTATAAAATAAATGAATTACCTTGCTGTCGTCTTTTGATTTGGCCATTTTAGATTGATGTGTTTTTTTATTGATTTTTTTCTTTTGTATTTTTTTAATTATTTGATATTATTAAAACAAAAGCAATTTGCATTATTTTTATAATGAAATTATTGATCTCCTTGTCTTTTGTATCTGCTTTCTGATTGGATAATCTCGTTGTAAAATTGAATTTTTACTAACCAATAGAAAAAATATATTTCCATTCAATTTATTAATTAAAAAATACAACCTAAATACCTTCCTACCAACATACATACAAAAAGCATACAAATAAACAAACAAACTAATTATCAAACAAGCATTAGTACATTCATTATGAATGAATGATTAAAACCCCCCAACCTCTATTTATATTTAAATGAATGAATGAATGAATGAGTCATCTATCACCCTATATGATTCTAATTCATTTATCTTTTTCTTATAATATTACTTTTTTTTCCCCACCATCCTACTTATCCTTACCCCATCTCATCATCCAATGTCATTTTACTCTCTCTTTATTAGATTTTCGCATTTTATTTAGCATTGCCTCTCTATTTAGCAAGAGTTAAGGCTCTTTAAATATTGCTTGTACCTCCTATAGCTTTCTTCCTTTACTTTGTTTCTAATTTTTTATTTCGTTTGTTGCTTGCTTCTTGTATTTTCTTTCTAATTACTTTCTTGTTTGCTTTCTTGCTTGTTTGTTGTTTCTTTGCTTTGTTTTGATTGTTAAAGGCATCCCTCTTTGGATTATATATAAAAAAAATATTCCTTTCATTTTGCTTTGCATAATTAATTAAATTAATTAAAATTATGATTGTCCTACATAAGCTTTACTAAAAGCAAACCCCCATTTTAATTAAAAAAAAGATATTAGTAAAAAAAAAATAACTAAATAACCATTCCTCATTGCGCTAAATTTTCATTATTTTTTAATTTCAAAAAAAGATCGATTAAAACGATCAACCATCAAAATTTATCTGTCATTATTTATGTTAAAACTAATTTCAACAAATATTTTGTTAAATGTTAAAATTATACCTTATTCTACCATGCAAATCACATTAATAAACACAAAATCATGAAAATCAGCATAAATATTTAAACAAATAATTAAGATTTGTAAGATTTTAAATGCTTTTATCCTCTAAATTCATAGAAATGACTAATATACTTGTTATTATTTTGTAATCTATTTACACAACTAATATGAAATATCTTTTGATAGAAAGCGCTACATTTCTTAGATATTTAAATTTAAAAAAGAAAGATAAAATGAACAAATTTAACAGACATATGAGTAAATAAATTTTCAATAAAAGTGCATAAATTTTTGAAACTATATTTTTTAATATAGTCACCATTTCAATAAATATAAAGCCAATTTTAAAATTAAGTTTTCATTTTAATATTTAACTTGAATAAATTCTCAAAAAATCTATGATTTTTAGATATAAAAAATAATTTTAATCATGTAAAATAACTAAAATTTTTGAAAAAAATGAAATTTTAATACTTTTTTAAATTCTAAACTTTTGAATGGAAAAAAGCAATACATTAATTAACTTTAATTGATATTTAAAAAGAAAAGACAAAATTTCAAAAAATTAAAGTAGGCGCGGCTCTAAAAACAAAACATTCTCAGCTTTTAATTTTTTAAAATCAAATATTTTTAATATTTTTCATTCTAAAAAAGTATTTTATACACTTAATTCTGTATGTTTTTCTATTTATATCTGATTTAGAATTTTATTCAATCAATTTTATCAAAGTAAAAATTTAGTTCTATAATTTTTTAAATATTATTTTTAAATGAAATTAATTGTCACAATTGTTATTAACATTCATTTCATTTTGTTTATTAAATGTTCAAAAATAAATAAGCTTTTAACATTTAAAATTAATTTTACAAATTGATAATAAAAATATAAAAAACGATAAAAAAATAAAAAAATTTATTTTAGTTTACAAAATTTAGAAATAATTAATATTGCTCAAATTAAATCAGGATTCAGAGAGTTTTTCTTATTGCCTAAACTATGAGAGCTTAGTCTCAATAACTCATCTTGCTCAATTTGCTAAATTTTTTACTGTCTTTCTTCTTCCCTCTTTTTCTTTTCTTATAGAAGCTGTTACTCTCTCAACATAACTAATCTCTCCTCATCATCATAATGCTAGGGAGAATTTACCTGTTAGTTTTAAGACATCATTTACTGTTGAATAAATTGATGATTTCCTTATTAATTAATTTGTTGATTTAATATTTGTTATTAGAACTGTTAGTTATGAATTTTAGTGTTGATTTGCTAGTTGTGTTCATTTTCAAACTCTTAATCCATGTCTTAAATATTTTAATTCTACTATTAAATATTTTCTTGATTTTAGTAGTCATCAAAATTGATAAGGTCTTCTTAACCTTATTGGTTGTGATTATTAGATGCTGCACCTTATTAATACTGCTAGTTTTAATAAAATTACTGCATTAGCTCTTCATTTGCATCTCCTCTTTATACTAAATATTATTGTTGCATTAGCTATAAGTTCAAATTTTATTATTAAATCTATTGAATTTTTTAGATTTAAGAAATGTATTAATTGTAATCCTCTTCATTATCAAAATGACCAGGAGTAAGAATTTAATGTTATTAATTAATTATATTGAAGTATTCTTATTGCTCTTGTAAGTATCTCTAATATTCTTCTTCTGATTCAAAATTTTCACGAGGTAATATTTGATGTTCATATTGATTATTTTCATCTTAGTCAATTAAATCTTAGTAATTATCTTCTTGGTGATTTTGCTCATATTCTTCATCTTATTCTTCTTCTTAGTGATTCTGATAATTTTCATCTTCAAATTCTTCTTCTTAGTTAAATTATTTTTGATATTTATTTTCTAATGAATGTAAAAATAGATCATTAATTTGCCCTCTATTTTACAAGTACTGTTGTTAATCATTATTTAAATTAATTTGTTATTATTACTCTTCCTAATTTTATTAATGTTTTTACTAATCTTACTATGCTTAGACATGAGCTTAATGAGAAGCAAGGTCTCCCAATTAATATTCTTCGTCATTATTATTAATTTAATTAAGAAGTTATTCATTTGCCTATCCTCTAGATAAAAGATATTACTATTAAATTTATTAAATATTTTATTGCTAAATCAATTATTGCTATTGTTGTCCTAGTGCTTGATTTTATTGATTAGAATTATTATTTTATTCTTATTATTATTATTGTAATTATTACTAATTAATGCCTGCAGTATTTTATTAATCTTCATCCTCATCTATCAATTGATACCTGTTAGACTATTAGGATAGATTATTGTTTGTAATCTAATCTTTCAATTATTAATTAGCCTAGACTACAGAAGATAATTATTATTATTATTAAACGAGCTTTAAGTCTTTGTTTTCGGATTCTTACGTTTAAGATTGTTGTATTTGTTTTGATCTATCGCTAAGTTAGCTCTTTTCTTGGTAGAACTGATCCTTAGACTTTAAAAACTTTTATTTGAATTCTTAGTGTTGTTATGAATAGACTACATCTTTTTCAATTGCTTGATGGACAGTAGAAGATCTTGAAATATCCTATTAGTTAATTTGATTAGAGATACTGGGTTCAGGTTATTAGTAATTTTGGTTATCTTCTAATTCTTCATCTTGACGATAATTATTATCACTTGAGTTATTTTATTGCTTTTTCTCAGATTCTTTCAGCTAATTATTTGAAGGTGTTTGGATATTATTCAAGTCTAATCCTTAGGTTGTTTCATATTGCTCACTTGTCTCTTCTTTTGTTTGGCCTTAATAATTCTTATCTCTTAATTCTGAAGTAGATGCAGTCTTCTCAATTTAATTACGAGAAGAATTTGGAAAGTTAGATGTAGATTACTGTTGAATGATGAGGCTTTGCTCATATTCAGTGAGAATAGGCTATTTCAAAGTCTAGGACTCTGTTGGTAAATTCAAATTCTTTGGAACCTACTAAGCTTTCTATAAGTTTTATTGTTAAGAGCGATTATTTTGTAGGGAAATATTTTAAGAGACAGCTATATGAGAAATTTCTTAAGCAGGAGCGAATTGTACTCTCTATTGATGAATCATATATAAATTTGATTAAATATTTTTCTGATCTTCAAACTCATTTAATTCAGCATTAGAAGGTTAGCTGCATTGCTAGAGCTTTTTGTTGAACTGCATTCTTCTCATTTCAAAATCCTAAAAGAATTTATCTTGATCCTATCTATTCTGAAGACTGAGTTTCTCATATTATTTCAAGCCTTAATATTATTAGTTAAGTTCTTCGTTTTTAGGCAAGATATCATTTTAAAGAAGGAATTTAGATTATTAGATTATTTATCTAACTTACTATTAATGAGTATTAAGATCAGTTTCAGTTTTATTTGCTTTAGTTACTCTCTCTGTGCCAAAACCTCCATCGATTGATTTAATAAAATCAGGATTTCTTTAGAAATTATCTCTATCAGTCTGAAAACTTCTAAATCCACTATTGATAGCAAATTCATTCACTTAACTTATTTAATTCTTTGGTGATTAAATGATTTAAGATACTTTAACAATGTTTTAGCTTTATTATTGTTAACTTAGAACTAAAGGTACACCATAAGTAACTGGGGACTATCTAATTACTTATTAAGAAAATAGCTGAGATTGGGGTGTTAAAACTGAAGATACGCTAGTGACAGGACTTGCTCCAATCTAATTTATAATTAATTTTGATGTTTTAGTAGGAATTAATCTTGTAGTAGCAGTAGATGTTGCTATTGCAATAGGTGGATTTAAAGGCTGTAAAACTCTCACTTAAGAAGTTAACAATTATCCTGTTATTGGAACAACTGGAGATTATATTGCTCTAATTTAAGAGTTAACAAGAGGGGAAACGCACTAAACAGCAGTAGGTTATTGAGGTAATTAAACATAAGACCTTGAGATTAATAGATTAGAGGGTTATTAATTGTACTATTAATTATGCTATTCATAAATTTAATTCTAATTTTATTTTTGAATATGCAAATCTCTTTCGTTATGATGAATATTAATGCTTTAAAGAAGAGTCTTAGTTTATTTAAAAGGAGACTGTGTTTATTACACCCTCTAGGAGGGATGTACTCTTTTTGATTAAGAAAGTATTTCTTCATGGATCTTTTTTTCTATCTCTTTTTATTTTTCGTTTCTTTATTCGCTGCGAACCTATTCTTGAATCAACTATTGTCTGTATGAGTGGATAGGATTAGGTTACTATTACTATAACTATTGCTATGCTTATTCTTAGACTTTTTCTTAGATTTGTTTTATTTCTTTATTTTGAGATTGCTGTTATTAAATTTCTTGATAACCCTATTAACTTAATTATTGTGGAGAATGATAAATGATCTTTTATTGAGGTATTTAAGGATTAGATCTGACAGGAATTATTGGTTATGGAGTTAAAACATAATTAACTGGCAATTAAGATACTCTTACCGATGAAGGAACTATCTATTGTTTAATTATTTAGATTATTTTTATTTTCTATTTCAAAATGAATATTTAATTACTGGTAAAAACGCAGGTTATGTCTAGACCTGTACAGCAGGAGTCTTATTTGTAGTAGTCACTCTCCAGTTCTGCTATGGACTAAACAAATTTTCCTATTAATAAGAACTTTGTGGTTGAGTTCTTGGTTGAGGGAAAAGGCTATATTCCTACGACTTCATACTTTCTATGATTCTTTACAATAATATATTTTTATTAATTTTTATTTCAATTTTAAAAATAATATTTATTTACTTTTATGAAAAATTAAATAGTTGATTTATATATCTTTTAACATATCTATTATTGATTGATTAGCTCATATTCTAAAGTAAAATTATTGGTCATATCTTCTATAGATCATTCATTCATTCACTCATTCAAAATCTATAATTATTTTGTTTTTTTGTTTCATTTCTCTTGATTTAAATTTACATTGATTTTTAATTAAAGAATTATTATTTTTATTTATTTTTCACTGTCATTTTAATTAGTTCTTACCTAATTATCAAAGAATATCATCTCAAAATCACAAATTTATTTTTTGCATAAAATCAAATACTCATTTTAAGATTTTGAATTATAATTTATTTTATAGAAAATTGCTTTTTTATTTAATAAAGATTTCTAAAAAAATATTCAGTACATTTTCCAGATTAAAAAACTATGCTTAAATTCAATAAATTCTGTAAAAAATATTTTAAAAATCACACAACACATTATATTTAGTAATAGAAATTAAAAATTTAAATTATAAATTTATTCTTTTTTAAGTAGAAAATAATAAATTAATCAATAATATTTATTTGAAGTATTATCTCAATAAAAAAAATAAAAATCTAAAATTATATAAAATCTTTGATAATAAATATCTAGTTTATTAATATAAACATACAAACAAACAAACTTGCATTTATTTTTAGTGAGTTTTCATTTTTTTAATTTTAAATTTTTAAATTATTTTTTAGAAATAAATTAATAGTTAATTTTTTAATAGAGTTTATTTTTTTATAAAAGTATATTTTACTTTTCAAAGGAAATTAGATCATTCATTGTTGATGTCTTATTCAATATTTTAGAAGGATTTATTTTGCTTATAATATTCGTGATATATTTTAGTTAATACCACTATCAAGAAAATGAGAAGGTTAAATACCATATCTTACAAATCTAATTTAAAAAATATTCCTTATAAATCTTGTATAATACCTATAATACAAAATCCAATACATTTTATTGATAATCTATTATCTTATAAGCAAGATATCAGCTAATAAAATATTATAGTGGCATACAAATGAATGCTACCATTATAGATAGTAAGTATTTCGAAAATAAAGAATAAAGCCTAATAAGAGAAGAAATCTTGATATTAAATTAGAATGATTATAACTATTTAAATAGCTATTCCAATGTTTAACAAATTAGAAGCTATTTTCATCCAAACTGTAATAATTTAATTTCTCCTATTAATAAAATAAACAAAGAGAAATCCAAACAAAAAATAAGCCATATAATAAGATAGGAATAAATAATCTTCTTTTTATTAATCTTTACTCTTGTTTCTCAAAATAGAAATAAAAATACTTTGTAATGGCTTAGAAGTTATCAAAGTAAAAGTAAAACTCATAACAAAACAATAAACCATATTTTTATCGCTATAATACTGAATAATTTTTTTAATTGAAATGTTAAATCCTTAATATCTTATAAATCTTTAATACTCATTTGACTTAAATCTTTTCTTTTCTATTTTCCAATAAGATTTATGCAATAAAAAGCTTCCAACCATAAGAAATAGGATGCCAATAATATTTAATATTATGTTAGTAATTTGTAATTGCAAGTTAGTTATTTTTATAACAAAAATAATTAACTTTGGTAGGCATTGACAAAACGTATGAAAAGCTCCTGAATTATATAGCTTTTTCTTTAAACTTTTTGATGAATCGTATATGATATAAATTATACAGTTATAAATAAAGGCATATGACCAACCTAGAAGAAACGAACTCATTAGAAATCCATTGGGAGATGTATATAAGCACAAAATATTAATCAAAAGAGAAAGAGCAGTAAACACAATAGAAAATCTTTAAGACTATTTAAATGAGAATAAGTCAATCATTAATCCTATTATGAATTGGGGTAGCATATCAAAACAAATTATATATAAGTTAAAATATAAATTGCTATTGCTCATACCGCTTATAATATTTCCCTACGAGGAAATGTAATCATCCATATTTTTGTATGATAAATTCAAAAGTATTGAGGATAAGATAGAACCAATAAGAATTTTATTATCATGCTTAATTTTATAATATTAAATTTCTTGTTAAATTTATTATTCTAGTTAAGGTATTTAAATTAGTCTGTTTTCATTACCAGGTAATCTAATTTTAGAAATTTATTCAATCATTTATTTATATTTGCGTTTTGATGGTAAATTTAATTTATTAAGATATTTATTTTCAACAAAAACATTAATTAAAAAATAATTCCAATCAAAATTATTAAAGAATTAAGCCAATTATATTGTCCATTGAATAACCTAATTGCATATCTTAATATCATTTGAGTCATTGTAATTTCGAAAACAAAAAATAATAAAATAATATCTAAATTGTTTCTATTCAATAAATGCTTTAAATAAACTTAAAATGCTTAGTCCCTAAATTAATTAACAAATAATTATTCTTTTTTCTCAATAAATAATTCAATATAAAAACAAAAAATGGGTTTGTCACTCTTTTTGTAGAATCTCTTTCAAAATGATTGATTTATACTTTAAATGAGAATACAAAAAATAAAATAAAAAAACTTACATTAATATTATAAATGAATTATTTTGTTGACTTTATTTAAAATTAATTTATTTAATAAATAAATAAATAAAAATATAATGAGAAAATAAATATTTTAATGCTTGGTTTCATTAGTTATTTATATCCTGTTCTATAATTTAAAATGATTTATTTTAATGATAATATTCATGATATATTTTAGTAAGTATTATAATCAATAAGATCAAGAGACTTATCACAGTTTCTTATATATCAAAATGAAAAATTAAAGCAGTTAAATCTTGTATGACACTTATAAGTGAAAATCCTATGCATTTTATGGATAACCTATTATCTTATAAACATGAAAGTAACTGATTGAATATTATCATTGAGTATAAATGAAGACTTCCATTATATATTGTGATTAACTCAAATATATAGAATAAAACATTGGTTGGTATCTAATCTTGATATTAGAGTATTATAATTATAGCTATTTATAAAATAATGTTAATATTTAGCAACTGAGAAGTAAATTTCATGCAAAATTCAATAATCTAGTTTCTACTACAAATATAAAACAAAACTAAAAACCCAATCAATATAAAAGCTATAAAATATGTTAGAGACAGTAAATCTTGATAAAACACATCTACATTCTAATTTTTCAAAACAGAAATATACATATTTGGTAGAAACCTAGAACTAGACATTACAAGAGTAAAGCTCATTACAAAGCAATAAATCATATTTTCATTACTATAATATTAAATAATTTTTTTAATTTTTATCCCAATTCCTTGATAGCTTAAGAATTTTTAGTATTTAACTGATTTTTATCTTTCTTTTTCTATCTTCCAATAAGATAAGTTTAGCAAAATACTCCCAAATATAAGGAAAATTATTCCAATTACATTTAATAAAACATTGGTTATTTTATCTTCAAAAGTTTTTAAAAATAAACTCAATAATCTAGGAACACCATAAGAGAATGTATGATATATTCCTGAATAGAAAACTCTTTTTTTAAAATTCTATGTTGAATCATAAATCACGTATATAACACTGATATAAAGAAAACCATATGCCATATCTAGAAGTAAAGTGCTAAATAGAAGTCCATAAAGTGATAAAAATAAACATAGAGTATTGATCAAAAGAGAAATAACACTGAATGTTATTGAAAATATTTGAGATTACTTGAATGAAAATATATCAATCATCAAGCCAACTAACAATTAAGATAATGAATCAAAAAATATTATATCTAAAAAAAAGTAAAGATTACTACTACTTATAATATTTATCTAATCATCTTAATTAGATAAATAATTATTCATGTTAATATATGAAAAAGTTAAAAAAGTTGCAGAGATAATAGATCCTAAAAGAATTTTGCTTCCTTATTAAGCTTTCAACTCTTAAATATTTTCCTGAATTTCATATTCTAGCTCAGGCATTAATAGCAATCTATAATCATTATCAGGTAATTATATTTTATAAATATCTTGAATCATTTTTGTTTTGTTTATTTGCTTATATTCTTTAATCAATTTAGAAACAATAGATTTTTTCAACTAAATACTTATAAACCTAAATGCATAAAGAGACAATCTATCAAAGTTGAGTATGGAAATAAATAAATTAGTTACTTAATTTAATAAATATTTGATGAAACGAATACAAAATAAATAAGATTACTTTATTAGCTATATAATATAAAATTTTTAAAAATCTATCATTCTATTTAAAATTTTTA